TCTTCATTCTGCCTGTTTCTCCCATTCGTACTGACTCCGCATTTTCACCATTAGGTTGATATGTCGCCACATGCGGCTCTAGTATCTCTGGCCACGTAGAAGATGACTGTGGACCAACGCCCGGTTCGACACTCAGGAAATATTCGCCCCATAGAGGCCCTGCAGACCAATACGTCCATCCAATGAAGACGCCGCTATCTTCCAAGTGCGTGATCGTATTGTTGAGAGTTTTGAAGCACGTCGGATTCGCCCCTGCCCCAAATTCTGACAGGAAGGCGGTGTAGTTGTTCTCTTGGAGCCAGGTAGTGACAGGAAGGAGGTTCGTAGGAGCTGCGAGTGTACATTCCTCATGTGTGCCGCTGGTATCGTTATCGAAGTAGAGGTGCATGTCGAAGGCAAAGTTGTCGAGCGGGTCGGTAATGGCTGCTAGGACTTCGGAATTAGGTTTACACTCTAACGAAGCATCCCCGCATGTAGAATTGAGCCAGCGATGTGCGCCTGTAAATCCGTTGCCGGGTACAAGGATCAATTGTTGTGCACCTGTCTGACGTATCGCATTGATCATAGCTTGGTTGTTCTTGAGGACAAGCGATGTAGGCATGTCGTGCGGGCTCATTCATAATCCCAAAGATTACGTTCGGGTTGACCAGGAAGCGAGTCGAGAGCTCGGTCCAGAACGCGGCGAGGTTTTCAGTAGTGGCAGCTTTGGTGTCAGATGCGTTGCCCTATGACACTGCCCGAGAATGGCTGCATGGCGGGATTGTTGTAGCGCATGTAGTTGTGCGCATCGAGGATGACATAGCCACCTTGTGAGGGTAATGTGATCAACAGCTGCTGTGAGCTCTTCGAAGTAGGTCTCGTTGAAGGTCTTTCCTAAACCAGTCTCCAAAGGAACAGATGCGCTCCTATGAACAGCATTCCATCAGTTGCTGGGAGTGCTCGTTTGATCTCGAGGGACTGACCAGAAGGAAAGGAAGGCGAATCGTGTTTATACCAGCATCAAGGAAGAAGTCAATGGCCGTCTCCTCGATGAACTGATAATCAGTGCCGAATGTACCCGGTAAGTTTGACTGCGCAAACTCGCCACCCGCTTGTAAAGGTCAGTAAAGGCTGTGATAACTCTTCATTGTACAAACCTGAGTTAACACCCGCGTATATTATTTCCGCTGCCACCTGTCCCACCGCGAGCGCAGCAACGGCTGCCACGTTAAATATGCTTCTCGCGAGCATTTGGGAAGCAATATTACGATAGATTCAATCAGGAAAAGAGTGTAGTATGAGAAAATAGATACCGCGTTGCAACATTGGAGTTCCAGCCTCACCCGTTTGCAATGCAAGCGCGTCACCAGGCTAAAGTACCGAATTGCCTGGTGTGAATGTCTACAATGATCGACCGCTTGCCGGCTAGTGCTTGGCACATCGGAGAGTTTGCTTTGACACATGTAATTATGCACAATACCGCACTCGAAGAAGCCGTACAGATTCGCATTGGCATGGATATCAGCGCCGCGCTCGTGCATCATTGGGCGATGATGGCAAGCGCATAAGCCGGGAGGATACAAATCGTCCACTTGTAATGCTCTGCGTCCTGCAAAATGTGCAAGCTGTGGCTCAAGACGTTCGGTCGTCGTTCGCATAGCCGGACGGTGAGCCTGAAACACCGGGCTGCCACTCGCCGGCTGACCTGCCTGACCCTACATGACGCGTCGTATTATAATGGGAACCTCACCATTACTCAAATGATAACAAAGAAGTGGGCGATGTGAATAGACGAACATTGCCGCCACGTTGGATGTTTGTTGTGAGAGATTGTGAGAGATAGTGAAGGTAAATAGTTATGTTGAGACCACGAGTATAAACAATGCCCAAATGTCAATTGAGATCTTAGATTCATGTGAATTCCCGAATGTTAATGTCGGGAGGGAAGGATGACAATACAGTGTGTCGTGAAGGATGCACCGACACATCTGCGGTTTGAGGCCAACACCCTGACTAAGCAAAGTTAGCGTGTTTTGGCTCGATTGCTTCCTTGCTTCATCGAGCACTATGTACTTACAACAACACGACCTAATCTCTCTTCCTCTCTGCGCGATACCCGGTTCGAATACCCTCCGATTAGAATGCGCAGTTGACCATGGCGCTAAAGACAATTGAAGAATGGACCCACGGACATTTCTTTTCAACCAAACATTGGCTCGTACCTATGTTGGCTTTACTCCCAGTCACTACGGTCAAGAGATAATCCCATCTTGATTGGCTAGTCATGGTATGTGCGTGCGTAGCGATGTGCAAGGAGCGATCAAGTGTGGTTGCGTGGAATACGGTAGCAAGCCGACTGCCCGGGTTTACCCTTGTGGGGTTCACAGGACTACGCACACTGCGTGGCAGCAGAATATCGAATCTGGCCTTCACTGCAATACGCTGTGCAAACATTGGGGGAGGGGGGAGGAGGCTTTTGTTGGTGCCTGCAAAGCCTTTCGGTCAATTATTGACTTGCATACCTTTCGAGCAAAATTGCTCGATCTGGGCGACGCCCCACCTAATCTACCAGACCATCCGGTACAGACCCCTTCTCAGCACTCACCGGTAACTTGGAGCGACCGTATACATGCAGGTTTTGTTATCGACACAGGTTCTGCTAATCATCGAAGCCGAGTTTAACGGAGTTGCTGGACTGGCATAGGCTCCTTAGCCGTGGAACGTACCCGAGAGCACCTACACTTCCATAAGTGTGCGTGCTCATTCTCCCATGCTATGTGTGTTGCGGAACGGCTCGTAGCCTTGACGATGATGCAAAAGAGGTTGCCAGCGATCAACGCCATGTCTGCATGCTCCACCACGAACCGAGCCGTGTCTATTCCAGAACCACACAAAGCTCTGCAACGCCAACGATATCCTAGAACCCACGCGGGAAGCCTAGGTGTCAGTTCGGGTAATCCTATTGGCACCCTGGACGGCGAACACTGGATGTGGGGTCTGACAGACGCCGGCTATGGGGCGACAAATCTGGCGTCCTGCATTGCGGCCCGCGTCCGCGCCATATCTGGAAATATGTATCAAGAAAGGAACTTTGGGAGAAAACCCCCACATAAAACGAGACCACATCAATCCAGTCCTCCATCTTGCAAATTAAAACGCAGCCGTTCAGCCGATGGTGTGGGGCCCGGTTTACACAAAGGATGTAAGGATCTGACCGACACGATAGCAACAGAAACACACACGCGCTATATGATGATAAACGCATTTTAGTGGTCTGACAGCTTTATCTTTACGGGAGGCAGTTTTGGAGAATTGGAAGCGCCATCCTATTACCACATGACACCGTCAGCGTACCGGGTCTTTGGGTACTGGAATCTTCGTTCCCTTTCTCTAGCAAAAACTGGTGTACGCCTTACTCCTCTTGATAAGAGTGCAGCATCGCCTACCCAAGCTCTCGGTACCGTCTGCATGCGTACTGAACACGGCAGTTATTCTGAACTCTCATTTCTACAAGACAAGCTTTTGAGACATTATCATTCTACACACCCCGGTATACAATACGATTGCGAAGGACCTGGCATCACCAAAGACACCCCCAATCGCGAGCTAAAGATAGCCTCGCAATCCGCCCCTAGTCTTGGTCAATGTGGCGTTCATGCACGCACGCCACCGAGGCGGGAAGCATGTATATGCGAATGCCCACTGAGTGTGTGGAGGGGTAGACGAACTGTCAGCGCAAGACAAGTGCCAGGATTGCAACATGTTCGTCAGCCCACCGCCTCACCAGCCAATCGCAACTTCTCACCTCACACCGGCTTACATTGGTGCTCGGACGGCACCGGTTCACCGACCGAAAGTTCGTTTTTGTGACAGATGTGTCGGGTTCAGGCACAGCTCGCCCCGAAGGACGAAATTCGCGATCTCACGGGCTAGGCAAACATCAGCTATCCGCGCGGATTGGCTGTTGTGTTGCTATCTTCTTGCATGACTGTTGCCTTAAAGTCTGACGGCCATTGCCTCACGTGGGGGTGCATGTACGCCCCGAGACTTGGGTCAGATGTAGGTGTCTCGCGTGGGAAACGAGCTGCTGGGACTTGTCAGTTAGAGGGAGCTCAGCTAGTAGGTAGCGGTCTTATAATAGCAAGGCTCATAGTTTGGGTATGGCTTATCTCGAAGGAACTGAGTCAAAGCGGATGCGTAGAACTATCCTGCGATTATGGGCGAGGAAGGCTGAGTAGTTGTGATGAAAGGAAGGGTCACGCGACACAGTGAAGGTTCGGGTAATCTGCATTTTAGGAAACGCAGTGAGAGAGGGAGCAGCAAGGGAAGCAAGATGTCTCAGACGAGCGACTTCGGTCGGTAGGCATGTACCGCGAATGCGCATCAAGCCCAAGTGTTAGCTAGCATGTAAGCGTCGCGCAGTGGCGAACAAATGATCTACTTTGCATACCGAAAGTCACTGCGCGAGCATGGACGTGGGAAGTGAAAGAAGCCTGGAAGGATCATGGTAGGGATATGAGTTGGTTTCTGCAACTATTGACACAATAACAACTGCACGTCGTGTATGTACATTCGTCGCTGTTCCTTGCCAAAGCACACATTCGTACCCACGCACCCCACATTGTTATCATGGACATGAAACGCTTGACTCGCACTAGGTCTATCCATTGCGCCTGGGGTCGCTCGAGCCTTGCCTGCAGCAAAGAGCTTTGGAGTGCCAAGCAGCATGGCGGAGTTGGCTTATGGAGCGACAGCTGATCGGCTGCGCAGAGACTGAGTTGTCGAACTACTGCCGAATGGCACGAGAGGTTGCGCATACTCTTCCAGTGATACCTGCCGAACAAGTCGCAAGGTGTGCAAATTTTTGGCCGGTGCGGATGACGGGCGGTGACTGCGCCGGGCGACTTCGAGCCCATGGGCCTGTCAGATTGGGCGCTTTAGTTAGACTTGTCCTGAGGATACTGTCAGCCTTGCTCAAAGCCTCAGATCTGAGTCTGTCACCGAGTTGCGTACCTAAGATAAGCCTGCAATGGGCGCATAGGTCCATCGCGAGCACTGGTATGTGCTGGGCTTTGACCGGCGCAGTGCGTTCAGGAGTGCGCATGTCCCGAGTGTTGCGCAGTCGCGGCTCCACTGCTAATTTGTAGTCCGTTGTGCGATCAACATGCTTATGTGCGGTCATGTTGTTGGGCTCGGCATTCTACAATGATCATCGGGATAGGGAAGCGCGCGACATTCCCGAGATGCGCGCCACGGGCACACAACGGAACTTCGAGACAAACGTTTCGACACACTGCTCCTGTATAGGAAATTGTTCAGGTAAACATGCAAGTGGTTTCTAGTCCATTATATTTGGGGAGGTGCAGGACCTCACATGAATACATCTTCCCAGACGGGTGCAGTGACTGGAACAGATCGCAGGTCATGCATGAAAGGTGCTGAAGTCACCATGTGTGCCATGTTGAGCTGATTTGTAGGTGGCTGGTAGTTGGCCCAGTCGTCGGGGAACACGCCTGAGTCACTGAAGTCATCAACTGAACATTCACTCATGGACAGTGAAGGTGTTCCACGGGAATGAGATACGAAACCGCTTGTCGTTGACTGAGGAGATCCAGAATAGTAAGATGGAGCCCATGGCGTCTGGGGGATTGGTGCACTATGCATGTGTTCGGACGTCGACCAGAGCTCTGCTCCTGGCAATAGTCCGGTCATGTCACCTTCCAACCCTAGTCCGATCGATGCTTGCGAGTCATCCGACCATGCTTGCGAATCATCAGACCATGGCTGCGAGAGCATCCACGTATCAGAAATGTCTTCTATGGACATAGGCTCGTGAAACACAAGCGATTCTGGTGTTTGTGGTGTGAGGCAACCGGAGCCTGTCATACCACTAGATGGCATGCCGAACGTGTATCCATTCGCGTCTTGATCGGTGTTGTTCGGATACGAGTAGCAGCCATCGGTGATTCCGCTTGCGCAAGTTGTAAGAGGCGTCAACTTGGGGAGACCAGAGCAAGCGGAAGTTTGTTGGCTCATCTTAACTGCGGTGCGGAAGTCGATGTGAGACGCGGCACGCATAGTTCGAGGCCTTTTCAGCGAAGGTATGCTTCTTGGAGAAGAGTGTCGGTTCAGTAAGGGAAGGTTACTGGTGGAATTGTACCGCTTAGGCGCTACAAATGGTTTTTGAATGTTGGCCCGATAGCTGTTATCGGATGTGCGCCGAGTAGATCTTGGATCGCATTTGATGCCCTTCGCAATGCATCGCGAACATGAAGGGAACTATTTCGATCAGATTGGCCCGGCTAACGAAGAAAGCGCCAACTTACACCTTTGTCGCACTTTGTCTTTGCCTTCGCGCACGTAACGCAGGAAATGGCTCTCCTCGAGGCAACTCTTTGATAGGGATTGTAGGTAGGTGTATTGCTGTAAGAAGCACTCTGTGGAGTAACTGGCGGTGACATTTCTGTTGTGGCAGGTGAATCCATTTGGGCGAGGTGTGATGAGTCGAAAACCCGAGAGAACGTCAACGATGTAAAGATAGTGTTCTGAGAAAGCTGTGGCGAAACAGTGAAGGTAAGTAGGTGTACTACGGCAACCTATAAAAATAGATACTGCAAAGGCGTAGATAGAACGATGTAACAAATAGACAGTGCTGGGACCTGGGAGTGTTATAGCCCTGTAGCTTGGTGTAAGTATGAACTTGGCGTCCCCGAGAACAGCCCACAACAGCAGCCATGTTTAGTAGAAGGGCCGTACATGTCCTGGACCGATGACCTTAGTCCCCAAATTACCTATTCGGGCGCCTGTGCTTTCATGCACGTAAGGCCGGACTAGCGCCTCGGGGGCGCTGAGGGAAGCTCGTGTCTACAAAACAGGCCCAAGCGCTCAGATGTACGCCATCCAGCTACTGTCTGGCCCCGGGTGCTGACGAGGGTGTTGCGCCATTGCGGGTGCGTTTTGAGCTAGTGGTCCATGTTTCAGCCATGTGGGTAGCTGCCAGGGCTCTACAGTAGGCCCAAGACATGCTGACAGGGACGAAATCGAAGCTTGCCATGTGAGCAGATCGTTCTTGCATGATTCACGTATCTGCAAAGACGGTGCTTAGCTCAATGCCTACAGCACGATTCAAACGCGCAGCGGGTCTTTGACTCGTTCATGGATTGATGATGCTGGTGGAGTAGCATTTTGCATGACCTGAGGCCTCGCATGAAGAATCTTGGCCAAGCGAAAGCCTTTGTATGGCCGAAATCGTGGGGGCCAAAGTCACCGTAGTGGACAGCATCGCAACTCTTTTACCGTGTTTACTGCGAAGGCTTGCAAGACAATGCCGGGATGCGTGTGGAAACTATGTGGCATGCACAGTAAGATGCAGTCGTGACAAGAGTGCGGGACGGGGACCGGGGTATGTTGTTGCACTGTGGGCGGCGGTACTCGGCAGGCAATCTGGCTTCGCTCATAAGGCAGAAAAGTAGTCGCTGTATGCGGCTGAAACGTCGCTCACGTTCGCTGCTAGTACCAACGCACAATCGTCGGGAGATGTTACCGTGAACGCACGCGTCATTTCGCCGTTGCCAAGCGCACGGACTATCTTCGGTCATCCAAACTTTTCGGTCAGAGGATATCTCTCATTATCTCGTCACCATTCCTATCCTCAGATGACCGAGAAACCAATGAGGGGAAGTGATGCGCACCAGGAAGTCTTCTCTCGGCAGATTGGTCGCTTACCGCCTTTCACTGTAGCCTTCAGTGCTGGCCTGATCACCCGATCAGTAGCAACACTCTGGTTCAGCCTCAGTCGTTTCACGGTGTCGGCAATGTACCGCAAACATGATTATTGACACCTGAGATGTCATGTTCATGCGCTTCCTCGTCTTGGTCGTTCACAGCTCCGCAGCTTTTGGCCTGAGGAAGGCAATCGTGCCGAGAACCGGGGATTGTGTAGCATAAATAGCTCCCACGACTCATGTCGTATTCGGTCCTTTGTTTGGCCGTCCATGATACATCACTGCTTTGCCATTGGGGAGTACTCTAGGAGCCTTGCCAGAGATTGGGGCTCTTCGTGGACCCAGGAAGCAAATTTTGATGGCCATGTCATGGCCATTTGTATGAGTCCGCCATCTCAATCGTGACGCGGACTTGAGTTCACAACTTTAAGCCCTTCCACGAACGCGGCTCTGAAACACTTGGCGAAGATAGACAAAGCAAATGCAGCGGTCTTGTTGGACATTTCAGCACCGTGCAGTGATGTCAGGCTCTGCCACTCAGATTAAACGAGTGCGGGATTTCTTCCAGAACATTTCCTCTAGCGGATGAGTGGGTGTGGATCGATTACATCCTGGAATAGGTCGATCAGCATTCGCTCCGTTTCCTTGGCCCGGCCGGAGCAACGTAAGTCGCGCGCAATCTTGTACGAAGAAGGACAGGCAAAGCGCAAGGCATCGAAACGTGTTTTATCGATACATCGAGCACTTTACTGAGCCTGCAAGTTCTGGCGTAGGGCATGGCCCGGACTTGCTGCGGACAGTCGGCTCAACCAGTAACGGCTGTCGCGTGCTCAGCGGCGTGGACGCCATTGTTTCAAGAGGCGTGATTCCTAAAAGCTATCATATGTCGATCTACTCTATATATGTGATGAGCTGGTAGAGCTAGCTTAACTGATCTTTTGGTGCCTCGCAGGATCTTGTCGGTGAACGTTCGCTACACAAGCGTCTTTCCACTCTGCGTGCGTAGGCAGCGAGTCATCGACAAGCTGTGTAGATCAATGTGGTAAGGACAGGCCTGGCGGTGACAGTGTAGATGAGTTCACTGCAGGTGCTTTCGGTAACGCCTCTCGGGTTTGTACATGTTGAAGCAGTCGGACTGCACAGCGACACGGAAGGTCTTTACTCAAACTCAAAATCGATCGGTTACCATAAGCTTGAAGGGCTCGTACATGCTGGTGCGTGGTTGATCATGGCAAGGTAGAGAGAGTGAGGTTGCTATGCTGGTTCTGGAGAAGGGAAGACGGAAACGATCTTAGCCTGCAGAGACTCAGGTCACGCTAGTATAATTATAGTTTAGCGCAATCTCGTTCTTGCCATGCCGTGCATCGTGCCTTCCATCTCCCAATATCCGCGTCATCGCAATCTGGTCCCTCTTCCATCGTCATTGTGCAACATGGGAGCATCTACTGTTAATGAGATATCTCCAGCAACTTTTTTGGCCAGGGATGTTGACTCCAGGGCAACCTCTACAGCCCCTCCAGATCTGCTCATTTTGAATCAGCCAATCGCACACTTCGATGTCTTTGCGCGACTCTGGAGTCACACAGGGTATCGAGTGTGCGCTGATGGTGGTGCGAATCGCCTGTTTGATATGTTTGTAGACGATCTAGTCGTGCAAAGAGAACGATATGTAAGAAGCGCAATCACAATTGCATGGCTATGCCGCTGACTTGCAGCAGTTACCGGACCTCATACATGGTGATCTTGATTCATTACGCGACGATGTACGTGCCTACTATGCTTCGCATGGCGTAGACGTGTCGCAGGATCACGATCAATACAGTACCGACTTCGGCAAGACCATGCAAAAGTTATCTTCGAGAAGTCCTTCAGCGTCGCAAAGAGACGTGCTCGTCCTAGGAACTCTAGCAGGTAGAGTGGATCAAGGTCTAGGTCTCCTGCATGAGATGATAAGAGAAGAGACTAAGCATCAGGACCTCAAAATTTGGCTTTTCTCGGAATCAAGTTTATCCTTCATTCTTGGGGGGCAACACAACGTTATCCGAGGATTGCAGTCAAGTAAATCATTCACGGAGAACATCGGCCTTCTGCCAGTATGGGGGCCTGCAACTATCACGACCAAAGGGCTAGAGTGGGATGTTCAAGAGTGGTATACACACATGGGTGGCCAGGTCAGCGCAAGCAATCACGTCAAGGACGATGAAGTGCACGTGGAGACGAATGCGCCGATCCTCTTCACGATAGAACAAGCGCTTCCGTAGAGCTCAAGGGAGGGTTCTAAACATCATTGGTGGGAAGGCTGTCCGGAATCTCCAGTATCATCATCAGCGCGATAGTGGTTGTCGTATTCGGCGCTTACGCGGTTGTAAAACATTCATGGCTTCAATTTCAGGTTTTTTTCACGACAGGCATGCCTTGAAAAGGACTTACTTTGGCAGCTGCATTCGGAGAAACCCTTGGCGCCCGGATTGGAGCTGGATGGCACCGGAATTTGGCTCGCCAACTGCAGGCGACGTCTAGTTGCATTGCGACTTTGGATGGCCATGGCTTGTGATAGAAAGAGGCTGCACATGTGGCTGGCACGGTCCGCTCCACAGGAGATGCAATGGACCTGTCTCATACTGACAGACAAACGTGATTCTTTCTCCAGGTACCACGCTGGCTGTTAAGCAACGGCGTCCGGGAGCGTTATTTCCTGGTAATCCAATCGGGCCTAGTGCGAGACTAGCTGGTTCACTCTAACCTTGCAGCTCTTGATCTACACTCGCTCGTTTGGGTCGTCCAACAGAAGCCTCGCAATCGTGCCCCTACGATTGCCGACCTCGCTGGATTCTGTGTTTGTCGTACGCTCGTTTCACATGGCACAGTCGCTCTTCTCTCCAATCACCTGCGCCATCAGTCAACTCACCCGCAACCACACAATTGGAATCGCACGCGCCAGTGGAACCATTGCGTCAAAGCTCTGGACTGCTACCTCCACGCTCACATCGCACAGCGCTCGGATCCGTGCCTCTCGTCTGTCCGTTGCCGGCGCAGCGCCCACTGTCGCCAACAATCCGCCTACGGAGAGCATATCAAAGCTGTCGGCAGATCTATAGTTGGGGACGACGACTGTAACTGGCTCAGGTCGTACGTATTGCGGAGAGCTGTGAAGTAGGTTAGACTGGTGACGCGCAGTAGGCGTGCGTCCAACGAAAAGACACCATGGACCCACCGCAACGAGCTGCCTCTTACACATCATCGAAAAGGTCGCAGCCTGGTAGTCCAGGATATCCCGAGCAGTATGGGAGGTCTGGATCAAGCCTGTCGGCCGACAGAGCTGCAGCTTCAATTCGCGCGGTCACGGGGGAAACAGTGACGGGCACTCCAGACGCGAAATCGCCAGTTCATGGGGGACTATCTCATCAAGGCCAATCAGACCTTACATCAATCTCGGCATTCGACTTCGCAATCCCTGATTCTAGCCACCCGCAATCTCCGTTGCAGGTGACATCGACAGCCTCCTCAAGCCGTCGAACATCTTCACCAAGTGGCAGTGATGGGCTCCTCGCAACTGTGAATACCAATGCAAGTGGCTCATTGGCACGATCATCTGCAAGTCCACCAGCATCCGTTGGTTTCACGCCAATGCGGACACCAAAACCTCCACCCGTCCCCCCAAGGCGACCGCAACACAAGAGCAGTCCAAATTTGCACGGTCTTGCCGCACGCTCATCCAGTAGTCCAATGACATACAACGATCTTGGAGCAGACTACACACGATACTTCAGTCCCTTTTCCGACAATAAACAGAGTTCCTTGCCCGAGATGCAAGAAAGCACACCCAACGCCAGCACACGTACCCTTGGGATTACCACACCGCTTGCTACGATACACCCCACAAACCCTTTCTTGACACCAAACGCCTCCACGACAAGAGTCAACAGTCTTTACGACCCTGAGAAGAATGTTTCCGTCATTGACGATCGGCTGATCGCCCCGTATGAGGAGAAGGGCATGGCAGCTTGGCCACTCATCGGAGACAAAGATGAAAGCGACGATGAGATGCATATGCCACGAGAGGATGATGACATCAAGTACAAAGCAAAGCTGAGCGACCATTTCAACAGGGACAGTATCGCCTCTACCATAGGCCTGGCGATCATGATAGTCGGGCTTCTCTTCATCTTCATTGCGCTCCCTGTCATGTCTTTCACTGGCGCAATCGAGTACAACTCTTCGTGGGGCAAGCCATTCTGGGCGGCAAACATCTACAAAGCCGAGGCATGGGCTCACGTAAACGATGTGAAATATCCATTCATTCAAAACATCCGCACTGGCCTAATCGACCCGGACACACCAAAGTCTGCAATGAAGAGGAAAGGTGAGTATGGCGATGAGTACGAGCTCGTTTTCAGCGATGAGTTCAATGTTGAAAATCGTACATTCTACGAAGGGGACGACCCATACTTCTATGCTGGCAACTTCTGGTATGGAGCAACGCAGGATCTCGAGTGGTACGACCCTGATGCAATCACTACACGCGATGGCACCTTGGAGATCCGCTTGGAAAGAACTCCTAATCATAATCTGAGATTCCGTTCGGGCATGCTCAATAGTTGGAACCACTTGTGCTTCAAGGGCGGCATCTTCGAGGTGTCTGTATCTCTTCCAGGACCTCCTGGTGTTCACGGACTGTGGCCTGGCGCGTGGACTATGGGCAATTTGGGTCGACCAGGCTACTTGAGCACTACCGAAGGTTTGTGGCCGTACACTTATCAGGCATGCGACGTTGGCATCACGCCGAATCAATCGAGCTACGATGGACTTTCGAGTTGCCCGGGACAGCGCCTGCCATCTTGTACGTGCCCGGGCGAAGATCATCCTACCCCAGGTAAAGGCAGAGGCGCACCTGAGATCGACATCATCGAGGTCGGCGCCTCCTGGGACGCGAATCATCTGCCAGTTGCGACACAGAGTTACCAAGTCGCTCCGTTTGACCTTTGGTGGTTCCCCAACTACAACTATACGGTCTATCCTGATTATACCCTCAGCTATCCAAACAGCTATACAGGTGGCCCCTTCCAGCAAGCCCTGTCTGGTACCAGCAATCTGAACAAACAATGGTTCGACGGTATCCAATACCAGCGATACTCGTTTGAGTATGTGCCTGGAGAAGGCGAAAAAGCGTACATCAACTGGAAAGTGGGCGACCTGACGATGTGGACGCTAGACGGTCGAGCCATTGGACCTAATGGCAACATCGCAGCTCGTCAGATATCAGAAGAGCCAATGTCGATGGTCCTGAACTTGGGTACAAGCCACGCATGGGCAGCTTTCGATGACGCCGCTCTGCATGATGAGTACATCATGCGCGTCGATTACGTGCGCTGGTATCAGAAGAAAGGACATTCGATGGTTACATGCGATCCGCCTGGGTTCGAGACGACCAAGTATATCAGGGACCACATCAATGCCTACACAAACCCCAACTTCACAGTAAGTACCCTACCTACATCTAAACTGGACCGTTGGCTAATCGCACGTAGAAATGGGATGAAACAGGCCATGCATGGCCGAAGCACAAGCTCAATAGCGACTGCAATGGCAAAAATCCTGCCGGCTCTTGAACGCTCTAGATGGCTGAACGCCTACAGGTTCGAAAGTCTACTTCTTGCATACATTTGATATGCGCTTCATGTTCTTCGCATGTATCATACAGAGATTCCGGGCACGTCGTCCAAAGGATTGTTATCTCGAACGCACGCTACACAGAGCGTGAAATTTCCTCTTGTAGCTCAGTCGTGGCTTCACAGAGAATATGGCAAGGAGAATAAGGCAGGAAAAGTCCTCAGTCGGCACGATGAGCTTTACTTCTGGCGTCAGGTGGTACGTTCTGGATGGCCGATAAGTATTTCCACGATCCGAAATGAAAAGGCTGACACACTGTTTTCGCTTTAGCATCAGTATTGATAGCGCAAAAGAACTAGTAGTTTCTCGTTCTCATCCCATGTGCAATCGTTGTGATGTTCTGTCGACGTTTGAAGGATGTGCTGTCAACCTTTTTCTTTTCCACCAGCTCTCCACCCCTCGCCACGCATTCACTAACTCCCCGAACTCCAATCGGTAATGCATCAAGATAGCCCGCAATGGGATTTTGGTCTAATCTCCGGACCAAGCATCAGGCCAAACAACATGTCCGCAAGCTCGTCACTGCCGCCCTATCTACCGAAGAGTGCCCGATCCCTCACTGGGACGACGTCTCCCGCATCGTCTCAGACACCCACGCCCTGCTCAGCAAAGTAGCAAATCAACTCCCACTTGCCAAAGACCGCATCTTGCAGGGTTACAGCACTATCATAAACCGGGGTCCCGCCCACACGGCCTGTGAAGAGGAAGAGCAGTTTGAGCAGCGCTTTGTGATGTTGCAGAACGTTACGATGAAGATTCAGTCGCTGAGGGCGGATATTATGGTGTTGGAGAGGGAAGTGGTGAGGGCGAGAAGGGAAGGAGAGGGGCCCGACGATGGGGCCCGACAGGAGTTTGGGAATTGAGTTGGGTGGAGTGTATGAGGAGGCTGAGGGCGCGAGTGGGAGTGAATTTGAGGAGGTTGGAAGAGCTGTAGGTGATTTGGAGTTGACATAGGCTCACGTAAACGTTGTCCCCATGTGCTGCGTGCTGTCTTGTTGTTGTAGTCGATGCTCAACGGAGTGTAGTCATCTTATGACTTGGCGATAATGCTATCATTACATCTCTGAGCTGTTGTCGATCATGACCAAATCCTGCTGTTCTTGGATAAAAAGGCCTGTCTTCTCTTCTTCTTGCTTCGCTTGTATCTCACATATCATCCACCACTCTAGCTCTTACTTTAGGTCTTCTACTCCAACTTCACTACCACAACGCCCTGTCTACATGTACAATCCTGACCTAGACCAATCTAACATGTACCGCGAACACCCAGGATGGTCTAGCGCACATCTCGCGACCCTGCGACGCGATACAAATCAGCTCTTCATCAGCGCCGATCGGGAACTGCAACGAGTGGATAGACGCACTCCGCTCTACAGATACAATCTGCGCATGTCCCAAGACTCACAAATCCGAAGAAAGTGTGAAGAGACTATGCAGCGTAACTCACGAGAGCTAGCATACCAGAGAAACCTGTTGCAAGATACTGAGGGAAGAGCTGAAAGGCTGGCGAGAGACGCAATGTATGCTAGGGCTAGGGGTTTTTCGCCATATGAACCTCCTGTGGGTGCATTTGCTGGGAGTCAGACGATGCTGAGGAGATATGAAATTTTGAAGGGGGATTTGGAGGGTTTGATTCTATCTTTGCGGAATGTAAGTAGATGATATAGCTATCGATTTTCCTACGATTATGTTGGGGACATTTGGGGAAGTGAGTCGCGTGGTAGTTTTGAGGAAGCTGAGGGGGTTGGCGGAGTGACTATTAGAGGGTCTAGATGGGCTGCAATCGCTGCGTTTTGGGGCCAGATGAGGAACACAGTGTCACTACTGCTTGGTGCTGCTGAGTTGTTTTCGTTGAGTTGTTATTGTCGGAAGTAAGCAGTGCACGTAGTCAATGCCATCTCATTCTTGAGTTGTCGTTCGTATCACGCGATCTCACTATTTTTGGGGTAGGAAACAAAGCCCGTAAAAGAATTGGCGCGTGATGATCTTACAGCTGTTGCAAAGGCTACACACAGCAGATTAATTCAGAACTATGTACTGAGCTGTAAAGAAGTGAACGCACACTCATGGGCCAAACACCCGCCTTGTGTCACTGCGCGTGCCATCTCGTTGTGGTAATTGAATTGTATCGCAAGCGTCCTTTCACTTCACCACCCCTAACCCAACGAAACTTGCGTCGCGTGCAAGAAGATACAACCCCATAAATCGACACCAGCAAAAATCGAACGCGCGCCCCCACCCTGAAGAAGGGGCCCCTTATTCCAGGTGGGGGCTGGTGGAGGGAACGATTCCCAAGTGCGCAAACCCCGGGCCCGAAATCTGCGCACTTGTACCACGTCGCGGACTCAACATACAGTTGGGGTCAGAAGGTCCACGCTCTAGGGTGAAAGGATCTTTGATTAGGCGGTATACAATGAGGTCGTTGAAATGTGATTTGTGTTTTGGTGAGGGGGCGGTGCTGTGTGCGTTGTTATGGGTGTTTGTTGGTTGTCGTGGTGTGTTGTATCTATTGGCATTCACCTTGAGTGCGGCAGTGTTGGGATGGGGTGAGCGACAATTTTCAGGTTACTGGTCGATGGAGCGAGGAGGATTGACAGATATAGCAGTCCAATGACTACAATTGCTGTAGAGCTGCTTTTTATCATCTGTGCAGACTCTTTCCATCATCATTGAACGCAGCTCTTGCTGCATCTGCGCTGTATGCGTGCTACTGGTCGTAAAAACCGATCCATGTATTTCTGCAGCAGCCACGAGCGTTCCAGGGTATCATATCAGGTTAAAGCCCTCGCTCTTGAGCGTTCCCGTTCCTTGGCCAGATTCTTGAGGTGGCGAGCCGGATTTCTGGCTTCTATCAACTCCCGCGCTCCCAAAGCGAGGCTCGAACTGATGTCCATTATACTCTCCATCCATCCAACCGTCGGGATAGCAGTCTCCTACGAGTTTCCAAGTGTCTTCGCCCGCGCTTCTCAGGAGGAACGGCGTTTCGGCGCCGTCGAAAATAACCACTTCGTCATGTTCTCTCATCCACTACGGTCCTGTACCCATGTAACCTGAGCTCGTCAAGAAGAACACACGCTGTTGGAAACTGCGGGTTATGTTTTCTCCGTATGGCAGCTCTAGAAAACGAAAATCGAGACCTCTTCCGTAATATTGAACGTCCGCTCGAGCTGCCATAAAGTTCAGGTTGATGGTTCGGCAAAAAGCAAGTTTGAACTCTTCCTCTGAGCAATGGGAGCCGGCTGTATTGGGCATGAGATCTCGTGTATACATATTGCGTTGGAAAGCGTGCGAGAGCCCTGGATTGAAAACAGATGTCCGGCTTGTAGTCAAACTATCAAGGGCGTCGACAAAGTCGTCGATGTGGCCTACAGTATCCACCCTGTATAGACACCAATCCGAGGATCGATGACTTTACAAACTACTTTCGTGCAATCCCAGCACGATACCGCGGAGTTTCAAAGCCACCAAGGGGTAGGGCCGATGTTGCTGAGACCCTTTGAGTAGTGACGGAACGAATGATGGATAAGAGCTTTAAGAGGAGCTGAGACTAGAGACATCTGCATCATGAAGAACGGCAAAGTCCCCGGCCAGCAAGCTTTTATTCGCAAGATCCTGGCGCACTTCAGCAAACTCAAATTGTAATTGGGTGCAATGTCCAGATAGCTTTCCGGAAGTCCCAAAGCGGCATAGACCTTGTCTCGCTCATCAGCGCAGTCTCTATTGACTAGTACCCTACACCATCGGTACAGAGATGTCCTCAAGACAGGATGTGAGCGAAGTCCCAAGCCAGGACACCATTTATCTCTTGCCCAAAACGCAGCTTCCGAAGGATAGTATGCATTTTCTGGTCTTGCCTCTCGCACTTGAAATAACTCGAAGACCATTTTAAAGTGCCGAAAGTAATCGAGTTCAAATCGGAACCTAGGATTGGTGCCACTCCGGAGGCAATGCTTGACCGTGGTTCTTTGCAGAAGTTGTTCATAGTCTTCAAGTATTTGCAGCACAGATGCGAACGTTCGATATGCAAGACTCCCTTCTGGACCCATGAAGAGTTTTATTTTTCGAGCCAGTACGAATTCCTGTACCACTCACATTCGTACAAACCATGCTGTAGCGAAGAAATTGCCGAGTGTGTACACATCACAGTATCGTAATGATTTTTCGTGACGATGTGCGATAATGGAACTCGTGATGGGCGATATGGGGCGTTTGTATGCAACTGACAGATTGCAAAGATTGCGTCCTGCCGCTTCACCTGATCTATGGTACACGGCATGCTCTCTTTTCTCTCTTCATCGCAAGATGATGTCAGATTGGCCAAGTAGTGAGGTGTAGCATGTTGCCTGTATTGGTTCGACGTGCATCGATCGGGTTATGAAAATCGAACGATGTTGGTGAGCAAGTGAACGAGAGTGGAGTGGCAATGATATGTTACATCAACTTGATCACTTTGGTGTCGTGGTGATGAAGACATGCCGGTCACGACCAAGCTACAGACCCTGACTCGTAAGCTCCGCCATCCCCGACATGCGGCAACAGCTCCAATCCACGCCCAAACACGCCCTACGTAATCCTCCACACCCAACGTGCGCCCTGGACTCCTTCACCCTCACACTACACAATGGCGCCCCATCGGATCGAGCAGGACGAAATCGAAAAGTACTGGGAGATTTTCAGTTCGCTGTCGCAAGGCGGCACGCACCTCGACGGCGCCCAAGCAGCTCCCGTGCTCAAGAACTCACACCTAAGGGACGACCAGCTCGAGCGCGTGTGGGACTTGGCAGATGTCGACAATGACGGCAAGCTGGACTTTGAGGAGTTTTGCGTGGCTATGCGGTTGATCTTCGATTTGATTAATGGGGTGAGTTATGTCCAGCTGACATGGCTACCATTCACATACGGAGGCTTGGTGAACTAACACGTGATACTAGATATCAGTAGACGTCCCAAAGACACTCCCAGATTGGCTCGTCCCCGAGTCCAAAGCCCATCTCGTCCAAGCAACCCGCGCCCTCTCCGGCTCACAAACCGCCTTTGAGACCGTCGAAGATGACGACGATACACCCGGCCTCCGCGATGGCTTTGACTGGTACATGTCACCTTCAGACAAGTCAAAGTACGAGGAAATATACACGGCAAACCGCGACTCACACGGCAACATCGACTTCGAAGCCCTCTCCGGGCTATTCGAGAGCCTCGACAACGTCCCAGACTCCGACGTTAGGTTCGCCTGGAATCTAGTAAACCCCAAAGCACGCGAAAGCGTCGGGAAAGACGCATGTCTCGCATTCCTACACATCCTCAACCAGCGAAGCGAAGGGTACCGCGTCCCCCGCAGCGTCCCGCCCTCCCTCCGCGCGTCCTTTGAGAAAGCACACATAGACTACGACGTTGAGCGCGCCGGCTCTTCACGGTGGGTGGCATCGTCCAACGACGACACGACAACGGGCCGCAAAGCAAAGTTCGGCGATGCATACCTCACGCGCCTGGGTGTTGGTGACCGCGCAGCCAACTACGGTGCGCGCGCCAAGGGAACGGATTTCGGCGGCCGCACAACAGAAGACTGGGAGGAAGTGCGGCTGAAGAAGCAATTGCGCGAGCTGGAGACGAAGATCTCGGATGTGGAGAAGGAGGCGGAGAACAGGCGGCACGGGCGCAGCAAAGACAGCAAGCCTGCGCTGGTCAAGCGCGAGCTGGAGATGCTGCTGGACTACAAGCGCAACACATTACGCGATCTGGACAACGACGAGGGAGGGGCGGTCAAGGGGCTGGGTGGGATCAGGGAGGATATTGACATTGTCAAGGAGCAGGTTGATGGCCTGCAGAGCCATTTGTCGAGTAGGCAGGAAGTGTTGGCAGATCTGAGGAGGCAGATTGATGACGAAAAGGCTGGGCGATGAAGTATCCATCACACGAGCTATTATTTCGCTGAATCAAATCAATCTCAACACTCAAAGTTCGTCATCATGACACTTTTGGAGTCGTTGGACATTTCGGGAGCTGTATCATCCCATGCTGAGAACAGCCAATAGCCAAGGCGCATGGCAATACATCCTTCAAACTCTGCCAGCCCACTGGTATCCAATGCAGCGACACAATTCCCATGAATGACTCGAATAGACATCGATCTGGTATCCGATAGCGATCTAGATCACTAGCGGTACCTTGCAGCGGATCCCTGTCCTACCCTGACGTCACGTACCTGAGGCAACAAAATCATTTGGCGCGCACTTTTTTTGAACTTCAATTGCGAGCGGTAGTTTGACCGTCCTCAGTTCAATCTCAATCATCCAGAAGAATGTTAATCGCGTTGTTGCTGGCGACGCCAGCTCTTGCCTTGCCTTCGTTCTTCTCGTCGCAGCAAGCACCAATTCATGCCGAGGACCATTCGCAGGGATATAAGTTCGATCCACTGCTGCATCTTCCAGGAACGTCACCCTACTTTGATGCCGTAGGGTTTGGTCTGAAGCACAAACCGCCAGCGGGGTGCAATGTTACCGCCGCATCATACATCATTCGACATGGCGCTATCTACGCAGTACATCTCACTCTACTCTCCGCGTACATCCGTTATACTAACACTCTTAGAACGACGATGAATATGAAGAATATATCAAGCCCTTCCTTTTCAAACTCGAGAAGCATCGCCAAGGCTGGTCCGGCCCGCTCTCGTTTCTGACCAAATGGCAATCGCCCATCCTCGAAGACCGGCTCGAAGAACTCACACCCTCCGGCGCCCGCGATGCTGAAAAGGTTGGCAAACACCTCCTCGAACGCTACCCGGAGCTCGTGCCCAACACGACGCGCATCCTCGCAGACAAGAAGAGCAGGACATACGACACAGCAACAAACTTCACAAAAGCGTTTCCCCAGGACCAAGAAATCGAGGTCGTGCGGGTGACCGAGAACAAAAACGGCAGCATGGAAAGCCTGATCCCGCACAAAAGCTGCGACAACTTTAACAAGAAGCCCGGCACAAAAGAACAACACAAGTTCATCGATGTCTACGGCTCCAGCACATCCGCCCGCCTCGCGCGCTGGTCCCCCTTCAAACTCACCCCCAAGGACGTCGTCGGCCTCCAATCCCTCTGCGGCTACGAATCCGCCATCCTCGGTGCCCGCAGCCCCATCTGCGCCGTCTTCACCGACGCGGAATGGATGGCGTACGAATACCACTGGGACCTGAAATATGCCTACATGGTCGGCCCCCTCAACCCTCTATCCCCCTACCTCGGCTTCCCCTGGCTGCAAACCCAAGCCGAGCTCTTCGCACATATAGATACGCACTCGACGCCCGGTGGATCTTGGCCCGATCCCCAGCGCTTCTTCCTGTCCTTCACGCACCGCGAAGTCCCGCCTTTTGTTGCCACCGCGCTCGGACTATTCAACTCCTCCTCCAGCGCGACGGAGGAGTTTCCCACTGACCACATCAACTGGACGCGCGCGTGGCGCATGTCCGACCTCATCCCGTTCCTCGGGCACGTGGGCATGGAGAAGATGAGCTGCGAGCGGGGAGACGCGGAGGCGGGCGAGTATGTGCGGTTCATTGCGAATACGGCGCCGCGGCCAATTCCGCAGTGTCAGAGTGGGCCGGGGGCGAGTTGTCCGTTTGAAGAGTTTAAAGAATTCATCGGCGAGGGAGCCAAGGCGCATGAGGATTTCCACAAGGTGTGTGATAAGAAGGGCAAGCAACATGCCGAGGGTGTGGAGTTGTAGACATGTAGAAATCTAGAGAAATGGGGCATATTCACTTTTCACCAATTTTTTTCCCCTTTCCCCCTGTTCCTTCCCCTTTCCCCTGTTTCCTCCGCCTTTCGCCAAAAAGGAGCCTTGATACAAAGAAGGATCCTTGGTACCTTCCTAATCCCGCAATCAGCTTTCGGAGTGTCGATTATAGTAAAGTTTTACACTGCTTCCCGTAACGCTGGAGACCTCTAGGAATCGTACAGCTTGACGGCACAACACACAGATTGCACGGCATGTAGGTAAAGGCGGTAAAGACAGGGGTTTATTACATGTGATGACAGAGATCAATTTGTGTAATTCGTAGTTCGAAGTAGATATACCATGCGTGTCATCCATTCGCCTTCCACCGCTAGTGCGTCTCCGTCGTCATCCGCGTGGGCATCGTCTCTCTCTCTCCAACTCTTCTGTTGCGAACTCGGATGTCCGAAGGGTTGTCTGGCGTATGCGATACTCACCGTGAAGACTGTGCGGACTGGCCACATGTAGCGCTTGTCATTCATGGATGAGGAGCTGATAGTCATGCCTCTTGTTGAACAGAGGCAGTAACCTGGAGGAGTTTCGCTCCTCTGATGGATACCTACCTTGATGAGGTGTCTTCGTCCTGAGACAATGCTCGCCAATGTCAAGGCTCAATGGATGTTCGTTGTAGATGCTAGCGGTAGCATCAAGTATCGATGATCACGTCCTGTCGTCAGTCGCCCAATGCGGGCCTCGTGGTTAGCCGAGTGATTACAGGCGCTGTAAGTCGAGCGCAGATATTTCATAGTGACTTGATGAGCTCGAGACGTCATGGATCAGTGCGCTTGGTTTCACTTCGACACTGCCGCCGGTTTTGAAGCGGCGTTGGCCCGTCGTGATAGTAGCACCGCAGATCCAGATCGACTCGGCAAAGGAGAGGAACGAGAGTCGGCATACCAGTTGACGTCTGAGAGTTGTAGCTTGCGAGCACGCTGGTTGCTGCGGTTATGCCCAGCCTTATCGAGGCGCGGTTGCGCGTAGGGATTTGGAGTTTTGTCCAGACCTTTTGATGTCTCAGTATGCTTTCGATTTGCGTTAGGTTGAAGGGTGTAATGAAATGGTGAATTACCAGGCTCTTCGCCGTCATCGCGAGCTTCGTTGTAGTTCAAGACGAGGCTCTTGATGCGCTGCTGTTCTTCCTTGTCGGCTTGCTGCTTGTTGCGCATGGCGACAGCGAATGTCGAATCTGATGGTAAATCGATGGAACGCGTCTGCGTCTTGTTTCCGCGCTTGCTGAGCAGCGAGAACTTGACTGTGTTAGATGGCATGACAGGGGCCACAGGTGCTTCGTTGCCGCTATCTTCGGCATTGACGGTGGCTTCCCTAGCACGGCGCATTGGGAGTGGCACGTCGAAGACAGGCTTGCGCTCGAACTTTCGCGACTCTGCACTCTCAGACATGAGCTTGGCAAGCTCACGGTCGAACTCAGCGTCAGCCTCGGGGTCGCGCTCATCCTCAGGACGTGTGACGATGATTTGCTCCTCTTCGTCGTCAGACAGAGCCTGCTTTGGTTCATCATCATCAGATTCCTGTTCAACATGTCAGTATTGCGATTGCAATTATGGAAAGGAAAGATAAAGACCTCTTCGGAGTCGCTGGACGAGTCGTCTCCCTCACCGTCTGGCATCACCACATCTTCGTCCTCAGGACCGTCAAGCTCGTCATCCGATGCAGACGCATCCTCGTCCTCCGGCTCGACTGGCTTATCGGCCGCAGCAGTCTGGTAGTTTTGCTTGACAGCCTCACCAAATGCTTGGGATGCCTCCTCCAGATTGGTGATCAGCTTCCATTGTGGTCGAGTGAGGTTGTACGCATCCTGCACAATGAATTCGACATCCATCGGCAGAGCGTCCTTGGTGCAGACGTAGTATTGGAAGTAAGTCAAGAAAAAGTCAAGCTTCTTCTTCGCCGCACCCTTGTCGTAGTACATGCCGCAGCTCTCGAGCAGATTGCAGACCAGTCGAATGCGGAAGTAGTCGTCTGATTGGTCCAATGGATTATAAAGACCTGGACGGGCATAGCCGCCCTCCCAGCCATAATTGAGCAGCTTGTACAAAGTGTCGAAGACGAGAGGAGAGTCCACGAGACGGTAGATGTACAACTCGCCTAGGTACTTGACTTCGGCAATCCGACGTTGATTAAACTTGAAGTCATTGAGCTCCAAGCCGAACGTGATCGACTCAAGAAGGTCGTCGATGACTGAGATGCCGAAGTCTTGGTGATACCGATGGATCGTGCCAAGAATGACGGCCAGCAAGTGAATATTGCTGTACTTGATCTTGCCAGGCTTGGCGAAGACCTTGTGGAGAAGGTTCACAATGTCATCCTCCTCCCAATGCATCTTGCGGATCTGCTTAACAGTCTTGTCGAGTGTCCGGCGAGTGAGATCCTGGTACATGATCTTGCGCAAGAACAGCTCGATCGGCGTTCGCTCTTTCTGCTCGATAGCGGCGCGCTCGGGAGGATTAACGTAGTAGACAGCGTTTTCGATAAGCATACGCTCCTGCTGTCCGAGCACCTGGGCACTCTTCTTCCGCTGTAGCGTCTCCAAGAAAGAAGCCATGCGAGGCGAAGTTTCCGGGTTACGAAGCAGGTATCGACCGCAGTTCTCCAACAGGTTGCAGATGATCTCGATGTTCATTCTGGAGAAGTCGTCTAAGCTGACCTTGAGGCAATGGAAGATGACATGCTCAGGCACAACGCCAAATTTGGTCAGCTCTGCAAGATATCGCACGTTCTGTGTTCGGACCTGGCCGAGGAAATCCTTCGACTTGCGCCGCTGGAGACTGCGGAATTCGTCATCGAGGTACGATACTAGACCCTGGGAGACGTCTGGCATGTATTTACTCAGCGTTGCAATCAGTCTGGAGTAGATTGGCAGCAAGTCTGAGCGACCTTTGGGAATCTCCTGGACGGCCTTGATCAAGCGGTTGCGAGAAGCCTTGGAGTTGAGAAAGCCAAAGTCCATGGCAGCCTGATCAACTGCATCCTTGGTGTTGAGCTCGGGAAGTCGGGCGAGAATCGCGTCGACTTGCGCACCCACGGATTTGTTGGCAATAGTGGTGGACTGGTCGTCGGCTTCGGCAGACTTTACTTCGGCAGAGGGCTCCGCTACATCCTTCTCCTTTTCGTTCGCTTCCGTCTTCTTGCCTACTTGAGTCATCGCCATCTGGTTTCTTCTTCTTTGCGTCTTCAAGCAAGACGATAGGAACGCGATCCTTCAAATCGATCAAGTTCTCGTAGAAGCGGCGTTCGTCCTCATCTTCCCAGATGCCTGGACCGTCGCTTAGGCCACGCAAGTATTCGCCCGTCTTGACTAGCCCAATGGCGCCGTCGCCCGTGTTGGCAGCAGTATCCTTTTCTTTGAGATCAGGCATCTCCACGCCCAGCGCATCTGCCAAGACCTGTCCGTTGCCAATGAGACGCTCTTGAGCTTTCATCTGTTTCTCGTAGTTGGACTGGCGATCTTCGAACACCTCACCAGACTTGACGTAGGCTTCGGCATTCTTGCGACCCTGGCTGAGGATGTGCTTCTGGTCGCGCAAAAGGTGGGCCTTGACATCTTCGAAGTAACGCAGCAAGACATTCTTGAAGCGCTGCTGCAGCTCAGATGAGATGATCGGGGGGTCCTTGCTGACCTGCTCATCGCTTTCCGAAGCCGAGTTCTCTTCGTTTTTTGCAGTGGTCGTGGTTCCATCCTCGTGGACGGTCTTTCGGCCCTCGGCAGAGGCTGGCTTCGATCCCAGAATGTCCCAAGCGAAAGCTTTGACGAAAATAACAACCAGAGGTAGATTGACATGCTCACGGTCGTGTCCGAGCATGTCCTTCAACACTTCTAGGGGAAAAGGCTCCGCATCGGCATTCTCAGCGCGAGCGCGGGTCTTGGCAGGCCCTTCTACAAGCTTCCCAGTGTCCTTGCCCTTGCCTGCCTCTTCAGGTCTGGCAACGTCGTCGAGGCTGCGCAGCACTCCAACAAGCCATAGCTCGGTGGCTACACGCAAGAGCACGCGCTGCCGGGCGAGACGTTCCTTCTCTTCTCGGTCGCGCACCTCAGGCGACAATGTCTTTAGGTGAGACTTGTCAGGCGTGGCCAGGCCTCGTCCAATATACCAGCCAATATATCCCGTGAACTCGGTCGGGCCGAAACGCTGGTGAAGAGCGCTGACTATCTCGACGCCGGCGCCGATCTCGCCGGGAGTCTTGAGCTTGCACAGACCCTCATAGCAGGCCGAGATGATCTCAGAGAGGTATTTGTGGAGTGACAGGCTGCGAATTTCCTGGATGAACTGGGCTTGGGAGGCGGCGTTTACGGCGGTTCGGAGGCGCTTGATGAAGGCCGTGTTCTTCTTCATGGACGAGTCGAGGGAGCCTTGCACGGCGAAGACATCTGCGGTTTATCAGTATAGGCTATTGCGGGGACATTTTGGGCGTCGTACCCTGCTCGCCGTCCCATGCTTTGAGGTTGAGCTCGCGAAGCTCTCCTGTGCGCTGTTAGTATTGTTCCCGGCTGTTTAGGTGTCTACGCACGCTTCCGGTGCCTCTCCATGGCGGAGTAGGTGGTTCCGCAGCTGTGGAGGGGCGGCGGGTGATGGCGCAGATCGGTTATGATACGCGCACATGGAATATCGGGATTATGTCAGGCGCGGCTTCGGGGTGCATTTGATCGAGCGCGGTGGAGGCAAGCTCGCAAGTGAGCCAGATTGTTTGCGCAGTGTTGGGGGCGCAAGGGAGGGGTGGTGTCGTGAGTTGAGGTTTGTGAAATGCGCTGCAGGTACGCACTTGGCTATCGGCGCGTCATATTCCGCGGACGCTCCCATGGTTCTTCGTACTAAGCGAACCATCTCTCCGAGGTGCTCAACCGCCACCTCTGCTTTCACTCTCACTCTCACCACCATCAGACTTCATTGCATGGCTGCAGTGTGGATCTTCATTGGAAACCTAGCAAACCTAGCCGGGTATCCAGCGTGACACAGCATAACGTCCAGACATTGCGACCCCGCAGCATCACCGCAGATGCGAAAGACATGCTCCCCAGGCATGACCTGTTCGGGCGTCATATGAGGTCAATTTACCTTGAACCGCCACTACAGCTGGTCCATGTCCAAAGCTTATGTAGCATTCTTATCATTCACAAGGTTCACGGAAAGGGCCGGGTGGGAGGTGCGGGTAAGGAGGTGGTAAACACATTTCCAGGGTTCCTAGCAAACATCGCGTTGCTGCCAGAACTGGTCATGGACGAAGACCACACAATATCGGTTGAACACGATTGACGATAAGCAAAAGTCTAAATAGTCCCTTTGGAAAACGCGCAGAGCTTCCCCCCAGGCGGCCGGGACGTTGCATATGTCCGCAGGGCTACAAAAACCACGAACCATCGCGACGGGACAGCTAAGACAGCATGTGCACTGTCACTGGGCAGCCAGCAGTGGCACGCGATGATGTGCATCTTGAAATAACCTGGCATTCTCAGATGGTGCGTTGTACCAGTCACACAACATTGAAAGCATCGTGGTGCCGTTCAAGCTTCAGTGACAGCTGTGGAAACCCGGCCAAGTTTTCAATGGCAAAGGCACGACCAATCGCCAGCCCACAACCATCGCTTTCAGGTCTCAGCGTCTGCAGTCTGTGTAGCGATCCTGCCAAGCAAATAGTAGCAGCCACAGACCCGCGCAGTCGCGAAAGTGGGAAGCCATGTTGACAGGGGTGAAATCCTTGTATTGTTTTATGCAGAAATTTTGCCCTTGGAAAAGTGGTCTTTTAGGATTCCCTCGCCAAAAGCCAGCGGTTGAGATGAGCATTCGAGGCTTGTCTGTTTGCATACAAAGTTCAGTAAACACCGCCGGTGTGTATGTAGTTCAGGGGTTGTGGAAGTGGCTTGGGGAAGCCGCATTTGCTAAGAAGATTTCGGCAAGCGTTGTTCGAACAGATGCCGAGCGCACAGCTGAAGCGTAGTCGTCCAAGTATGAGATGACATTTGTTATCGATTGCAGCCCTGTGGTGTTGATCGGAAAAGGATCCGCAATGGTCGCCAGCCAGCCGCAGTCTTGGATCTCATCTCGTTACCGGAAGATCACCACTGTGTAGAAGCCTTGACTTCCGAGCTGCCGACTAGACTATCGATTAGAAGCGCCAAGCTGAGCCGCAGCACGGGTCGTGAGTGCTATCTCGGGCGTCTTCTGGAATAAATAAAGAGCAGTGGTGCAACATTGTTGGAATGCAACCGTGAGATAATAAGGTGCGGCTCAGCAAGGCGTGTAACAGAGACACTCGGCACGGCCAACAGATTTGGCTGGAGTTGGTTGGGCGCCTGCTCGCTGCACCCGGATGTCTCCACTGCGAACCTCGTATTTTGTCGAGCTTTTCTAGCGCTGGCAGCCTGCGGCGGGGCGACGGGCACAGCACGAGTGAGGAAAGGGGGCGGAATTACCATGACAGCCGGCGGGTGGTGAAGCTAGGCAGTCGGGAGGGGCCACTATGGTCATGGCCAGAAGCGCGTGCGCGGTACCATAGGCGCAAAGCGAGTGTCATATTGATGCGAGCGGTATACCAGCGAGTCGTGCGACGCCCCTGACATCCACCATGCGAGTCCAGCGAAAGGCGCTTGGCGGCGCAAAAGGAACAAGCGGCTCCAAAGGCGAGATTCGTTCTCCTCATGATGCCATGCGCACGTCGGCCTGCATATATGCTGCAGACAGCCAGGAATAACTCCGTGCCCACCCGGTGGAGGCGACATGTCGATTGAAAAGTGATCTTCTCCGCATCCCATGTCGGATCAGCAGGCTCGGCGAGACTGTCAAACGTGCAAACAAATACCCGCGGTTCGCTAGAGATGGGTAAAGTGGATTCGTAAACAGACTGAGCACGGAGACTACAGACTCTCAGACATCCAACGGCAGGCGGCGCATGGAGGCGCCCAAAATAACCGTCCAACTGCTGTGGGCTAGCCCGGGATGGAATGAATGAAACAAGGAGGCCCTTGCTAGGCTCTCGCTTTGGTAGAGGTGGAGCGGTCTGCCTCCCCAAAATGGCGGCGCTGCCCCTGTGACGATCGTGCCGTGGGCGCATCCTTCCTTTGACCGCCAAGTCGCACGACCGCCATTTGTGGTCCATTCAAAGCCCAGCACCGCCCGGCCTTCGCCCTTCAGTTAGTGGTCTCACAGCGAAATAGACAATTATTCCGCCGTCTCTTCCTGCGGCCTCAGTCAAGTCAAGTCTTGTCTTCACCATCCTTCCCCAGACTGGCCCTTGCGTTGGGCAGCGGAAGCATTTCCTGCAATTAATGACCTGAGTTTTTGGGACAGCACCGTACCTTCGTTTTCTTCCACCACCTACACTCGTTTACCCTGCCCTACTCGGCCGCACTAGATCCGCGAAAACCGTCGTTATCGTCGTCGACGCCCGCCATTTGCTCCCCGTACTCGGCTTCAGCAGCTCGCCTCTGCCCGGTACCTACGTCGATTATCTAGCGCTGTGCTACAGGCCTGCCTGCAAGCGTGTGTCGTGTCACCCGCACAGCGTCCGCCATCTTGGGACAGCACTCGAGAGCTCCGTTGCCTCATACCGCGCACGCCTCCCCATTACCGTGCCTTGCCTTATAGCCGGGAAGCCCCGCTGTCCACGTTTCGACTCCGAAACAACAGCTTTGCGACTGTCCACAATATACGGACCACAGTCGCTCCTGCCGACTCTTCTCCCTTCGCTCGCTCCCCCGCCTCACGACCTGGACGACAACATACTTGATACTCCAAAATGGGTGTAAACGAGATCGTGGGCCTCATGGCCCGCGAAGTTGCCAAAGACGGTAGCATTCCGCCCATCAATGCCCCGTGGGCGACCAAGGACGTGAGTGTATCGCTCCACCGTGCCAAGTGCTCAGACTGACCTCTGCAGATTGTCTACGTCTCCATCGTCGGCACTGTCATGCTTGCAGCCCTCCTTGAGTGGTTCTTGTGGGTTGCTGCCTTCCTGTACTGCATTGTCAAGGTCTTCCAGAAGGCCGAGACCATCAGTGTGCGCATTTTGTCCATCTTCTTCGGTATCCTCTTCTTCTGTCTTCGGTGAGCACACTCTGCTTTTTTGCTGCATCCTAGTCTAACACCGCCAGTGCCATTTTCTTGCCCATCATGGTCGTTACTCTGCCATTGCCTGCGCAGGTCGTGCAATACTTCCCCCAGGCCATGGTTGACTTCCTCCAATGGTTCGCTTTCTGGTCGTTCGCTGGTCTCCTCACCATTCCATGGCTGTTCTGTGTCTACCAGCTAGTCACCCACTCCGTCGGACGCTCCAGGAGGATCAAATCCGTTCTCGACGAGGCCTCAGCGCCAAAGGTCGTCATTGTTATGCCCTGCTACAAGGAGATTCCCGATATTCTCCTCCGTACCTGCGACTCGCTGGTCGACTGCGAGTATCCCCCATCCTGCCTCCACATCTTCCTTTCATTCGACGGTGACCAGGAGGACGAGCTGTACCTGAACACCATCGAGAAGCTTGGTGTGCCGCTTACCCTCGACTCGTACCCCAAGTCTATCGATGTCATCTACCGCAGCTGCCGTATCACCGTCTCACGTTTCCCTCACGGTGGCAAGCGCCACTGCCAGAAGAGAACCTTCAAGCTCATCGACAAGATCTACACCGAGTACATCAAGCGCAACGACAATCTCTTTGTGCTCTTCATCGACTCCGACTGTATTCTCGACAAGACCTGCATCCAGAACTTCATGTACGAGATGGAACTCAAGCCCGGCAGCAAGAAGAATATGTTGGCGCAGACTGGTGTCATTACGTCCACAACTGAGAAGAACTCGCTCATTACCCTCCTCCAGGATATGGAATACGTTCACGGTCAACTTTTCGAGCGCGTCTAGTCGAATCTGGCTGCGGTGCTGTTACCTGCTGTGCAGCTGGTGCGCTTACCATGTTGCGATTCTCTGCGTTCCGCAAGATGGCCAAATACTACTTCGCCGACAAAGCCGAGCAATGTGACGACCTCTTCGACTACGGCAAGTGCCATTTGGGCGAGGACCGTTGGCTGACTCACTTGTTCATGATTGGCGCAAAGGAACGTTACCAGATCACCATGAACACCGGAGCTTTCTGCAAGACCGAAGCCGTACAGGACTACGGATCTCTCCTGAAGCAGCGTCGCCGATGGTTCTTGGGTTTTATCACCAACGAAGTTTGCATGTTGACAGATATCCGTCTCTGGAAGCGCTACCCCATCCTCCTAATTGTCCGCTTCATGCAGAACACCATCCGAACCACCGCTTTGCTCTTCTTCATCTTGGTCATCTCGCTCATCACCACTTCTCAAAAGGTCGCCAATCTCCCCGTTGGTTTCATCGCCATCTCTCTTGGGCTCAACTGGCTTCTCATGTTGTACTTTGGTGCCAAGCTCGGTCGCTACAAGATCATGTTGTACCCCCCTCATGTTCGTTGTCAACCCCTTCTTCAACTGGGTCTACATGGTTTACGGTATCTTCACCGCTGGTCAGCGTACCTGGGGTGGACCTCGTGCCGATGCTGGAGCCGCCGACACCACCAAGACACCTCAGCAGGCCATCGAGCAAGCCGAAGCTGCTGGAGACGATCTTAACGTTGTTCCCGAAACCTTCAAGCAGGCTGCTGAAGCACAAAAGCACCGCCCCGCGCCCATTCCTCTCCAGCCCTCCGACGCTGTCGAGGGTCGCTTCGCCGCCGCCGAGAGACTGCCCAACGGATGGTACCAGCAAGGCAACGACTCTGGTCTTACTCTACCCAACACTATGCCACGCAACCCCAACGTTCCCAACGTCCCGCTACACCCCCGCTCTTCCATGGACTCCTTCACTTCTACCGGCACCTCTGCAAACAACTCCATCTACATGCCCCGCCGTGTCGAGAGTTTCATGGACCCAGAAGACGCTCGTATTTACCACAAGACCCAGCAGCAGCAAAAGCCCGCCGGTGGAGCCTACTTCGAGGAGGCACGCCAACAAGGAGCATCGTACGAAGTCGGCAACGGCTCTGGCAAATCGCCATATACCGAGTCCGTCAACTCGCTCTCTGATGATTCAGTCTACCAGTCCAAGGGTCCTAGGAGGCCTTCTCAGCCACGCCACAACAGCGATGACGGCCACCGCCGTCGCAATGACCAAGCATACAACTCGCCTCTGTCGTCCGAGTACAACAACAGCGGCCTAGAAGCACCAAAAGCCTCATACGCCAACAACAACCGTGACGCCAACCAGCGTAGCGGACGCAGTCCTCTCGCACGCCAAAGCTACATCAGGACCGCGCCTGGTGAGGGCCACGAGATGGAGTTGCAAGCACCACAGGAGAGCAGCCTGATGCGCGACGCTTCCCCCGCACCACTCGGCCAGCCACAGATGCCCGCATCATCGAATCACTCCAGAAACGCATCGACTGACTCCAAGAAGCGGAAGAGGCTTAGCAAGGCTCCCCGCAAGTAAACGCCTCTCCTACTGTTATTCGAGATTTAAAGAGCCATCTACTTCACCAAAAAGTCCTCAGTGACGGCGTCGCATCATTTATTCACATTCATTTGGTCTTGCATTGGATACAGGCGTTCTCGAGCGGACAAACGTCCCCGATATTTCATTACCTGTACATATATTGAGTTCTGGTGGGATTACGATCACGATTGGATACACTCCTTTTATCTATCCTTGTGCCCCTATATGCTGGGCTGGACGGATGTATATGCGGATCGGAGGAAATCATGTGAAGGATACAAACGACGCAAATATGTAGTTTTTGCTTAATGTTAGTAGTCCCTAAGGGGATGAATTATATCACGTTACTACCTATATGCTTCTTCTTGATGCACGTGTCTATTGTGTCTGATACATTTCTTGATGCAGAATCATATGCTTCAACGCTACATGCTCACGGGTAAACTTGAAACTACTTCTACATACCAGAACGTCACCCATACACCAACCCCTCCACCTCCTCCGCAATCGCCAAACAACTCGTCAACCCAGGACTCTCAATCCCCAGTAGATTAATCAACCCCTCGTACCCCTCCTCCCTCCTAATCCAAAAATCCTGAAACCCCTGCCCGCTCATAACGGCCTTCTTCCCTAGCTTCGGCCGTATCCCGCAATAATCCAATTGCACCGCGTCTCTATCGATGCCCGGTAGATAGGCGGCGATGTCCTCGATTGCAGCCGCCATGTTGGCGATGTTGGGCGTGTAGTCGGAGGGACTATCCACCCACTCGACGTCTGGACCGAAGCGTATGCGCCCGGATAGGTCGAGCGTGAGGTGCGTGCCGAGCCCGCCGTGGCCGGGTATGGGCGCGGGATAGATGAGTGTAGAAGGCGCGGGGCGACTGGCGCTGTATGAGAAGTACGTGCCCTTTGCGTAGTATGCTTTTTTATGTCGGTCTGGTGGCATGATCATGTTGTTAATATCCACGGCGTACAGGCCCGCGGAGTTGATCAACGTCTCGGCGGTGATGGTGCTGGTTTGGTTGTCGGGCGACGTTGTGGTGATTTCCCATCCCCCCCGGCCGGAGTTTATGGGGGTGATGGAAGAGACGGGGCTGTGGAAGGCGCAGATTCCTCCGCTGTTTTCGAAGGCGCCTTCGAGGTGTTGCATCAGGCTGTGGGAGTCGACGATGCCTGTCGAAGGGGACTCGAGGACGCCGGCTTCGGCGCGGACATCTGGTTCTCTTCGCTTCGCCTCGTCCTTGGATAGGAAGTGTGTTGGTACGCCAATCGTCTTTGAAAATTCATGGACTTTTTGGATAGCGTCCATTTGCGTGGCGTCCTGCGCGACGATCCATTTCCCCGTGTTGCGATGCGGGATATTGTTTTTCTTACACAAATCATACAGCATTTCCTTGCCCTTCACACATAGTTTTGTTTTGAGCGAGTCGGCGCCGTAGTAGAGGCCTGCGTGGATGACTTCGCTGTTCCTGGAGCTTGTTTCTGTGCCGACGGAGCCGTGCTTTTCGATTAGGACTGTGGAGGCGCCATTGTGAGATTGTAGTTTGCGTGCGATTGCTAGACCTACAACGCCGCCGCCTATTACAGCGTGTGTGAAGTCGGCATTCCGAGATGTTGTGGTTGAGAATGATCTTGAGCTCAAACGGCGGGTTATTGATGGCGAAATAACGCGGGATGAAAACATGGCGGGTACACGGCCCTGGAATCGCAGGAGATGAAGACGGGATCAGAGCGAGAGTAGAGGTAAATAAAAATGAAGTTATGCAAGACAATTCGCGAAGACTGTTGTAGTGATATCCGTCCTTATCTGATGTTTCAATTGCTTTTCCGGTGACGTTGCCGAATGGCAAGAGCCGCTAATCCCAAAAGGGCTGCAGTACATTCTCTAGATGGCAACTTGCCGTGTGTATAGTAGCCCGATTCAGTATCTGGATTATACCGAGTGGAGACTGGGGACGAATAGCACTACCTGCAAAATTAGAAGCGTTGTGTTACACGACTACGCGCGAACAGCGTTCCTTCCCTCGGCCACAGTTCGGAGAACGTCATCGGCATTCGTAACAGCCGACATCGCCCGCAGCTTCATGACTTCGTACAGTCAATGCTATCATTCAACATTAGACGAGCATTTGCACAGTCCAGATCACTGAGAACATTCTCCAATCCGCAAAGCCGCTCCACATCAACCCTGATAGAGCGCATCAACAAAGTCACAATGGCCTCCCAACAACCCAAAGTCACCTCTCTGGTGGACCTCCCCTCCTCGGAAGCAAAATGGGTCAAGCTCCAAAAAGCGACCTACATCGACGCCAAAGGCAAAGAAAGAGTCTGGGAAATTGCCAGTCGCAAAACGACCGGCAAGTCTGGCGTCGACGCCGTCGCAATGGGGAACATCATCTACCACCCCACCAAACCACCGTCCACAATCATCGTCATCCAGTTCCGCCCGCCCGTCAATGCTTTTACCATTGAGTGGCCAGCAGGACTCATCGACGCCAACGAGACGCCGGAACAAGCCGCCGTCCGCGAATTGTACGAAGAGACGGGTTACCAGGGAAAAGTCGTGTCTTCGTCGCCAGCCGTGTCTGCGGATCCGGGCATGACGAGCGCGAACATGGTGCTGTGCATGGTTGAGATCCATTTGAAAGAGAACGATCCCGAGCCCGAACAGCATCTTGATGAGGGCGAGGATATTCAGCGCGTGAATATCCCGTTGGCGGATCTGTTTGATAGGCTGGAGGAGTTTGCAAAGGAGGGGTATGTGGTTGCGGCAAAGTTGTATCATTGGGCTGCTGGGGTGCAGTATGCGATCGATCATCCGGAGCTATTTAAGAAGATTGGAGAGAAGGACGCGGGTGCGTAGGTCTGCTTCATGGCGTGATTATGGTCGTGTTACTCGTACCGAGCACTTCGGGATCACGATTCAGGATTACATGTCAGTGTTACAATTGGATCTATATGACTATGGAAGGCATGTAAAAGACCACGATGTTAATCTCTTTCGTTTACATACCCATTAGTGATCACCGTATCCTTCAGCGCCCCTATCAGAACCCTCAATCGCTCCTGGCATTCGAACCAAGTCATTCCCTTCATGTCATCTCTAAGCACTATCGACAGCGTACCCAGCGGCGACGCACCCTCCTCGCGAGCTTCCTTCGCGTACATTTCCAGATCACGATACGTTCCGAATAAAGTCCTTAGCTCGAATACAGCTTCGACAAGCACGTCGCGCCGAGCGTGAAGTTGAGACTGGAGCGACTCCGGTATCTGACCATTATGCTTGATCAAAGCATCCTGTATTTCTTCTACCACGCGAATTTGCGCGCGGGATATTTCTGTACCGGTTTTACTTAGTAGATCGCGGATGTCGTCGGAGGTACTGTCGAAGTGCGCGATCCATAACGTCTCGGCGGTGATTTGCGTGCTTTGCTGTTTCTGTGTGGAATAGCTATTTCCCATATCTGCACCTATGAATGTAGATCTAGATGCTGATATGAAGCATTGAACCTTCATTAAGCGCAGAAACACTCGGAGGTTGTACTTCGAAGTGGACAGCGCAGTGCTGTGATGGCATTAACAAACTTACCACGACAGTGGACCATCATCATTCACACTGTTGACCACATACTGATATTCAGCAGACTACGTGTAAATCCTTCACGCTGCCTAAGATCGATAATGACAGCGACTACTCAATCCATCCCAAGAGCTCCCGCACTCAGGGTGAAGCCAAACAACACAACAACACGGCCGACAAACGCGCATAGCAACGCACACAAGCACCAATACATCACCAGAATTAAGTATCGCATTTTTTCAACGTCGTTATCTATCGAATAATTCACAATCTCCTTATCCAAACACGTGCACCTCCTTATGGTGGTGCACACCTTCAAAGGTTTGGTACAAGTGCGTGAACCTTCCGACCACAACTGTAAGTTGGTCCGCGCCTTGGGATCAACGCGCGCTCCCACACCTTGAGGTGGGAGCGCGGGTTCGTTTTGCTCATGTGGATTCCATCTTATATTTTGTTTCTTTTTTGCATGTCACAAGATTTGCTAGGTTAGGAGCAGTGAAAATGAAAGACAAGCAGCGTCCTCAGGATCATCAGGCCTCGATCCCTGTTGAATGTCATAAACAGTCTGATCAGCTTGCTGTCAAAGCGTATGAAAGCGTGTCTTGTACTGCTTAAGGGCGCAGTGCAGATGACAAGATTGTGTGCCTCAAGCAACTTGTAACGAGAAGCATATAGGGTTGCAATTCATTATTTGCGAAACAGCATGCGCTTATCTTGGGTTGTCATGTCGTGACTTACGAACGACTGGAAGCACCTGCAACTATATTGAATCGTGCATGTTTTTCCTCCACATTATGCACGTTCGCTAACCTACATCAACAACAGGGTCAATCGCCACCCCCGCCGCTTCACGTTCCCCCACTCTTTCACCTCAACATGCTCGAATCAAAATGCATGTCCGCAGCGTGAAAGAGCCTGGTATGATTATTTGCTAGCGCTTATTCTGCATAGGAGCGATGTTTTCTGCTTCGTTACGCACCTCGCCGCAACGACACAGTCGCTATCAGTACACCATGCTACCTTCTAAGGATGGCAGCACTTTGCGCGCAGTATCTGCAGCTTCTAAATCTCCTACACGTGAGCCCGAGGATGGATTCGCCTGGGCTGAAAGCGAGAGCTCAAACAAAGAACAAGCCATGGTTGATTTAAAGCCTTCGAGGCATCGCGACACGTAAGTGCGGTACAGCCTATCTCTGCTTCGGCCTCACTAACACTGTAATAGCTATTTTGGTGCGCTCCTCTTCAATATCTGCGCTTTCGTCCTGCCAGCACTTTATGGCACTCTCTCCAAGCTCTGGGTCGCCAATATTGATTCTTCCATGGTTGTGACGACTGATGTCCTGACATACGTGGGAGTTGTCGCAGAGGTGTTGAACGAAGGCCTGCCGCGTGCATCCTATCTCATCATCGGAGACAAGTCCAACCGTGGTCTCCGAGAACGGCTGCAGCTTACCCATACACTCATCTTATTCCAATCGATCCTTGGTCTGATTATGAGCATTGCGCTCATCGCCGGTGCTTCCACCTTCGCAAAGGGCTTTGTGCCTATCGAAGTAAGGGATGTAAGCATCACATATGTGCGCCTTTCCGCGTTTTCCGCATTTAGCTCGGCAGTGGAGTACGCTGTCAACACATCCACCCGTGCCCTGGACAAGCCAGATGTTCCGCTTGTGATCAGCTCCGTCAAATTTGCAATCAACATCATTCTCGACCTCATTGTCATCTCGAAGTTCCATGTCAGTGGAGTCACACCCACGGTCAATATGCAGGCTGGCATATCACTGGCTTGCAACCTCTCTTCGGCATTTGCTGGACTGGCATATTTTATCTATACGACCAGCTTCAGTCACAAATCAAGATTCCAGGACAATGCATCCAGCCAAAAGTCTATGCCTTCATGGGCAGATCTATTGACGCTGTTCAAGCCCGGCCTGATCTTCTTCAGCGAATCTGCTATCCGCAACGCGCTTTACTTGTGGCTTGTCCATGGTATCGTCGGTTTGGGTAGCAACTACGCGACTGCGTGGGGCGTCTTCACGACCATACGATGGGGCTTGATCATGGTACCAGTCCAAGCTTTAGAAGCTACCACGCTCACTTTCGTCGGCCATTCGTGGGGCAAATTTCGCGCAGCCTTACGTGGCAATATTCAACCCGCCAAGCCGCGCATCACGGGGCGTCAGTTATTCGGCATCACTCGATGGGCACTTTACTCCGTCGTCATCGTCCTAATCATCGAAATCCCGCTCTGCCTCATCCTCTCCTTCGCTGGCGCGCGATCTTTCGCCAGATATTTGTCCGGATCCGACGAAGTGTCGCGAATCGCGGCTCGGATGTGGCGCACAATCGACTGGTGCTACATCATGTACGGCGTGTCGACGCAACTTGCGGCCATTCTGGTCTCGACGCGACCGAGGTGGTATTTGTACCAGTCTCTCGCATCGAATGTTTTGTATGTACTGCCGTGGGCGATTGTGTGTCAGGTGGTCAAGCTCAATGCTGGTGATGCTTGGACGTATCATAGTCTTGTGTTTGGTGGGAGTCTGGTATTTTCTTTCTTTGTCATTGTTGTTGTGGTGGGCGCTTGGGCTTGGAGACTTGGGAGGGGGAAGATGAAGGTGAGAACGGTATGACATTTGAAGTGTCTACAGTAGTACCACTTTTGCACGATACCAAAGTTTCATAAGATCTATACAAAGAAAACCCCACTTACTGACCAGCCAAGACCTGTGCCAGAGCAGGATGAAGAACTGCTTCGCAGGCATATAGGACAACTTCTAAACTCCCACTTAACTATGTACAAGAATCTCCCACGGACATGTACTTCTCATCCCCGCCACACCGCCGGCTTCGGCTCAACATACTTCATCGCATCCGTCGGATATCCCGCCTCCGTTCCAGCCTCATGAAACCAAATACTCGGCTCGTCCTCCTTGTACGCATTCGGAAACCTCGCAAGCGGCCCTGGTGCCCCCACCCCCCAGCCCCAACAACCTCGATATGCGCGCAGTTGACAAACCACTGACTCTGTCCCCGCAAATTACTCGGCAAGAACTGCTCGATCCTCATTATATATTTCCCGGGCGGCGTAGTCTTTGGAATCGTAGCATTCATGGATAGTTTATCGTTGAGTTCCCAAGCCGTCGCACTAATGGGTCCTGCGTATCCGATCTTGAAAAAGTCGCCGGTCCCGTCATAGTCATTTAGACTTTCAATACCGTCGGGTAACTTTGACAGGAATATCTGCCCCGGCCCTTCGTGGTAAATATACTGAATCAAGTCACCTTCGAAGAATGGCGGCGAGACCATGAAGCCGACTTCAGATCCAGCGGCCACGACAGCAGTTTCGATGGTCGCGCCGTTGGAGACGGGGAAAGCGCCGCGGCCACATGTGACGTTTGCGTTTTCGGGGCCGTAGATGGGGAAGGCTTTGAGCCACATGGAGTCGCGGGTGCCGGCATTGCCAGTGACGTCGCGGACGTATTGAAAGTCATGGGAGATGGTGTTGTTGACGATTAGGCGGCTGAAGACGTAGTGGGCGGACGTAAGAGGGAGGAGCAGATTTACTGCGGAGTATAGGGTGGTGGTTCTCATGATGGATGTAGGATTTCTGGTGAGTTGAAGTTCAACTCGAGCAATCTGATCAGCGATTTGGAGTTTTATGTATGTATTTGCTGGCTTATTGTCAATGGTGGAAATGGGCGCAAATGATATGCAAGCAATACAATAGCTATCAGGCACAAGTGATATACAGCCCGTCCTTGTGATCCGTTTTCACATTATCATGTTTCCGGGTTGCTGATGCGGCGTCTTCAGTTTGCCAATCAGACCTCACTCGCATAGTGCCTGTTCCAAACTGAGCTCCATTTTGATTGAGCTTAGCATGGCTAATGGGGTAATTATAATATGACTTTGGGTACAACTGGTCACAGCATAGATTGCGATATGTTGGTAAACCCAGGATTGGATATGTTTCAGTGTGGGATGGGAGAGTATTGTGTGAAGATTGCGGGGAAAGGATAGGTGTCGTACAAGGATCGGGTTGGCTGAAGGCCTTCCGGTTGGCAGAAGAGAGAAGCTTATATTGTGTGATGCATTCAGCCAAGATGCGCTAGCATGCAATAGGAGTGTGTATTGTAGGTATCCAGTCTAAATGCTCTTGTAACTAGAACGAATTAAATAAACGTTGCTGCAAGCAGTGGCACATCGACAAGCCACATCACGAGATACGTATTAAATTTAGACCTGGACCTTGAGGAAGATCCTCGTCTCGTTTACCTGCAGACCCTCGCCCTCTGGCAACAACCTCATGTAGAAGTACGGGTAAAAGTAGCTCGTGGATTCCGCCTCGTACCACTTCACGCCCCAAGTAGATGTGTTGAAACCTCCAAGGAACCAGCCGTCTTGCTTTTCTTCTCCGATGTAGTGCTCGTACAGGGTTGGCTGCTCGCCGTCGATCAAGTACATCAGACCTGCGTCGTACGGGTATGGAGACAGAGCGGTAGGAGTCCACTTTGCGTCTCCGGGCGCACCGGCAGCATTGACTTTGGTGTCGGCGAGGATGTTGAGTTTGTTGTCGATGCATTGGAATGCGTTTCGTGCAATTCCAAAGCGGTAACCGAGATTGACCTACAGCAACATGTTAATACACCAGTCTTATGCGCGTTCACACATATGTTTCTTACGTATCCCCATCGCATGACAGGTCCCTGTGAGCCGATTGACAACGAGTAGGAAGTGCTGGGGCCGAATCTCAATAGATCTGGGTTCTCGGCATCCGAGACAATCATACTCCAAGGTCCAGCAGTCTGACTATCCGCATTGTAACCTGGGTAAGAAGCGCATCCCGCTGGGAGAGCCTTGATAGTGACATCAGGAAGCGTGGACCTTGACTGGATGTGAGGGATTGAACCAGCAAGGGTTGTAGAAACGATGGAAGCGAGAGCGAGAGATTTGGCAAACATGATCGCGGTGGCAACGAATATGACTTTGGAGGAGACCGTGATATGCTGGCGACAGACTATGTGAGACTGATGAGAAGCTCAACAATGGATCTCATGCAACATTTATACTCTTGCCGATCACCGTCACTCCATGCAGAGCTTTACACGCCATCCAGGCACCGGTGTGCAAGCCGCCTTTTTAATTTAATCCATCGACGAAGCGACATCGCTACCTGCCATCTAGCGGCCATCGCTCTAGCTGCTGACAGGATGTAGGCTACCACCGGTGAAGCACAAGCATTTTGGAGGCAAAAATAGGAGCGACGGAGACTGATGGGGATTTGGCGGATTTAGTAGGACGCCTTATATCTGAATGAGGGACTTTTGATTCGCTGCACTTGTCACAATGTGGGATGGCGGCGGGTGGCCGAATTTACCCTGCATTAGCCTCATCTCAATTCCATCCAAACTTCTGCCACTCACGTCGTCTTCACAACGCCACTCGTATTCCCGAAAGGCATCAACGTGATGTAGGCATTGAAAGTACACGAAGAACGACTCAGTGTTACATTGACGAGCAAGCCTTCCAGGCTGTCCAAATGCTCCCCTGTCAGCAGAAATACCGAGTCTAACGATGATACACTCTCTTAAGTTGTGGAAGAAGCGAGAAATAGCCGATACAGCCAGACTGCGACAACAGTCTAAGACAAGAAGAAAATAATAATAAGAAAAAGCTATGAATACCCCATAGAGTCTTTTAATTCTTCTTGAGATAGACATATGTAGAGCTGTCCGTATAAAGGCGAGGAATTAATTCTGCACACGAGAATTTCTGAAGCTGCTAAATCTCACTAATTCTTCAGAGTAGGAGATCCTCATTCGTCGAATTGCTAAATTTAAGCCCATGGCTCTATAACAATCTTCTGCGCACTAACACCGACATGTAGTTTCTCTATACCCTCAGCAACCTTCTCGAGCCCGCCCAAGACATTCGCAGGTACACCTTTCAGCACTCCAGCCTTGATAGCCTTCTCAATGAACCCTCCGCTTGCCAAGAAGTGTTCCTGCCACCCCTCATTCTCTGGGGCGTGCGTTGAGAAGCGGTGAAACTGCACCGTGATACCCTCTGGAAGCTCCGGATTTCCAAACATCACAGGCGGCAAGAGGACGAGTATATTTGCCTTCGTCACAGGCTTACCCTCAGGCGCGAGGATCTGGACGATTGTAGAGACAGTGGGTTTGAGCGAGATAGTGTCAAACCAGTAGTCGACTGGGAACAGGTCGCGAATCTGAGAGATGGTGGCTGGATCGCTATGGTCGAAGATGTAATCGGCGCCGCATTCTTTGAGAAGACCGAAGTTGTGAGGGGAGCTGGTACTGATCACTGTGTAGCCGGCTTGCTTCGCGTACGAAATGGACAGCGAGCCCATAGCTGAAGAACCGCCCCAGATGACTATCTTCTTGCCCTGCTCGCTGGCTGGGAGTGGGCTTGCTGGGACTGTGGGCCAGTGCATGCCCAAAGTGGACTTCCCGAATAGTGCTCCTGGTGGAGTATACGACGCAAGCGTCACCGCTTTCGTGAACTTAACATCGCCAATCTGATCAAAATGTTAGATGACTATGATCATCTCGGAGAATGCTGGCTCACCTCAACAACCTCAGACGCATCGACAATCGAAAAGCGCTGAAGCCCGCCGTATTTTGCTTTCTTGTGGGAGAAGACCTTTGTTCCGCAAACAACACGCTCGCCGCCAGAGACCTTGGTTACTCCAGCACCGACCTTCTCAACAACGCCTGCCACAGGACTACCGAGGACCGCAGGATACTCGAATGGCATCATCGCGAACTTTGCTATCTTTTCATCTGCAGGCTGCATAGCGCATGCCTGAACCCTGACTAAGACTTCTCCTTCTTCAAGCTCCTCGATTTCGGCATCGCGCACGACGAACGAGCCTTTTGCAGATTCGAGGAATGCGGCGCGGTTGCTCATTCTGTCGGAGATTGTGCTTATGTAGACTCGCTGGAGTCTCGTAGAGGTAGGCACAGAGTATTTCGTTGACGTACAATATCTTCTTTTAGAGCGAAGTAGTGTTGTAATGGTGGACGTGTAGTTTGTTAGCATCGAGGAAGGAGTAGATGTGAGCAGCGAAAAGGGAAGGGTCACGATATCAGCGGACGAATATGTGCGTTTTCCGTGCTGCGCCTATGCGGCTCAGGCTTTGTAAACACCACAAGGTGGGCCCAGATATCCCGTCGCTGACCGCATACAGCTTTGTCTTGTGTTTGGCTGCAATGCAACACAACATCCCGTTTAGGCTGTCAGCAAAGTCACTTTTGGACTAGACTGCCCCGCCTCCGCTTCAGATGCATTTCCCGCCATTAGGCTAGATAGTGTTGCATATCCATCGTGAAAACCGCTAGACAAGGTACCATATGCGAGCATGTGAAGTTGTATAGTGACCCGAGTCTCAAACACAGGCATGCAGCATTGGTTCCTCGTACAGTAATGGACTAATGCACTGGAGAGGGTCTGCTTTATCGTAGAATACAACACTGATATGCTGTGAATGGCAGACAATGCATGTCCATGAGCCCAGATCTTGCCGGACCAAGGTCAATAGAACAACGCAACTTTGACCCACGAATCACCCTGGCTGTCTAAGATCAGGTCGCCTTCGAACGGATACCCATGGCCGGTCTGGTATTGGCAGTCCGGCTTGTTCCTACTTGAGCAAAGCAGCAAGATTGTGATGCCACGACTATCATGACACCCCGTAAAATGTGAATGCTCAATCGATCGAGTGATCGATCACACCAATAGCATCTCATATATCGAATGCCAGCGAGTGAACTCAACTCCACCACCCGCCTCTTTCCGCCCATGATACGTCACCGACCGCAACTCCAACACTCCATCCATCACCGAGGAATCGGCAGTCTAACAACGACCCCTCCAAACGGAAGCGGACGCTAGTCCCTCACCCTGAGATATATCTAGCCCACGGGCAACGCTTTCCAATCTCTCCTCACCACACAATTCTCAAATAGCCTCTTCCTCAACCAAAGCTATCTCCAGACCCTCTCACAACTCACACTCCCACAACCAAGCCCACCATGCTCTACAAGCTCCCCACTCTCCTTCTCTTCGTCGCCACCTTCGTCACCCTTGCCCTCGCCAACAAGGACAGCCCGGACCCATGCAACGGCGCGCCGCTCTGCATTAAGGTGCCCGGTGGGTGGGTTACGACTCTTGATCATACTACCACTGTCACTGCCACGGCAACGTCTGTCGCTCCGACTGTCACTGCGTCGGCGCTTTGGGCTTAGAAGGGTGAGTAACTTCCATATTTCAGTTCGATATTTATGGCGGGGCTGATGGTTGGCGTACAGACTGATATTTGACTCGGATGATATGTTGGATGGAGGTTCGGATGAAGTGAGATGAAGACCGGCGTGGTTCGCTCAGATACAGACGATGGAGTCTGTAGAGGATGGGAGGAGCGCCGATGTGGAGCTTTCGAAGCGTCCAGGTTAATGTTAATAAACTCATGACCCATATTCCTCTTGATCACCGTGACATCGTCCATGTTTCTGATAGTCGTGCCTAGAGGTCGCAGATGGCGCAGCCATGATGCTTCTAATGGCACCACTGCCTGGTCGTCCTTGTACAGCAATACCCGGGTATTTCGAGTGTTGCAACAAGCCATCTTAACATGACCATCCTACCCCTTCCAACACCGCTCACTCTCAATCTTGCCCTCAATCCTATGCTCACAACTCCACTCATCTAAAAACAACTCCTGCACAAGATTCACACACCCAAACCACTTCTCGCCCAGCCCCGCGCCCGGTAAATCTGGATCGACCCGCCCACCCGTCCCACTCTGCTCAAAACACCCCAAGCTCTCAATCGCCCACACCATGCGCTCATCATCTTTATAATGCTCTTTGAGCCGCGCCCGCCGCACGCTCTTGCGCATCTCAGCTTCGGCCGCGGCCCAGGGCTGCGGGTAGTCTCCCGGCATGAGTTTCTCGCCTTTGGCGAGGCGCGCGTTGTTCTGGCGTATGCGTGCGGTGGTTTGCGTGTGCCAGGCGGATTTGAGGGTGTGCAGGTGGGAGTGCTCGCGGTAGAAGAGGTGCAGCATATCTCGCCAATTGAAGGATATCTCGCGATTCGCGACGTCGATAGCGAGGCCAGGGAGCGCTGTATCATTGACCGCGCCACATATGCTAATCGTGTAGTTTGGCATTTCAGGCGTCCAATTCCTGACATTCTCCTCCCAGCGAGTCATCATCTTGTCGAATTGCTGGACGAGGTGTCGAGGGCGTGCGTCTTTGAACCATACCATGTCTTGCTCGTGGCGTTTACCCAGTCGTGAGAATGTGACGGGGACTTCGGGGCGCTTGCTTTTGCCGCCGAGGTTGTATTTCTCTAGCTGGAAGTCGATGTGGATGTGTGGGAGGAAGTATTCGGCGAAGGCGGATTCGGCGCACCAGCGGAGGGTGGAGGATATGCGACGGCATGCTGTCCAGAGATGCGCGGCGTCGGTATGGTAGCTGAAGATGTTGATCCAGACCTCGGGGGGAAGTTCGGCGCAGCGCGACTCGCGTATGCGCGGCCGTGAAGGTGCTTTGCATGCCATTTTGTATGGTGTTCGTGATGGGCTTCACGATGACGATGGACGAGTCAAGATGCCATGACATAAGCGTGATACCGAGTCGAGACTAAATGGCTTGGATCTGACGGCGCGTGTACGTGTTACCACAGCTGGAACCACACTATCTTACGTATCATCGGTGAGACGTCTCGCAAAGAAAACCTCGATTGATCGCAACACTAGTGACTGGAAAAGAATCACAATTCTGGTATTCAAACACCCTGAAATGCCCGCCACATATCCATGAAGACAACGACCGTGCCATATGCCACCGATGCTTTCCATCAACATTCCCAATTAACTCCAATAAATGACGGTGCTAAATGGCCAGAAACATGTCCAAACCACCATGGGTATCTGAGCTCGACAACGCGTTATGCGCTCGCTAAATTCAAACATCGCCAAACACAAATCTATCCCCGGTAAATGTATGCATGCCCTCTTCATACCTCCTCTATCCTTCCAGGCTGTCGGTGCTTCAGCCAGATATCTCCTCCCTCCCCCTTCTCCCATTTCTTCCAGGCAATCTCGTAGGCTTCTTCGAGGTCTCTGACCCAGCGCTTGGTGTCAAAGAGTGGGCTGGTCCACCGCGATTCGTAAAGCATACGGCGAAGCTGGCTCAATCGTCCGGTTGCACGATGACCATAGTAAATGCAGTCACTGCCTAGTCGCACGGCCTTTTCTTCGTAGTCTTCGTCATTGGCTGCGATAAGTTCTTTGGCAGCTTGTACACCCTCGGAGGACTTGGGAAGGGCGCCCTTCAGTATAGAGGCTGCCATGCGCGAGCACATCTTGTACTTGTAACGCGGCAGCGTGAGCAGTGGAGTGCCAGACCAGAGAACATCCGCAGCAGTTGTGTGAGCATTGCACTCAGGGGTATCCAAGAACAGATCGCAGACACGAGCTCGGGAGATATGCTGGCTCTTTTGAGCAACATCGGTGAAGATGATGCGGTTTGCAACTTCTGCCCCAGCCCACATGTACGCTGTCTGTTTGAGGTTGGTCTCTCCGAGGTCCGGGAAACGAAGGAGCCATAATATGGCGTTTGGAAGGCGCTCGAGGATACGGAGCCAAGTGCGAAAAGTCGTAGGCTCGATCTGTAACAAGTTAGTCTGTGGAAATATAATATTAGATGCAGAGTAACATACCTTGTACAGCTGATTGAAATTGCCGAGAATGATTGCGTTATCCGGCAAATCCGGAAAGATGTGTTTTCGCATCGCCCATCTTCTCTCTTGCTCTTCCTCCCACGTCGGTTGCCGACCTTGAGAATCAGGAGCGCTTTGCCTGTGATCGCAGCAAAAGAAGGTGTCCCTGCAGAAGACAATGTTCTCCCCGTATATCCAGTCTTCGTCGGTGCCTCCACTGTTTTCATCCACCAAAGCGTCTTCTAAGGTGATGTTTCGACGCCATTGACGCAGTGTGTCAGGCGGTACGGCGGTATCATCTGCGAGCAAGTAGTCACACCATTCGGCCCCCAGCGTTCCGGCGAAGCCCATGAACGCCATCTGTATAGGCGCCGCTCGCGCAGCAAAGACTTCGTTCCTTGCACCTCTGGTGTAGCCGTTGAGATTGATGAGGACGTGGATGCCATCGTTGATGATTTGACCAACGAGACGCTCCGCTGACCAACTGCTTGCATCATGAAATACGGGTGCTTCTCTTTCGATCTGCTTTCGATGTTCGGAATGATCGCTTCCCGTTGTCGCATAACAGTAGGCCTTGACACGTTTGCTATCATGAAGACCAAAGACAGACTGCATTAGATGCGCCAGAGGATGGTTGTTAAAGTCAGAAGACACGTACCCAACCTTGAGATATGGATTGGGCGGCGGAGGCGGTTGGTAGACTGTCGCAGGAAGCCACGGCACTCTCAGGGTTGAACATGAGATGCGTAGTCCGTTCCTCTGGGATATCAGCCGAATCTGCTTGGCTGACATGGGGCAGGTGAAGGTGTGGAATGGGAGCACTGTCGGGGCAGCGGGTACGGTAAGTGCAGCAGGCAGCTGAGGTCTCTTGTAACTCTCTGTAGAACGCTGCTTCCGGGTGATGTATCGATCCTGGTACCACTGCCAAGTCATGTGTCTGATGGCGCGTTCGACCAGACGAATGACGCGGGCGCCCTCCCATTTCTGCCCTCTCCACTTGGTGAGCACATCCATCATACTCTTCTGTCTCTCATTGATATCTTGGGCACTGCCGTCGGTAAGTGCAAGTGGTCGTACGATGTCCTGCATGAAGCTGTCATCGATCGATCCCCGGCCCCAACTCTCGCCATCTGCAAGTTGTTTCTCTACCAATCTGACCACTTTGTGAATCCAACCAGAGCTCGAAGCGCCTGGAATCCTGGCATCAAGCAGCATCCCAGCTTCATCGACATGCCAGCGATCCCGCGCACCAAGATCGTCAGCAATGCCACCTCTACCATTCCAACCACAAACTGAGTTCAGAGCATTCGCAAGGCCGCAGACTGCTTCGGCGAAATCGGGACTCGCCTTGACAGCGCGTTTGTAGTAAAGGATCGCGTCACTTATGCGTCCTTTGTCCTTGACTGCGTTCGCAAGGTTGGCCAGCGCAATATCAAAGTTTTGGTCACATGTGACAGCCTGTTCGTACATCTGAATCGCAACATCCAGTTGCCCAATATCCTTGAGAAGGCTACCAAGATTCGTGTACAGATGAGCATGTCGCTTGTCTAACTGTAGTCCATAGTAGTAGTATGCGAGCGCAAGAGCGACACCACTTCCTGGGACAAGGCCGGGGATTGGTGGGTGGAATGGAGAATGAGAAACGGCCATTGGCTTGGATGGTGCTGATTGCTGTACGCTAGCGAGTAAGATGCCTACATTGTTCGCAGTTGAGGGACTGGGTTGTAGTGATAAAGATAGGTAGTAGAGTGCGAGGATCTCTCTTACTCCGTAGCTGTTTTGATGAATGCCAGCTTTTGGCAAGCTTGTAGCCATGCCATCTTGGAATATCTTTGCAAGAGACAGCAGGGAGTTGCTCGTAGTGGATATCGCAGCTTTTCGAGCCAAGCCATCGGGCACATACTTGAGACCGGGCAACTGGCCGTGGGACGGAAAGCAAAGTTGTGCAGTTCTGGTCGCCGAGTCTGGAGGGAGTAGAATGGGATCCGAGGATGGCGAGACACGATGGCCACCAGGAGAGCGTTGTTCCTGATTGTAACCAACGACGGAAAGGATACGTTTGATAAGGCCATCGATGCCATGAATCTGGTTCCCGGCGCCGATTAGGACGGCTATCTCAAAAGCTCTTGCCGCCCCAGCATTGTCTCCTAGGGCGTAAAGCATATTTCCCTTGGCATGAACCAAGGCCAGGATACGTCCATTGTCACTCCCTGGAATAGCGTATCCACTGGAACCAAATCCTGGTTGGTCCGAACCAGGGAGCTCGTCAAGGTCTTTGAAGACTGATTCATCTTCACCTTCGAATTCGAATACTGGCCGGTCGGAGGCATCAGATAAGCTCGGTGACTCACTGACAGTCGATGTTGACCGCTCGCTTTGTATGTCGAGACTCCTCAAGGCATCAGCTTTCTTGACAAATCTCAACGAGCGTTCCACTTCATCAATGACCAGGACAGCCTCCTTGGCCCGCTGATCACTGCACAGCAAGCCTATGAGATGCTCAACAGCCTCGAAGTAGCTTGGGCGAAGCTGAACCGCCTGTCTCCAGTAGCTTTCCGCCTCGCGCTTGCGCTGCAGCGCCAATAAGGTGGCTGCAAGGTTGGAAATTGCCTCCACATGGTTTTTGTCCAGGGTTAGAATGTGTTTATACCAATCTTGAGCCTTTTGGTAGTCACCAAGAGCGTATGCAAAGCATCCTCCTAAGAGGATGCCGTCGATCCAGTTCCACTTGCTCTCCTCGCAGTGTTTAGTAATAGCTTCCAAGGCAGAAGCGGCCGTCATGCTCGGAGGAATTTCATGGCGAAGGCTTTGACTCTGACTCTGGTTTTGATTGGCGCTGGCAATGGAGCCAGACATTCGGCGCAAAGTGCGGACGGGTTCCATGCCAGGCAGTTGGGGCAACACTGACTGCTGCGGTGAGAAATGCTGCCAAGAATGTCGCTGGGCAGAAGCATCAAGTCCTCCAACAGACCAAGCCGAGGCTGAACGGGAGTGAGAAATGTGTGGTCTTCGCATCGCTGGGGATCCAGTATGGGATGAGCGACGCTCGATGGTGGGAGAACTCATGCTGCCGGCGGACTCGGACAAGTTCGCACCTGGTTGTCGTGGTGGCTTTGGGTAGATGTGTGGTCTCGATGGTTGGCGTCCATTTGTATTGTGCGAATGTTTACGTGTATGAGTCAAATATCTTAAAAGGTCCACATAGACTGTGTGCGCCCAGGCAAACACCTTCTCCCTGGACTGGCCGTTGAACGACTGTGGGCCATATTCAGCGGTCGGCGTTGTGGCGGAAGCGTGATCAACGATGGGTGTTGATTGTCCCGACGAGGACACATCTTGAGGCTGTTGAGATGGTGCAAATGGTACGGATGAATGCTGGTAATCTAGTGTGTAATGCTGCTGTGATTGTGGATACGGTGAAAAGTCAGACGATTGTCGTGCGAAGTTGTTATATAGTTGAGGACCCTGGTTGAACTGGAAGGGGTTCTGTTGATAGTTTGAGATGTGTGGGACAGAGGTGTTGTAAGTATGCGCATGGTATACGCTGTGCTGCGGATGTGCCCACTGAGGACGCTGGTGATGTAAGAAGCGGGGATCCCGCATTGCTGCAGGTTGATAAGGTGTGTAAGTTCCATCCGGCCAGTATGGTCCAAACGGCCCTTGGTCATTCGAAGCTGTAGGTCCCAGCGGGCTCTGGCCAGGCACTGCCATGGCACCGCCGTATGGTGCATACATTTGGTAAGGAAGGAGTGGCTGCAGAGGCGGCATTTGGTTCAGCATGGAGTCGATCTGCGGAAGATTCTGTCCCGCTCTGCCTGAGCCCGTCTCGAAGTAGAGACTGGGGCTCCAATCAGAAGATCCATCTTGCCTGGTGTTGGCTGGCGAGCGTAGCGGAAGATCTTGCTTCAGGCCGTATGGTATGCTGGCCTCGGCAGTCACTGGCAAAAGTATGTGCTTAGTCGCATGCGGCTTCTCCATCTGCTCCACGGAAGTGCCATCGTAGGCCGCCGCCAAGATTCCGTTGGGGGTCTTGCGGCGCAGCATATGTTCGGGCGGTTTCAGAGCGCCTGCAGCATCTGAGCTTTGTGAGCCGTACGAGTTGTGGCGCGAGAGCGGGTGGGCATATCGCTGGGGCAGAGGGTGTTGGGCGAGGTTGCGGCCTTCGAAGCCGGAGGCACTGCGGAGGAGTGGTGGGTGAGTCGGGGTGGGCGGGAGGTTGCTGTACACGTGCGGCGGCTGCGGCTGGGGAGGATACGGTCGCACCATGGTCATGGTGGACAGGCCGCCAGCGGGTGCTGGGGCGTGTGCGAGTGCGAGCGCGATGCGTGCAGACGGTACGTGGGCGGGCTCAGCGGCTAGGTGGCCAGTTGCTTTGGGGTCTACAAGCACAGCTTCACCACGACCGGCTGGTGCCTATGCCTTCGCGGAATCGTCGCCTGTCTGCTACCATGGACATGTCTTTTCGGTCGTGATGCGGTGTCGAGGCAGCACCGGGTGTCTGCGTGCTGGCACGTTACCAGCAGAGACCCCGGGCGGTGGTTGGTAGTGGGAAACGTAGCGCGGTCGCAGACGTCGGTCTGGGGTTCGATGGTCAGTGGTCGATGGCCGATTGTCGCGAGAACGGCGTGCAACCGTGGGAACTGTATCGCAGACGTGCAGACGTGCAGACGTGCAAACGTGGCGGGGTGGTGTCAGAGCGATAATGAATCGATGGGTGCCGTGTCGAAGCAAGGGCGGGCCTCTATCAGGCTTCACTGCTCGGAATGAACCGCCGCCCGTATGCACCAGAGCCGCGACGACCACAACACCAAAACGCGTGCTGAGTGGTGCAGGAACGTCTGCCTTGCGGGATCTCGGGGCGCACTGCAACTTCCGTGTCGCGAAACAGAGCTCCCGCAGGTGGTTGCGCAGGATAAGCGGTTGTGGTACCAAAGCAAGGCGCCTTGCGGCGTCGTGTGGATGCGTCGCTTTTCTTGTCTGCATAGACGGGCGTGAAAGGCTTAGATATGACGAGTGGCTGCGGCGGAGACGAGCCAACGGACGTTCAATAGTGGCTTCGAGGGTATCCCTGCAGCAGGATTTGTCTGGGGACGATCCAAGACGCCTGTTTTCTACCACATTTACCACATTTGACACCATGCAGCTAGTCTACGCCCACTCATCCACTCTACCTGCTAGCTTGCACCTCCTTCTATACGCCGCCCGTCAGCGAGTGCAAGATGACTTTGCCCTCACGCTGTGGATCCTCAGCCGCTCACCGATAGACAGACAGGAAATGTGGCTTACCCACCCATGTCCATCAACGTTGGGAGATGCGCACGCGGACGCCAATCACACCAGCTTCCCGACCGAGAGCGCCCTCAATGCGGGTGCCGCATTGCTCCACCATGCAATAATCAGCCCGCATCGCCCCGTCCTTCATCGATGATGATGTGCTGCTCCACGTCCGTTCCCAACGTCCGTATCACTCGCTTCTGACGATGCGTACCTTGTCAAAGGACGCGGTGCCCTGCACAATGGCGCTTCTGTGTTTAGCCTAGATTACGACGCACACGGCTGCTTCTGACAGCGACGTGTGCTGACCATCGTGGATGGACAATCAGGATTGATCTTTGTGCAAAGCGAATCACCAACTCCATGGTGGATCGCCAAGCAGGCACATGTCATTAATTGAATGCACTGTTTCACATGCGCCGCAGCGGTGCATGTCGATCACCGTACATAGATGCAGGTAGAGTTCGAAAAAAAGAACCACCCTGCGCCTGAAACGGAGACGGGCATTGATATCTGACCAAGTCTTCAAAAGCATGCATGTTATGTGGACCATATCAAAGGACCGCTGGAGCCAAACCAAAGGCAAGACAGCGCGGTGAGTAAGAGGTCTTCGTTAATCTTCTTCACACCAAAATAGGCCTATCCCATGGTCTTGTCCGTAGACGAAGAGGTAAGGGCCAGAGTGTTGGTGAAGTGATGCATCACGTTGGTGCTGATAGGCTCAAAGCACCCTTAGCGTTTGAGTATGGCCAACCCAACCTGGTCCGCATAATTGCGGAGGTTCAAACCATGTAGATCAAGAGCCTAGAACTGCAGTTCATGTTTGCTTCTAGGTTTGTGCGCCAGGTACACGGCATGCGCCGGGAGAACACGGTGTAACGCCTGTCAAACGCCCTGCTCGGGAAATACCATCGACATGCAAGCCGCTATGCTCCGTGGCTGTACAAACAGTGTAATCAATACAGTCCGGATTCCTTTCCAGTCAGTGAGAAAGACGACTCGAAGAAGACGCTGGAGTCCATGGTCTGTGTTGTTTCCAAGAGACAGCCGGTGTGGCACAATGAGCGGAGAGGTGAAGAGGCGCACAGTGAGCAGCGTCCACTACCGTCCAGGCGATGTAAAGGACCATTGCGATAAAGCCTGGGGTGGGAGTTGCTGCACGTTGTGGGTTTGTGGTGTTGTTGAAGGAAGAAGTTTGTGTGAAGCTGCAGAGATTTTGATGGAGAGGCTCGCTTAGTCAGATCGCGGGCCGACATTCTGCCGTGATGCGGACATGTTTGCTGTCTATGTGGCTTTAACTTGTCTAGTGGGAACTCCGACCATTAGTTCCACGGTGACCAGTTCCAGTACTTTCTTTCTCACCCCGCGCCGTACAGTGAAAGGACTCGTGATTCTCTTTCACCTCTCACCTTCGGCCCGTGACAAGTACAATCGCCTACATAATGAGTGCCGAAGAGCCGCAAGAGCAGAGCGGGCCACCGCAAGGCGGGCCCCCTCCTGGCGCACTGCCTATCAACATTCAAGGACCAAACGGCGAGCAGCCCACTCCAGAGCAAATTCGCCAGATTCAAATGCAACTAGCGGCTGAGGCGGAGAAGCACGGTATTTCAGTTCAGGAATACGTACAAAGACTGCGACAACAAGCAATGGCACAGCAACAGGCGCAAATGCAAGCACAAATGCAGGCGCAACAGCAACAGCAGCAGCAGCAACAGGCTCAACCAATCCAGCCAGGACCACCTAAGCCAGAAGCGCTCGCTGTCGCGAATTGGCTGAAGTCGCAAGATCTCAAGCCACGAACGGTTGTCCATGACGAGAAAAGGAAGGACATGTTCAGAGGTTAGAAGCGTAAAATTTCGAACTTAATCTCTGGATGCTAACAAACGACAGTAAAACGAGCAATTCGGGCCCTCCAATCTCCAGCCTACCAGAAAGCCCGCTCAAAGAACCCGCTCCTTCCTGAAGTCAACGACCGCGCCTCTGCCGAGAATGCCTTCAAGCTGCTTCCCCTCTCCCTCCTCGCACTCCGTGTCAATAAAATCGACGGCGATGCTCCAGGCCACGAAGGCCATAACCACGGCAAGAAGAAGCGCGTCAAGGGCCTGTGGGACGTCAAAATTGAGCAACACCAAGAAGCCAATGACGACAACTACTACATCTGGCTATACGAGGGATCGCAGTGGAAAATGAAGCTCTATGCTGTTGGTGCGCTTTTCATGGTGATCGCCATCATCCTGTTCCCTCTGTGGCCCCTCGTGCTGAGACAAGGTGTCTGGTACGTCAGTATGGGTATGCTCGGCCTGATTGGACTCTTCTTCGCCATGGCCATTGTGCGCCTAATCCTCTTCATCATCACCATGTTCACCGTCTCTCCCGGTCTCTGGCTGTACCCGAATCTCTTCGAGGACGTGGGCTTCTTCGACTCCTTCCGCCCGCTTTGGGCATGGCACGAGGTAGGTTTCCACCAAGCAACCTTTCCTATGAACGGCATAATTAACGTGATATACAGACTCCCGAAGACATCAAGAACAAAAAACGCGCCAAGAAGGAAAAGAAAGCCGCCAAAATCGCTGCGAAGAACGCCGCCAACGGCCACGCTGGCAAGAAGGGCAGGAACCGCGGTACATCCCCCATGCCCGCGACCGCCGCCCCGGTCGGACCGCGCGTCGAAGACGTGACCGCAGGAGGTCGACTCGGCGCCCCAACCCACCGGCTCAGAGACAGACACCTGCGGGCTCACTCGTGCAACGGCAGCCGCAACGGGCGACTGTGGAGGAGGCGGAGGAGGACGAGTAGGTGTATATGGAGGGTTAGATTGGATTGGGCTACATAGCGGCACGGGGTTACTTGCATGGGTTAGCTGGCGTCATGGCGTGGCCTATAGGTGGCTTGGCTTGAGGTTCTGGCGATGGATGAATTTGATTTGTTATACTGCCTCTGTTAATGTGCTTGCGAATGTGGGCATGGACGAGACTGGTCATTGGTCTAACACGTACACACCAAAAAGTCAAAGCAGCTCCTCATTTCCCCTTTGTCGATACGCTTTGCAGTGAAATATTGAAGGCTCGTGGAGTCTACACATATGTGTACTTTCGCAAAGTCAATTGTATGTGCACAACCTCACGTAGTCACAAAAGCAGGAGCATGGACTCATAAAGTTACAGATCCCTGTCTCGCAGGGTCACCGCTTCAGGCCATCAACAAGGAGAATTCATAGAGTAGGGTGATGCTACTAGGTATCCTAAACTCCACGCCATGCAACCCGCCTTTTCCCCCAGACTCCATTACGCCATGCCATGAAAATAGCAGAAAATTCCGAAATCCGAAATCCGAAATCCGAAAGTTCACTTTCATGCTGCAGAAGGAGAGGGCTCACTGCCGTCGCCGCCACCAGCCGCAGGATTCAAGCCAGAATGTACGACGGGGCTCTGCGTGATTTGGCTCGTGGGGTTTTGTTCACTTAGTTGGCGCTCTATGTCGTGGTTAGCCTGGAGGACGTTTCATGCTGAGCAGACATCTGAAACTTACCAAGCTCGCGGATGCGCATCTTAAGCATCTGGTTCTCGCGCGTAAGGTTCTGCGTTTCAGCTTGATAGAAGGCGCTCTCGTCGCGTCCGGTCGCTGAGCCGGGCAGCATGTCGTTGTAGTCGTGCACGCCGCCAATACCAGACATAGGGCGTAGGGCTGGAGAGCCAGTGTGACTTCCGCCGCGGGACCGATCTGCGAAGGAAGACTGGCGGCTTATGCTGCCTCGGTTGAGGCCGAGGGGTGAGTATGAGCGCTGCTGGCTAGTCATGGGGAGCGGGGAAATGGGCATAGGCGATATAGCTGCGTGTGAAGGATGACCAGAGTGTGGGAGAGACATGGAGCGCTCGGACGTGGGCGTGCTGTCGTCGACCGCGGAGGAGGATGGCTGCTGCTGGTTGGCTTGGAGGGTGGATATCTGAGCTTGCTGTTGGCGGATCATGTTGAGTAGGCGGTTGACTTGGCCCTCCTGCTCGTACTCGATCTCCTGGTGCAGCTCACCCAGACTTGGTGCGCGCTCACGGTGTGGACTGTGAGGTAGACCTGCAGTGCGGCCTGAAGGACTGCGCGGCTGCATCTCGCCTGGTGCTGGAACAGCAGGATCGTTGAGGTTAAGGTTCATGCGGACGCTTGATCGACGGCGTGCTCGCTCGACTTCTCGTCGCATGCTACCAGACGAGGGACGGCGTGTCTCTTCGTTTTGGATACCAGCATTCATCGCAGCGGTTGCAGCTAGCGAGTGCGGGGATGAGGCCATGGTTCGTGAGGCTGATGGGGACTGGTTGCGCGACGTGCCGTTGGATGGAGACTGGAGCGGGGAGGGCGGCAGGCTGTTGATGTCAGGCGGCATGTCGTGGAAAGCCTAATCGAATGTTCGTGAATGTAGGGATGCTGAGTGGTTTGATCTCTGGTCCCGTGACGAGCCCGAGACTGGAGATAGGTTCGTTTGTGAGGCGGTGGAGTGATTCTGGAGCTTCGTAGGTTCACCCCACCATGACGATGCATCGGATACAGGCCCGTGCACGCTAAGCCTCACCTCGCTCACCAGGTGGGGATGGTTGCAAACCATGTGCGTGCAACAAGCCGTGTGTTGAGATGCATGTCTTCGAATGTAATTTACGGTAGGTTCGCATCTCAGTCAGCCTGCAGCAGTCGCAAAATCCTGATAGCTTGCCTCTGCACAGTGGGGCATCAAGCTAGCAGCAGCTGCCTGCGCTCCACCAACGCTAATGTCAGGTACAGACACCAAAGAGAGCCGGACTCGGTCTATACATATCAATGCGGGTCCGCCCTGCGCCGTTGGCACCTCATCTAACGTTTGTTGACAGTCACGTCCATAGGTAGAGCCCGACGCGACTACGCTGGCGCCAATAGAGTCCAGCCGTAGCAGCTCCCGTACTCGACGTCTATTCCCAGCTCGGCATCCTGGGACGACGGCTGGAAGTCAAAGTCTGCGCGTCAATGACCTGCTGCACGTCGCCATCCTCGGTCACACTGACACTCGTGCGAGACACCACGCGTGGGACTCCCTTCTGCCTAACTCTGTACGCTTTGAGGCACTGTGCGACTCGCGACATGCGACGAACGCGTCGCACGCTGCGAGTGCTGCGCAGAACGTGCGAGCCGCCAGCGAACTGCAAAAGTCGACGATCATATCGGCAGGCATCCATGGCATCGATCAATTTATTGACAAAACTGTCGGCGACGTGCCCCGCCGCACTCTAGACGCGTCCTGATCGGCCTGCAGCCCCTCGGGATCAATCACGCTGTCGACAATCTAACCCTGGTTATCCATTCAATTTGCGCTGTTCGGGCTGAGGGTGGGCCAGGAGTGCTCTCGAGGCCATGCGTGGCCCCGCCATGTTGGTGAGGCCTGCAAAGAACTGAACAGGGTCCGTCCGCAACCACATCAACTCCTCCTGAATCTCCCAAACACTGCTCGAAGCTTCAAGAATAAACTGTAAAGAGGCGACGTTGTGGCCCAAAACACGCCGGCCCTGCGCGGGAAGACCGTCCGTTCCACTAGTATCTTGGCCTGGGCCTAGTGCGACGCCATCACATAATTTCCAACCTTCGTAGCAAAAGGGGGATCACCTAGGAGCCCCTGCGACATCCGAGTCACACAAGCCGACAACCATGTTGCTGTTCCCTGCCCAGCCTGTCCAATCTGTCCGTTTTCTGCGGCAGCTAATGCTGCCACTTCCTCCGCTGCTCTCCGCGACTCTGTCAGTGTGGTCGACTTGTTTCACTCTTCTTCTTTCATCTGCTGTGCTGTCCTTAACTGTAGCGCAATCGCCCCGGGGGCCCATGTCCCGTCCTCATCGTTTGAAAATCGTTTCTGCTTACCACTATAGCCGCCTGGTTATACCACGCTCATTGAACACGTCTAACTTGCAAGCAACTACCACTCTCTCTACTCACGGACTGATCACCACAATACCTAGCCACTCGCCAACCTTCCACGGCACTTCCGAGCTTTACAAAGCGACATCTTACGGGAAACCATCCGCCTGGTTCAAGGAGCAAGCCTACCCTGTCGTTGCTCTATATTGGAAGCACGAGTCGCCGCGCGACCCATTTGCGCAATTCCGAACCCAACATCCGGCCACCCCATATACACTGGCCGACTCTTCCATCACCATCTGTCTCTCTGAGACTTTTTGCTGGCTCCGAGTAGCCAAGCACGCCTATGGCTCTCTCCTCATCGCAAATTTACGTAGCCACCTACAGCACAGGTGCAGAAAAGATGAACACCACCAGCAACGCGAGGAAGGAAACTGCGCATACCTCACGATGGCGGTTCGGCCGATCCACTACTAACCTTCGAGATTCCGACTCGCGAGCATCTGGTCGAACCTCTTCCACCCGTCGCGACGCTTCACCTCCACCAACTGAGCCAAAGGTTGAACGATCTGCTTCAAAGATGTCACTGTTCAGCCTGTTCAGCAAGCCCAAGGTAGAGCGAGCTCGCGGCCACACAGAAGTCGGTCTTGCGGTGCCAATGCGACCACAAACTCCGCCCAAATCCCAACCACTGGTATCGGCACCCAAATCCTCGTTGCGACAAAATCCTTCACCGCCCGCCCAACAGACCATACGAGCCCGCTCAAGTCAAATGTTCACCAGACCCATGTCTATGCGGCCGCCGCCACCACCGAAAGAGTTTGGAAGTTGGGACCCACCTCCACTTTTCCAAGCCTTTCCACAATCCGTCAAGCATGCCACCGTACAAGCATGTGTGTTCGCTCCAGAGATGTTGATGAGAACACAAAGTCAAAGACGACAGGCCGAAGTGCTACGAGAGAGGATGGACAGCGTTCGCGACTTGTCTATCATAGAAGAGGATGGATCAGAGGCCAAGCGATTGGAAAAGACCCACAAGCGACTTATTTCGAACTCGGTCCTCAATCCGCCCGCACCAGACCTTGTTAACAAGATCTACATCCTAGTCACAGCCGGCTATGTTCTGCAGTACGCTGATGATGGTTCATTCGACCGGAAACCTGAGAAGGTATTGAAGTTGGGTAAAGAATCTGCGGCATTTGCATGCGATCTCATCCCGGGCAAGCACTGGGTACTACAGATATCAAGTCACGCCCACGACGACGGCACGCCTGAGACTGGACCCAAGAACTCGCTCATATCGCGGCTCCGCACACAAAATGCCGCTGTGAAAAAAGCAGCGACCAGTTTCCTGCTAGTCCTTGACAGTGCAGAAGAGATGGATGCATGGATGACGGTAGTGCGTAAAGAGATTGAAAATCAGGGCGGCATGAAAGTGCGTGCAGAATCCAGCCGTGCATCATCGTCGACGGACGATACCCGGGAGACGAGGTCTAGTGACACCACTAGCCATCGATATCGTGTGCAGCGCGATTCAACTGCGCCGAGCAAAATTGTGCCCATTGATTCACCCCTGCAGTCACAGTACAGCTCTCCGAAGATCGTGACCTCCGAGTGGGCATCGAACCGGAGTGAGCGGACGGCGAGCATTGCTGAGTCCTCTAGTGGACAATCAAATCGGTATGCCACTCAACGACAATCCATGGAATCATCAGTAGTAGGAACGCCGGTTTCACAAGATCAGATCCAGCTCGATTCTCTCCGCGGTCGTTCACGGTTCTCCTACATGTCAAATGCGACATCAATGTCCGGTACTGGCACACGAAGCACTTCACGAGAATCATCTCCCCCCAAGTCGCCTTTCCAGGAGAACATGCCAGTGGACACAGAACCGACACGAAGCGCCATGTCGCTGAAATCTTTCCACATGAACCCCAGTAGTAGTGTTGCTTCTCGACGCAGATCGATGCAACCCCTTCCGGTGACCAATGAGCACTTCACGCAGCCAGCAGGTCTACCTACGATGCGTCACTCTCTCTACGGTCCCGCCTCGCCTACTATGATAGACCATAGACGGCCGAGCGCTGTAGACACAATTATGTCAGTCGAGGAGCCCACTGCCCCGGAGCAAACGCAAACTGCTGAAATTTCGGCAACGCCTACGACCATTGCTGTCCGCCCTACGCGTCCAGAGATTCAGACTACTACGCTCAGTCAAGCACCCGTCTTGCAACAGGCGCCGACTCGTGCGGAAAGTCCTGTCCGCAACAAACTTCGCAGCTACAGCCTTCCGCCTCGAAGGGACATGGTCTCTCCGCCGCCTAAGGGCCCAGCGCCATTGCCTCCTCCGTCAGTGTCACGCCGACAATCGAGCCTGGGCGGTCCTGCAAATGCATCTACAACACCCATTTCAACCTCAGACGCAAGGATCCAACGGCGAGTATCTGCGAATCCTAAACCATTTCTTCGACCCTTTCCAGTTCGGCCTCAACAACAGCATGCAGATCCGTCTAAGGCTGTCCCACGCCGTCTCTCGTCCTTCGGTCAAACGTCTGGCCCTGCTCCTATGCGATTGAGCCTCAATGCCAATCGTGCCGTGACTGCACCTGTAAGGCCTCCATCGTACTCACCGAACATGGGCCCAACTTCCCATCCGCAATCGTATCAGTCAGCAAATCCACCAGCATATCCTCGTCGCCAATCTGTGCAGGCCCGTACGTCCCCTGCACCATTCCTTCTCGCGCCATCACGACCTGTAAGGGCTATTTCTTCGACGCCGTCCTTCGTACCAAGCAGGCGAACTTCGAACCCACAGGAGCTTGCGCCTACCCAAAGTCAGCAACCCTCATCCAGCGCTTTGAGAGAACACATCCCCGCGTCATTTGAGATGAAGTCTGTTGCACCCAGGCGAAGCATGCCGGCCATGAATCTCCCTCCGCCTGTTCCACCTCCAAACATGCCTCTGCCTACACTACCGCCTGCGTCATCGCCTCCCACAATGGCTCTGCCTCCGCCACCTTCGGCATCTACCACGAACATCGCCATACCCGGCCCTCCTCCATCCATGCCGCTGCCCGCGCCGCCACCAAGTGCGCCTCTCCCACCCACACCACCACAGCTCCGAGCATCACAAGAAATCTCCGTATAATGTTTCAGTCAACCTGCATATATTGTGCACTTTCCTTTCCCGGCCTATTGGCGTTTTATCGTTACCAGGAGGAGGCAGATAAAACAACCCCACATGTCATGTCCGTCATGCCCAGTATATTTTTCCTTTTTTACGTCAAACTTTATTCGGCGCTCGATACCACTTTTGCTTTCCAGACACCGGTTTTCCTTTTTGGACTATACTATGTACTATCACACAATCTCCTATTCGATCTTCGTACTCGCTTGCTTTTTAGACAAGGTAGCTCCATGGTTTAACTTTTACGCTGGACGATATTGGCTTGGGGGAACCTCGGGGACTTAGGGGGTCTAGAATAGGCGCGAAAAGCTCTTTGCTTTTTCAAGCAAATGTATTACCAAAAAGCCCTGAAAAAGGCTCATTCTTCCCACACCAAGGAATTCTGAAGAAGAAAAAAAATGCATACAATCTACTCAATACTTTTGCCGTTCCTGCTAATCTATTCAATACTTGCTTCCCACCGGCGCCTTGCTGCCAATTTATTGAAACGTCGCGCAATTGCTGATGACTTGCATGCGTCGGCCCTTATGCGATGTTATTTATTAATAACGCGGGAAGCAACGGCGGACGAACGCGCAATACGGTGACGCGAACGCGAACGTGTGTCCGGGCGTGGTTTGTGTCAGGACGCGAAGACATCCTTGGGGGTATATGTGCGGTGGGGGTGCGGGGATTGTGGACGGAAGTAAAGCCGAAGGGAAGCGAGTGGTGGGAGGGTAGGGAGCGGGTGGAGATAGCGAGAATGGCAGTTCTGGGTATGTAGAGTAGAGTAGAGTAGAGTAGAGTAGAGTAGATGGACGCAGAGTTCGTGATCCGCGACTGATAGAAGACTGAAAATCTATGTGTCCAACCGAACAGTTCCCATGCGCCGAAACAGGAATACAACGGAATGTACAAGTGGGGTATTCAATCCAAGCACTCCCAACCCATCCAAAAACAAGAAATAAATATCAGTCAGTCTCAAGAGGTTCAAACTCATATCCTCCTACCCTTCTATTCCTCGTCCCTCACCCCCTCCACCTCCAACCCCCTCAACCTCTGGCTCAACAATCCCGCACTCGGCGGACTCGTCGGACTCGCCATCCCTCCGTACCCTACATCCCCTCTACTCAGCTTCTCGAACGTGCCAGGGCTTCCCAGCCCAGATTTTGGCGACGCAACGGGCGTTTTGAAGGGCGGTTTAGTGTCGATGTCCATGTGGTCGCGGGACACGGGGCGGGACTCGATGGCTGCGAGGCGCGTGAGACTAAACGGTATTGGCTGCAGATCCGGAAGCGGAGAGTTGAAGCTGCTGGATGTCGAGTTTCCGCCGGTAAATTTGAGGGCGGGAGGTGGTTGGTTTGGGCGTTGCGCGAGGCCGTCGATTTGATCGTAGGTTTGTTGGGGACGGGAGAGGGGCCATGCTGCGCTGCGGCGGCGGTTTGCTTTGTCGGATATGATTTGCGGTGAGGCGTGTTGTGCGGCTGCGGAGTCGCGCATGGGTTTGTAGGTGCTGTATCTGGGCTCTGGGAGTTGGATCTCGTTTCGGAGTTTCTCTTTGCCGTCAGGGACACGGTTGGCGAATACGACTCGGATGCTCTTGTACAGATAGTATCGACCTTTATATGGGCAGCATATGTGTAGATGAATAAGGTATCGCAGGATCGGCCGGTCGTTGGGGTCTTCTGAATTGCTGAGTGCGGCTTCAGGACGATTCGTGCCTAGATTCTTCCGTGATTGCGTTGGCATGTCGATGATAGGACCTGCGGAATAACTACGCTGCCTAATGAATGTCTTTTGTCCAGGCTCCATATCGGAAAGGTCGTAAGGGACAAGGAAAAGCTTGACTGCAGTATTGTTGGGGTTTTTCAGCACGATTTGCAACTGACCCTGCGCTGGTATGCGATAGCTGCCACCTGGAGGTGCTTTCGGGGAGGCCGACCTTCTTTTTCTCTTCTCCTTCTTGCGCAAATCATCCTTCGTGTCTCGATCCGTATTTTGAGTCGAACGTGATATCCGGAAATCAAGGTCATCTTGATCTGGCGCTGGTACAGCATGTCGGCGCTTGCGCTTGCTGCTTTCATTACTCTGATCTCCCGCAGGCAAAGAGTTCTCGAGGTCTACAAGACCCACATACGGGCTTGGCTCGTTATCTGATATTCTACCATTGCCAGTGTTGTAGCTGTAGAACACTGCAGGGAATGGTACTGTTACGTGCGGAGGACACTTAAGGCTAGACTTGCATTGACCTTTTCCAAGTACGCCAATTTTGGCGACAAAGTCCAATGGTCTCGATGGCGTGGTGGACATGCGCCCTCGTAATATGGATTCCTCATATGACCCTACCATCGGGGCATGCTGCAGTGGAGATGCTTCCGAAGAGATGGATGGCCGCCGCGAGTTAAGAAAGGGGCTTTGTGGGCTTGAAAGGGAATGAGGCTGGTTGAAGGTCATGGACCGCCTCGGTTGATGCGCTTGGTAAGGTATAGACCCTCCATATCGAAGATGTCGCGCTGCTGGGGTGCCGGATATCGATCGAGCCATGGGTGTTGTCTGATAAGTCTGAAATGATGCTGGCGAGAAAGTGTGGCGCCTATTGTTGCGATCTGGACTTCTGGATCCTTGTCGGGAGCTTGGTCTTGAGGAAACGTCTAGATCTGGATTGTTTGCTGCGTGCACAAGAGGACTTGTAGGAGGCAGAAAGGCGAAAGAGCCTCCTGACGATTGTGATATTGCCCTCGCCCTAGACACCGCTCGGGGTTCTTGCCCAAAGACAGTGTCAAATGAGTATGAGGTCTCGTTGTGTTGTGTTGAATAGGCCGCTGTGGGGAACGAGCGATCCCACGGAACTACAGGAGACGTTGCTAAGTAAAGGGTTGCAGATGCATCTGCTCCGGAGCTTCCGTCTTGTTTCCTCTCTCTGAAGTCCCCCGAATGTAGAGCAGACCGGGGTCGCTCGATCTCAAGCCCGGCAGCGGCAAAATCTCTAAGGGGATCTGGTGTAGACATGCGTGAGGGCCTAAGTTCCGCAGGAGCTAGCAAAGGACTTGTTGGCTGATCCCGAGGACTGGGTCGTGATCCTGAACCATGGTCCTGGTCGCGCTCGATCTGTACTGCATCAGCGGCTGTAGAAACTTATGCAACGAGGACCTTAGTCTCGTAGTATAGAAGGTAGATGACGCACGTCTAGGCCCTGCTGCCATACCGGGCTTTTGGACCGCTTAAGTCTCTCTATCAATTCTATGCGACCCATGTTGATTGGTTTTCGATCACTCTCATGCAGCTCTGGGTTCATTTTCGACTGTGTTGCTCGACCCGCACTGCACCAATACCTGGACTCATCCAGTTGCAGTGTATCTGGTTCAACGCTTGGAGAATCTGCTGTTCGTCGTCCACCAAATGACGTTTGCCGGGGTGACGACTGCCGCGGCGGACTGTCATACGGATCATGGAAGATGGGCATGCTGATGACAATGTATCGCAACAAATAACACGAAGAGAAAGTTACAAGACAATATGAAGAGAGGTGGCAAGCTTATGGAGCCGACCAGCGCAGAGCACTGAGATGGCGGCGGGGACAGGTCTAGCGGTTGGAGCACTTGCTGGCCCGAGGAGTCATGAGTTGAACTTTCCGAGCTCATCAGAAGTGCGTTGGCTGCAGTGGATACATCATTGCGCGGCGAATCTGACAAGATTTGATACGAAACGTCGTGGAATTCCCGGCTGGCAGAAGGTGCGAAAGAGGATCCGGACAGGGTTGAGACAGATGACGCGCTGCGATTCTTGACAAAGGCGTGACCAGGAATTCCCCAATCGCAGCTGATAAAGTTCCGCGCGGCTCCAGACCGGTTTTGGCCGAAACTCTGGGGCTGGGCAGGTCACACGACGAGAAAGCGCTCTGCATATACCCGCACAAAGCGGATAGCCTGCGTGCAGTGTTGCGGGAGCGCCCAAAACTGAGCCATCTTCTCTGCCGCGGCGCTCGCGCGATATGACTGGCCGAGAGCGCCCCCACTTTCAAGGGCTTGGCGAAGATTTCCATCGCGTCCACGGCTCCACCTGACGACGCTCTGCATTTTCCGTACAAGACGACATTTCAACCAACATAATGGCTTCCAAACGACCGCATGAAGATGATTCAACCAAGGCGGTTAAGAAGCAAAAGAAAGGCTTCTCCGTAGGGCCGGCAAACTTGCCTGATGGCACGCACCGTCGTAAAGGCATGTGCCGCCATATCAATGGCCCATACACTGTGCATATGCTAACAGATAATCAGTGAAGAAAATCAAGGAGAAGCTTATACACAAGGCAAAGCTCAAGCAGCAGTACGCGAAGCTAAAGGCGCGACAAGAGGATGAACCTCGCAAGTCTGTCTATGACCGCGCTGCCGAAGCTAGTGATGCTGCCGACGACGATGACGACGATGAGCCTGCTGAGCCGGTACCGGTGCCCAGTCTTGAGCCGCATCCTGATCGGTTGAAGATGCTTGAGGAAAAGTCGCCAGAGCCTACGCCAGCAGAGCGAAGGCAACGACGGCCTCAGGCCCAACCCTTTAGGAAGGAGGAAGAGGTCGCGAAGAAGAAGAGAGAAGAGGCAGAGGCGCGGCAGAGGGCGAGGGAACAGGCTGAAAAGGAGCGCGCATCGAAACTCGCTGAGCGAGAACGCTTCCGCAAAACCATGGCGAAGGCGAGGGGAGGACCGAATGGCAAGAGGAAGCTGGGCCGGGAAAGCACAGTGCTACTTGCAAAAGCGCAGAGAATCATGGGCAAGACTTGAAGGCTGGCCACTTCGAACATGCTCGAGATGCCGTAAGATGCCGATCACGCGGCATCGCCCCAACGCCTCCTTTCCCATGCGACCGTCCTATCAGCCCTATGAGCCAAACTACACTATAAAGGGATGCGTGAGATGCACCTCTGGTGCGCAAGTCAGCGTGGCACAATAGCTTGGAGACCTCGCCCGCCTTGCTCGGCAGCGGTTACCGGTGAGCGGGTGGCTGAGATCATGCAATATCCTACCCTGATACTATGGAGGCTGGGACCGTGCTATATATGGTATCCCATCAAACGGAGGATTTGATCTGCTTTTCGGAACTTGGTACGCTTACACGTGAGTTGTGGCTTCCCACCGTTCAACGTTGCACCTGCAGCTTTACCATCAGCCCTAGCGTAAATAGCGGTAAAGAACAGCGTGCCTTTCTCCACATTGGGACGCTCACAGCCGAGCGTGGGTTTTTACAAGATACCGGTCCGGCAAAGCCAATCAATTACACCTGATGTTCCGAACATGCAGGTTTTAGTGTCCACGTCATCTCAAACCCGCAAAGTACCTGGTGGCGATATGTGTCTGTCTTCGGCGTTAGTGACCGCTCGTCTCGCGTCACGGACAACGATAAGCACCGAAGACTAGATGTTTGACATTGGAGCCGAAACTGTTCTAATGTTGATTCCTGAGCCATTATCTGTTCGGTAGAATGTCGGAGGAAGCGTTGGAACGGCAGTCTAACCTGTTCAGGTGGTGCCCTCCTACCCTCATTCTGAACTTTACCTCCTGTCGTACTTCGCTGTCTGTCTTCTTTCACGACAGCCACTTTCCGGAAAACAAGTCATGTTCGTCGTCTTGTGCTTGTTAGTTCCAAGTGTGTTGCCCTCACCGATTCAACCACATGTCAGGCACACCTTGATTTTATAACCGCAAGCGCAAACCTCAATAACCATCGAGCCACATCGAGGAAGCTGCCAGTACTGCAGCATGAATCACAGCCATGATCTATGCACGAGGCTGCTCGAGGTGCGCACGCACAGTGCCGTGAACGGTCGAGACTTGAATTCGGTGATGATCATGTGCATTTCTCCGGTCAGGCGTTCAGCGGCAAAAAGTGATGCATCTGTCCATATTGCGACCTGATCCATCTTCTCTCACATACACAGCCCTCCACTTCCCACAAACGTCTATGCGGGCTGGCCCGGTCACTCTTCCAACTAGACTTGTGTCACCATGACATGTGCCGGTCTCTGTCGTGGTCTACCATTTGCACATCGTCGAAGCGAACCATGCATCTCTTGTGGAGCAATGATCCGAGTGATCGGTGTTCAAACATTCAATCCGAGTATTTCTAGTCGGTGTTCTTATGGCCTTCCATTGAGGAATACAATGGGTCCTGTGTAGCAATAAGCTAATTTCCGAATTTGGTGTAAGATGGCCCGATTGAGGGTCAGTCCACATTTAGCGGTGAATAGACCTTGCAGCCCTACATAGACGCCACAACATCGGCCCCTAGCTCAAAGATGGGGGCATCATCTACGGGCCATCAGACAGTGCACTAATCCCACGCGTCAATGTTAGCCTGGAAAGCCTCGCTGCAACGCATGGGGCAGGATTAGTGGCGGAGGACCCTAGGCTCGGGTCATGTACGTGAGCACGCCTGCAAGCCTACCGAGCGCGGGACCCACCAACTACATCCTCTTAGAGCATGCTCCCACGCAGGATGATGTGCTACGCCAAATCCCGGTCATAACACATCCAAGCCTCGTGCGGTATGTTCCTGTCCTACACTAACCTGACCTCTTGTTTTGAAAGTACTCTCTCCCCTTACTCGCGCTTGCATGCATAACATCTCGAATAAGTCCTGCCTCTACACCTCAGGCTTACTTACGACTGTTGCTCCTTGTTACCATTATTGCCTCAGGTTCACATTTTCGATTCAGCACACACAAGACTTGCGTCGAATCAGTCACGCCAAAAGCGCACCAAGCGTATTCATTCAGTCATCATGCAGTCCTCAAGTCGACAACCCCGGAAGTGGACATTGGCAGAAGATCAAAAGCTACGAGAGGAAGTTGAGGCTCAGGGTATGTACTCATCGAGCTTTCGCAATACTCCTTTTGATACGAATGCTTCTCGGTTACCCGCATCTAACGTTTGCTTCTACAGTGGTCGATAATGGCGAGGTGAAAGACTGGTAAGAAATCTTTTACAATGCATGATTATTCTCTAATGCAAGTCGAGACTAACTCAGCTTAGGTGTAGAGTCGCAGCCAGTCTTCACGGGAGGACGAACAAAGATTGTCGCAAGAGATGGCACAACTCCGTCGCGGGAGGTTTGAAGAAAGGACAATGGTCTAAGAGTGAAGACGAATTACTTGCAAGAGCAGTACAAGAACACGGGCAAAGGTACGAGGAGTCATCATACTTACCTTTAGGTACTGACTAGTTGTATAGATGGACTCTCGTTGCAAACTGTGTGGAGTCACGGAGTGCAGACCGTAAGTGCCTCTTTATGGATACCTATCAGCAAAATACGAGACTCATCATAATGTAGAGTGTGCGAAGCGATGGCAGCAGTCACTCGACCCAGAGCTTGATCACAGTGAATGGCGAGACGAAGAGGTACACGAACTCAACTATCTTTGGAGGGCAATTTACTAATCAGTGACCAGGATCGCATCCTTATCGAGGCAACACAACAGCTTGGAAGGCATTGGAAAGACATACAACGCGAGCATTTCCCAGGGCGATCAAAGAACACAATTAAGAACCGGTACGTATCTTTTGAAAGCTGTGGATTATGTACTGACAGATCTCAGCTACACTGTACTCGTCCGAAGATATCAAAACCAAGGCATATTTCTCCCCAGCCGAGGAAGCTCACCATCAGACTCCAGCACACCCGGACCTCTCTCGAATTATGCTCTAGACGACGAGTACTCGTACCATGCCTCGAACTCCTACAACACCCTAATGCCACCTCAACACCACGGCACATCAGCAGGCAGCCACCGCTCCTGGTCCAGCCTGGACAGCGAAGCAGCCATTTCCGCATGGTCGCACCCACCCGACTACTCGCTCCCCATAATTTCTCCGACACCCAACATGACAGGACAACCTCTGCCCGACTACGCACTTACACCCCACCCACACGCACTCACACACTGGGACTGGCCCGCCAACGCAATGCACGCCCGCTCACCCATCTCCTACAACGCCCACCCTGCGCCGCAACATTACGACGACTATGCATTGCACCCTCCACTCGCGGCCAGATCGAATGCGCGCGCCAGCTATCCTGGCGTCTTGCCGAACGCGGTGCCGCCTAGTAACCTGCCTAGAGCCCGTGCTTGGTCGGAACAACAGAGCCATGATTCGCTCGCGGCCGCGACGTATGAGGATCCCGGGCTGCTGCAGCAGAATCCTTTGTATCGCTTTTGAGGCTGTGCAATATGTATGGAGTGGTAATGGGACAGTAGCAGCTTTCGGTCACCGTCACAGTGTCGAGGACGCGGTCTGTTTGATGTAATAGGATAACGTGCTTAGTTGTAATCAACTCACATAGTATACCCACTTTTCACCATTTTGATTCTTTTGCGATGATGAAGCAAGCGTGTTTTGAGAGTTTGTGTTTCAGGCGTGCTGTGTGGTCATGTACACAGCCACGCTGCGTCGGGCACTACTCGACAAGCAAAACCTTCCATTATCCACGCGAGACTTGGCAGATTCCAAATTCCAATTCTGAAATTCTCTGGAGTCGGATGTCATGTTTTACTCCCCTTTTCGCAAGTCGCGTTTCGAATCAGCCATGTCGGAAGCCACGACCCGACATACAACTAAACAGAGTTTCAGTGTCGTAATGGGACCGAACGACACTAGCCCTCGGCCGCCCCGATTGATATTCCTTAACGCTTCTAGTGCAACTTGGCTGCTGGTAAAAGCTTGACCCGGTGCACGCATGTCTGCCTATCCCGTGCCGGAACTCCAGTCCGCTACCAGTCCAGCGGGCCTATTCGGGTACAGGGGGCAGGCGAATAGATGTTCAGCGTGACGGGTAGCTGCGAGGTGATGGACAGGTCCCAATGCAGATGCATGCAGGCTGTCGCTTGATAGTAAGGTTGACAGGTACAGACGCGTGGCAAGGTTGACTGGAGGATCTGGGAGAGTGAAGGGAAAGAAAAGGAGCTAGAAGGACGTCGATGGTATGATCACCCCGTCTCGAGACCCTGGGGATGGTTCGGTCTGATTACATGATTGTTCGGATGGTGCTTCTAGGTCTCTAATATGAGCATGTCATTCACTCAAGGGTTTTCGTCAATCTTGGATGGGACGATCAGATCGTGCCGAACGGTCTTGACAGACTTGACTTTGCGGAAGATGATGGCAGGTCTGGTGGGTATTCCGGTTTGATATGATTGGAGTCAGATTTACCGTTCCACGCGGGAGCTTTACAGTGCATGTACCTATATGTTACTGAGAGCTCATTAATAATGCTAGTCAATTGTGACTCTTGAGCACATGTTCGCATGTGGTCTGCGAGCTGACCTATGATGATGTGAGACTGTGTATGGTCAAACCACCAGACAGCAAGTACGAAAGAATGAAGTTGTGCGAGACTTGAACTGCCCCGATTGGTCGAAACTTTCAGTACCCGTGGAGATGTATCGAATTCGGCGATACCCAGTGAAGTACCGGAAGCAGACAGCCATGTGTTAATACCCGCCCGCATGAAAAGCAACATCCGCTACATCGGAATGTGGGGTTCTCTCTCATAATCAGGGCTAATTAGTGCTATCAGTGTAATGTGGTTTTGTGGTGAAACAAGACAGCAGTGATGTTGGAAAGCCTTGTAGTCCGCCTTACAGGGGTTGGCGATGAATAAGCTTTTGGCAACGGCCGCGCTAATGACCCTCAGGGAATTGGCTGCTGCGGCACGCCTTATGTCAATAATCTTGCTTTGCTTATGGTATTTGGCTAGGTGATCTATCTGGTGCTGAGTTCGATCGGCGCGACTAATGATAGAAGGGGGAGGGTCTTCGAGCGATACGCAATGTAGGAAGTATTGTCAGCTGCTTAGTATGATGGAATGTACGCGTGGATCATTGCTTGCGTGAAGCACGGCATGTAATGACATCTTGCATATGAGGAAGACGGGCAGTCGGGCTTCTCGAATGATGCAGGAGTTGTGTTTTCCATCCGACACGATCGGAGCATATCAGCTGATTCACCACAATTGGGTAAATCCTCCGAATGGGTTCAGAGATGTTTCCGCAAATCGCAACCACTGTGCATCTTCGAAAGTCTCTTGCTTTCCTCCGCTGTTGGCTCCTTTCACCATTCCTCAAACTCGACTGGCTTAATCTGATGCCATGGAATATACAGATCTTTCGAGACCTGATCTTTGACGTTATCAGTGACGTGCTTCAACACGCCATCAGCATGGTGTGGGACTTCCAGGAAAAAGAGCCCGTTTATATGTTTCTCTTCACTCTCGGACTTCTCAATTGTTCGATACATGCCGCGTATCATTTTCAGCTTGTTGTACGGCGTAAGCTTCATCCAGTCTTCTGTGTTGTTGTTGAAGTCTAGCTGGAATCCCGAATTCCTCGTATCGTGGACGACCCTCGCGCCCTGGCTTTTGGCACGGATAACGCAGCTGAGCTCGTTCATAGTCAAACTCTAGATCCGGGGTTTTCAGACGCGTTTTACGATTCTCCGAGGTGGTATCGCTACTATTGTTCGACTCCTGCTCCTCGCCTTCTGTCCCGAATAGCCTCGAGCGCTCTGTACTTATTCGCTTCTTCGGCTTCTCATCCTTACTTGTAGACTACTTCCTCTTTCTACTTTCTTTCATCGTTGCATTTTTGGTGCTTTCCTCGAGTGGAGGTAGGTCTGGCCTAAAGTTCTCCTTATTCTGGGCAGGGAGGGACTTCAGCATCTGCTCAAGTCGTTGCATTGCCTCGAGTTCGCGGCATTGTGAAACGTTGAAGCGGACTACTTGAGCGCAGATATATGATTGAAGCTAGATAGTAACACAATGGAGAAAAGATATGATTCTCTGTCGATAGAACGCGTTGATTCGCCTAGATTCGGAGCGACCCCCTGACTGCTCCTAATCCGCATTTCGGCTTCCTGAACAATTCCACCCCTTCAACACCATCTCAGTAGCGCACACATGTGATGACTGGCAGAATCTCCACTTCACACGTGCGAATCAATGCCGACGTTACAACAAAATTAGCCATCGCGGTTGGCTGCATGAGCGTACCCTTCTGCGACCACATGGTTGCATCGAATGCCCTGCAGTAAGCGCTCCGCCACAAGTCCTTTCGAACATCGGTTCGCCGAAAGGATGGCCTTAATGCGACCAATGACCGATGATCTGCGAAAGTGGATGTTCCGGTCAGGGTAGTGCTAAGCTGTGTGTGCCTTGCGTGGCAAAAGTGTCAGTGCATCTCGCTTGGGCGCCTGGTAGTTATCGAAGAGGCTGTGTTCAATAAAGCATCTCTCAAGATAATGTAAGTCTGTGTCGTGATGATGTACTGGAGGATTGAGGCGATGGAGTGTAATCACCGTAGTGTATGTTCCACTGCGCGAATGCTGAAATTGCATGCGACTGTTGCATCTACTGCCCGGTAGTTCCAAAGTCCTGGCACTCGGCTATATCGGATAGTGTGAAAAGAAGCAGTTTGTGCCTTCCGTGTTCACGAAAACTAGAAAGCATGCATCACTAAAAAATGGTATAGACATATTTTCTGTCGAACAAACACATTAACCAAATGCATATGATGTATCATGATTGTTGCTGCCCAATCACTAGCTCAAGCCCCACACCTAAGATGATGAGAAAAAGGGCAAAAAAAGAATCGTCAAGCCCGATGCGGGGGTCGAACTAATGAGAGCTGTTAGGTCATGGTACTGAAACACGAAGGTGGTAATGCTTACCCCGCAACCTTGAGATTGGATCAATCGCTTTCTGAGAAAGTGAAACCTAAGAGTCTCACGCTCTACCGATTGACTGGGAAGTTGTTAGATGATGTTGGTTGAGGGAATGTTAGATGAACGTACGCTAACCAGGCTGGTAACTATTGATGGAGACATTCTAAATTAGCTACAATATGTAGATGTCTTTTTATGCTTGTGTGCGACATGATGGTTGGCGAGATGTAGCGGAAGAAAAGTTTTGTGCCCCGCACGCTACCAAAATTCACATCTGCAGGTGGGGCCTGGATGGGAAGACAAGCGATAATGTTACCCTTGCAGGCCAATATTTGAGATCTACTCCCTGTATCAGTCGTTGCGAGACATACCTGAAATCTACCATCTCTTTACTAAGTGTTCTCGAGGAAAGAATTGAAACACCATGAATGTACATATGACACAGCCACATTGTGACTATAGGTACACTTCGTTGCTGTCTTGCATGTAGGGAGGCGCACATGTAGTATGCTGACTTGATGCCTCAAGAATGACATTAGAAGTGTCCGAGAAGTAGAAAAAAATGAAAGTCCATTTGTCGTCCATGTCACTCGCCTCTCACGACTGATATTGCGCACCGGCATTTGCGAGAGAAGCGACAAAACAGTTGTCTTATCGACAATGAGAGGCGACGATGGTATTGAATAAAACAAATCAACTTATATAGTAAAGCTCAGCCATCGAGTGGAGTTATTAGGTGATGCTACAGCTGGCCATGAGCTCATCCCATTTTTGGTCGCAGTGGGATATGTATGTTTCCTCCTCTCCGGGCTTTGTTACGTTCCTCCGTGCGGTCTCTCCAGGCCGATGACTGAATGTCGTCTTCAGCTGATTCGCCTGCCTCAGTTTCCTCAGTATGCTCATCATTCTGTTCCTCACGGTCTTTCTCTGGCTCCTTTTCCATCTCCTCACAATCATTATCAACGCTCTTCTTGTACTCTTTCCAGAGTTCTTCAACACCCTTCCCTCCACAGCATTCATGCCACACCTTTTTCTCATCATAATCGCACTCCCTCATCGCATCATTAATCTTCCTAACCACATCGACACCATACTTCCCCTCCAACCATTCTAGAAAGTATCCAGTCCGCTCGTAGCCCGCATCCCAATCACAATCCGTATGCCTCTTCCAATGCGGCGGTGCATACCCAGCCTTCAAGCGCACCCAATCCGCCACACCCTCAATAAGCCCGGGTGGCGCTTTCCCAAACCCGCTATGCTGCCAGCAGTGTACCATTTCATGCACCAACACGCCCATAATTTCCTCCTTTTGTCGCGCCTCGGGCACGTGCTCAATGTACTTTGTACTGAAGTGTATCTCCTTGTGGTCGTCATCGAGGTCAAGGCCTGTTGTGTATGCTACACCTTCCATGTCTCGGATCACGAGCGTTACGGAACGCGTGGGTGGTATACATGATGTACGCATATTCTTGTATAGGAGCTTGAGGACGGCATCGACGGCATCTTGGAGAGCGTTGGAGGCGTGGACGAGGCGAAGGAATGCGCATGAACCGTTGGATGAAAGATCGCGGAGTTCGAGACGGAGAAGGGGTTTGCGTTTAGGGACTACTTTCGACGAGTTTGATGGAGACGATTCTGAAGTGGTGCAGTCAGGGTTGTTGGCAACTTGAGAGTCGTGTTGTGGAGGTAGCGCGGAGGATTGTGGGGGCGGTGGGGTAGAGCTCGAAGCTGCTGTTGACGACATGGTTTGGTAATACTTTGTGTGTTGTGAAGCCATTCGCGGTGCAGTGCTTTTGTAGTATTCAGAGCAGTGCTGCCTGGTAAACGTGGTACCTGTGGCCCTGACCTGAGAATGGTTGTGATGTAGGGGAGAGGCCCAGGCAAGTGCAATCGATAAGCTAGCTTTACCCCATGTTTACGCCACACCATGTCACAGTTGGATTACTTCCATTGTAGAACCGTATACTTCGTCACATCTATTGCTCTATCATAGCGTCATATCTATTGTAGATCGTCCTCATCTGTGTATATGAAGCGTGCGTCCACCTCATCTATCCAGTCTGGCTCCGAGCTGGTCATGCAGCATCACTCTCTAGACATCTTAAGAGGTTTTGAAGACCTCCGGAAAGATCTTGCGCAACTGCTGCAGGCTTCTAATCTGATACTTCGAAGCTTGCTGAGGAGGTTCTGGGTCTGATGGGGCGAGCAAATGCGCGGTCTTCCAACCACGTTTATCTGCTGCCTCGCAGTTGATGTACGAATCGTCTGCAGCCGTTAACATGATATGTGCAAGCTGTTCGAGCTTGCCTCTACTCACCCACAAAATAACACTTATCGTTGGACTTGATCCCGGCCTCGCGCATGGCCTTATCGAACATCTCTACGTGGGGCTTGCAGAAGAACTTGTCCGATCCGTAATCGCAGAATGTGATGCCCTCAAACAGGTCATCGATCCCAAGTAGCTTGACCACTCGCTTTCCGTGGGTGATGTAAGCATTAGTAAATAGCCACAATCGGACTTTGCTGGTGTCGATATCCTGGATCAATTGGCGTAGCTCCGGGTCAGGCTTAATGACATCTTCCAGTGGTAGGGCATCGTCAACTTTGCTATTGTACTCCAAAGCATCGACTTTATGGTGGCGCACGAGACCCTCTATAGCAAGCCCATACTCTCGGTAGTATCTATAATGGAGCTCGTTGGCGTCCTCGCGCGAAAGGCTGAGGTGGTCCTCGAAGAACTTGTCTGACCTCAGTCAGTGACATTACAAAAACCATCTAATAGCTTCAGAGGGCCACGAATGGCATCTCAACTTTTGCCATGGCCCAATCATGAGTACGGGTGTTCTAATGTACTTACCAATGAGTTCTGCCATCATTCCATGAATCTTAAGACCTAAAGAGGTCAGTAGTCGTCAAAGTGTTACGACATAAGGGACACACTCTTCGAATAAAGCTGGCAGTCAATCAGTGATTGCTCTCCTGAGATCTTCAACTACAAAGCACACAGCATCAAAAGGCCGGTTGAGACCCAGACACATTGGTTCGCCGGACTCTCTCGACTCAGTCGATTAGGGTTGTAGATGGGCACGAATTTGGCCCATTTAATTAACACTTACACAGTTGTCAATGTCGAAGAAGAACACGGGCTTTTCATCGTTTTCCGCCATTTTGTTGTTGGTGTTGACGTGAATGAAAAGTCGTGACGGCGTGCTGAAGGGCGCAACGGAACAGTTCAGGACTAGCGCCTTGGCACGTGTGCATGTCTGGCGCGCTCCTGCCCGTGGTTTTCTCCTCGTGTCGCTCCACAGGCCCATCACCATCAACCGCAACTCAACGGCGCACATTGCTTGCATTTGTACTGTACATCGCGTCATTTTGATCGCTTACACACGTTGGGTGCTTGGTACTGAATTCTTGCCGTAGCTGTCGCAGCGCATATCGCCTGCCAGCCACTCATGTCGACTTCCGCAGCAGCTCCGCCGCGTTTGAACGGCACCAGCAATGTACCCGCAGAGGTGCTTCGCGAGGCCGACTTTTTGCAGCACTTGTTGAAGATCCGCGATGATGTGTTTGCTAGCAAACACCCTCGTATCCATCTACCAGCCAAAGTAATTGAACAGGTTGCACCACGTCTCCCGCAGACCACACCGCCCAGCAGACCCGCGACCAACGGCACCCCGAACGGTGTCTCCGCCTCACAGCTGTTTCCCCCACGACCGGACAGCTCGCTTCAGGCTCCTTCGACAGCAAACGAGTTTGTGTCCCCCGCTCCACCAACACAGCGACCCTACTCAGCCATATCTGCCTCTTCTAGCATCGACCCGGTCTTGCTTACAAAGTCTGACCACTTGATCAGGGCAGAATTGCAGCTTAAACGGCAGCAGATAGAGCGTCTACTGAAGGATCAGTTTGACAAGAAGGGCCGTGGCAATGACGCAGACGAGCGGGATGCCCATCTGAACGTCGAGGAGTGTCTGATTCAGGCTCAACTACGAGTCCCTCCCATATCTGGCATACGATCAACAACTAACAACAGCGATGGGGTAGAGTCGTTTGACGAGAACTCCTACTACTCTAGCAAAGCAGACAGCTGGTCGTCAGAGGAGAATGATCCCAAACATCCTGAGCCACTCACATCGCAGGCAGGACATATCACCCATGTTAGTGCTCAACCTGCAGTGATAGACCTTGATGAAGAGGCATATGAACCTGCCGATGATATTGAGATATACGAACCTGAGCCTGCAACCCTGCTTGATGATGCTGAGGAGGAAGATTACTCACCTCCTCCTGCCGAAATTGTCGCAAATGAGCCTAGCAGAGGCCGTGGTAGGAACCAAAACCACAATGGCGCCAACGGGTATGATAATTTCTTTCTTTCAGTCTCTCTCCTCCTTTTTTCATCCCTCCGTCCTGTTCCCGGATACGCCGAGGCCTTCGACTTTCTGTCTGTTGTAGCAAGTCAAGCGCACGGCGCGATGGTCATCACAATCGTCGAGTCACCGTATTTCCAGGCAACACACACCTTGCTATGAACTTAGGCCCTACATACTATCATTGTATACCATAGCAATACTGATTATATTTATAGATCTTCCCGCCGTCACAGTCCGAATGGACCTGTTGCTCCCCTCCAAAACCCTCGAAAGCGCCCGCCGAGACAAAAAGCGCGAAGAGAAGAAGCGACAGCAGCAAGCGAACAAACGATCGATTCCCTCCCCCGAACCATATATCAGGGAGGAGCCTCAAGCTCCTCCACCTTTCGCAGCTCCCTCCGACTCCCAACCTAGCAAACGTCGCGCCTTACAACCGTTGCCTAACGATGCAGGCTCCATAGCTGCGCAGTCTCCTGGAAGGGTACAGCCAGTGTACTATCGGGAGCCTGAGCCAACATCTCCTACTACCACGAGTACAATGAAGGTTCCTCACCAACAGTCATCCGAGTGCCACAGCGCAAGGTTCACCGAGATGAGCCGGACCTCAGGCGGGTTGCTAGTCTCCAGTACGCTCGACGTCCATTCTCGCCTCTAGGCGGAGAGTTGTATGCAGCAGAGCCTCGCCCATTGCGATCGGCATCCCACGCGTTTGCAGATCGCAATGAAATGCCCATTTACCGAGAAGCTTCGGCCCGCCCTTCAGCTGCGCCTAGATATGTTCGCGATCGATCCCGATCGCCTGTGCATGAGTACATTTCCCGTCAGCAGTCTCCTCTACTAATGGCCCCACCACCACGCCGAATCGTAGTAGACCAATATGGCAACAAGTACTACGCAGCGCCAGTCGATGCACGAGAGTCTGTTGCACCGCCAACTCGCCGCATAGAGGTTGATCCCTACTATGAACGAGCTGTAACTCGAGAGCCGACGATACGTGCGCCTAGGACTGAGTTGTATGAAGAAGATACCATGCAGCGAATGCCACCACCTCCTCGGCGGTATGTCGAAGCACAGGGACCTGAGTTCATCGAAGCGCAGCCTTACCGGCAACGAGAGGCTTCGAGGCGGCCGGTCGAAATAGAGTATCGACCGCAGTATGAAGAGATGGGACCACCTAGGGAATATGTGCCCTCCAGGGCTTATAGCATGCGCCCTGAAGTTGTCCGACGTGAAGCTCCTGAGGGCTATATACGTCACGAAAGCATACAGCCTGGTTCCATGCGGGCGCCACAGCCGCAGTACCGCGAAGTCAGTATTGTACGCCAGGAGCCTATAGATGATCGCCGCTATGTCAGCGCTGCACCACAGGCACGGCGGTATGCTGAGGAGGAACCTGTTGAGCTCCCACAGGAGCCATATGCGCCTGAGCCGCGCCGCGTGTATACTCGCTACTAGTACGTTCGCAAAGTAGCTGTTCGTTATTAGGTTCCATATCAGCCAGTTTTGTAGTATCATCGACAAGCGTTTCATAGCAGGTTTACAGGTCATTGGATCGCCTAGTTCTAGAATAATATTTTTGTTGTGTCATGATATCTACTTTGACCATGTGACCTCAGTGACACAACTTCAGAGACTGCCCATCTCTTGCTCCGTACCATCTCAGAGCCCAGATGTCCTTTTCTGGATTTCGTGTTTGAAGCCGTCCGAACACGGCAGGAACGGTGTCACCAACAAGACGATGGAGCGCTGCATCTGGAAGGCACCACTCAGAGCCATGACCATGTTCAGCGCAGCTCAGCCCTGCACATGACACGTCTCAGAACCTCACGGCGATCTCCTGAGGACTCCTGTCGCGCCTGAAAGCTACAACAAGCTCCAATTGCCATCACGACAATTCCATAACAACAAAAGGACACGACACGAATTCCAACACTGGTTGGAATGTGCATCACGGCGGTAGTCGCTTGGGGGTTTGCAGGGATGCACCAAGCCGCATCGAGTCTTGGAACGCCTGGACCCCGTCATGCTCGCATGAGAAACCTGTGCGAGGTGAAACGGTGTGAGCATGGCATCCGAGATGAGTCGAGACGACGCGGCTGCTGGTGGGAGCTTTGGTGCAGACGGGGGATGGTATTGGAGATCTATTTATTGTTCATATGACGACGCAGTATAACCGATATGGAGCTCGGCTAGGCTCATTTGGCGATGGAGGTGCAGCAGCACCGCTGAGCAGATCTCAACAAGCGCAGAGGCAGAACAGGGCAGCTGCACACGGCGCGGCGAGACTGCAGCACGGCGGCGGCCGTTTTGGAGGCTCTGCGAGACAAGCTGCTTCTGGCGTGGCGCGTGTTCTGGCAAATACTGTACGACTGCGGCGTGCCGTGGGCTGGCCAGCTTTTCGAAGCTGGTGGTGTGGTTCAATGAGTGTGGGTCGGTCACTCGGGCCCGTGCATCATTCGCTGCGGCAGCCCAATCACAGGTCCCCCACCGAGCGCTGCTTCTCTGCCAACCTTCTTCGTCGCTCGACTCTCTCACCATCACCTCCGCCCTCATCTCCCCGGGCGCCCCTCACCACACCACCATGCACAAGATATCAAACTTCACCGGCCAGGCACGGCACGGCTGGGAGAAGATGGCCCCGTCCGCGGGCTTCCCATTTTCGAGGTCCAACCACGAAATGCCCGTCACAGCTCCGATAAAGCGCCCGTCGACGGCCACCAGTGCCCCGCCCGTGATACCGCCAGGCACGCAGGTCAACCTGTCCTTCAACGTGCCTTTCTCATCGAACCTTGCCGGGCCCGACCCCGACGACATCATGTGGGCAAGCCCGGGGGCGAAGGCACGCTGGACCCATCCGGAAGGCACGGCAGAGAACACGCCCACGCACAAGCTGCCCGTTCACGCCCAGAATGTCGACAACCTGCGCAACCTGTGTCGAGACGTGAGCGAGCAGACCGAGGGGCGCGTCCAGGCGACAGTCACGTCCGCCGAGTCCAAGCCGCTGCCCGGCCTACAGCGGGGACCTTTACGCGCACTCGTCACCAACGTGTGCCTGTCTGGCGAGCTGGAGATTGTCAACTCGATGCGCTGCAAGGTGCTCAACTCGACGCCCATCTCTCTGGTACGCCTTCAGCTGGGAACTTCCGTCATGCACTCGCTAACTCCTTGGCACAGCGCTCATCACATGTGGACATCGACTCGCAACTCATCATCGACCCGGCCACCCAGAATGTCAAGGGACGCCGTGCTGCAGCAGCTCGATCTCATCTCCAAGACGACCAAAGCAGACATCTTCCTGCTGATGCCGAAGCAGCCGGACATCGAGTCTGCCAGCTTCAATGGCAACATTGACACAGGCATGGACCCGCGTCTGCGATGTGCCATCTTTGGAGATCTCGAGACAATGGAGCACGCCAAGACGCGCGTCCTTATCATGATAGATCAGATTGTGAGTTGCTCGCACCCCCGCAGCTGTTCCCGCTAGCGCACCAAACTAATCCAATGCCGTCACAGCTCAAGCGCTATGTAGACACGATGAAGCTCGAACTGACCATGCATACATTGATCTGTGGGCGCGGACGCAAGAACATCAAGATGATCGAGTCTGCCACGGGAACCGCCATCTACTTCCCCCCGCCCTTTCCTCGCCTGTTCGGCGTACACGCCACCGTGGTGCTCATACGCAGACCAGACGATCTGGTCTATATCACGGGTGAAACATCCGAGTCCATCATTCGTGCGAAGCAGCGCCTGCACGATCTTGTCATGTCTACCAAAGTCTTTGTGAAGCCTGTCATGATGACTGACACCAAGCTGGATGCTATCCTGCTCGAGCGTCTCGACAAAGTGCGCAAGATCATCGAGAACAATGGCTCTTACATCTTGTTGCCGCCACTCGGCGTCCAGCGAGGCATGGTCAGAGTCCAGGGCACCGATGTCTTGCACGTTGAGCGCACTGTGCGTGAATTGATGATTCTTGTAAGCTGCTTGTGCGTGAACGTGCAACTCCAATGCTCACACATCGCAGGCTGGGTCAATTCTACAGTGCTTCGTGGTTCATCACTCATCCTGACCCTACTCAGCGCCCGCCCACCGCAGCCGATGTGCGCGCTATGCTTTCCGACATTTGCATCAACTCGGGTGCTGAAGTCAGCTTCGAGAAGCTTAATTTCCATATTTATGGATCTGACGACGCTGTCAGGGCTGCTTTGATGGTGATAAGTAACATCCCCTTTGTGAAGAAGTCGCAGTACAACATGAGCGTAAAGATCGAGCTTGCCAATGAGCACAAGGAGTTCGTCAGCGGCAAGAAGAACGGCAAGATCAACAAGATCATGAGCCACAGCAGTGTGCAGATCGTGTTTGACGGTTTCAACGAGTACAACTTCTACATCGTGGTTCGTGGCGCTCAGTACGAAGCTACCAAGAACGGTCTGGATCTTGTTGAACAGGAGATGCCCGCATCGATCTCCTTCCACGTGCCTGACCAGTATCACAAGCGCATTATTGGCATTGGCGGTCAGCATATCCAGCGCATCATGAAAAAGTACTCCGTCTTTGTCAAATTCTCCAACGCCATGGACCGCGGCGGATATGGCAAAGAGGAAGATGACATCAAGGTCGACAACGTCATTTGCCGCACGCCAGCACGTAACGCACAGAATCTCGATCTGGTCAAGCAAGAGATCATGGACATGGTCGAGAAGGCAGACGCGGAGTTCGTCTCGGAGACCATCAACATCAACCGCTTGTATCACCGCGAGCTCATTGCGCGCCTGGGACAAGATTGATGAGCTCGAGAAGAAATTTAACTGCAAAATTACCTTCCCCAGCACTGAAGAAGCGAGCGACACTGTCACTGTCTCTGGCCCTGAGTACCAGGTGCCTTTGGCAGTCGACGAGTTCCTGGTACGTTGTTCTCCGTGAAACTTGATGACCTTTGACCAACATTTTGCAGGGCATGGTTCCCGAAGCTCATGATTTAGCTTTCCCGAGCACCAACGAGCTCAGCGAGCACCTTCGCTCCGCTGAGTTCAAGACTGAGATTATCGAAAAGCTCAAGACTCAGCATGTCGTTGATGCTCAGCTCCAGGACAGTCAGACCGAGACCGTCGATGGAAAGGAAGAACAGATCGAGAGCTTCCACCTGGTCTTCACTAGGAACAACGCCGGTGGGCTGAAAGATGCCATTGACTTCTTGCTTAACCACCTAGTCATGCATGGTCTCGACACCAACACTGTTCGTGGTGCTCTCCCTCGCCCCAAGTCGGACTCCTTTGAGGACTCTTTGCCCTTCTTCGAGTCGAAGCTCCTCCAACGAGCCGAACCTGCAGTCGACAGCACCGACTCCCCAACTCGCTCTCATTTCGGTGATGATGAGCCGCGGGGCATGCTCGACCGACTTCGCAAGCCCGGCAGCATGTCGTCCTTCACGTCCATCTTCAACGGACGCAAAAATACCAACTCCCCCGGATCCTTGTTCAAGCACGCTTCCAGCAACGCTTTCCAAGGCATCCCTTGCCAGCCTTGAATCCACTGGGCAGCTACCGCAACCCGTGGAACGACAGCGGCATCAATCTTGCGGATGACGAACACCACTCCAACAGTTGGCCGATGCCAACCCCACGATTCGAATCCAAATTTCCTTTTGGTTCCTCTTCCGCGGCGGCGTCTGGGGATATCACGCCTCGTTACGACCCGCGGGGCTCCGTGGACAGCGGCCGCCCTAGCACTTCTCATTCTGCATCTGGATACCCGGCCCCTATTGGGCCTCCTCGTTAAATGATACACCATTTCGAACTACTATTTGTACCGGTCTTACGAAACAATACCCAACTACGCGATTTGTGTCCGGTCTACTCAAGCGACGACAAAAGAATTATACCCATCTTTATATCGGCGAATATCCAAAAGGCCAGCACGGCTGCTTATTACTGTGCGTTGCTGTCTTTTTGCTTTTTCCGTTTTCCTGTATGCTGCGACTGTTTGTACTGGAGTTTTGTGTTTCTGAATGATTCCCCCTTGGCGCAAAAAGAAATATACCAATTTGCTGCTTCGGATTTCTGCGTGTGTTTTTCTGTGCTTCGGCAATGATGGTGTGGGATGACGGATCGGATGATACCCCTACTAGCCGTGGTGAGACGGATCTAGTGGGCAGGGACACGGTGTATGGGATGTTTGGATTCAGAAGGTATAATGTGTGCCTTACATCACTCTCCACTCTTGGCTCTTCAAAGTACTTCTTGAGGGGCAATATGCCAGAAACCGAGTGGAGGGACGTATGATAAAATTTGCAAGACTTGATGAGCATACGATAGACGAATGAAGCACATTATACCCAACTTCGCCTTTGTTTACCCTGTTGTGCCTCGTGTCACAGCCATTGGAATGAGCTGGTATGCTTGGGGCTCGGACTTTTGCGAACGAACCATGACATCTGGTGACGTCGGCGATAAACAATCTTAGGGCCGTGCCGAGTATGAGCTCACCATTACCGCTGGCACATTGAGCTTTCACACCACATCGAACGAAGGTCCCATACACCAACTCTATACCTTGGATTTTGATTGTCTGCCTGTAGCTCCAAGTCTGCGTACAGTTACACAGACCCACCCAAACCATGGCTCCCAAGCCCAGCTTCCCCGCCTCGCTCCTCCGCGCATACACATCCCTCATCAGCCGTCGCACATCACAACTTCAATTCCACGCATCGCGCCTCCTCGGAATCGGCCTACAGTCACAGTCACAACATGTGTGGAGGAGGCATCTCGAAGGCGTCACCAGCGGCCTAGGCGGACGGCTGCAGGCTATCCCGATACCGGTGCAATCGCAGGGCTTTGGTCAGAAGCGTTGGCACTCCACCGACTTCCAAAGGAGCAAGGCTTATGAATTCGACGATGTACTCAACTTGCCAATCTCTGCCCCTACCACCTGACTAACCCGCACGCAGATACTCGCGATCCTCGAAACACCGTCCGACTCGCGGCTGCTCATCGACGTGCGCGAACCCTACGAGTTTGAGGCGAATAGCATCCCGACGGCGATTAATCTGCCGATTAAGTCGCACCCTGATGCGCTGCTTCTAGATGAGGAGGAGTTTCAGGACCAGTTTGGGTTTGCGAAACCACCGCTGAATAAGGAGATCGTGTTCTTTTGTAAGGCGGGGGTCAGGAGTAGTGCGGCAGCGGGCATTGCGCGACAAGCTGGGTAGGTTCTTTCAGCTCATACATGCAAATACTTGACTAATATTTCCGTAGATATGAAAACGTTGGCGAATACAAGGGTTCATACCTAGACTGGGAGCGCAGGGGCGGTCCAGGAACGAAATCACCTCCAAAGCCAGAGGGCAGAGGCGAGCCGAAGTTGCCGGTAACGGAGACGAAGCCGAACGGACCAGGAGATAGCGGAGAAGAGGATCTTGGACCGCAGGGTGCGCCGCCGTATCCCGAGGGCCCGAATACAAAAAGACAGTGAGGTGCTGATGCGCTGAAGGGAGAGATGGTATAGGTGTGTAAATAGAATCAGGAAGCACTAAGACGTTTATAATAGCCATGAAGATGCCCCTGTAATCCCGCGCATGTCTCTACTTGCAAGCAAAAGAAGTGGCTTTAGCAGCATCGCCACCAACATACACCAACTTCTTCGGCCAAAGACAAAGCTCCACCTTCCTTCCATTTTCCCTATTCAGCGCCTCCAGGGTGTTAGGCTCCGTTCCGTGCTCTACCCACGCTATCAGGCTCTCCAAAGCTTCGCCTGGATAGTACCCTGTCGTCCCTACTCCACAGTGATTCAACCCCGGTGCTTCAAAGTACCGATAGTACTCAGCTGCCTCTGAATCTAAATCATATACTGACTTGACGTAGTGCTCAGTGTACTTAGGTCCAAGTAAGACATCCGCAGTGCCGTGCCACGTAATCATCTTCCCACCAGCTTTGGCAAAGGCGCTGAGATCTGGATTGGTAGGCGCGAGGAGCGGATTATACTTGACTGACTCCTTGAACAGCTCGGCGTACTTTGTCGTATTGACAGTCCTGACATCAAACTCCGGATCCAAAGCCAAGAAGTACTTCTGCCACTCCACCGTCAGCGGATTAGGATCGCCCGCACAACTCCCATCCACCCCGCAAACCGTCTGCGCATGATACATCAGCTGGGCGGATACATCCAGCCCATACCAAAGAAACTTCCCCTCCGGCGTCTTCGAACCGCTCCACGTCTCCCGCGCCACCCTGACCGCCATCTGCGTAACAATCGCCGAACTGTTCTTCGACGGACACTCCACTGTCTTTCCCACCAACCCCGCTGCATCAAACTCACACGTCGAATCCAACACAATCCCATCACTCGCCCCATCCCTCCCATCGCAAAACTCCACCGCAGCGCGGCTTATCCCCTCGAACTCACACCAACTCGGCCACTCCTGCGCATCATTCATAACCCCTCTGCGCCCACATAAACTGCATTATCAACTTGGCCCCCCCAATGAAGTCCCAGGGCGGCAGTCGGACTAACTACCCCCATTCATACACCTTCTGCGAAACCTCGTGCGCCAGAAATGAGTCCCTGCCTCGCCCCCCTGACTGCACCCAATTCCAATAACTCTTACTCGGGCTCCGAACCGTAGTACGCCCTTTGCAACGGCTTTCCCCCAGCGTGGCAGCTTCGAAGAGACATCGATCAGCGAAATTGTGCAAGAGAGGGATAGTTTAGGTGCCCGGGGGATACGAGGGGCCCATGTCGCGGGTGAGGGGAGCGAGTGTCCGCTGTCGGTGGATGTGACGGCGAAGCCTTGGGATGCGGGCCCAGAGGTGTGTCAGGGGGGTTTTCGGGCCCGGTGTACCAGCCGCCGCCGCCAGCGCCGAGGAGGCGGCCTGTCCATTTTGAAGGGAGCGGGAGCGTGATGGTCGTGAGGACAGTGTCCGCGGGGGACGAGTTGGTGTGCGTGTAGGTTATCAGGACGTCGCAGGCGGACAGGTTTGTGATGTTGGCCGCGAAGTGGTTTTGGTCATCGGGGACGGAGAGGGTGAGGTTGGACTGCTGGGTGGTGGTTATGTTGAGGATTTGGGTGCCGGGGAGGGTGAGGGAGGTGAATGTGGATGGAGTGCAGAGGGGTTGTGGGGTGGCTAGGACAAGAGATGTTATGAGGGAGAGGGCAAGGTGCGTGAGATGCATCTTGGATAAGGAATTGGGTTCCGATCCGGGCTCAAGAAGGGTGTGGAGGGATGGAAAAGCCCAGTGTGTAGTATTCTGAGAGACTGGGTCTTATATGGATTTTTCTTTATGGTGAGATTTCTCGTTGAGGTAATTCAGCTTACTCATTAACATTTTGGTAGCGTTTGGTGACTCGAGGATTGCAAGTGCACATTACGCTCAGAGTGCAAAGATCTGCTCTTGTATTCATATTTGTGGCGTTAAATCTGCTCATACAATAGCCTCAAGGTACAGTGCGCACAGCATAACTTCCTCTCATGTCCTAGTCTTTTTGAACGATGACAAATCGCAGCATCGTTCCTGATGGTGAGCCTTTTTGAGCACGATATATGCAGTCGGGCTTCTAATCCTGCAGCCCCACTTACGCCCCTTGTATCCTTCCTTGTCGCTTATTAGATACCCCGGGTGCATACATCCTACTAGTGACTTTCCTTCCCATCATCAACATCTTCGTGAACATGAGCGCGCAAACCCGTTCCCTCCACACCTACAACGAAATAATCCATCTTCTCAAGATCCGCCTTTACCAGTGATTCATCAAGCGTGAAGCGAAACTGATTCGCTAGCATAGCAAGCGTTAACATTGTTTCAGCATTCGCGAGATTGATCCCTAGACACTGCCTTGCGCCTTTTGAGAAATTGACCAGGTATTTCTCCAGATGCTTCGCGTTAGGTGCGAGCCAGCGCTCGGGGCGAAAGGTGCGCGCATCAGAGCCCCAGATGGTGGTGTCGAAGTGTACGGTATAGGCGGACATGCTGACGCGGGACTATAAGTTTGTTAAGCAACTACATTCGAGATTGGTGCGATTGGCTATTTACTTACGCCAGCTGGAATAAGCTTCCCGTCGACTACCAGTGGCTCAGCTCCCATACCAGGTTTGGGTACGACTCTGGGAAGTCGACCAGGAACTGCCATGGCGTAGCGCATAGCTTCTTTCACGCACGCAGCCTAGACATATCAGCCACGCTCTCATGAAATCGGCAAACTTAGGTGCGTACCAAGAATGGAAGCTGTTCAATCTTCCGCGTCTCATAGTCCTGCTCCGTCACAAGCCCCGCTCCTTTAACTTCCCCCTTCAACTTCTCCCACACAGCCGGCTTCTTAATCATCTCCTCAATCGCAACCGAAAGTGTAGTCGCCGTCGTATCCGACCCCGCGATCAACACCTCCGTTGCTTCCGCCAACAAATCTCTATCCTTCAACCCCTCCATCTGATCGAAAATCACAACATGGTCAAAGCTCTTGCCCAATTTCTGCAGACTGCGGAACTTATCAATCGCCGCCTGTACGGCGTCAAAAAGAACTCGTTGTTTTGCCGCGGCCGTGCTGAGCTTCGCTGCGAGCGCGAGGGGCGCATTGATGGCTATGATGCGGAGGATTGGGAACTGAATCAGCTCCCAGGTAGTTGCGATTGTTTGGTTGAATGTATCGAGGATGGGCGCGCTGAATGTGTTATCTTCGGCGTCGGTAAGGAGGTTGAAGGATTCGCCGAACGCGAATTCACTGATGACGTCGACTGTTAAACTCCTGTGAGGGAAGTGAGTAAGTATACATCGCATTAGTGGGTCTACTCCTCGTACCTGAAGCCTTGATACAGATGAACAGGTCCGTTTGGTCGAGCAGCAGATATCCTTTCACAAAGCTTGTTGACCTTGGAGAACAAAACCTTCTCCAGTGCACGTGTAGACGATTTGGAAAAGAAGGGGCTGAGCATTCTCCTCCGCTCGCGATGAAGATTCACATCGCTCTCTGTAAACGTCGAATGTGCTATGCCGAAGCCTTGGTAGAACCCTTCTGGTTTGAGGAATGTGTGGCGTTGGGAGTATACGGTGTGATACTGTTCAGAGTCGGTGATGTGGAGCTCATTGGGCGCTATTCGAAGGGCGCGTGTGTCTGTTTTGTAGTATCAATACTGTGTTAAAGTAATCTTGGATGTCATACTGTAATCTTTATGTAACTGCTCGAAGACTTGTTGTGGTTTGCCAGCCTTAGCCACGGAGAATAGCCACAATGAAGATAGTGCTGCTTTTTTGGGCCGCGGAATGATGCTAGTGGGTGGAAGTAGAGCAAATACACTGCTCGGATACTACAACATGCCAGAAGCGACAAGGACAGGTAGGCGATTATCTCCACAACAGATAATTGCCCTGGATGGAAAATCTTTGAAGCCCCGTTGGATTGCTCGGCATGATGAAGTTGGGACGGCATTGCTTGCTGATGCTAAAGAGCAATACGAGTATGTCAAAATATAAGCAAAATTTGGGAGAACTCGAATAGTGTTTTCTGATGTCAATCGCTCAAATCACTAGAAAATGGGCCTTTATAGATGAGGCTTGGACATTGGTGCCTCAAGTTATCCACAACGTTTTTTTCCTAGTCCATGACATATTGGTACGAGGATGTACGACAGATCGGTGTTTCGGCGCCTAGAGAAGGTCGGTGTATCGGCATGTATGCGATACTTATCTCTACACAAGGTATGCGGCCTTGGTGATTGAGGCCGGGATAGCTTCGGCAGCACGGCGGTCTCGGGGCCCGACATAAGTCTTCCATCTACAATCCCTCAAAGAAGATCGCAAGTCTTAATGAGATGCGGAATCATACATAGTATTTACGTCATTGATGCTGAGCTGCACCGAATACCGTCGCCAATCAGCGGCGCTGCCTCGAGGTTCCTCGTGGCTTCCGCAGTCTCTGTGCTCTTCGTCCATAGCCATGTCCGTCGAAAGAGGGTTAAAAGGCTAATTTAGCAGCCGCTCAAGCCGTCATCGTAGGTACGGCTCGTACAGCATGGCGAGCGGCACGGCCCACGTTGCTAGTATCTTCCGTCATCTAAGACAATGTTCGTGTACAACCACCATTTCTTAAATCAAGAGCTTAGATGTCAATCTTTAACTCCAGTATGACTACTATCTTACCCTCTCTTGATCAGTATCGCTTCAAGCCACTTACACGCCCTCCTCAGTGTGTCTCTATCGTCTTCTTCCAGGAAATCCACTGTGTCAAGCAATAACTTCACAGGCAATCATGGAATGTAGATCGTCCTGAGTTCACTATCTCCGCGAGTTCGGCAAGCTGCCCCTCTCTCGGACATTGTCTTACGGTAGACGGATGAAGGTTCCGCAATAGCCATAGACACAAGGAGTGAAACTTGAATTTGAACCAGTAGATTAAACGTGGAATGGTACTGGTGGGAGCGCGACGTGAAGGTGTTACCACATCTATCGTTTTGTGTTGTACATCTGTTTGGAGCGGGTTTGTAGGTACTTGTGTCAGCTGTCGGGTATGCAAGTCGCGAAGGTACACTCTGGGTTGCATCGAGTCTTGTGATGGCGATTCATCGACGCCCAAGATATGATGTTGAGCATATCTTGCGCCGTTCGCTTCCGGTATTGTCGTTTGGCAGGTGGGACAATATGTATACCATTCATTTGTGGAGACATACGTGTGATGCATTGATGATTGCGATGCGGTACGCATCGAATCATGTGCTGGACTTAAAGCTGTCGGTTAAGATGTGGTGTTGTCCAAAGCTTGCACTGCTGCGCGTATTACTGGTTTGGTTCCACACCCTTGTGAGTAGCTTCCTTCTCCGACTTCTTTAGTGAAAGTGTGATCAGGGAAAAAGTCCGTGGGTGCGATTTCACATTGGATGTGTTGAAGCATCGAATCCTGGCGGGGGCAGCTGTTCATTTTTACAGTACAGAAGCAAGATAAGGAGAGCCGAAGAGTTCCCAACGCCATGGATCAGTCCCGCTAGTGAGGTGTTCGGTCCCTCATGGAGTGATTGGTTCAACGAGTCGTCTTCGGTGCTTGGGAACCGGGCAATTGTGAACTTCGAAGGATTAGGAAGAGAGGTTATGTCTATAGAGCTTGCCAGTATTTGAGGCAGCTGACATATTCGTAAATCCTAATCAGCTCTACATCGGCTATCATTGAAAGAGCGAGAACAACTGTGCATAAAGTTGTGCAGTTCCATCTGCAAGCTGTCTAGATCATTAATAGCCACAAAACTGAAAGCTGTCGCTACTACATCAATGAGCGTCATGAGGATTGCCGGCCGAAGAGAGTGAAAAGATCATCCCGGGACCAATAGTGGCTGTGGCACGGGCGGCCACTCTACAAACTGCTAAAATGCGTTACTGATAGATTCAATTTTAATGGCAATATTGTTTTCGCATAAATACCAAGCCAAGGTAACATAGCGTGAACACCTGGAGGAGAAATTAGAGCGTTTTTGGTCCTTGATCTCGGAGATCTTGGCAAGGGGATGTCGACATGATTGATAGTGCCGTTGTGACGTGTAAGCACCCCAGGGTCTAAGCCATGTGATATTTTACGTGGCAGAAGCATCCCTCAGCAGTCTGTTCGTGTCATCACATACCGGAAGAGCCGGGCTAGGTACGATTGCAGTATTCGTCCAGAAACAAGGACGATGGGTAAAAATAGCGATCGGCGGGTGCGCTAGGTGCCTGAGCCACAAGGACACCCTCCCTGGGTTCGTTTATTATCCATTCATGCATGACTCGTTTTGCTTCGGCGCGTCGAACACGCGTTGAAAGGTCAAACACGTCGCTTCGCAACACGCCACATGGGTAATTGCAGTGTTGTGCCACTGCAAACTCATGTGTTGTCCAAGTGAATCTCAAGGTGTGTTGGAGTGTCCTACAGTTTCGCGCCATCGCACTGCGTGGACTAATGGTCTCTTGCCGCCGTTATTGTCGTCATACTCGCAATGCGCTCGTACTCAGTCGTGTGCGCCACGCTGGAAAAAGACCACGATCGTATCCTCGGAGCACTGTGACGCCGAAGGCTAGTTCGGTTTGGACTCTGGTTCAATGCCAGTGACGTTTCGGTAAACGTTGTTCGCACCGTAAATGCCCCATGAAGTCGAGGTTGCGATGTCGACGAGCACGGAACCAAGCAAACATATGCACGCCACCCATGCCTTGCCAACGTCAAGCATGATCGACACTTCAATCTGCATCCGTGATAGGTTTTTGAAAATCGGACTGCAAGCGCCAAGTTGCCCGCGCCAGCGTCTCACGTTAGCAAATTGCCGTCGTTGTGTGATTGGTTGTGGCACTGATTACGCAGTGTGGCTATGGCCAGTTTCAGCGCCCAACTTCGAGACACCAGGGCTCCTCCCTTTATTCTCCACCGCAACGTATTTGTCCACGTCGACACCCGCTCCCCAACGACATCACCTATACTTTTACACTGCGCAAACCTAAGACTGGACAACTGGACACGAATAACCGATTACTGTACTGGAAAACGCCAGTAAACGTCGCAATGCTGTGGTTTAAGAAAAGGGAGGGCGATATCGAAATGGAGCCAGTGAGAGGCCAGAAAAAGAACACAGCACCAGAGGACACTGAATATCGACCGATAAATTGGAAGAAAATATTATTATCACCAAAATATATACGTATGTTGCGTGTCTGGTTCTGTTCGTTTTCTCGTACTGACCAGCGTTGCAGCATGGCACATTCTCAGTATTCTCATTCTGGTCGCAACAGTCATGATAACAATAAAACACGATGAAGTGGTCGCAGTAAGTCGAAATTTGATCGCTCAATCCGACACAAGCACTGACGCTTCTCCGCAGAAATTACGGCCATTCTCAGAAAAAGTGCGCGATCTGCCAGCAGGATGGCTCATCCCCATCGCAATTCTCTTTGTCATTTCTTTCCCTCCTTTGTTTGGTCATGAGATTATCGCATTGTTATGCGGTGTTGTCTATGGACTCTGGATCGGATTTGCCATTGTTGCTGCAGGTACATTCATCGGCGAAAGTAAGCTTTGTCCCAAGCATTCCTGCTAAGCCCCCCAAGACTTGCTTACTAACACAAATCCAGTCGGCACGTGGTTTGCATTCAAGTATTTATTCCGCCGCAAGGCCCACGAGCTGGAACGCAAGAACCTTAACTATGGTGCTCTTGCACGACTTACCCGCGATGGAGGATTCTGGATCGTACTCGTCATCCGACTTTCCGCAGTACCGTCGCATTTTTCCACCGCCGTGTTCTCAACATGTGACGTGAGATTTTGGCATTTTTTCGTCTCAACCTTCCTCTCGCTGCCAAAACAGGTCGTACTGGTCTACCTCGGCGTTTTACTAGTGAAGCAAGACGATGATAGCACCATCAAGACTGTCATGTTCCTGATTCTGGGAGCAATCACCATCGCCCTCGGCGCCTGGATCTACATCAAGATGCGCAACGTAAAGAAGGTGCTTCTAGAAGAACAGGAGACGAGGAGAGTCAAGAAGGCTGAAAGCGTTGAGATGACACCGAGTGTAAAGACTGCATTCGAGAGGCGGTATGACAACGAGCCGTATGAGGCACAACCACTCCAACCACAGCCGTATCGGACATATGAACCGCAGGTGTTTGAGCACACGATGGTACCGACGCAGCCAGCGAGAATGCTGTAAAACTAGTGCGGGGCATTCGGCGTTTTATTGAGAGGCATATACATTTCTAGTGTGCTAATGACCTAATGATTTCTGGTACGTTCTGCGTGGGCAGGCAAGTCCACCCAACATTTTGAAAGTGCAGCAAATGCATACCGAGTCTTTTCCATCGCTCTTGTTTTCGTTTTGATAGACTGTTCGGAGCCCGTTCTATAGCCTGAAGCTATACACAGTATCGATAAGCTTCAATTGCGGTGTCAGGACCTTTTGTATAGCTTCAGGATATCAGGTGCCCCTGTTCACTTTCAGCTCGCCCCTCGTGCACTGTCGACAATCGCAACATTGCCCGACTTTCCCCATGTCTCACAAGGATCAACACGAGGCGAGCCGCCCACGTAGCGCACGCCATGCATGTCAGCACAAGCTCTATAGCCCGACCACTAAGATCCTAGCTTATCGCGCACATACATGCCTTATCAAAACTTTACCATCCTACATGCAGCATTCCAGTATCTAGTTCTGACAGGATCATACACCTACCGTATGCTCCAGCCATACAAAATTCATTTAAGGTTACACAAGATCATCGATCTCGGAGCATGGCAACGAAAGAAGGATGGCGTACTGGAAGTTGTACCACACAGCTGGGGGTGGGCTGAAGATATGTCAAAGTCTAGGCCTCGTACGTTGCACTACACTGTGGGGGCTGGAAAAGAAGTGCTGACGGACGGAGGGTTTATCTGAGGTAGAACGTCCCCGCGTAAACCCCATATTCACGCGTCACATTGTTTTTTGCACACTGATTCTCTCGAGCGACAGAGTAGGCTGCATAGCTTCACGTTTTCTTAACCCTAATTCCTTCAAGCGATAGACTAGACTGTATAGCTTCAAGGTCTTTCCAGCGGTGCAACCATGGCGGACGAGAAACCGCATGCTACAGAGACAGCCATCACCCTTCCCGCGGGCGATGTCGAAACCCAAGGCTTCGATGCATCCGCTACGAAGAAACTGCTCCGAAAACTCGACTGGCACATTATCCCCTTCATGTCGCTAATCTACCTGTACGTCTTCAATCTCTCCGATACACCATATTCAAATAAATAAATAAATAAATACATACTTACCAACACCACCATTATAGTTTATGTTTCCTCGACCGCACCAACATCGGAAACGCGCGCCTCGACCACCTCGAATCCGACCTGCACCTGTCCGGTATCCAATACAACGACTGCCTCGCCATCCTCTTCCCCTTCTACATCGCCGCAGAGATCCCTTCCAACATGATGATGAAGCGCACGCGCCCGAGTATCTGGCTCACGTTTATCATGTTCTTTTGGTCGCTGGCGATGGTTTGTCAGGGCTTCGTGAAGAATTACCAGGGGTTGATGGCGACCAGGGTGTTTTTGGGCGTGTTTGAGGGGGGTTTGTTTCCGGGAGTGAATTAGTGAGTGATGTGGTGGGGAGGGGAGGGGTTGTTGCTGATAGTATGAACAGTTATATTACGCAGTGGTATGTGCGGAATGAGTGTGGGTTCCGCATGGCGCTATTCTTCTCAGCAGCGACGCTTGCGGGGGCTTTTGGGGGCATTCTAGCAAGAGGTATTGCGGAGATGAATGGGGTTGGGGGGAGGTCTGCTTGGTCGTGGATTTTCATTCTAGAGGGGATCTTGAGTGTGCTTGTGTCGATGGTTGCGTATTGGTGCATTTACGATTATCCGGCTACGTGTGTATTCTAAGTTCTTTCAGGACTATCTATACTAATGTGGCTGTAGAGCACGCTTCCTCACGACCCCGGAACGCACCGAAGTCCAACGCCGCCTCCTCGCCGACCAAGGCCACCTCTCCAACGACTTTGACATGAAGTATGTCTGGCAAGCGCTAACCGACTGGAAGATCTATATTTTCATGCTAATCTGCATGGCTGGCTTCTGCCCCATCTACTCCTTCGCGCTGTTCCTCCCAACGATCAGTAAGTGCTAATATACTTCATGCCCTCCCAAGACATGGCTGATATCAGAGCACAGTCAAGAACATGGGCTACACCGCCAACGACGCCCAACTAATGTCCGTCCCTCCCTACATCTTCGCCTGCATATTCACCATCGCCGCATCTTGGTATGCCGATCGTATCCGCCAGCGCGGCATCTTCCTGCTCGGTTTCCAGCTCATCGCCATCGCGGGCTTCAGCATATTGATCGCCACGCCCAAACCCTCAGTACAATATGCCGGCACAGTGTTAGCAGCTATTGGCATCTACCCGCAAATCCCCTTGGGCATGGCGTGGAATAGCGGGAACATTGGAGGCAGTCTGAAGCGTGGCACGGGCATTGCGATGCAGGTCATGGGCGGAAATTGTGGGGGGATTATTGCGAGTTATGTTTATTTGAGTAGGGATGGGCCGCGCTTTAGGGTTGGGCATGGGATTTTGATTGGGGTTGTTAGGTGAGTTCGTCTTGTATTTCGTAAAGGGATGGAAGCAGATGGGCTAATGTGTTTGTCTAGTATGGCGTTCTTCCTCACGTTGTTCATGACTGTGTGGTGTCGGTGGGAGAATGCGAGGAGGGATGGGGTTGCGAATGAGATGGGGGCTAGGGAGTTGACGGAGGAGCAGAAGGTGTTGGAGAGGGAGTTGGCGGATAATGTACCGTGGTTTAGGTATACTACTTGAGAAGATGGTACATGATGGTGTGGTTGAGTGACTGAGGGGGACCTGGAGCATCGTTGAGGTGAGCGAACTCTTGCATGTTGGTGCAGTAAATTGACTGTGTGGTGTTGAACTAGGGCCATTAGAGCCGGATCAATCATCGTAGAGCCGCTGTTACCAAGTTCTGTTCATCTCATTCTCTGCTTCAAGCCGTCAGACCCGATCCTTGGACTGATGCCATCAAGCAAGAGACACATTTCGGTGGTGTAATCTTCTTGACCCAAGAGCGTGGGCAAACCGCGATGGGGTTCCGGTCGTCTGTCAATGTTGCGAGATCAGATTTGTCAAGATCGCTGTGACATGGCAGGAGAACGGTCTCAGATGCCAAAGGATGACAGGAATACTCGTAGTGCAAGGTCAGACACATGCTGCAGGATGCAGATTGTAGGAAAGGATAACTGGAGATATAGGATTGGTGATACTGCTGGCTAATAAGTGTGATAAGATTACGGTTACTCTCATACAATTTTCGACACATTGTTTGACAAGTTCCATTGACGAAGTCACCTGTCATGGTGATGTGAAGTCCTTCGCGTGGCATCGAATGAGAGCATCTAGTTCACAAACAGTGCCGTGTCATTCCGTAACTTCCCGATCATGCGATGCACAAACGGGGGAGTTTGCGACTCTCTGTGCGCGCTCACAGTGGGTAACGCAGAAGTTTAACGACGGGAGACATGACCTTAATAAGACTCATTCCAGTAAATTCACAGAAGGGCAAGCTCAGTGGCTAGTAGTTGTGAATTATGAATGGAATGTCCAGGAAAGCGACTTGGCGTAGCTAAAAGCCACCACGCAACCACATGCGAGGCGACTGTCTGGAAAACAAACTCTCAAACCCATCTTCGTCATCGAAACCATCCTCATAATCATCGTGGTCGTCATACTCGTCTTCTAATTCTTCGAACATCCGCCTTGGATGTCCTCTTCTTCTCGAGGGAGGAGCCATGTATCTGCAAGGCTGGCCTCTCATTCGACCCCCGACATTGTGTCCTGGTGGTGGTATGCGGTATTCGTCTTCGTACTCATCATCCTCGTAATCGCCATCGTCATCGTACATTCTATATGGAGCGAAATGACTGCGACCAGAGCGGGAGAGTGGAAGGTGCGCACGCCGCCGCTGTGGTGCGAAGGAATGCGCTCGTGGTGGTCCAGGCGAACCGTATCCGAATGGAGATGGTCTTTGTCGCCCATACGGTGAGGGGCTGAGTGGGGGTCGTCCAAGGCCAAAGCTCATGTGAGGATTCATACCCATACCACCCATGCCCAGCCCCATGCCCAGCCCCATGCCCATTCCCATGTGTGCTCTTCCCATACCCGGACCCATACCCGGACCCATGCCCATACACGGTGCCATGGTCATAGGCGGTGGATGCCCGCCCATCATTGGGCTCAGACCATGTCCACCGAGGAATGGAGATTGACGGCCTCCCATGCCTTCGAAACCCGGATGCTGACCGCCCATAAATCCGGCTTGTCTTCGTCTGAGCAATTCTGCGAGCATTCTTCCTCTTTCCCGGCTAAAGCGTTCCCCGCCATGATCATATGAAGCCCCATAGAGTTCAGGTCGCTGCATGTAGCCAAGCTGTGGATGACCAAGCATCATGGTATTGATGGTGTGGAGGTGTGGCTTCAGTATTCACGCAGCCTTGGCATATTCCGCTCATGTGGCAGAGATTCGTGGTAATAATGAGTCGTGATTTCTCAAGAAGAATTTCTTTGGTGAAGAGTAACGGAGAATGACAGCTACAGATATTGTTATGAAATCATCTGACAGCACTAATGACGAGTGTCTGATGAAGAAGGACCGATGACAAGCAGGTGTGATGAAAGAGATAACGAGTGAGCCCTGCGTTGCACTGGAAGCAAAGAGTTTGGAAAGCATGGGTTTGGGGACTCAGGATCTTTATAGTAAGGAGCAGGTGGGGACTTGGTCTTGGTTCGGTGAAGTGACCACAGAAAGCGAGCATACCAAGAGCTTGGGTCTGATTGCGTGCAAGTAGTCTGTTGTATGCGCATTTGACAAATGGCCTATGCCCACTGATTGGTGTCGGGACTTTGCACTCCGGCGTACGAAGTGCTAACCAAGGTCTACAGCAAACCTGTGCTCATCAGCTGTACCAGCGATTCCTGCACGCAAGAGTGGGCAAACAAATCGGGGGTAGCAGGCGAGACACTGAACAAGGCTGCCCTGGCATGCTTTTGAAAGACGTGCAGATCGTGGACAACCTCCCGGGTTGCGGATGTGTTAACACTCTGAGGCAAAATTGCCATAGTTACACAAGACAGGAACTTAGTCTTGGGGTAGATTCATCGAAAAGAAAGCAAAGAGGTTGCACCAGACTACAAATATTTTCTGTTCGCCCCCTGTAGTTTGAGCGCGCTTGGAGCTTCACTGTGGCGTGCCGCTGCAGCACAGAGTGGTCCAATTCTTGTTACACAAGTGAGGGAGCTAGCTATCAGGCACAACTGTCTGAAGCCGCAACTCCTGTGATCAGAGTCCGGATGGTTCTCGGTGTCATGACCATCATGTCGAGAATGTAGTGTTGCGCGTCGTGAACGCGTCTGGGCGGGGGCCGGTCGTGGAAAATGGCTGGGCTTGCGGGTCACGTGAGGCATTTCTTCGGCTACGACAATCTCAAATGTTTGAGCCTCTTCCTCTGTTCCCCACGCGAACACGACGTTTGACCTGTACACCACCCACGACTCTCCGACCACTATACCCGCCCCAAGCAAGCTCGAATCACCTCACAGCTTGACATATCTCCGCCCGTCTACACCTGCCCCGACCAGAAATTCGTGTTCCGCACCCAGCCCTGTGGCCCTCGAAAGCGTCTATCCGCCCCACAGCCACTTCCCACGCCAACACCACCACAACAATGGCGCCTACCTCTTTCGCTTCGGCAGCGGCAGGAAGCAATGCTAGCGCAGCGCGTGCAGAGTCGAGTGCAGAATGGTACGTATGGCGCTTCCCAGCAATCTGTACCTTGCATACCCATACCCACACCCGCCATCCTAGCTCCAGCTCCATAGCTGTCGAGTATTGCTCCCAGCCACTACCACTACACACCATAGTTCCCGATTCTTCTTAACTCGCTCGCTTCCACCATGACCAATGACGTGACCTACGTGCCCAGTGCTCACCAGACATTTGATAGGGCTCGACGGACAAACGGTGCCACGCAAACTTTCCGGCGGCCTTCACACGCGACCTCGCTCTCCGGATCCACCGCCCAGTCGTCTTCGAGAGACACTCCTGCCTATCAAAACTCATCAAATCCCGGCGTTTACGTGCCTCCGCATGCGCAACCCGGACGCAATGGCAGCACTGCAGAGGGTCGCTTCTCACGGGAGCAGCTGACGCAGCTGTTCAGGACACAGAGGGATAGCGATGAACTCCTGGACGACCTGTCTTCGCTGTCTATGGGCGGCCTGGAGCAGCACGCCGCGAATGGAGCATCGAGTGGTTCGTGGGGTCGCAACCACGACCACAGCAGGGACATTCAAAGCGGGGTCGACCAGTGCTGGGATCGCGATGGCAGCATAGAGCCGCTGAGTCTTCGCGACCTGACGGACGAAGAGAGAGAGGTATGTTCTTGCTTCTTGTATATGTCTTCGTACCGCCATCTAACATGCATTCTGCACCTAGGTCTTTCTTTCGTCTGTCAACTCCCCAATGAAACCGCCTGTGCAGAACACGAACAAGGACGGAACCCCCAAGGAAGGTCTGTCCCTGCGCAAGACGTCGGTATCGCAGGGTGGCGGTACGCCCTACGGCGTGTCATCGCCTACGAGCACCCGCCCAGGCGGTCGCCGCCGTGACACAAGCGAAGCTTCCTACTTCCCTCAGTCTCCAGCGACTTCACGATTCGCGCGCGAAGAGTCGAACACAGTCACCCCGCCACCTGCGCTCGTGCGCCGCAGGACCGACTACAAGGAGACAAGTGCGAGCGGCAATGGCGAGGAGCGAGACAAGGACAAGGGTGCAGCTGAGAATGCTGGACCTCATGGTTCTTTGAAGCGCACAACGACTGCGCCCTTTAGCCCGGGCGGCACCACTTCACCGTGGTCTGCATCTGGGGGCGGCGCATTTGGGGCCTTTGGTAGCTTTGGTAACCCGCAGCCGGACAAGAAGGCCGGGCTCGGAAGCATGCGTGGCGAGAGCAGATTCAAGGGACTCATGGGTAAAACCAGTGTTGAGGACTTTGAAAAAGAACCAAGGGAGAAGGCCTCGCTTAGCAACCTCGGAACGCTTAGCGAGGCGGAACCAGGGAAGTCAAGTGGATCGTGGATGGAGGCTCGTTCAAAAAGGCCCATGAGCAACGACACGGATCCTTACCCAGAAGACGACATGCCAACTGGTAGTGCAGCTCTACGCGGCGGCGACGATCTCAGCCCCCCTCGACGACAAGGCCAAGGAGCATTTGGAACACCGCAACGCCCAGACGGACGCAACGACGTGTCTGCTGTATTCGGAATGACACAGGATAACACTGGCATGCGCGACATTTTCCAGCGTGGAGACTTTACGCACCACTCTCCCATGAGCCCAACCGACACCAACCCGTATCAAAGCCCCAATCACGCGCGCGACGGGCATGAGGATGATTCAGATGGCTCGGATGGCCAGAACGCGCATTACCCAGGCATGGGCAGTTTCCAAACCGACCAGCCTGGCCCTCATGGTCTGCACAACACTTTTGGAGGACTGGGCGGGCTCGGACGAGCTCCTGGACCATTCGAAGTAGCTGCGAGCGATCGTAGTCAGACCTCCAGCGTAGGACCAGCCCGAGGGTTTCCAACTCTTCCTGGCCTTGGTGGACTGCCTGGCCTAGGTGGTGCCTCAGGGTGGCCCTCTGGGCCTCAGGCTCTAGGAACTCCTATTCGAGAGCGCGGTCTAGGTGCCTTTGACGGCGCATTTAGCAACGTTGGAGAAGCTCAGTCGCCTTCACTCGCTGGTCTGGGCAGCAACTCGTTGTTTGGTGCGAACTCGGGCCTGGGGCACGGCACAGTGGGACGATCCAGTAGATTGGGATCTCTATTTCCTCGCCTCCATGCAAGAGCAGATGCGAAACGACCAGCACCGACCTTCCGTGGACGACGGCGACCGCCAGCAGAGCATGACTGGCACCTTCCGTAGAGGTGCATTCGGCGGTCAGGCTCCTCGCACGTGACACTGACAGCCCTTTCCGCACGATTGCGAACCGTGCGCTGTTCGAAGATTTCTCTGGAGCTTCCGGCGAGGATCACGGCTTACCATTTGGACAAGCACAGTCCAACGCAGCTACCACGTCGCTGCTCAATGGCCGCACTCAACCAGACTCGCACTGCTCAACCATCAACCCCAGGCGTCAACAGTCCTGCTTCTAGTCAACCTCCTCCGGCCCAACAGAAGACAATGGTAATGCCAGACAGAATGAGGTGGATCTACCGTGATCCTTCTGGGAATACGCAAGGACCATTCTCCGGACTCGAGATGCACGATTGGTACAAGGCCGGCTTCTTCTCCCCCGAACTGCTAGTCAAAAAGCAAGAGGAGCCAGAGTACGAGCCGCTCGCCCAGCTTATCCGCCGCATCGGAAACTCTAGGGAGCCCTTCCTCGTGCCTCAGATCGGTATTCCACATGGGCCGCCTACAGCTCAGCCAGGCAACTCTTGGGCTGGCTCTGCTGGTCCAACCCCGACTCCAGGGGCCCAGCCTCCATTTGCGAACAGTTTCCCTAGCTTTGGGACAACCCTGACCGCGGAGCAGCAGAATGCACTTGAGCGTAGAAAACAAGAAGAACAATATCTAATGGCCCGTCAGAAGGAGCATTTGGCTGCGCAGCAACAAGCGCTTGCCAGGCAAGTTCAGATTGGCGGCATCCTGCCCAATCAACTGCAGCATCACGCCAGTGCCCACAGTCTGCAGAGCCAGCCAAGCTATGGCAGCATCACATCTCCAGGTGGCTATCAACCTTCGCCTAGTCAAGGAGGTGCCCCCGGTGCGTCCGTTCCAGGCCTCATCGATAATGCCTTCCGAGCTGGGCCCGGAACCGTTCCAGGGCTTGGTCCAATTGGCCCAGGCTCCGAGATGGCGGGCAATTCCAGGGAAGAGGACGTCCCTGGCCTGATGGAGCGTCTGAACATTGGGCGTGCTGGACAGCCTCCGTTCGGCGCGGGTCAGCAGGGCTTTGGCCAGCAACAATCTGAGCCCACCCATGCTCAGCAGGTCGTGGCTATGCTCAGCGATCGCGCCCGCTTGCAACGCGAGCAGCAGGAGCATGACACAGTGCAACGTTTCGCCCCAAATGACCAGCAAAACGCGCAATCGTTTGCTGACCGGTTTCAACAATTCAACGAGCTACGACTTCAGACTGACTTGGACCAATCTGCCAAGGTTGCACCACCACCAGAAGGTATCATAGGAAAGCCGTCAGGCTCTCAGGCACAGCAACAGGGAGATCAATCCGAGTCTGATTCTCCCGACTCCAACGCCCAGCAGTTCCAGACAGACTCATCGTCTTTCGGCCAAGAGCCTTTGTCTCTGACTGAGCAGGTTCAGAAAGCCCAATCAGCAAAGCACTCGCCTCAGCCCCAGTCCGCATGGAACAAGGTAGAGCCGGCCATCTTCCCATTCCCGCCTGCGCCTTCGCAGTCCCCACTACCTGCTCCAGCAGCACAGAGAAAGCCAATCGTCGCGGAGAATCTCACAACCGAGTCTCGATCTGGTGCCGCAACGCCTGCTGCCGACACCCCTAGTGCCTCGATCGCTCCATGGGCCAAGGAGCCTGCAGAGGCCGCTAGAGGTCCTTCTCTGAGGGAGATCCAGGAAGCTGAAGCAAAGAAGGCTGCTGAACGCGAGGCATTGGCAGCGGCTGCTCGCCGTGAGGCGTTCGAGAAGGAGATGCAAGCCCAGACGCAATCACCTGTTGTACAGCCAGGTCTGCCATCCAGCTCTACGTGGGCTAGCGGAGCATCGCCTGTCACCCCTGGTGGAGCTGCTGCGTCCGTCTGGGGAGCTAAACCAGCACCCGGAAAAGCTGCCACGCCATCCGCCTCGCTCTCGAAGAAGACGCTGCAGCAGATCCAGAAGGAAGAAGAGGCGCGCAAGCAACGCGCCGTTACTCAAGCCGCTCAAGCCGCTACTGCATTTGGTGTCGCCGCTCCTGCTCCCTCGGGTGGTAAGCGATATGCTGACCTCGCGAGCAAAGTGACAACAGCAGCACCCAGTGCCCCGGGCGTTAACAGTGCCTGGACAACTGTCGGTGCCAGTGGCAAGACCAAGCCTCCGGGTAGTTCTACCCCCACGCCTGCTGCGGCTACGCGCTCTGTCAGCACTACAATCGTGCCATCTGCAGTCAAGAAGCCTACAGTGACTCGCAGCACTACAATCGGTGGCCAGTCTGGTAAGCTCAACGCTGAGGAGGAGTTCCGCAAGTGGGCTGTCAATGAGCTCCGTCACGACCTCAACAAGAGCATCAATGGTATGTGTCCTCTCTCACCACCTTCAAAGCACCATGCTAACATCCTTCCAGCCGAAGACTTTGTTTCGTCTCTTCTCAGCTTCCCCGCTGACGCTGAGCTCATTACCGAATCTGTGCACTCTGCCTCCAGCACTTTGGACTCTCGCCACTTCGCCGAGGAGTTCCTCCGCCGTCGCAAGCTTGCTGACAAGGGCATCATCGACGACCGCAACACTTCTTCTCCTGCAGAGAACAAGTCGTCAAGCAGCGGCTGGTCCGAGGTTGCCAAAAAGGGCGGCGCATCGACCCAGCCGCAGCAGCCAGCGTCTCTCGAGAACAGCATCTTCAAGGTCGTGGCGGCTAAGAAGAAGGGCAAGCGTTAGGCAAGCTTCGATGAGACTTCGCTGGTGGGATTCTTGAGGAACAAGAAGGCATGAAGGGTTTGTTGAGGACTTGCGCTTTTACTTTAGGAGCGAAAGATTTTATGCAGCGCGTGGGATGTTCGTGTTAACGATGATCATGATGGGATTGAGTCATGAGCGCTGAGGGATCGATAATGTTCGTTACCCACGGCCGGTGTAGCATAGTTACAATCGAAGCTGCCGCTGCACAAGGACGTCTTTCAATGTTGATGGTGACATTATGTTCTGTGCAAACAAGGTGAGAGAGAGCACGTGAAGGATAATAGTGAAGTAAAAGCCCGTATGCATTGTCCCATGCGCCCAACAGCGCCCATAAAACAAGAAGGTATCTCATGAACTCATCCCAACCAAAACAAAACTCCCTCCCCAGTCCCTGCCCCATTTACATGGTCCGCCAAAAGTAGTTCGTGTAGAAATGCCTCGAGAACTTGGGATCAATCTGCACCACATGCACATCGCCCTTATTCGCATTCCTGATCACCGCCTTATTATACTCGCCCGTCGTGCGATCCGCCTCGACATCAATGCCCAGACTGCGATACAGCTTGAGCTTCAGCACGGTCGCATCCTCGCCAGGCCTCTCGACGGCGCCCCCCTCAACCCCTTCCTCCTCCAACTCGCCGCTCACATTGCCCAATCGCACAAGATCGGCCTGGAGCCTCTCGCCCTCGATTTCCAAATCACTAGCCTGCTTTGCGATTTTGAATTTCTCCGTGTCCAGACGCAAGATTTCCGAGGCGTGGGAGACGGCGTTGTGCTGGGTGAGGGTGTGCGAGTGGTTGGCCGCGAGGGTTTGGTGGGTGCGGGACAGCGCGGAGAGTTTTGCGCTGAGGGATTGGAGTTCCTGCGTGCGGAAGGTGGAGAGTGTGGAGAGGGAGTCGGAGATGCGGTTGAGGGATTCTTTGTCGTTGGCGATTTTGAAATGCGAGGTGCATTGGGAGATTAGCTGGGTGGGGTGTTAGTATGTGAGTTTGGGTGGAGGGGGGATGGGGGATGGGTGAGCGTACGGCGGCGGGATCTTCGTCGAGGAGCATTTTGAGGGTGAGGTTGTTGTCGCGTGGAGTTTTTGCGTGGGTTTCGTGTTTGAAATGGGTGCGGCTGGGTATGCGCGTTCGTGGTTGTGTGGGGTGTAAAATTTCAGTGTTGGCGATACAGTCGTGTTGACGTTTGTTGTTTATCGTCCGTGCGCGCAAAGTCGCGTGCATGGCAACGACCAAAGTGTGGCGGGCTGCAGCTCCCGCCACAGCTGGACGGGAGCCACGAGCGTACGTCACATTCGGTTTCACGAGACATGTCAGGACTGCTGGTGCACGCTACCTTGGACTTTGCCTTCGATCGTACCTGTGCGCATTATGCTCTTGGATAATTTCTTACAATATCACACAACCAAGTCGCCTTCATTGCCGTGTACGTCGTTTGGTCGCCTCGTTGTGGGCTTTTCGTAGAGACTAATGTCGAACAGACGCCGCCGACGTGGAGTCGCCGCTGAAGCCAGAAGAACTCCAGGTTCTGCGAGCGCAATACGAGAAGGAGGGAGAATACGTCGGTCTACAGACCAAGTTCAACTACGCATGGGTATGCAACTCTCAAACTGCCCCCCGCACCACTACCGAGCAACATACTCACCTTGATAGGGCCTCATAAAATCCAACTCGCGCCCCGACCAGCAAGAAGGCGTGCGGCTGCTTTCAGAAATCTTCCGCAATTCTCGCGAACGGCGGCGCGAATGTCTCTACTACCTCGCTCTCGGAAACTATAAGCTCGGAAACTATGCCGAGGCACGAAGATACAACGAGCTTTTGCTGGAGCGTGGAGCCCGCCAACTTGCAGGCAGGCAGCTTGAAGGGCCTGATCGACGAGAAGGTGGCAAAGGAAGGTCTCGTTGGAGCAGCTATTGTTGGCGGACTGGTTGTTGCGGCTGGTGTGGTGGGGAGCATGATGATGAGGACCAAGAAGCGGTAATGATTTGAAGGCAGCTCTGGGAAATATGGACGACTTGGATGACTATTGGAGTATTGTGATGCTCCAGCAAGCGTAATGCATAGGCGTTGGTGGTTTCAATATCTTTGGCTAAGACTGTAGAAACGTCCAAGCAGTCTTTCTGTACATGCAAATCGATCGAACTGTCTTCGCTACGATCCTTTCACTCTTGCAGGCACCAGTATGCCCATCTATGCCTGACTCTACAAACATGCTGTGACTGGCAGTTGGTGCCGCGGATGGGTAAAGAAACAGATGGAATGCCGAAGAAAGCCAAAGACAAATCGCCGAACAAACGAAGAGTCAAAGACAAGCACACGACAATCAGCCTCTATCGTCAAAAAGGCCAGCCTCACGCTTCCCACTTCGGAACTTCTCATATTGTTCTTTTCGATACTCGAGAGGCGACATTCTGCAACTAAAAGCTCGGCCTCATCCTTGGTGGGATAGTGGACCCTGGCTCAGGCCCGCAACTTCGCGATCTACCCGCGACAACGTCACCGGTCTCGCGAGCAAGCTTCAAGACGCCAAACTTTGCCCCCAGTCTCACCACCTCCGACGGCCACTTTTCCTCGCCCTAAAAATCCTCCACGCATCCGCCCAAGTCATCCGCAACTACTCTAGTTGCAATTAGCCACACCGTGCTATTGGTCATTCCAGCGCAGCGCATGACAAGGTGCTGAGACTGGTCGACTCCGCTGGGCTTACTTGCTGCACCAACCCGTGAGTCTACCATCCTCGAGCCACCCGTTCCTCACTCATCACCATACCTAGGCCACACCTACACAATCCTACTCTCCGCCCACTACCATGGACCGATCTAGCAATCCACCCGCGCCGGGCCAGACCCAGACGCCTGCCCACCGCGACATGATGTTCTGCCACGAGTGTGCCGACGAATGGTATCGAGACGAACACGGCCTGACCTGTCCGGAGTGCGGCTCAGACTTCACCGAGATCGTGAGTTGAAGTTGCGCAACTTTGCTTCAGCTCGCCCCACCAGGCTGGACAAGGCGAAGACATATCGAACCCGCTAATGCCGTCCAGATCGAAGACAACAATGACCCACGAGACAGCGCCATGTTTGCCGACGGGGGCGACGACGATGAGTCGATGCCCGACCTCGAACGACCCCGACACAACCCGTTCGCCAGCGAGGACCCAGACGAAGGAGATATCAGTAACTTGCAGTTCACACAGACTGCGCCAGGCAGATTCAACGTCCAGGCGACCATAACGCGGTCCGTCTCGCCTCAGGAGTTCCGAGCTGCTGGTGGAATGGCGCCAGCCTCGATAGGCGGCTTCATGTCCATGCTCAATGGGCTGACAAGAGTCGCGGGACAAGCACAGGGTCAACAACAACGAGGCCAAGGTGAGGGGTTGTTCGGGCAGGACCAGAATCAGTCTGCTTTCCAGGAGGCTCAGGGTCAAGGTGCGCCGGGACAACCTCGAGTCACTGCGTCAAGATTCACATACACGGGCGGAGCAAGACTGTTTCCTCGGGATGCGAACAACCCAGAACCACGGATGGAGCCGGTGGATGATATCACAAAGTATGTGACCAAAAATGGATTCTGGAGATGATGCTAACATTGAAATAGCGTGGTTACTGGACTCATGGCTGCACTGGGTGCTCCACCTGGTAGCTTTCAAGCCGCTCATCATCATGCTGGTGGTGCCGAAGCACAATTCCAAGGTGACCAGGATCGCGATGGCAATGCACACCTACACCCCGCGCACCCGTTCCTTCAACTTTTCAGCTCCCTTGGCATGGTCGGACCTGGCGGCAATATGGGCGACTTCGTGTACTCGCAAGAAGGACTCGACCGCATTGTCTCCCAGCTCATGGAACAGACAGCTTCCTCAAACGCTCCTCCACCAGCCCAACCGTCCGACATCGACAGCCTGCCACGGAAGAAGGTCGATGAGGAGATGCTTGGAGCAGAACACAAAGCAGAATGCAGCATATGTATGGACGAGGTCAACATTGGCGAAGAAGTCACTGTCCTGCCCTGCAAGCACTGGTTCCATCATCAATGTGTCAGTGCATGGCTGCGAGAGCACGACACCTGCCCACATTGCCGAAAGAGCATCTCAAAACACGACGAACAAGCGCAATCGCAGCAATCGCAGCAATCGCAGCAATCGCAACAGTCGCAACAGTCGCAACAACCGCAGGCATCATCTCTGTCAGCAACGACCAACCCTGGAGCGCCAATAAATCGAACAAGATCGATGCCAGGCGCGTTCGATGTATCTGGTAGCGGAACGCCTGGAGATCCATTCGTCGTTGCAGGCGACAACGGAGCTGCTACCACTGGTGCCCAAGCGGAGGCCAACTCGTCATCCGAAAACAACAGCATGACGGATCGGATACGCAGGGGTTTGTTTGGTCCACAGCAATAGGAGTAGCATCCCTTTGTTCTTGAGATCCAAGCTGACCTGTCTGTGTTTCTTGATCAGGAAGAGAGCGGTTGCGAAGAAGTCGACAGCGAGCCAGGAACATGCGACACAGCTACTCCTTTTCGGGACATGGTCGCTCACTCTCCAATACCTCCGAGTCCTCCGCGCCTGAAATCTTGATCATCAGGACGGTTCCCCCGATCTCTGGCCGATTCAGAAGTTCTTCGCACCTCAGTACTTCGTCGGCCTCATCGGTACCGGATGTTTATGATGAAGATGAGGAGGAGCGGATACGTGCACAGCCTCTTTCCTAGTAAAATCCTTTGATACGGCGTTTTCTTTTCTTTGTGTTTCTTCGCACTTTGCCCATAGACTATAGCGACTTTCAGTTATGGACAGCATCTTCATGGCGTTTGGGGCGTATTTATTTTGATCCCTTTAGGGTTAGATCAGTGGAGCGAAGATGGAGTTTCACATGATTACACAACTTGCTCCTGACAATAAGCATTGGAAATGATTTTGTTACCTGTTGTGTTTATCGTGCGTTCTCTATTCTGTTAGGGCGAGCATGTCAAGAAGCCGTGTTTTATTATTTTTGATTACATGTTTTTTCTGGATCAGTGATATTGAACGCTTGAGCTGATGAAGGGATTGTTCTTGTTTCCATTGTTTCTTCCATATCAAGGTGATCCGTAGGTTTGGGGAAAGGTAACGCATCATTTAGGAGCGCAAGGTCTGTGAGGTACAAACTCTGTGGTCCTACAGTTAGTCCCGCGTTCAGTGTCCGGATTATAACAAACACGAATCGTTAACTCCCTTCATTCCGATAATCCCGATATCTCCCAACCGAGTTGAAATAATGCTGGATCGTGCCTTACGTAAGGCGGGGTAGTAAGTCGACTCAAGTGAGCGTATAAAAAGAGAGTAGAATATACTTGAGATTCTAGAAGTCGGTACTTGAATTCTACCTTCATCTTCACCACGTGTAAAGCCTCCCAGCTGCCAAGCCTTCTCTACAAAATCTAACTTTCCCATTTCGAATAATACCCTTCTGTGCCACAATGTCCTCTGTAATCATTTTCGGCCCGACAGGTCAAGTGGGATCTATCGCTGCCCATGCGGCTGCAGAACAAGGTGCCAAGGTGTGGCTAGCGATGAGAGACACCAGCAAGAAGATTCCCAGCCTCGCAGAGGACTCAGGCGCCTTCCACCGAGTCCAAGCCGACCTCCAAAAGCCCGAAACCGTGCTCCAAGCCGTCCAGACTTCAGGCGCACGGCGCGCTTTCATCTACCTCGTGCACGGCGCACCCGACCACATGCGGGCCGCCATTGAAGCGTTGAAAGCCGCGGGCATCTCGTTCGTCGTCTTCCTGAGCAGCTTCACTATCCCGACAAAGCACGAGTTGCGGGCCATTCCCTCCTCGGAACTAATCCCTCATGCGCATGCGCAGGTCGAAGCGAACCTGGACGACGTGTTTGGGCCGGACGGCTACGTCGCTGTGCGGCCCGGATGCTTCGTCACGAACCTGCTGTCGGACAAGGCGGGCTTAGCCAGTGGGCGTGTGGTATTGTACGGCGCCACGTTCCTGCAGGATAACATTGCGCCCGCGGACATTGGCAGGGTGGCTGGTAGCATACTCGTGTCTGGCCCGCGGAATGGACAGAAGAAGGTGTATCTCTATGGCCCTGAGATCCTGTCTATATACGACAGTACTGTGAGGATTGGCAGGGTGCTGGGTAAGGAGTTGGAGATCACGGCGCTGGGGCCCGAGGAGGGTTACAAGAGGTACATTGGATCGGGCATGCCGGAACATTTTGCAAAGTACATGGTGGACGTACTGGGTACGAAGGGCAGGGATAAGGGGGATGGGGAGATTTTCCCACACTATGAGGAAGGAGTGAGGAATGTTGAGCTTTATACGGGAAGGCCGGCGACTAGTCTTGAAGACTGGGTGAGGGAGAATAAAGCGATCTTCAGTGCGTAGTAGAATGTGCAGGGAGTAAATAGCAACATTGCATCTTGTGGCGGAATACTTTTTCTTAGCCAGTGTTGTTGGGGTCGTACTGGAGACATGGTTATCTTGAACCTTGAGATAAACAACGGCCAAGTGAGCAATCCGACAAATCATTCAATACATACTGTAATGTTCTCCATGACCCTGCCCATGTCGCGAAACGAATTGTGACAGTGACCGGGCTTGTAGCGGTTTTAGATCTCCACGGTACACATTGCATGCTGGTAGAATATCCAGTCCGAGAGGATCGGCACGAAATATTGCTACAGTAAGGGTGATGTTGATATTGGTTCCCTTGCACGCGATGATTCTTTTCTTCATTGATTGTCTGCTTCAATGTTGTCAATTTAGGAGTCAGCATTCCTCGATGTCAGGCGTGGTGATTTATGATTGCCAGATTGTGTGGCTGCTTCGCTGCCCTAGATTGTCCATCTTCATCGCTGCTCCTCTTGCTTTGCCCATTTCATTATCGCATGTGTCGCAACGCGTTGCACAACTAACAAAATTACACGCACACGAATGTTTTGTAGTGTCGATGTAACGAACGTCTCTGGAGCTGGTGGGTCTATACACGAGGGATGTATACCATACAGCAGCGGTATAGTTTGAATACCGTGCAGAGTAAAGACTCGTCCTTGCAGTTCAGCTATTGTATAGCCTTGTCTATACCTACCATGTTAAGACAAAGCTATCCGTCAGATCAATGGATACCAATAATCGTGATTTACAGAGGCAGGACGTGCTCCAACAGTAGCGCGATGACGATGTCGTGCTACTGCACGTGATCTCGGGATGGCGCAACACTTCAAGCCACCTCATTTCCCACGATGTCCGCCATTCGCTTCACTTTCGGCGTTTTCACGTGCCCTACCCCTCGGCGAAGCCAACGAGTCACCAGAGCAACAAGGAAAACTTTGACGAGCTGGAGGAGGGGTCGTGGACAGTTTGCGATCTGATGTGCGATATGGCGGTGGAGATGTGGCTAGCGCTAGAGGACGGGTCGACGGTTATGCATGCAGGGATTCGGGTTGGACAGGTCTGGCGGCTCTGGGGTGCATTGGCGGTGAAGAGATTTGCTCTGCTTTGCTGAATGACGACAGCAGCGTGAACGCGTTGAAGATGCAATGGGTATATGGCGTGATGTATCCCATGTGACGATGATGGCAGTGTGCGGTACCTGAGGGCTGCTGTCCACGTCGATGAATGAGGTGAGGTGCAGTGAAGCTTGACGTGTCCGAGCGCGACACCGCGACCGACATTGGCGACAGGAAAAAAAGCGGAGAAGGATGCCACTCACCCTGTACAACGCATCAACCGCCTCGGCCTTCAGCCCTGCATAATCGCCCTCGATCAGCATCTGTCATGATGGCAAGACTCTTTGCAGCGCGTCGTGTTTCAGGCGTGCCCTGTGGTCGAGGAGAGGCCTTGTTCGCAAAGCGCGTGAGAGGTCGCTTCGAGCACGATGCGACGACATAGCAGCAGGAGCAGATCAATTGGCAGACGCCGAGTCCGTCACTATATGTACCCGCCAGCGCGCGCGCGTATCCGTGCTCAAGCTTCATCATACCATCCCATCCCATTTCGCCCGGGTTGATGTTGTGCACGTTGGCAGCAGCACCGTAACACGACACCTGCGCAAAGCCATCAAAAAGCACTTAATACCAGCACCCCCAACTCGCTCCTGCTGCTCACTTCTACTCCCAATTCATACACACCAACAGCTTGCGGCAGTTCAACCGGACAATCGTCTCCACATCCCAACGCAACGTGCACCCCTGCAATTGGTCCGAGGCGTAGACCAGCGACCGACGTGGTTGTGCTTCCGTACATAAAAACTGTCGAGTACTTGACCGCTCTCGTCGCCGTGTGCAAGGCGCTCGAATCACTGATAACGCAATTTTTTCATTCGTCGAATCATGCCTAGCTTTGGGCGCAAACAGAGCTATGAGTAAGTTTGTCCCGCTGCCGCTCTCTGCTGCTTTTCTTTTCTCCCGAGCTTGTACTTTGCCAAACACAAACTTTTTTTTGTAACGACTCAGCCTTTTCGGTTGAGAGGTGTTAACGACTTACGAACGAACGCTTTGGTGAGAAGCTCTTTACTTCCTTTGTCTGCAGAGCAAACAATTCTGCTTTTGAGGTTCCAATTTCTGTCAAACTTTTTTATTGTTGCAGTCATTGGCTCTTACCTTACCTGCACACTGAGCCCGCTTGCTGCCGCTGTCTCACCCGATTGGACCATCGCTGACCACCTCTCTCAGTGTCTCGAGCAAAGAGCAGAAGCAGATCCTCGCTGACATCCAGTCGGGATCTCAGAAATTCGGTCGCCGCCTAACACGACGACCTTCACAAAGGCCACCACACAGCGGCGGAGATCTGCTTGTTCCCGTTACAGTAACCGGTGAAGCAGCTGAGCAACAGGACCGACGAGGACGCAAATCCACGAGTTCACAGCGCCCGGGTCTTCCCAAGCGCACAAGCAGCATGAAGCGAGCATACAACTACTTCTTCGGGGCTGGCCACCCGGAACCGGTGCCATCCATGCCCACCGCGCCCGTCACAACCACAGACACCACAGCGCCGAGCAAGATCGATGAGGCCCCGCGCGAGAACGGCATCGATACCCCGCCCGACACGCCACATGAGGCAAGCATTCCTGGAGGAGAGGACCGAATTGGTATGTATAAGCTCTTTTCCCCTCCAACTCCCAATAACACCATGTAGCACGTTCGTCTAGCCCTTATCTTCCATATCACGTAGCTCCTCAGTACGTGCCTGCCTCGGCTTTACTAACCCGTCGCTCGCCAGCTCCCTCCACCGAGCCCCCGTCTCCCTCCGACGACGACACGCTCGAAGTAAAAATCGAGAAGCTGCAGAAGAGGCTGGCACACACCGAGGCCCAGCTGTCCGAGGCACAAACCGTCGCACAGTCCCAGGACCAACATGTCAAGGTGTTGGAGGAAGACTACAGGGAGCGTGAGAAGGGCTTCGAAGAGCGCGAGGCTACCCTGCAACAGGACAAGAAGGAGCTCGAGGAGCACATGGTCAGCGTCGTCGTGCAACAGGTGCGTGAGGCAAAGCTCAAGGAGCGCAACACCGTCCAGGAAGAGTGGGCAGGCCGTGTTGCTGAGCTACAGGCTGAGATCGATGCTCTCAAGGCTGAGATCCAGGAGCTCAAGCAGACCATCCAGAGCCTAGAGGGTGGCAAGACCAGCGAGGACTCGATCCCACGCGCCGAGCACGAGCAGCTCTATGCCGACAAGTCCAACGTCGAGCAGGAGTTGGCTGCCGCCAAGGACGATCTGGAGAAGCTCACCGCAGCCCACGCTGAGAAGGAGGCCTCGCTGTCAAAGGCGCATGCCACCATTGAGGGTCTCCAGGCTGAGAACGAGACCACCAGGTCAGCCGCTACCGATGCCGGCGCCAAGGACGATAAGATCGCTGTTCTCATGTCTGAAATCACCGCCCTCAAGTCACAAATTGGTGACCTCCAGAAGCAGCACGAGGAGGAAATTGCTGCCCGTGGCACTCAAATCACCGACCTCGAGCAATCCCACTCTGCTACCAAGGAGGAGGCAGAGGGTCTCCGTGGTACCATTGCCGAGCTCAAGCAGACTCATGACTCTGAGGCTGAGGGTCTCCGCGCCCAGATCACTGAACTCTCATCCGGATCCACCGATGCTTCTTCCAAGGTATCGGAACTTCAGAGCGAGTTGGCCCAGGCGAAGGAGCAGCTTGTGACTGCCAAGGCTGAGCTCGCAACCAAGTCCGAGGAGCACAGTGCTGCCGTCGCTGAGGCGTCCCAAGGCTACTGAGTCCTCCAAGGGCGAGGTCGACAGCTTGAAGGCTGAGATCGCCGATTTGCAGGAGAAACTCAAGTCTGCTGACTCTGCCAACGGCGATGCTGAGGGTCTTCGTAGCCAGATCACCGAGCTTGAGAAGTCGTTGAAGGACGCTCAAGACTCGCTGGCCGCTAAGACTGCTGAGCTCGAGACTGTCACTGCCGAGAAGGACGCTGCCGTCAAGGCTGCTGAGGAGGCGAAGAGCAACGTCGACGCTCTTACCACAAAGATTGCCGACCTGGAGAAGGAGCTTGAGGGTGCGAAGAGCACTGCCAGCTCTGCATCCGAGGAGTCTGCCGCCAAGGTTGCTGAGCTTGAGGCTTCGCTGAAGGAGGCAAAGGACGGCCTTGCTGCTAAGGACGCCGAATTGGAGTCTGCCAAGGGTGCGGTATCGAATGCTTCCGAATCGTCGGCCGCTAAGATTACTGAGCTTGAGAAGGACCTTGCCGTTGCAAAGGAGGAGGCTGAAAAGGCCACTTCTTCGTCGAAGGAGGAGGTTGAGGCTCTGCAAGGCAAGATCACTGGTCTCGAAACCGAACTCGCATCTGCGAAGTCTGACCTCGATACTGCCCAGAAGGACGTTGCTGCCGCTAAGGACGCAGCGGAGGGTGACTCCAAGGGTCTCCAGACTAAGGTTGCCGATTTGGAGCAGGCACTCGCTGATGCGAAGGCCGAGACCACAAAGGCTTCTGAGTCTGCAAAGGAGGAGACTACCACCCTTCAGAGCAAGATCGCTGAGCTCGAGGCTTCCCTCGCCACTGCCCAGCAGGAAGCTACTTCTGCCAAGGAGGAGTCCAACAAGACTGTTGAGTCTGTCAAGGGCGATGCGGAGGGTCTTCAGGCAAAGATTGCCGAGCTTGAGTCATCCCTCGCATCCGCCAAGACTGATCTTGAGGCTGCCCAAAAGGAGGCCGCTGCTGCTAAGGAGGAGTCCACCAAGGCTACCGAGTCTGCATCAGGAGAGGCTGAGGGCCTCAAGAGTCAGATTGCTGAGCTCGAAGCTTCTCTCAAGGCGAAGGACACTGAGGTCGAGGAGGCGAAGAAGGCTGGCGAGGCGGCAAAGGGTGACACTGATGAGCTCTCTGCCAAGATTGCCACCCTTGAGGCCTCTCTTAAGGAGTCCAACACCAAGGCTGAAGAGACCGAGGCTAAGCTTACCGAAGCTCTTCAGACTGCCGAGACTTCCAAGACCCAGACCGGGGACCTCACCACCAAGATCGAGGCACTCGAGAAGGAGTTGGCTGATGCGAAGGCAGATGCGGGCAAGGTTGCTGAGCTCGAGGCCTCTCTCAAGGAGGCTACCAGCAAGCTCGAAGCCAAGGACGCTGAGCATTCAGAAGCCCTTCTCGTTGCCAAGTCGTCAAGCGGCGAGGCTGAGGCGAAGGTTGCTACTCTTGAGAAGGATCTCGCCGCCAAGGCATCTGAGCATGACTCTGTCAAGGAGCAGCTCGCCAGTGCCGAGGAGGCGAAGTCCGCTGCAGAGAAGGCTCTCGCCGAGCTTAAGGAGTCCGCTTCCGGAAACCAGGATGCCATCAAGGCCGCTGAGGCATCTCACGAGGAGACCAAGGCTTCTCTCTCCACCGCTCAGTCTGAGCTCGAGGAGTTGAAGAAGGCCAAGGCCACTCTCGACGAGGAGCTCGAGGCCGCCAAGAAGGCGACCGCCGAAGCCGAGGAGAAGGCTGCCAGTGTTGCATCCGCGTCCGGCTCTCACGAGGAGAAGGTTAAGGATCTCCAGACCCAGCTCGAGAAGGCCACCGCCGATCACGAGGAGACCAAGGCTGCGAAGGAGACTGTGGAGTAAGGACCTCGCTGCCGCCAAGGTAGGATGGCAGCAAGGTCGCTGATTTGCAGGCTCAGCTCGAGAAGGCCAACGCCGCACCCTCGAGACCGCAAAGAAGGCCGAATCTGAACTCGAAGAGGCAAAGGCCAAGACTCGCGACCACAGACGGAGGTAGCTCAAGGCATCCAAGCAGACTGCTGAAGAGGCCGAGGCTCTGAAGACTGAGATCGCCGCGCTCAAGGCTTCATCTGAGAAGACTGCTTCTGAGAAGGCGGAGCTAGACACCAAGATCACTGACCTCGAATCTAAGCTCGCTGAATCTTCCAAGGCGTCTGAAGAGCTCAAGGCTCTTGAGGTATCCAAGACCGACGTCGAGACCCAGTTGAAGTCCGCTCAGGAGTCTCTTAGCCAGGCTGAAGAGAACTCTGCCGCGCTCAAGAAGCAGCTTGAGGACGTGACCGCCGAGACCGAGTCTCTGAAGAAGGACCTCGCAGACGCCAAGGCTGCTCCTAAGGAGGAGGCCAAGGTTGTTGAGAAGGAACCTGAGGTCGCCGAGAAGGTCGTTGAGAAGGAGCCTGAGGTCGAGAAGGTTGTCGAGAAAGAGCCCGAAGTCGCTGCTCCCGTCGAGGAAGTCAAGGCCGCCGAACCTGTTGTCGAGGCACCCAAGGAGGAAGTCAAGGCTGCCGAGCCAGAAGTTGAGGCACCCAAGGAGGAGACTCCCGCTACTCCCGCCGCCGAAGACCCCGTCCCCGAGGCAAAGGAAGACGATGCCGAAGAAGACCCCAAGAGCCCCACCGACTCGACGCCCAGCACGCCTACCACCGCAAACGCGAATAAGAAGAAGAAGAAGAAGGGCAAGAAATAGAGTGCCCCCACCCCGAACACCCTCCATGGTAGAGAAGGAGGAGGTTGTGGATTAGAATGACGTCTGCGTGTGTGTGTGCTATTTTGTGATTTTTGTTTTTGCGAAGAGCTGGATTGAAAGAAAGGCTTTATACCCCCCCCTGAAGTGAGATTGGAAGAGAGACTGGGGATGGAAAGTTTAATGAATTGACGGTTTCATGGATTGGATACGAATTCGATGCGATGGATGTAGATAATGATACAGACATGAGGGCGATGGCATGCGTATATATCAATTTCTTCTTCTTCTTTCACTGGCTTGCCGATGTTGACGTGAGTGAAGACCTTGGATGATTGAAAGTTTTATAGAGGGTAGGTTGGAGCACCAGTTGCGCCCATATGCGAATCAGTATTCTGCTTCATCTATCTTGCTGTCACGATGCGGCGCAATATTTCTCTCTGGTCAATACGCGCGATGGGAACTTGAGTTTGAGACTGGGCTGAAGGACGGGATCGCCAAGGGGAGAGAAGTTTTGACGCAACTAGCCGAGTATATCAGGCTTTGCACGCAAGAAAAGGCATTATTTCCATTGCGATTGGCGCTCGTATCCGCGAGACTAAGACACGGTGAAAGCATGGTACTTGACCTCTATTCAGGCATGTCGCCGAACGTCACTGAGTCTATGAAGCGGTGATTTACGAGAGCACAGGGTCGACTGCGTAAAGATGTGGCGATTGCGGGAGGGGCAAAGCCGATACGAGGTGACGATGCAGATGGATGACCTTCTGGTCACCATATATATCAGCTTGGCGCGAACAGGATGTTACCATATCATCTGCACGAGCGCGTGCGTGTTGTCATGTCTTTCACGCCGTTGACGACCTACATTCACTGACGAGACAAGCTGCGTCCTTGATTGCACATTCTGCCCTTGCACGTACAAATCCTCACTCTTCTGTCGACGAGCGTCGTCAAGGTAGTGTGTGGCTTGGAAAGGAATGCTTGTGGCGTACCAACACGGCCGTCGGATCACGTGCGTAGCGATGTGTTGTACTGTGACACGTCGGCACAGATCGGCTGCAAGGAGGTGAAGCAGATCCTGCAGCAAGCCGATGCCCCAACGTGCCATCCAAGCGCGTGCAACAGAACGGTTGGCGATGGTCGCACGCCGGTCTGATATGGACGATTGTCTCGTCGGCGCTTTCAGCTCGATCGTCAAGAATGAGGCGTGTCACGTTCTGTGTTTGGCGGGCTCTCCGTTCGAGGTGGCTTTTTTCCAGGGACAGTGCAGGTTTCCGCTAGTGCCATGCACGTCGCCCGTGGAGGTGTAGCATCGTGAAGAACGATCCCTTTCCCCCACAAGTGCGCTTCCGATGGGCCTTCGATGACCTGGACCCGGGTTGCTGGGATTCTGCTCCCTTGCTCGCCCTGAGCAGTCGCGTAACAAGCTGCAAGAATGATCCCAACAACCAGGTTGCTGAGGGGTTGGAATACCGCCACAGGGCTCTCGGCTTCCACCGAGACAAGAATGTAAAGCAGCCCTACCGTCAACCAGCTGCAGGGGTCGATTGCGCTTGCGTTGAAAAAAAAAGACGCCACAGGTGATGTATTGAGCGCCGCTTTGCAGAAGTTCATGTGCGGGTGAGTTTCGATGATGAGGACTCATCGAGCGGGTCAAGCCATTTACTTTCTTCCTGCGGCGTTGAATTTTTTTAGAGGAGACTCTCGGGCTTTCGATATGACGCGACAATGAGAGCACACACAAGTTTCATGTGTGCAGGGGAGTTTTTCGTACTCTATCAAAAAGCGCTAGTCTGTCCTGTGCGATTGGTGGGGCTGAAGCAGGTGAGGACCGTTTTGGTGTAGTTGATGTAACGATGGAAAGAAACAGCGTTCGTTCTGTGTGACCAAGCAGAACGCCAACGGAACCTTGACCGCGCATTGAGCATCGTCTCTTTATCGCAGTCGTACAGTACTGACTTTCCAGATTAGCTCAGATGTACGCTGCGGATCCAGGGAGGGCTATCGAGATGGTGACGGCACCAGCTCGGTTCCTGCTTTTGCGGGAGAGTGATTATGAGTTACAGAAATTGATCCTCTGCTTTACGGCAAGCCGCATGATCGGGCGGCTAGTTTCAGAAGTATTGCGTATATTGCACAAAAAGCAAGTAGGGATCCAAGGCAATGGCGCGCAGCCTCGTGGTCCGTTGGTCTCAGCTTTGAGTAGGCGCGCGATAGGGCCCCTGTGTTGATGTGCTGTTCGTTGCAAGAGTAGTGCTGCGGCATGGCATATGTCTGCAAGAAGATCAGATGTCGCGATAAGGGCATTGGGGTCATGCTCGCGCGAAGATGGCCTTGATGCATGTGTGCCTCAATCCCATTTGGGAAGTCACGGCAGGCGATAGCGAGCGTGGAGAGGTATCAACCAACTATGTCTGCATGGAGTTTGCAGTTGCGATTTCGCCCTTGGAGGAGGAGGTCGGAGGACTGGCGCGTCAGTGATGTCGTGCATAGAAGCAATATACGACGGTGCCATTGGCTAAGGCTGGCTCTCCGGCCCCGGATCTGCAAGCTGGGGGGTGAATGTCGGGCGTCATGACGGAACGTGCCGACCAGCGTTCGCTCTGCGAAATCTGATGTGGCTGCGCTCTGAGGCCAAACTGTGGTCCTGGCCATGGGTAAGCGGATATGAGGGCCTGCACGGGTACTGGGTGGCAGCGGCTAGCTCCATGAAGCACGTTAGTTCTGGGCGTAAGATGAGATGGATGATAGGCGACGGAGCGCATGCTCGGCCATGATTCCTGCGTTCTACCTGCGATGCGAAGGCAGGGCTAGACATGCGGCGTCGTGATGGTTACTGTGGTTAAATGCTCGAAGGGGGCAGTTGTGGCAGGCTAATTGCCTGTTTGTGGTGCGGAGGCTGGCGAGGCTGACGTTTGGGGAGATTTACACAGCCTGCGGGCAACCGCGCTCAGGACCGGATCGGGCAAGAGCGTTGGGTGATGCGGCATCATCTTTGCTAAGAATATGCTCTACAACGGCGACGTTGATCAGCTCAGCCGCCATGGCACGGGGGGGGACGGTGCGTAAGGGAGCGCTGGGCCTGACCATCTGATGAGGGTAAGCAGCGCAGCGCAGGATGGAGGCGACGGAGCAATGCAACAGGCGTGGCAGCGTATTTCGGGACTTGACAGCTACAGGAGCGCGTAATGTGGTTCCGCCCCGCGCCGCTCATGCCTGGTGGACGGGTAGACAGGTGTCGATGCTTCTGTCCCGATGGGGCGGCTCCATGCAAACAGAGCGACCGCAACTTCCTCGTCGGTAGGGGCAGGCAAGAGCAACGGTACACGGCGAAGGAGCGTTCCGCGGGCTCGCAGGCGGCGGATCCGTGGTTACGTGCCATGCCATGGGCGCCGACGTCGAGCACACCAAAACGCCATGGTGGGACGGCGAATGGCTCCCTTTGCTGGCCCATCGCCCAAGCAGCCGCCGTAACGAGCTCCATGTCTGCTGGCTCTGCTGGCTCTGCTGGCTCTGCTGGCATCGTCGCCGTGCCTGGCCACAGACGCGCTCCAGTGGCTTTCTGGCGATGCGCAGACGGGCGGCAGGGATGCAATTAAGGTTGCCTGCAAGCCACACCAGGAATAGATGGTCCGTCAACTCGCTTGACCGCTGGTGCCGATGCTCGCTGCTCACCACACTTAGCAGATGCCCTCCCTTCCTGCAACGACCCCATTACCACCGCTCTGTAATGGGGCCATGCTGAGCGGCTCTGTGCCCTCACTGGCTCGGCTGCCGTCATCTTGCCCACTCACCGCGCTCCAGACCCTGCGTGCATCTCTAGGCCAGAGGCTCATGGCACGCCCTGACTGAGCGCCGCATAGAATCCCATCCAGCTACTGCTGATGCTCACGGCCATGCTGGGCCACATGTATATCACCATCCAGGCCACCGCCGCGCTGGGTGCCTCTCGGATGCTGACCACTGCCCACTGCCCACTGCCTCACTAACCAACAGTGCCCATCACATCCAGCACTACCTGCAGCTCCCTCTGCCTCTGTCTCTCCCTGCTCTGCTCTGCTTTCCCCTTGACCTCGTTTGTTTGCATTTCTGCACAATTCCCATTACACGCACATCCGACGCCTCACGGATTGTGTTTCGAAGCTTTGGCCCTGGCCCTCCGCATCCGCGCTGCTCACCATTGCAGAGGTCTCATAGACCCACCCCACACCGCACGTAGTGGCCACCCTCGTCATCTGCTGGAATTCCACCGCGTTGCTTTTGGCACTTGCAATTTGAGGCTGTCTCGTCTGCTCCACTGCTCGCAGCCACAGCTGCTACCAAAAGCTGGCCACTCACAGCCAACCCTGCGGCTCAGCTTACTACTGCTACCTGCTTGACAGGACTGCGCCATCGCTGCCTACCCGGCGCCCTTCACAACCCCAGTGCACAGAATCCCAGCCCTCTGTCCCGTCTTCAATCTCGTAACTTAGTCTCTCTTTGCAGAGCTGTCAGGCTTTGTGTGACGTCGTGCCCAACGGCGAACACACTAACCGTTCGAGGGCGTGCTTCAGCACTCACTGACCCGCTAGTCTACCCAGCTTGACGGGCCCGGTAATCACCAAGAGTCATCCGAGCCCCCCAGAGCTCACTGTGCTCGCCCTGCCTTTGCATTTCACGCCTAATCCTCTGCAGTCTGCGCTGGGCCAATCCTACCCCTTTCCCGCTACCCTGGGGCCACATCGCTTATTACTTCACCTACCAAACCACATTATGCTATTAAACTGGGCGCCTATCTCTACAGTCATAGCTCCAGCATCCTCCTGTTCATCTTCCTTCCCGTCTCGCGAGGCTGCCTAGCCCTCCTCACATTGGCCACTCTTACCGTCCATGTCTCTGCTGCTTTGTCCTGCGATGTAAGTCACCACACGTCCATCACATCGAAATGCGGGCTGTGACATGCGACATTCTGTACCAAGGCACTGACTGTCATTTCAAGCACCTGGCATGCGCGCTGAATCACTCTTGTTTGCAGCTAGAGCCACGCTTGCTTCTTCCCTGTTTCGTCTACAACCTTCTGTTATTGTCTGAGCTACCTTAGGCGAAGAGCAGGACTCGCCGTGTCCGACACCGACACTCAAATTCCCCTGATTCCCGGATGAATCCATCTTCTAAACATCCTGCTCGTCTGTCTCTGGGTAAGTTACTTCTGCCGCCTTCACTGGTCACAAGTGGTCATCCAACCCAATTTCAGATCTGCCTCTTCTTACATCTCAAACAGTCCATCGAGGCCTCTTGTCACAACATTTTCATCTAACAAGGACTCATTGTCGGTCATCTCGAACACGCCACGCCCACCGCACCTACCAGTTCCCTGTACGTCTTCTGGAAGAAGGCAGCATCAGTCGCTTGTCTCGTATTTCTGCCACCCAGATAGCACCAGCCAACCGTCAAACTGGCCTGCACCGTAGAGCTGAGCTATCAGGTACGTCTCAACCATCTATTTGCATCCACCTAGCACGCCCACGAGAGCCTCAAACCGTGCCCCTTCGCTGCTGCCTACCATCCGGACCCCAACACACGTTTGCCTGCTAACATATTCGATACTTCAGCCTGATAGCTACCGTACATCGTACGCTTTTGGTGCTGATCCAGACACCTCAGAGCAATTCTTAGCACATTGTGGCCAAGGCTTCAACAGCAGGCCTCAGACTGTGCACGCCATCAAGGGTGCAGATCTGACGTCCATGTCGGGATACGATAAAAACCAGCAATATGTGTACGGTAAGTGGAATGCGGCTCATCTGACAAACCTCCAAGGCCACCTGCCACATTATGGTCGGATGGGCTCGGTTGCACCCACGTGAGAGTTGCTAGTACATTGACTGATCAGCCAACCCCACAGAAGCCGAAGCCACAAGATCGAATCAGCTCCCAAGCTATACAGGCATTGCACAGCCTACGCTCGTCTCGCAATACACGGGTGCGCCCGCGGAGCTAGGCCATGGCCTTCCCAGGGCAGACATGTCCTATGTTCCCACCTCGACTTACGAGTCACGCGCCACAGCAGCCCTCCAACCCGATTCCTCATTTATTGATGCAGGGTCTCGTCATCCCGCCTCCCTTACAACCACCGAAACGGTAATATCCGAATACGTTACGCCCTCTCACGGCACCGCCAGATCTACAGTCTCTGTCCAAATCTCATCGGATTACGATCTAGCTTCCAGTGCCAACACCTTCATCCTCATGTTTGGCACTAAGAAGTGCGTTGCCGCACTCCAAAAGGTCGATTACGACGATGATGCCCACAACTACCTCCTCAATGTCGAGGTGCCGCCCTATCCATTGACCAACGCCTGGAATCCGACCATGATGCTCAAGGCTGCAAATAGAAGACAAGAACGGGAACCTGCTTTCGCAGTGTGACGCCGGAAAGTTCACCTTTACAGACATGTCGCCGAACCTTGCCTACCAATCTTCTCCAGAGTACTCTAGGAAGCGGAGGTACTCGCCCCGAGTTTGACGACACTCCAAGATTATACAGACAATAACCCCAGCCAAAACGAGTCGCCCCCCATGCGCTACCATGCGAAGCCACGCACAATGTCCGGAGCGTACTCGGAAGCACAAAATTTCGCCACTCCCCAGCTCAGTCCTCGCTTTCGAACACCTACAGTGGTGCATATAACATGTCAAAGCAGACGAGCTACGCTTCTCAGCTCTCGCAGAAAGGATTTGCTGTTCCTTCGGGTGCGGGTCTTACACATACAGACTTTAAGCTGCCGCAGATGTCTCCCAGTCTGCCATCCTATGGCCACTACAGTACTGTGACGCACACCAGTCGAAACTCTGCCTCGATGGCGGGGCCGCAGTCCGGAGCGTCGGGATATGCCACATCAGGAGCACTTCAAACACCTGTTCTTGTTCGAGCCACCTCTATTTCACAGACAGGAGGTGCGGCGACCAGCCAGCCGTTCAATCCCTACTCAATGTACCAGTCAAAGGCCATTTTGAAAGTTGACGGTGACCTGGACAAGATGAGCGAGGACTGGACCCAAGAGGAGTTGGACGCAAAGAGACGCCTTGTCGAGTTCAAAAGATCGCAACATGGCAGTACGATCACGACTTCGTTTGCGCCAGTGACACCAGAGGCTCGTGCGACCCGAAGTATTTGTGTCAGCTGCATCTGGTGGGAGGAGAAAGACGAGTGCTTCATCACGAGTGTCGACACCATTTTCCTGTTGGAGCAGTTGGTGAATGTTCGCTTCACGGTCGAGGAGAAGAACCGAATCCGCCGGAACCTGGAGGGATTCCGCCCAATGACTGTTTCCAAAGCCAAGTTGGACAGCGAAGCTTTCTTCAAGGTCATCATGGGTTTTCCGAATCCTAAGCCGCGCAACATTGAGAAAGATGTCAAAGTCTTCTCGTGGAAGGTTCTTGCGCAGGCACTTAAGAAGATCATCAGCAAATATGTACGTATCAATTCGATGGAGCACAGCATAAAACTAATACTTCTCAGTCTGCGAGCTACTCATCCACTGCTGGCGTCGGATCACTTCCTATCACATCGACTTCAACATACCCGGGCGCCATGTCGCACGCAGCAGCGAGTGTGCATCGAAATTCTTCGCCACAATCGGTATCAGCTTCGACTGCATCAACGGCATACACACCACACCTAGCAGCATCCAGTCTATCTCCCCACCTGAGAGTATCAGCAGGCCTTGAGGGGTCAGCGGGTCATGGGATGTCGGTGCCCCAGAGGACACCATCAGGGCATAGCATGACTCAATGGGGTGCTTCTGCGCACCAGATGCAATACCCTACCAGCCTTACTCAAGGTGGGCGCAACTCATGGGACTATCCGTATCTCAGCGCCGCCGGGGCAGTCGGCATGCCCTCTGCCGCGCAATCACTGCAAAGGACAGACTTGGCGGGCGATATCAGCCAAATCACGGCCGACAATACCTACCACCCTTATGGCGAGCGTACGACGAGGGTGTAAGAAGGTTGCGGATGTTATCTGTGGCGTGCGGATCGTTCTAGTCAAGCTGGCGAGGATGCGCGTCGGGTGATCCACTCAACGTCCGCATGATCGCGGCGGGCTAGGCTGCTTCGGGCGTTGTACCACACCCCAACCCCTCCCATCGTCTGGTCTGCCTTGCTCGACGCGCAACCACACTCGCAGCCCCTCCCTTCGACCAGCCCTCATTCAAGTTTTTCGACATTCAGCATCTTGGGGGCGTTTACATTTCCTCCCTCTCTTTCTTCCTTTTATTTCTCCAACATTCTCACATCCCGGTACGGAACGGCCCATTCATACACAATACCCCGGAATACACGGCGTTCAGGCGTTTACTTTCTTTACAATCCTTGCAAGGCACTACATCTTATCAAGACCAGCATATAATACGGCGTACGTTGGGGAAGGATCAGGTGGTGCATACGACGACTTTGCATTCATTCCAGGCAGGGAACACGATATTTCTTGCATCATTCTGGCGTTTGCTATTTATACCGTCTCTCGCTTTCGTAATTATGTTTATATTTTTACCGATTTTCTTCGGAGTTTGACGCCTCTGAGGTCGACGCTTTTTCGGGCATGGACATGTCAGCATGGCTACGCCCCGTGGGTATATCGGGGCGCTCACGGATCGTAACGTAACCCAGCAGCGTGGATAAGCTCAGTTCTCACCTGGCGAGCTAGTGCGCGTTTTTTCCTTCTTCTTCTCGGTCATGGTCATCTTATACTTCTCCTTTCGTTCCTTCTATTCTGAGATTCCCCCTTCTTCATGTTCGATGAACCATTATCACGTCGCGCAGTGCAATACATCGATAGCCTTACCACATTCTTTCCCCCAAACACAACATAACGTGATGTCTTATCCAGCCGCCTGCCTGAATTCTTTTCAAACTCGAATTCGATGCCTGGGCCATGTTCAAGGCCACCCATCCACCCCACGACTGCCTAACCGATATTCCCTCAGATCCCCTCCCCCCAAAAAAATATCATGACGTCTGATCCAAGGCATCAGCTTACCTCACCTTCCTTCCCAGATGACCCGGACACGGCGCAAAGGCCACGCTGTCCCATACACGCGCGCGCGCAAAATATCTCGTGCGTGCCTAAGTGTCAGACGCCGCGCTTACGCCTCGCGGGACCATTCCCAGCATCTTGATTGTTCTGCAAGTGTGCATGTATGCGAGTCTGACCTGACCTGACCTGACCTGACCTGGCGAAGCGCTGGGACCGCGCATCTCAGGCCTCATGTGCGAGGGATGGACGAGTTGGGGGTGCATGTCGTGGCACTGGGCGATTGCCTGCGTGTAGCTTCGGAGCGGTGTTTGGGTGAGCGGGAGGTGTATGCTTGGGAGAAGTTCTGGAGGTACGGGTTTAAGATGGATTTGGTGAAGGGACGAGCGGGATGACTGAAAAGTGAGAAGATGGACTACCTTGTACGATGGCCGATGTTCAGTCGTCCTGATAGGGTCCGCTGTAGTGTTTCCGAGTCACGTGGTGCGGAAAAAAAATAATAGAAGTTTAAGATATGAAGTGGTATGTACTCGATGGTCTGCTATTATATACGTACTTTTGTTTTGTACAATGCCCCTTCCTTCCCAAAAGAAAACGCCATCTGTAAACCCAAAATCCCCCATGACCACGCCGAACCATGCTGCGCCAATGGAAATAAATGCGAATCTCTATCTCATCCAAACTCCCTTCACTTCAAATTCCCCAACCCTACGAATTCCCCAAAATCCTCCCATACGCATCCTCCACCTCCCTCGCCACCTCCAACAACGTCACAATAACAATCTGATGCGTTACATTGGGCAAGCGATCCCTATGCAACCCAATCCACTCCAGCGGGGGCGTCGCCTCGCCCATATCCCTGAGCTGCGGCGTCTCAATGAGCGGCGGCTCGAGAGGGGTATACTCGTACTTGCTCTGGGGGACATTAACCACGGCCGTGATTTTCTCCTGGCCGGCATCGCTTTGCGCTCTGGGTCTGGATGTTGATTCTTCCGCGCGCTCGGGCAGAGTTTGGGATGTGCTGATTTTGATGTTTGATTCGGGCAAGGGTTTGCCGAGGCGCGAGGCGAGGGTGCGCGAGTGGTTGGACCACATGGTGCGGATGTACGAGATGCGGGAGTAGTTCCAGCCGACATCGACTTTGCCCTCGAGGGAGGATTTGAACAGGTAGTCGATGTGGTTGGACCGGGGCACTTGCCAGGTGTGCATTGTGGCGACGACTTTGGGAACGCGCAGGATGGTGCCGCCGCGGGCGGATGCGGCGCTGCTGGAGACGTCGGCGACGGTGAGGTCGGTGACGGGTTTGCTGGTTTTGGGGGTTGGGATGGCGGAGAGAGCGACGCTGAGCTGGCCAAGCGTCATGCCGAGCGTGGAGTGGATTTTGCGGTCGTCAAGGGCGACGGCGAAGCGGGCTTGCATGTCACCGGCGGAGAGGAGGAGGATTTGGCTGTCGATGAAGGTGGAGGGGAAGACGCCGAATTTTATAGAGCGCAGCGTGACGACGACGTCGGTGTGGAGTGATATTGGCGCTTTGAAGGAGTCTTCGTCTGCCTTGGCTGCAATCATACTTTGTGATGGCGAACGGGTGAAGGGTGTTGCAGCAGAGGACTTTCGGCGCAGGAACTTCTCAATATCCCGGAGAGATTGTCTGTATGCTTGTTGATTCTCTTGCACCAGTCTTTCGATCGCTTGGTACAGTGCAAGTCCTTGCGCGGCGCTCGTAGCGTGGCAGAAAACGTGGACCTTTCCACCGTCAAGGATGGCCACCAGACGATCCTGTGAATTAAGCCCTTCTTGGCGAACGTTGTACATCAGGAAACCAAAATCGGCAATGTCTGCCATCAGGAAGGCTTGATAATCGAAACCTGATTTGACGCGGAGTTGCTGGAATGCGATCGAGGCCTGGATCAAAGGTGTCCGGCGGGTATTTGGTGCTTGTTCTGGCCAGCTGATTGATGTTCGAACCTTGATGCCGTGCAGTTCAACGAACCCACTTGTCCGGCCTGTGCTTTCGACTCCTATCTTCTCCACTCCAATGCAAAGATTCTGCTCCCAATCTGTGTTCTTCTTCGACGACGCCCACATGTTGTTGATGTGCAGCGAGGACCTCCCAATGGCCTGGCCCAAGTCCAAGTCGACCTTGATATCCGCAATTGCTACATTGGCATTCCATGGGAAAGCGGTTGCTGCTGTCACCTGTTCGTAACGTTGAATGAGGTAGTCCTGCGGTTCAGAATCCGCGCCATCTGTAGGAGGCTTGGACGATTGTCGTATTTCAGGTGGGTACCAGATCTCTCGGAACAACAGGAAGTCTTGCAATTGTCGAGCGTTGATCTGCATGGTCGTGGGGTTGATTTTCAGTATGGTTGAAATACCACTGGTGCCGCTGAGATGCTTGCTGTTCATTAGCGACAGCACGATTGATTCCACGTCCAGTCCGAAAGTCGATTCACGCGAATACACATGCTGAACCGTGACCTGAAGCTTCTCGAACGCAGCAGAAGCAGCGAAGAAGTGACCATGTTCCTGAGACTTGACACTGTTTGCCGTGACATAGATGTCCTCAAGCTTAGCAATAGCCGTCACACGTGCGATAGGCTGGCAGCTCAAGCTAAACTCTTGCTTGCAGATTCGGAGACCAAGGTTGAGACTTGTGCGACCGAGTATAGCCGATGGATCTGCAGCCATGATGTTGCTATCTTCTTCGACAGATTTGATTACCGACTTGGCCTGTGTTGTTGACTGGTCTGACGAAGCTGGGGAATCTGCTTCGTCCTTCTCACGCACGACTGCCTTGATACTCTCTGATATATCTATCATGATAGGCACTACAGTCGGTAATAAGGTGTTGCTCGATCCATCCACACGCACCTCGGCAGTCAAAGAAGGATCACGTCCATCGTCTTGATACTCGATGCGAATCGCGACACCAGGGGCGCGCAAAGCCAAACTACTCGCAGTACCATCGCCAACGAATTGACTGTATCTTCCTTTCTGCTGCGCTCGACTGGAGGAGCTCTGTGTGGGCGAGCTGTCTCCTCCATTGATGTGCACGACAGCACCAGCAAAATTGGCGTCAACTGTCACAGAGGCAAACCGCTTGTTGCCAAATGGATTCTTCCGCTGAGCACCAGTCGTGGTGGGTGTCATTTTCCAGTTGGCAGATGCTTTGCGGAACTTTTGGCCAGCTAGAGCGATCGATCTTTCGATAATGTTCGCCGGGATAATGAAGTGAGAGTCCAGCTGGAGATCCAGTGATTTTCCGGCTGCCTGGAACGCGACATTTCGGGTCTCCTTCGTCGAAGCGTAAGCCACGTTGAACACCATCATGGGAAGCAAGGCAGAGTTCAGCGACCGCTTCTTTTTGCTGGCTGAGATGGGCACCATCTGCAGCTGCATGTTCTCGATGAGCAAACGTGCCGCATCATCTCTGTGGGTTGACAGGCCGATCTTTCTGAAGGATAGAACGAGATCTTCGTTCTCGTTTCGTGGGAACGGTGCGATGGAGTTTCCGACGATCCAGCTGATCTGCAAGTCGAGCAGCTCCAGTGAATAGGTGGACGTAAAGAGGGCACCCGAGTCGACACTATCTTCGTCGGCGTCAACGTCTGCCTCGCTCTTGACGCTCTTGGCTCGTCTGTGTGACACTCTACTCTTCGTGTGTCGAAGCCGTCGCAGATACTTCTTCTCTTTCGACAGATCCAAGTCCTTGATCTTGTCTTGCAGATGGTTCATGACATCCACCACCGCCGATGCAGTGTCTGCAAATATATTGACCTCCAAGCCCGTACTGTGCACCCGATACAGTCTACGGATGGGCTCAGAGTCTTTCTCGGTAGTCGCTTGGAAGATTGCACCGAACGTGAGATTTCCACAGCGCCGTGTTGATTGCGAATCAGTTAATACTAGGGCTACACTGACTTCATTCAAGCGTACCGTCGCTTCCGAGTACAACATAATCCCGTCGTCTGGATCAATGTTGGTTGCCTTGAGCTGAACGGATGACAGCCGCAAAGTGAGATTAGCAGTTGGTGAGTCGAGCATCCGGCCTGGCGCACTTGCCACGATGTGTACCCCAGACAAAGTCATCTGGACACCGAATAGGATTTCCCGCGATGGACTGGGAGCATCAAGAACGGGCAACTCAGTGGCAGTCGGGAAGATCTCCTCGATGTGGGTTTTCAAGACCCCTACATCGTCTTGGACAGCTTGAACCATGTGCGAAAATTCCGGTTTGTTGATAGTACTTGCGAGAGCCTGGAGCTCAGAAGCCTGAAGTTGAACAGTCTCGATGATGCCGGAGGCAAAAATACGTGTTTCTTGCTCTGTTTGGGTAACTGCTAAACGTCCGTTGACAGGTGGCAGTTTGATGGTGCTGATCACATTGGACCCATCCATAGACGTGCTATACATCCTATGATAGCTCGCCTCAAGATCATAATCGACTTGTAGGGTAACGTTCTTTCCAAGAGCAGGTACCACTGCTATACGTCCAGATGACCCGGAGATTGACCAGCCCAATGGTTGAAGTAGCGCAAGCTCGACAAGATACGCGTCCATGAACAGAGCGAGTGTAATGTTCGGTAGTTGCGATGGACTGGTCGCCGGTTTCACATCCGCTTCCTTTTGGCTTGTCATCTTCTTGATAGCCTCTGATTGCCGGATAAAGTAAGCAACCTCGTCTCTGAGCACTGAGTCGGCTGCCTCGATGAAGCCAAGCACGTCCTCGTTGACCTTGACGTTGATCATGCGACTTGCAGCGGCGGCTTTGATTTCGTTGGGAATCGAACTGTCCTTCTCGTGTTCAACGAGTGCGACGGACAAGCTCGGTTCTTCGAACTGTGTTTTCGCCAACGAGCGACCCCGACAGACAAGCTCACTCACAGCATCTTCCATGTGAACGTGTGCACTCAGGATTTCACCCTGACCAGAGCCCTTCCGGTCCTCGTCCGTAAAGGCGAATCTCATATGGCGGCCAGTAGTGATGCTTCGGAGGTTGATGGTATCCAAAATGATTTGCGCTTTTTCGGCTACGAATATAGCCTGGATGTCTTGGTCGATCACACGAACAATGCTTTGGGCAAGATTTGATGGTTTAGATGGGATTGCCTTCTTGGTCGACAAGTCTTCTTTGTGGAACAGTTCCAACAATGCCTCGGCGAGTTCACATATCTCCCACTGGACGTGGATGGTAGCCTCTCGCGAGTTAGCTTGGATAAGTATAGACCTCCTGGGACTATCTGTCTCAACTAGCATGAGTCCAGATGGATCTGTGGGTGGTAGCAGTGCAACATTGATAGCTAACATGCGTAATGCTACTTCACTCTGTCGTGGTCCAGGGTCGACAACGACCTTGATCATTGCGGATTTGAGGTCGAGATGTAGAGGTGCAGAATCAGGCGTCGGCAGACGGTCCTCCAGACGATCAAATAGCAATCTCATTGCGAGACTTTTCTCCACATGAGCCAGATCCCAGGTGCGCCACTGATCCCACATGCCGATGATCTTTTCTTCAGCGTCTTCTGGACACCCAATTACATCCTGAGTGCATTTTTCTAGGAGCGAGTCCTTGTCAGCCTCCGGAAGGCACTGCCACGTATAGCGGAAACGAGATATGATCTTCCATGAATCGTGACTTCGCAAATGGTCTCTCGCTGCACGCAGGGCGTACGATGCCTTTATGAGGAAGTCTGGATCAGCGTATTGATCCTGCACGCTGGTCAGGTACCATGCCAGGTAGCGTAGTCGGCACTGCTGTCGGTGATCGGCTTGCGCAAACCGGGTGACGAGATCGTCTCCAAGGATGGTGGTTCGGTGAATGAGCGAGGCGAGATAGTCAACTTTCTTGCTTGCAGCCGCCGTCTCAAATGATCGAAAGGAAATGTTGATCGATGTTGCTTTGTTCTGTAACATCCAGACAAGAACATCACTGATCTCGGCTTGGATGGCCACATCCTGGTTGGTACTTTGGGAACTACGTTCTGTTGCTGAAACACCAAGGGAGCCTAAAGTAGTATGCAGTGAAAGTGAGTTCTCACCAGCTCGGTTTCCAGGGTGCTTCTTGATACGGGCAGATGCACGCCACCTATTGAGGATGATATCATATTGGTCTTTGCCTCCAATTGATGGTGACTCAAATCCGTGTTGAAATCGGATATGAGTAAAAGGTATCCTGACGTTGAACTCGAGTGAGCTACCTTTACCCTCTAATCTGTTCCGGTTCTCGAGTATTCTTGTCATGACCTTGATCTGGAAATCATCTAATAAGTCTTCTGGACGTTGAGGTTGAATGAGCTCAATCAGACTCGAAATGCAGTTGACAAATTCAGGTGTGCAAAACACACGAATGCCCGGTTCTGCGCTGATCAATAGACTGGTATGTGTGAAGGATTCGTCCAAGTGCTTGGTAGAAACGTCGTTGAAGGTGACCCCATCACTGTCTCGCTCTCCATCCGCCGCAGGTAACGATGGGAAGGAGGGCACTTCCGAAAGATCCGGTTCGACTTGTTCCAACGGAAAATAGGGAGCAATGAGAGAGCTTGACAATGCAACAGATGATGGCGCAAGGTTTCGTCTTTTCCGCTCATCTCTCGTAAGACGATCGAATTTGCGATTTTCGCTGGCAGCTCGGTGTGGTGAACCTCCAATTATTGTCTGGCTTCTACTAGAAGCTCCAGCTGTGCTCCTAACTCCATGGTTCGCTGTTGATCGGATACTGCTAGTTATGGAGGAACTTGACACGCTCCGTGTCGTAGATGCGCGACCCATTCGTGGGTTCATAGAGCCATGACCCGTTGATAGCTGTGAAGATGTGGTCGAAGCAGTTCTGAAGCTTTGAGAGCGAGGGAGAAATAAGGGGTCAGCTATGTCGGGGAATTGCAAGGCAGGTGGTCGTGTTTGGTTAATGTCTTTGGCGATAGACGGGATTGACATGCCGAGATTTTGCCTTAGCATGAACTGGGTGCGATTTGTTCGTTGATCATGGGTGTATAAGTGAGCTTGCTGCTTGTTGCGTTCTTCGGAGAAGTCGAGCTTGCGTGTCAGCATGTTTACTGACAAAGTTGTCTGCAGAAAAGCGTGTGTTTCGATTGCTGACTTCTCGCTGCTCCGCGTCCTGAGGCGCGACGCAGAACTCGCGTTGATACCAGCGATGGTCAGATTCGGTACGCACGCACTGAGACGCTCAGAGAACGTTTGTCCCGCTAGATCGTTGAAGTCGAGCGATATGGCATCCGTCCTTATAAGCAAGGCTTCTTGAGCGACATGCATCCAGACGTGAATATCATGAGTTCTCAGCCTGAGATATGTGACATCATGGATGATCTCAATCTCTGTCAAAGGGAGAGAATTCTCATCGTCTTCGAATGTGAAAGCAAATGAGCGAGCGGCGCCAGCTGCAGTCTCAATGAACTCTGACGTACATTCGCCAGATATCTTGCCGACGTCGAAATCCCAACTGCAAACATAAGTCGGTTCTGTTGGAGGAAGGCCGAATAAACGATGTCCGAAGATGACTGTAGAATCTAAAAAGAGCTCGGTCCGGCTTCCAGTGAACTCCTTCGAAGCCTCCAGGCTGGAAACAGATCCTCCTAGTGCAATGTTAATGGGACTGAAGTTGACCATCAGATCCATGTAGTAATTAGTGAACCTCAAATCTGCAGATGCATAGGGCAGATCAGCTCGAATGCTGCGCTCAGCCGAGTACAGATTGGCCGGCAAAAGGACGCTAACTTCGTCGGCAGAAACGCAAAGAATCACATCAAGATCATTCGTCAACTTGGAGTGTTCTCCGTTTGGCTCAGAACCATCTGCTGCAACACTCACACTCGGAAGGCCTTGGAATTCCTCCAGCGTTTTGAAGTGCAGGTCGTCTCCGAAGTAGTTGTCCTTGATCTTCATAAAGTGGTGCACCAGCCATCCATATAATTCGAGATTCAGGCGATGGCCCTGAATGTCCATGAACAACCGATCAGTATTCATTGGGGAGGTTTCTGTCATGAGCGTATGGCTTCCAGTCAAGGTCATCCCGCCAAGCTGAGCCACATTTGGTGAATGGACGAAAGTTTTGAGCGTGTTCTTTGGTGGCATAAGGACCTCTAGAGCCATGTTGTGTCCCTTAACATCAAAGGTGATTTCATTTTGAAGTGGCCGATATTTATCCAGTGGTATGCCTACATCACCATGAAGTCGCTCACCAGACAAGATGACAAAGTTGTTGTCTTCGAGATCGGCTGGATTGTTAACGATGTTGGAGTCATTTGTGTTGAGGTACAGCTTCAAGTTTGTGAAGTCCACGTTGAGGAGGTACTTGAAAGGTACGAATAGGAAGTATTCGGGTGGCGGACCGGATCCCCAGTCGGCGACAAGATCGGTCATGAGAAACAGATGATCTCGTAACAAGAACAGCTCGAGGTCTTTGCATTTGACGTTGAACATCCATTGTCGTAAAGTGTTCCACGCAACAGGAGCAGACAAATCACAGTCGAGAGTAATGGAGCCCGAGCGCCATAACAAGCCGTGATTGACACTAGACGATATCTCGGTATTGGCTATATCGACATCCAGCTTGTTCTGGAAACCTTTCTCGGAAGCGTACATGTCCATGACATAATTGACAGACGAATTATCGGATACCTTGACATCTATCCATGCAAATGGACGCACATTCTGCGCAGCTGCGTTGTCCCGGTGCTTTTCTCTTCTTCTGCGTGCTTTTGTCTTGCCCTTTGACTTGTCGGCGCCGGACTTGTCGTGCGCAGCTAGGGTATGCGCTTTGCCTTTCCATTTCCAGTCTTTTGATGGTTCGCGAATAGGAATACGAAGCACAGTATCCTTTTCAATGCTTAGGAAAAGCTTGAAAACTGATAGTACACGGCTTTCGCCTGTCTTGAGTAGTGGAGTGACGACCGCATCGACATGGGAACCGGGGAAAAATATGTTCTGGAAAATGCCCCGGTGACGATCTGCCCAAGGCCCGTAGTTGATAGTGCCCCCAAAGACCTGGATATCCATTCCATAGTCCGGAGGGATGCTCCCATTAATGTCGTTGGGGCGGGCAGGGTCAATGTTCAGGCTGTTGTCCATCTGATCTGGGACTGGGCCAGCTACGTCCCAGTAGAAGGTCAAATTCACACAGGGGATGTCCGCGATCAAAGAGGTCTTCGCGTATTCAATGCCATCCCACTCGCCATGACCATCGTTTACACTATCATCGAGATATCGTGCCAGGCCCTTCCAGCGCTCTTGACCCGGTATTTGCCACTGCGCAGCAAAGCCACCATGACTCTTATCTTTGCCAGACTTGGTGTGGGTGTGTATGGAATCTGAAGACTTGGTGAAAAGTCCGGACAAAGAAGGGAGCGACGACAGCCAGCGCCTATGTCGCTTACGTGCTCGAGCTTTCTCAGCGGCGCTTGTACCTGCGGCTTCATATACTGCATCTTCCTTGATATGCGCTGCTGTATCTAGTTGGCTTGTCTTGTAATCCGCGTTCGGTTTCATATGGACAACAGGATGCGTAACCTGAAAGTTGAACAGCTGCTGATAAATATCCAGGGGTCCGCTCGGCCCTGCATCAAGGGTGCCTGTTGCCTTCTCGAATTGCGCAGTAATCACAGCGAGTGTGTTTTCATTGCCGACGACGATTGCGCCCTTGTTTGCCTCGACATGAATCGGAAGTAGCCTCAGGAAGGCGGGCAAATCGGCTTTCTTTGGCATCGAGGCCGTTGACCGATTGGTGTTGGCGCGTGGAACATCCTTTTCGTCTTGGACTTGGGACTTCCTCAGCTTGTTGTGGCGATGCTCGTCGTCCTTGTGGAGGGTCCCGGAGTCGGTGACTGAACCATCGGTGGCCTCCTCTTTGTCATTGCCGGCGCCTGTCTTGCGTTTTACTGCTTCGATAATGCCGTCGTAGGCCGGGCTGCGATTGTACATGAAGGCTTCCACCCCGGACACCTTGACTGATATGCGACATGGCAACTGCTTGGGCGTCGATTTGCCTCCTTTTTCCGCCTTATCCACGTTCCTGCTGCGGCTGCCAGGCCGGCTGGTCGGAGAACTAGGCGCCTCGCTACTCTCGCCCTCGGAAGGCTCCTGATCGCTATAGACGCCGGCATCTCTCACTCGTCTCAGCCAGTAATTCCAGGTGATGTGCCCACCGTGCACCAGTATCGTCTCGTTGTGGCCGTGATAGCGCAGGTCCTTGAAGAAAATGCGGCCGCCGAGCAGGGATATTTGCAGCGAAGTGATGTCGATGTAGGCGTTGAAGGTGCGCCAGGTATATGCGCGTATACCGTACGACACGAGGGTTGCGAACAGGCGGTTGAAGTAGAAGAGGAAGAAGATGGTGAGGATGCCGCATATGAGCAGCTCAACCAGGAATACCCTGCGGAAGTCAGTAGTGCATATGAGGCCTCTACACAAGTTCATTTACCAATTGAAGCCGTCGCGCGGGTCCAGCGGCTCCGAGACGATTCGCTGCGACATGGCTGCACCGCGATGTGTGGACGCGATTGTTGATCATCATGGTCTCGTGAAGAAGGGGCGCATCATCGTGAATAGGAGAGGCAAGAGCAATCGCGGGGTCTCACGTGCGCGAACCCTTCACGCCAGGCATCAAATATTGCAGTCGTGCTGAGAGATATCTAAAAGCTGCGGTGAGGCTGTCACGGCTGTCAAGCTTGCTCACTCGCTCAGGGTTCGCGATGCGGATGCGGATGCGGATGCGCGTCATGGGGCTAGAAAGCTTGGGCGCCCGACTCCATGGCAGGCAAACCATCTAGACCACCCGGGCCAAACGAGCACAAGACCACCACCGGTCGCTCTCACGAACCTCACGCCATGACGACTGCACTGTGCCGTTGATACTGCGAAGCCTCCATCGTCTCCACGGGCGACATTCGCTCACGACACTTTCTTCAACCGTGCTGCCATTCTCCGCCATGGCTGTAGGCAACCTCGACCCAGAGCTTCGGCCTACAGATCTGTCTGGTGGCACTGGAGCGCGATTTGCGCGTGCCATAATAATCGTAGCTGGCTCATGTGCCCTTGTTGCCAGTCTGCTCACCTTTGTGTGCGTGCTCCATTCCAAACCTCGTTTATGCTATCCACTGACGTAGCCCAGCGCCATTTGGCTCCAGACGTAAGAACCACCGCTCGAATATCACCACCATGCGCTCACAACAACCAGGAAGAACTACCGAAAACCCGTCCTACAGCGATATGTCGTCCGCATTCTGCTCATGTACGTTCGTCATCTCCCTGGTTATCATGCACTCACATGTGAAGGGTGCCTATTTACTCGGGTGCATCATGGGCGAGTCTGGTGTCCATCACCGCAGCGTCCTATGTAGATCCTCTGCGAGACGTATACGAGGTAAGCTTGCCTGGAATCTATAACATGGAGCTCCATATTGATGCCACAGGCCTTCACCATCTACACCTTCCTTCAGCTGTTGATCAACTTCATCGGAGGCGAGCGAGCCCTCATTATCCTCATGACCGGTCGAGCACCCGTTCCCCATCCATGGCCACTAAATCTCATGTTTGAGAAGATCGACATCTCCGACCCGCATACCTTCCTCGCTGTGAAACGTGGTATCCTGCAATATGCATGGGTGAAGCCATTGCTTTCAGTTGCTGCCATCATCATGAAAGCCACAGGCACATACCAGGAGGGCTACATAGGCTGGACGTCAGGCTACTTCTGGAGCGGCATCATCTACAACGTCAGCATCACAATCAGTCTCTATGCGCTGGCCATGTTCTGGGTTTGCATGTCGCAGGACTTACAGCCTTTCAGACCTATGCCCAAGTTCTTGTGCATCAAGGGAATCATCTTCGCATCCTATTGGCAGGGTTTCTTCTTGTCCATTTTGGTCTGGCTAGGAGCCATTCCGGACGATGTCCCAGGCTACAACCCCGACAATCTTGCTGCCGCTATTCAGGATGCTCTCATCTGCTTTGAGATGCCCCTTTTTGCTATGGCGCATTGGTATGCCTTCTCCTGGCACGACTATGCAGATGACACCATTTCTGCTGCGCGACTGCCCGTCAAGTATGCCTTGCGCGACTCCTTTGGCCCTCTGGATCTTATCCAAGACACCAAGGAAGTCTTTGCTGGGAGGCACTACGAATATCGGTACTTCGATGCACGTGACAACGTCCTCGCCCATGAGCAGTCAGCGTCGCGTGCTGCGCGCATGGCTGAAGGCATGAGGTACGAAAGAGGAGGAAAGGGCAAATACTGGATACCGAAACCAGGTCAGTCGGAGCATGAGCCTCTTCTAAACAAGGTCTCGGGAAGTCGAGCCCGAGCCATGAGTCCTGGACCCCATCAAGCCTTGAAAGGCACCGGTGCCATAACTGGCGCTCATGACGATGACATGGAGGACCCCAACCTCAGTCCCGAGGACGAGCGACTGTTTGAGAGTGCACGTGAGCTAGAATTTGGTGACTGGAATGTAGGTTTTCATCCTACCAACACAGTGATTAGTCTGACATGTAGTAGTACCCCGTCATCGAAGCGCATCGAGCATCGCGTGAGGATCGACTGTACGGTGAGCCACCTGTCATCACAGCGGCGACCAACCGCAACTTGCTGCAACCAACTGCGGCGAACAGGAAAAGGAGAAAGAGTCAGATCAAGGACATTCAAAAGTCGGTGGATAAAGGCAAGCATCGCAGCGACTCGAGCGCCAGCAATGGCGAATCTTCACACTCAAAATCACATCTGCCAATCGTTGGCAAGCTACTACGACAAAAGTCGTCGTCATCGAGCTCAGCAAAGTCTGACAAGAGTCAGCTAGTAGATTTGGTCGTCGAAGACCACAATGCCGAAGAAATAGAGCGTGTACGTGCACGAAAAGAAGGCGGATCTGCATGGAACGAAGAGCCCGCGAAACATTTCGTCAAAACGTTTCCCGGCGCAGGCGCAGAAGAGGAAGTCCGAGAAGGTTTTGCCCCCGACGTACCAGAAGCTCATAACCCCGAAATGATTCATAACCTGGACTATCCGTTCACCGTGGAGGAAGAAAGTGAGGAAGAGCTGAAGAAAAAGGGTATCAAACCTCCCATCAATGAAGAGGCCGAGCGGTGGGAGTCGCGTAACCTGGACGATGAGCCTGACAACTCAAACGACGATCGCCCGAGCCCGCAGTATGCCAGTTTCAGAGAGGAGCGAAACATCTGGAATGACGACGACCGATGATTGACTACGGAACGTCGTCATGTGGCAATGCGGTGTGTTTCCCGTTGTTTCAACGACACTGCGTCCGCTAGGTTTGACCTTGTGCACTCTTCATGTTGCTAAATTTGTTCTATACCCGATCTTTTTGCTCGCTTCGTCAACATACAATATACACCTAGCGCATTACTCAGGTCTTCTTTTTCTCGCTGACGCATTGCTCGTGGTCGGGGTATATGTGCGACGTGATAATGCCGACGCAACCGACAATATCTCTCCGACAGCTTTCTGACAACCGCAGAACAACCGAGTAACTTTTATTCTTGGTGTGGCGCGATGAACGCATTGCATGATTGCTTCCGAACTAGTGTATCGTGCCCTATCAATCCAACGCATTCGTCACGTCGGCTTTCGTTGAACAGTGTGCAGACCCCGGCGCGGCAGTTGAGTCAAATTTCTTGTCTTGTGCATGCATTAAGCGATGCGGCTGTACCGTCAGTACATGCGTTGGCACCGGCAACGCGTGGGCAGGTTTTCGAGAATATGGTTGTTGTGCGACATCATTGGATAGATGAGGATTTCGCGAACTCCACACGGCCCGCGCTGCATGCGTTGGCAGAGGCATGCAGAATTTCGAGAGAAGTCCTCGTTGTGCGATCTGACTGGATGGCGGAATAATTGGTGTGCGTTTCGAGATGCGTAATTCAACCCAATGGGAAGAATCAAGTACTTCGGAAGTGTAAACGAAGTACGAAGTGGTTGGCTGAGGAATTGGGGTGGTGTGCAAGGTGCACACGACACCACAACAGCGCCAACTCTCACATTGCTCATCTCGATTACAGACAATACGGTGTCACGAGCTATTGCTGCTGCGATCGCTGTTGCGCAACCACATCGGTGGTCGTTTCATGGTCTGTTTCCGATGTTCAATCTACATGTTGTGTTGCACAGGCATCCCCGCGCTTCTTGCGTTCGGGAAGCCCACCTTCCACCCGACCTGCTACCAAAGTCCGCTCAAGTTCCTACACCACCAAGGCTTTCCCGCATCGCATGATCCCAGCTATTCGGGTTTCAAGCCGCAAGCGCTATCGACTCCTGAGTGGTCCACGATGCTCGGCGCTTACTCTGCGGGCGGCAGCCAATGGCAGCGCACACACGCATAGCCGTGGAAAAGCCACCTTCTCCACAGGTTGACGAGCGGATGGGCATGGGAAGCATGCTATTGGGCGCGTAAGGGCATGGCCTGAGAATCTCTTAACTGCTCGAAGGCTCCTGTCGTCCTGTGGTTCGCAAGGCCTGGGACCTGCATTGAACAGCCTGTAGCCTGTTTGAGGGAACAACTCATTCATCTAACCGGAAGAGTAGCGAGGGCTTTTTTAACTTGTTGGGTTCCTGATCTCTTCTTTTCACCTTTCCTGCTTCTACCTTTCTTCTTTGCTTTTGCTCTTCGGCCTTAGGGCATCACATTCTCTTGCTGCTTTCTTGACATGGATTATTAGCTGCCTGGATTGCAGCTGCGAAAAATATGGACTTTGCAAGTTCGAAGAGAAAAGAGAGAGACGGTTGGACGGCTATGAGGTTTGGATGCTGTGCATCGAGGGAGGATGTTGATGATGGCAGGGAAGCGCTTAAGGCAAATGGTATGTTACAACGTTACTTCTTTCTCTTTCGTCCTCACGTCAACCTCTCCTTTATCTACCCTTCAACTTTGTCCTCAACACGTCTGTCTCTTTCTGTTCTACCCTCCATCTTCAACTTCTCCTGCTTGTTGTTGAGCTGCCCCTCCTCGGTTATGGTCTCCTTAATCTGGTTAATCATGTCGAACAACATTGTAACATACCCGACTCCCGTTCAACCGGAAACATATGTCGCAATCAGCCGCAACAGTTCCTAACGATCGTTAACAGGGGCCTCACACATGCAAGTCGTCTACGACCAACCACAAGTAGTCCCGCAGCCCCGCGCCGTACCATTCCATCATGCTCGTCCATCTACCAGCCAGTCTATTAGCCGCCATGTCTCTCAATGGGTGGACAACAGTCGCGACCTCGCGACACGCGCTTCATCACGTGCCAGCTTCTCTACCCTCACCCGACCACGACGATCACACTCTGTTTACAGGGTACGACCTACTATCTCAGGACCAACAAACTTTCAGCACTTCGACAATGGTCTCGGCTTCAATGGCATTCAGTCTATGGTAGATGATGCACCCATGCCAGTCCGCCGTAACAGGAGCTTTCGTCGACTTGAACTATCAATCTACCTTCCCAATGGATGTGGCCGTCTTTCTCCACTGCCAGACTTTGAGGATGAGGAGGTGTGGACTGCGGACCAGGTTGGCTTGGAGAAGCCTGCTCAAGCACTTATTCGTCCACAAGACTCCCGCACGAATTCGATGTGTTCCAACCCATCCACATCTGATTACTTGATTCAACGCAAACCTGTCACTTCTTCCTCCAACTCAATCATGCACTCTAGGCACTCGAGTGTACAAAGCCAGAACAGCACTCGTACCGAGCGCCGCCTCTCTGGCACCACCATGGCCACGATGCAAACCCCTACTCTATCTGCATGGGTTGAGGAGCCAACAAGTTCATCTGCATCTCCCATCGAGAAGCCCACCATCCGCCGCTCCAACACATCCGGCACTCTCTCTCCCGCACGTGTTCTCTCCCGCCTCCCATCTCCCTCCCGCAACCGCGCAAACACCGCGCCCTCACCTCGCCCTGGCTCCCTCCGCCGCGCCAAAACCGACGTCGACGACGCCATCCGCGAACTTAACACCATCGTCGAAGAGCGCCGCGCCTCCGCCTACCGCACCCAAGCCCTCTCCCCTGAAATCCCACCCTCCCCCTCTCACCACGTGCCCTACGTCGCACCCTCCATGCGCATGCACGTGCGCTCCGAGACGCTCTCGGACATCGGCTCCGTCTTCTCTGCCCCGGTGAAATGCAACAAGGCGCTCCCCGACGCGCCCCTCAAACGCCGTACCACCGGTCTTACTCTCGAACCCCCCTCACGCAATAGCACAATGGCGCTGTGCTCGAATCCCATCACGCCTCCCGCGCCACTCACGCCGACGAAATCTATGTCGAGATTGACCACTTGGATTAGGCGCTCGATGTCTACTTCAACCATGACTACACCGACATCGCCTCGCCCTTCAACCTCCAGTTCAACGACATACCACATGCGCCAGGATAGCCAGGAAAGCAGCACCAGCACCGCCACGCTGATCTCCAGCCCGGCGCCCCGCAAAAAGCGCGTCCCCGCGCCTCTTGTCCTGGCCAAGGAGATCAATGTTGAGGCTGCCGTCAGGAGCGCGAGAATTAAGCCTCCAGTCAGTCCAGCAGCGCATTTGCTCAGGGGCATGGAGATGGCGGCAAGGGATGTGGGCTTTAATGGACGCGCGAGTATGGCGATGACGATGCATAGTCCCGGGGCGGTTGGAGTTGCTTTTTAGATGGGTCTTCGGTTAGGTGTTGGGTGTGGATGGGAAAATAGGTCTGGGATTGGGAAAGGATGGGTTATTCTTCAGTGTGTCTGGGCATATACCCTCCGCTTCACCTATTCTCTCTTTGGGGGAAGGGTGGCGGATGCCTTTTGATGCTACATTTTGGTTTTGTATGTCTATACTCTTCGATTATACCCTTTTTATTAGGTGGTGGATGGTTTTTGAGGGGATGTTGGGTGGTGGGGTGATTTAAAATAGTTTAATAGGTGGTTCCCTGATTGAATTCATTCTTGTGGATTTTTTACCTGTCTTGCATTTTGATTGTTGAGTGTGATCGAGAATCTTGTGTTGGACAGCTCTTGGCAGATGGACTTGGGAGTTGATGATGGTGGTCAAGTCCGGGTTCCTGCATACTCGAGCTAAATTCTGACATGCATATCTGATGTCTAATCTTTGACCCTTACGCAAATCATCGGAGTTCATTAGACTACTCGTTTGATCTCCGCTGTCTGTGACTTAGAGTTTTTGCAAACAGGCCAAAGAACCAATGTTTCCAGTTCGTCAACACCGGCGATAAAGAAAAAGGGTGGCCTTAAGCTCTCTAAGCCTCGGCTTTAGCTGGCGGTGTGACATATCGGCCCGCCCCTAGCTACTCCACGTCCACCGAACCAAATCAAAGGCAAGTCCAACAAAAAATGTGGATCAATGGTATCTTCGAGTAACTTTGGCGGGGTCTAGCGTACCTCCTCTAGTACCTTAAAAAATCTCGGGTCGTCGCCGTCATCCTCATTTCAGTTCCGAAAGAATCCATCATACAACCTCACTTCTCCAAACAGACAACCACTCACTCAATATGGCCGACCCAGTCACCTACAACTTCTACGGCACAACCGTACCCACGCTCCGTAATATCGCCCAAAGCGCAATCAGCATCCTCACCACCGCGCAAGATGAGATCTCTGCTGCAAAATCCGCCTTCCCCTCCGAGCAAGAACTTCTCGACACACAGTTCGCCGACATGTTCCCCTTCCGCATGCAACCAATCCTCCTCACGAAATTCCCCGTCGAGCCGCTCACCCAACTCTCCCTACACGGCAGCGTGGCCCCGCCCGCGCTGAACCCAGGCTTCACCTCCCTGACCGACGTGATCGAGTTCTTCAAAGCCACCATCGCGGTGTACGATGCGATTGAGGAGAAAGCGTTCAACGAGGCCGCGGACAAGAGCGTCGACGTGGAGTTTAAGAATGCGGGCAAGACGCTGCACATGAAGGGTTTTGCGGACTACTACCACGGTTTCTGCGTGCCGAATGCGTATTTCCATTTGAATGCCATGTACATGTTGTTGCGGAGTAGGGGGTTCAAGTTGGGCAAGACGAGCTATATTGGGGCGTTTATGAGTGAGCAGCAGAAGATGGATTGGGCGCCGTTGAAGGGGTAGATTAGGTGCGAATGAATGGATGAGCGAATATGAATATGAATAGATCTGTTTGATGGCTATGTACATGTGACGTTTGCATGTGGCGTTGGATTGGTTGCGCATGGCATGGTACATATGCGGGGTAGTCTAGGTGGGTGTGCAATCACGGACTACACGCACTGCTCGCACTGCTGCTGAGACTAACGGTATCCACGATACTTCCCTATTTGGGATTGCAAATGCGGGGTCGTTGCAGCGTGTTTGCAGATTGATTGTTTGTAGCTATGAAATCAAGCAAACTACATGCATGTGTAAAGGACGCACAATACAATATGCTCGTATATCTCCTGGGAAGCTAATAGGGATATAGGTCGACTGGGCCCATATGGCGCCTTACCTGCTCCATCGTCTGTGAATTCTGCACAGAGCCTACCGGGTACCGTGAGTTCAACTGATAATCAATGCCTCGTAGAACATGCTCCCGCCGAAGAAGCTCAAACTCATTCCAGCCGTTGGCGCTTGGCCGAAATAAGTCCCACCCATTATTCCCGAGTAACCCCAGTCTTTCTAATCGAGCGCTTCTTTCTTCATCGTTGGTGATGCTGTATCCAGGCGTGGTTCCTGGGGTAAAACAAGTGATGTAGAGGTGCCCCTGCTCAGATGCCTCGAAGATATTGTCGAGATAGACATGAGTCAAGTTCGCACCTCGTGAAGTTATGTAGTCGAACAATGTCCTCATGCTTCGGCCGCCGTGGACAGCTATTTTTACAAGGCGCAGCTCAAGCGAGGTCAGACGCGGACTATTTTTAAGCATCATCAGGAGCGAGCTGACATCAACGTCCACGTTAAGAAAGCTTAGCCTGCGCAAGTTCGGGAGTGGTGCGCTGTGAGCAAGATTTTCAAGTAAAGCTCGAGTGCCAAAAAGGCTTGGGTCGAATGTCTCCGGACTGAATAACGATCTATAGTGATGGACGTGAAGCTCTTCTAGATTCGTGGTGTGTCGTAGCAAGACTGAGAGTCCGTTTATATTGTCTGGATCCTTCATCATCGTCCTCGCACGTGCTTCCTCGAGCGCTGTTTGAGCCTGAAGATCATTCTCCCGCTGGTCTCTCTCTGCACGCATGCGCAATCTCTGTTCCCGTGTGAGAATCGGGCGCTCCTCATCTCTGTCGGCCATGCGACTCTGTGCGCGGACACTAGGAGGAAGCAATCGGTCGCTGATGCTCAAGGTGAGAGCCTTCAGTCCGCCAAATATTCTGAAGTCGATTTGGCTTTGAAGAGCCGCAAACGCGTAGGCCTGTACACCGCAAGATTCTGTCTCAGAGAAGATGTGCAGCCGCTCGATCATTATGTCACTACGATGCCAGGCCTGTATGGAGACGCAAAGGACATGCTGCGCGGCCTCCCAGACTTGTCGAAGTGGAGCTCCCAGCGCTGGCGAGAGAGAAGTAGTCAGATCCCGACGGACAACCAGATCTAGGGTCAGGCTCTCAAGCGCAGCCAGCTTGCAGTGCGTCTTGACAGTTCGGAGTAAATCAGCCAGGGCTTCCAGATCATGGCCGGCTGACCGCTCTGCATCTTCGATCCGGATTTGTGTTTCGAGGTGAGCCAGCTGAGACTCGGCGTCTGCCACCTCAGAGTCGGAAGCCGGAGTACGACGGTAATTAGACTGATTACCGATTGAGTCATGTGCCAAGCCACAAGGATCCTCAGGGTTCACAGGTTTTGTCTTTTCCCGAATGATACGTTCCAGACCTTTCGTGATCAAGAGAACACCCGTGACTGTCAGATGCCTCAGATACTGGTGGACGCCTGGCGAACGAAGACGTGCTTCCAGATCATTCAGACTAGCTTTTCGCAGTTCGACGTTCTTGTGGACACAGAAGCTTTCAAAGCGGCGGCCTACAGTGACTTTGGCGTTGACGTCCCTACAGGCGAGGCGCAGGTTGCGGAGATCAGAAAGGCCTAGGTTGCCAACGATGACTTCGACGAGCTCAGTGGGCAGCTGCGAGATGAGGTTGTCCATGACGGTTTGCACGTCGTTAAGAGGTAGAGAATCGTAAGGTCAAATGGGGCTTGTGGTGAGAGAGCACATGGTGCTTCGGGCACCTTGGTCTAACCCGATCATGCTTAGCGCATTTGAATCCCTTTTTCCATAAGCACGCTGCACGTTGTCTCACGACAGAAAGCGACCAGCGTACGATAAGTGGCAGCCATTCGAGAGCTTGAATCCACACATAGAGTACTACAGTTTTATAAGAAGCCTATGAATACTTCCTCTAGCTTCAGACTATCAGGTCGTTGGCAAGACCCAGTTTGTTTTCCTTGCTAACTGATTAATTGCAGTAGCTGCGCAGTTTGCAGCCCCCGCAATAAGAGCACCTTCTGTCACTATCAGATACGGCTCGCATCGAAAGTGTTGACTAGGTCCGGAAGGTCGCGCATCCTATACCTATCTACCCAGAAGTAATCACGAGACCGGTGCATGACGTAGTACGCCGCGTCATACTTTGGATCCAATCACCAGAAACAAGCGCTTGTATCGGCCAGAATACGAATATTACGGCGGTCTAGTTCAGCATCTTTACAGCAATGTCTAAGACCCCTCCATACTTCGACTTTCTCAATTTACCTCGCGAAATCCGAGACGAAATCTACGAGTACACGCTTTGCTCCTTCAGTCATGACCAAAGACTTTATGACATCGAAGGTTGCGCTCACGTTTACTCCTGGCCAAGGTTTATTGAGCGCAAATTCCTTGGGAATCTGAACCTCCTCCTTGCCAACAAGCAGATTCACGGGGAAGGCTACAAGTGCATGTTGAAAAAGAACATATTTGTACGCGTCGAATGCAGGGCACTCGAGCTCCGCAATTTGATCCACGGCCAAACGCCACCTGTATTCTTCTTAAGTTACTGCTCGTCAAAACGCCGTGTGGATGTTATGGCGGACGGCCCTTTACGTGTGGATCATTTTCCATGGTATAATATGCTCGTGCAAATACAAGAGCGTGGGGACAGCTCACGTGGAGATCGGTGTGCAATCAGGCCGGTGTTTGACGCGATCATGCTATTGGAGGACTGTGCTGATCTGTTCAGCAGATTAGAGGTTGAAATGGCAACGACTCGTTTACCTAGCCCAGATTCTTATCCACTAGAGATCTTGATGTATACCGATACCCAGGAGATGTCGCACCGGAGACAAAAGAGATACAGGGGCCTAGGACAAATTTCTTACCCTCCCAGAGAGCAGAAAAAGCTTTTGAGACCCATCAAGGAGGAGCTCCGGAGCTTTCCCAACCTCAAGATCTATGAGTGCGATGACGAGGCCTTTGCCCTCGAAGTCGCCCGAGATGTGTCGAAACCCCTTCAGACAAGCTGGCAGTCTGTCAACACGCAGCTCGAACATCACACACGTAGCGCCGAGAAGTGCTGGGAAATGGATAATCTCACAGCCTGTGCACAATCATGCGCTAGAGGCCTCAGTCTCATTCGACGGGTTTCCAGCAGCATAGCTGCGATTGACCTACCAAAACTTGAAGACACGGAGAACACTCTCGAGATAGGTCGTTTAGTCCATACACTGTACTTTTTCTTGGCAAGATGCACGCATACCCATCTTTCTGCTCCTGCTCACAGACGCATTCGAGCCGATGAGCAGACTCACCTCGTTGTTACATCGGAGGCTATGTGTGAGCTATTCCTCGATCATCGGTATTTAGATCGTCTCTGGCCAGTATATGACCCTCCTCAGCATGAGAGAGCTGAAATATGCTACATCAAATCTCGGACCTTCCGTTTGCATAAAGAACATGCCCACTGGGTGCCCTATTGGGTCTCTCAGGAAGACCCAATGGCCTATATTACAGAGGCGTTGGAGTTGTCGCCAGACAGCGAGATTTTCAAGAAAGAAAAGAGCATAATAGAGATCTGGGTCAAAGATCATGACAGTTTTGTCGCTAGGAAACGCTCATTCTTGGACAATCTAGACCGCGAATCCATGGTAGAGTGGAGAAAGCGTTGTAGCAATACCGCCAGCGCTGTATAACACAGCGTCGACACCTTTCGAGCGATACTATCATCCTGCGATCAAACCCGAGAAATTCCAAACCACGGTACAATCTCCAGTTGTGCTGTCAGTTGGGGCACAGCTCGTATGAATTGTCGCAACATAGCTCGGTAGCGAACTAAGCCACATCACTCCGATTTCGACTTCCTACTACAATTTTTCTCTTGATCTTGTCTACCCAGACGATTAACACCTCCATCTCTGTCCCAAATAGCCGCGGACGCACAGCAAGGATCTACCAAACAGCATATCGCCCCTGCAACGCTTCAGACGCCGAAAAGATCTAAAAAAGGGCAGCAACACTCAACCACAAGTCTCTACCGCCTACCAAACAAACTCATCGACTAAATCACAGCCTACCTCGAGCTGGCAGACATACTCAGTCTCGCGCGCTCATGCCAAAGGACGATATGCGTACTTCAGGGACGCAGCTTCTACGCCGCCGAACTACGACAGTTCGCTGGCCGCAACGGACGTGGTCGGATAACTGTGAGAATGGGGATACAAGGAGACGACAGGTAGTGGTGCTATCTGTGTCAGGATCTTCACCCGAGGACGCTTTTTGAGAAGGAGGGTATTGTGATGGCGACGGATAAGCGGAGGTGAAAGTACGGAAGATGCCCGAGGCTGTGATTATAGACGCCCCGATAACATGAAGAACATGAGCCAAGACGTGATGCATCGCCGGTTTCATTCTTCAAGGTGTCTAGTCCTCCATCTGACGTAACTACGCATCCAAAACCTTCAACATCTCCTCGACACTTGCAAATTTCTCCCTCTCCTTGCCCTTTGCTTTCCCCTTCTCCCGTTCCGCACGATCAATCACCTTCCAATCCTTCCAACTCAGCGGCCTCACGCCCTTGGCCTCAACTTCTTCCTTGACGGCGTCCCATCCCATCTTCGTTCCCTCATTCTCAGCATTTAGGAACGGCACGTTGTTCGCCCAGTCCTCTGCAATAATATCGGCAGACGCAAACGCGTCTTGCATTGTACTCGCAATAACGCCTGTAGGTCCTCTTTTCACCCATCCGGCGCAATACAAGCCAGCAAGATGACCAGCAGTCAAATTGCCGGGGCCTTCGGAAGGAGTGACGACGCGGCCATGGACGTCGTTGGGTATGATGCCGAGTTTGTTGTCAAACGGAACGCCAAGCTCTTCCAAGCCAGGCAGAGCCGTCGATTTGTATCCCACCGATCGAAAAGCAAGCGAGGCCTCCATCGTGACTTCTTCATCTGTAGAGACTACTCGAGTGCGCTGATCGAATGGTTCGGCATCGGGTGCGAAGCGTTGCTTGGTGAAGGTTATCGAAGAAATGTGGTTTGACGTTGCGTTCATTGACTTTGGGGCGCGGAGAAAGTCGAGAGCCCATGACCGCGGGGTGTCTGAGGGCGACGAGGGTGTTCCTTTGAGAAGCACATCGGCGATGCGCTTCTGAACTCGTGGAAGCTTTTTGACTTCGGGTGGGTATAGAGATCGGTCGATGGGTTCGAATGCGACGGAGGGAACGTGCATGAGCTCGCGGGCTTCTTTGACGGTGAATGCAGCCTGTGGTCATGTTAGTAAACGTGAAGCACATTTTAGGAGTTCGAACATACTTGTATAGGCCCGCGCCGTCCGACTACCCTCACGGATCTGACTTTGCTTTCGGACAAGGTCTGTAACGCTTCTTCTGTGATATCGGTCGATTTGAGCGCATCGACTGGCGAAAGCAGTATGCGCGCAACATCCATTGCGACGTTGCCTTGCCCTATAACAATCGCCTGCTCCCCGGCTTGCAATTGAGGTTTCAGGCCCTGGAATTGCGGCAGACCGTTATACCAGCCTACAAACTCCCTCGCAGAGAAGACACCGGGCAAGTCTTCTCCTGGAATCCCTAGTTTCCTGTCCTCGCTTGCGCCGTAGGAGAAAAGTATCGCATCATAATGAGGCTTCAGCTTTGACAGTTCGATATCATGTCCCACGCGCACATTGCCAATGTAGTTGAATCGTGGAGAGAGCGCCACTTCCTCAAACGTATCTTGGCAATTCTTCACTTCGGGATGATCGGGCGCCACACCAAAGCGGACGAGCCCGTATGGTACCGGGAGTTGCTCATACATGTCGATGACCGCATCTTCGACTTTGTTCATGAGGCGATATGCCGTGTAGAACCCCGCAGGGCCAGATCCAACGATAGCCAGGCGAAGAGGTTTGCGGAAGCTATTGGTCGTGCTGTAGCCATTGCGATGTAATCGAATGTATTGGGATGCATCAAATCTTTGCCGTGGTGGTGTAGGTCGAAGTCGAGCGGGATTTCGTGCCGTAGTAGTCAAGTATCGCGCGGCCTTGAGCGAGGCATTTCGAGGAGGTGATGATCTCGCAGATGCTACTATACGATTGGTACAGATGGCGCAGACATAGGCCGCCTTTGACAGTTGTGAAAGATGCATCATGCGCAGGTGCTGCATCGCGGTTCACGCATGACGTGCAACGATCTGCCGATGACTAAGTTAAGGTCACAGTCTCTGAACATCACCAGCTTTTTCGATTCCATCTGAAGCGTCACTTCGCTCATGAGGCACCCCAGGAACATTATTCTACAGGCAGTCCATCTGAAAAATCATGGAAGTCTGCTCACCTGTCATCGTACGATATAGGCCAAAACTTTGATAGCCATCGCGCACCAAACCCCGGGGGCCCAGACCACCAACAAACCTGCTTTCAATGAAAGCAGTATCGAAACCCCACCTGTTCTTTGTCTTATCAGCCGCCGAAGCTAATTTAAGCGATGCCATGCCTGTTCCAGCCGCGGATCCATACGTCAGACACATATGGCACATGCATTCCATACTTTAGCGGTCTCCATGGCAACCATTGTTTACTACTTCAGCCCTTGATATCCCCCACGTACCCCATGTCTGCCATCGCCAGCATTCCTTCGCTAAGCGAAAGTATCTCGACACTTCACTTTCGTACCTGAAGGTCGTGTCAAAGAGGCCCATACCCTCCCTTTGCCAATTCCTCACACACAGCAAACATGGTTGGCCGGTTCCAGCCATACTTGTATGATGCGCCTGTCGACGACTCGACGTTCAATCCAAAAGCTGTGACTATGGCCAGTCGTATGCCACCATCGCCGCCAAAGAAGAAGCAGGAAGGCCCACTCATCGACTTCAACAAACACCCAGACAGCTACTTGATCCTACCATATGGCAACACCAATGCGAAGCCCATGAACAAGAAGACGAAGACCTTTATCAAGATCGCGCGATGGGTACAACTCTTTTTCCGAGTTTGCACATTATTGGGCGCGGTGGGCGTGCTATTATGTAGCATCTTCATCCGTGGTACCACAGATACCGAAGGCTACATTATGAGGATACCTGTACGATCAATAACATGTGAAATGTGAACATGACTAACATTCACAGCCTGGCGCTGATCTTGTCATCTGCCTATACGCCATCTACCACCTCGTCCGCAACGCAAAGTCTCGACCACCGGGGAGCTCCGCCAGCTACCACTTCTTCGCCCTTGTCACCGATGCTGGCTTCATACCGTTTTACGTATTCACTGTGTTGCTTTCGCGACGCAATTCTGACATGGAAGCTGGGACTGTTGGGCGTTGGCGAACTATGTTCCCCACTGATGAGGAGACAAACAAGGTCCTTCTCACGACTTGGCTGACTTCAATTGCTGTTGCTGGTCTGCATCTGATCTCTCTCTTCCTGGACATGTACCTCCTCGTTATATTCAGGAAGATCGCGAAGTTGCCACCGGACATGAACCCGCTCGAAGACAACTTGACATCGCGCAGGAAGACCAAGCACAAGCACAAGAACTCATCCATCTCGGCTCTGACTCCCTTGACCGGCGACCAGGAGAAGAGATTCAGCAACCTCAGCAGTCAGAGTACCGTGCCTGGTGATCGTCTTTCGCAGATGGATCCTCTCATCTCAAGAGACATTCCAAGTCCCCATAAACATCAGGTGGCCTTCATGCATACACGAACCAACTCAGACATGACCTACTCGCCCCACATACCACACTCGGCCCGTCAATCAAAGGAGAGGTTTTCTATGTACTCGCAACCTGCAACCGCTCATCAATCACGAAGAGACCTCAACCACCGCGATGACCTTCACAAGCGCGACGATATGGATGACAACGAAACCCTAGCTCAACGCAAGTCTATGCTCGCTCAACAGGCAAACATCAAACGACACGCTCGCGCAGAGTCATACATTACGAACTCATCCAAGGAGAACTTCTACACGCCCCCAGCCACTGCTCGATCCGACAAGCAGCCAGGCGCCGGAGATCATTCTCTACAAAGGAACAGCCGCGAGACGTTGCAGAATGACAATTGGTTTGTCCATCCCGATGAAGAGAACGCGCCGGAACCAGAGCAGCAGTACGCAGCTCCTGCTACCACCAAGCAGTCCATGTTCAGCACCAAGAACCAATCCAACCAAGGCTACAACACACTCTCCCCGTACGACGACGACGTATCGGACGTGGAACAGGAGTACGAGCTCGACCAGGCCATGGCCCCCCAACCCCTCCGCATGAACCCACCCACACCTCCCCCAGCGCAAATCTACGGCCAACAGAAGAAACACACCCCTCCCCCCGAGCTACCACGCGCACCAAGACCACCACGTCCATATCCACTGCCGGCGACCTTCAACCCGCTCGCACTCCCAATCTCGCGGCGGCACACCCAAATCCCGATACTACGGCGACCTCGCTGCAGCCACCAACGGCGTCCGCAGCGGCGCCTCCCCCGCGAACTCACCCTCTACATCCCCCTCCAAGCCCTCGTACCGCACACAACAACCAAACCACTTCCCCTCGGCCACCAAGCAATACATCTCCAACACGCCACCTCCATCGTCGCACTCGCCTGTCAAAGCCTCGCCCTTCACGCTCGACAAGAAATCGTACACCAGCGTGCGCAGGACTGGTGATATCGGGTATCAGCCTGTCAAGGGCCAGAGTCCGCGCGTGGTGAGCAGGAGTGGTGTGGATTACATCAATCCGTATGAGTTTGACGATTCGGATATTGCGACGGGGAGGAGAAGGGATGTTAGTGGGAAGGTGGCGGAGGAGGGGAGAGGGGGGTGGGGAATGGGCGGGATGACGTTTAGGAAGATTAGTGGGATGGCTTGAGTGTATATTTTGGCATGTATGATTGGGTTTGATTGATGGGCGTTTGGAAGGGCTTTCTTGAGATACGCACATATAGGGACGCGATTTGGGGCATGGGATGCAATGAAAGTTTTGCTGGTTTGAGCCAGCTGCAGTTTTAAAAGCGGAAGTCTGGATTGTGAAGTAGATGTGGTGTTGTATGCAGTTCGCGTTGATGCGTTCGCTCTTGGGTAGGTCGTGGCAGATACATGTGGATCAAGTACTTGTGATTTTTATTCGCAGAATATATCAATAACAGTCCAAGCGTTACAAGAACAAAGCACAATCTTGTCATGTAGAGAGCAAGTTACCATGGTTATGCATGCGATGTTTGCTTTTTCAGGCTTATCCGTGGATCTGCAGGAAGCACGTTCAAGGCATCGAACATGTGTTCGCATCAAACACCCTGGTACCCGGCAAACGCGTCTACCCGCCAAATACCTTCGAGATGCGCCCGTTCCGCGCCTGGTGCACGTTGTCATGCTTATACACAATTGCTGGCAGACAAACGTCAATGTCTTTGAATAGCAGCAAGGGCGAATGTCAGCGGTCTGTCAGGTCAGCTGCATTGCATGGGAGCAATTTAGGACTTGATGGCGTGCGCGTGTTGGGACTTCTGCAGTTGCCACCCGCTAATTGACCTGGTGTGCGGGCACATGACCGCGCGGCACGAGAACGAGCAGCCAGGTCCGAGGCGTGCAGAGGAGCGTCTTTGTCCTCTCAATCACTTCAGCGCGACGCGTATTTGGAGCTCTGCAACACCCCTGACAGCTTCTCGCGTTCCCCGCTGGTTCATAATATCTCTTTTGGTGTTGGGAGAGGATTCGTTTGGCACCTAGCCGTTCGCGTCACGCTTCCTGCGAGACACGTCGCGGGCCTCTTTATCGTTACCGTTCACTCGCCCGCGCCAGCGTCTCTCTGCTCCCTACTCAATTCGCAAGATCCGTGAAGCTTTGGGGATTTTTGCATTCTGCTATCTACAGTCACTCGACTCCGATGTCTCAGGTCGAGGGTATATACTACCCCGCCACCATGTCGACACCGCGTAAGTCGGCGCGTCTGCCCTGCTGAACACGACTTGCTTATCAATTGCGCCATCAGAGAGCAACGGCATTGCCCATGCGCCTGCTGCTGCCACCGCCCGCAAACAGGACTTGCCAGACTCGCAGGAATCAGCTATTTCTACCGTGTCGAGCACCTTCTCGGCGCCAAAACTGCCTTCGTCGTCTAGCAATCTGTCGACGTCAACAACAACAGACACCGATCTGACTACCCCGACTTCTGCCAATGTAGCGGCGACTCCAAGTAAGCCTGCTGAGGCACCAATGCCGAATTCGCCGGGTCAAGCTCGTGGTCCCGACGCGCCAGCAATTGCACCTCGGATCGATACAGCTGCCGCGAACGCGCCGCAAACCGGTGACACAGCAGCCAGCCCCATGGCGCTCACGTCTCCGGCCACCCAGGGATTCAAGAGGACTGCCGACGGCTCACTGAAGGGTGACGAGACTGCCACGCCTGCTGAGGCCCCGCGAGCATTTGCGCACGCGCACAAGAGGAACAAGAGCATGGATACACATCGCATCGGAGAGGTGTGTGATCCTGTACCGCGGTGCAGTCTGCAAGGTGCTAACGCATATGCAGCTTTCCGCCCAGCTCAAGACGCGTCTGTCCTACGCCATGGTCAAGGTCCAGAATGGCTGGGAGAAGCAGTCGCTTGACGAGCTTGAGGAGGTGCACTCACAGCGTGGATCACCAAACTCGGCTCCGGGGAAGAGTGATCGTCTCGCGTTCGACTCGCCGTCGGCATTCGAACGCCAGCGAAGACCGAGTGGTGTCTCTGATGGCTCGGATCACATGCTCATGTCGCCAGCATCCGACCCATCAGGTGCACATGCGGCTAGCTCGTCGCGTCAGTTCTTCCATGCTGCGAAGTTGCCGACATTGCTGACAGATACACAGTATACTGGCGCCCTGGTACCAAGCACGCATTGGATGCAGCTGCAAACCTCATGTCAGTCACAGGTGCTCCACATGGCTTAGGTCTTGCTCCAGCTCCAGAGATTCAACCTGGCAGGAGACGGAGATCCAGTGCCTCACATCCACCTCCTCCACTGATAGGCAATGGGCAAAGAAAGCACTTCAGCGACCTGGGCAGTAGTCAACGTGCGCCAGCGACACCCCGGGCTGGCATTCTTCGCATGCCGAGTCAACAGGCGGAGAGAGATGCTGTCGATACGCTCTTGTTCATGGGCAGTCCAAACGCTTCGCAAAGGTATCCGCACAACAGCCAGACTGCTCCGAGCCCATTGCGAGCAGACGCCCCACAGAGGCGCGTCATGTTCGATGCATATCCTCCACAGGAAAGGCGCATCGTCTACCAGCCGCAGATGCCTCCGCCACAGCAACATCAGTACGGACCGTACGCAGCACATCCCGCCCGATAACACGACGAGAGTTGGCCCGCTGGTTTGAACTCTGTCTGCATTTTTGTATAGAGGAGCAATTGCATGGCCGGTTAGTGTGCACAGATACCCAGCTACCGAGTCTTGGCTTTGGTGCATCTTTTGTTATAGAGTACCTTGCGAAGCAGTCACATTGGAGCATTACTTGACATTACCAGCACAGCTCCACCATATAGACTCAACAGCAAAAGGGAGGCACACTAGCATCAGTAACGATATATACATAACGAAATGACACGAATACCTTTCAGACTATTTTTCACGCTCAAGGTATGCATGCATGCCGCTCGTTGCGTTACGACCGGGGTATCGCGGCGCAACAAAACACAACGTCATGCTCACAAGTGGGTCCCCATCAGCCCACACCAAAGCAAAGCACAACCACTTAGTCAGGGTCTTGGTCAAGTATAAATTGTCCCTAGACCCCCAGACTCCTTAACAACCCACTAATTCTGTCCTCCGCGACATCTCTCCACTCAATTCCCCTCTACTGTTCTGTGGGGAGCTCCCAGGACCTTTTATCGATAAGAGCTACGTGAGCGTGACGACTAAACAGCAACATGTCAGTCTCAGCGGCTCTTAAGGCTAGAGTCAGAAGACCGAGCTATTTGAAGAAGATTGCAAAGGCCGAGGATTTACTGCACCATTTTCCTAATGGCGCGTATGTGGGTTGGTCAGGGTTCACGGGTGTTGGGTATCCTAAGTAAGTTTTGCTCTATTTTCTACCATCACAGCTTTTTCATTATCATCGAGGCATCATGAAGAGATTTTACAAGGTGGTATGATCAACTGCGTTGTTCCGAGGTGGAACGGAAGGTTTGAAAAGAGCTGGTCTCAAAGGCCGAGATATGTCCGATTGTGGAGTCGGCGCACTGCACCGGTGGGATGATCTCGGATCGACTTGATGAGGCTCTTGGAGCTTGGCCTCAACGTCATTCGATGCCAAAAACTAACTCCACAACAGAAAGATTCCAACAGCCCTAGCCGATCATGTCGAGAAGAACAATCTCCAGGGCCAGCTCAAGTACAACCTCTTCGTCGGCGCGTCGTCCGGCGCGGAGACGGAGAACCGATGGGCGAGGCTGAATATGATTGAGCGACGCTCGCCGCATCAGGTGGGCAAGGAAATTGCAAAGGGTATTAATAATGGCAATATCAAGTTCTTTGATAAGCATTTGAGTATGTTTCCAGTGGATTTGATGTATGGGTGAGTATCATCCCATTCTAGCACATGTCAAGAGGACGAGATGTTGACGAAAAGCAGTTTCTACACATTAAACAAGCCGGAGAAAAACAACAGGCTGGATGTTACTATTGTCGAAGCCTCCGCCATCACCGAAGACGGCGGCATCATTCCCGGTGCCAGCGTCGGTGCGTCCCCAGAACTCATCCAAATGGCAGACAAAATCATCATCGAAGTCAACACCGCTGCACCATCCTTCGAGGGCTTGCACGACATCACCATGACGGATCTGCCGCCGCGTCGGAAGCCGTATCTCATCATGTCGCCGGAGGACCGCATTGGCACGCCGCACATCCCCATCGACCCGGAGCGCGTGGTTGCGATTGTCGAGAGTGATTATCCGGATCAGACACAGCCGAACGCACCAGAGGACGACACATCTCGCGCGATTGCGAGTAACTTGATTGAGTTTTTGAAGCATGAAGTCAATCACGGACGACTACCGCAGAACCTCCTACCTATTCAATCCGGTATTGGAAACATTGCCAACGCCGTCGTCGGCGGTCTCGCATCTGGCGGCGCAAACTTCAAAAACCTCAAGGTCTGGACCGAAGTCCTACAAGACTCCTTCCTCGACCTGTTCGACAGCGGAAACCTCGACTTCGCAACCGCAACGTCCATCCGCTTCTCACCCGACGGCTTCGAGCGCTTCTACGCCAACTGGGACAAGTACGCGCCCAAACTCCTCCTGCGCTCGCAGCAGGTCTCAAACAGCCCGGAGATCATCCGCCGCCTGGGCGTCATCGGCATGAACACGCCCGTCGAAGTCGACATCTACGCGCACGCAAACTCGACCTGCGTCATGGGCAGCCGCATGCTCAACGGCCTGGGCGGCAGCGCAGACTTCCTGCGCTCCGCAAAGTACTCCATCATGCACACGCCGTCGACGCGCCCCTCGAAGACCGACCCCACAGGCGTGTCCTGCATCGTGCCCATGTGCACGCACATTGACCAGACAGAACACGACCTCGACGTCATCGTCACCGAACAGGGATTGGCAGACGTGCGCGGCCTCAGCCCCCGAGAACGTGCGAGGGTGATTATCAACAAGTGCGCGCACCCAGATTACGTGCCGATTCTGACGGATTACTTTGACAAGGCGGAGTTTGAGTGTCTGCGGAAGGGCTGGGGACATGAGCCGCATTTGCTGTGGAATAGCTTTGATATGCACAAGCATCTGAATGATCATGGGACGATGAAGTTGCCCAAGTGGGATTATTCAAAGTCGGTGTAAGCCGGGGGACGAGAGAGGATGGGTATCTGTGCTAGGGAAGAAGAAGAAGATGAATAAATTCACTAGGATAATGCTATGCATGATACACATTTCAAAACTCTTACACATTTGCTTGCGAACCAGCGCGATTTCATATTCTTTTACACAGCTACAACTCAATAATCCCCTGCTCTTTCGTCTCCTCATCTACCACGCCATCCCAGTCCCAAGTCCCACTCTTGGTACTAAACCACTTCTCAAAAACATGCGTCAACACTTTATTACCAAGGTTCATGTGTCCTCCTTCCGTCGTTTCGAAATGCAACCCGCCCTTCTTATCAAGTGCCTTCAACCCAATCCAGTCCTGCTTATATATATCTCTCTCCCTGAGCTGCGTCACGCTCCCATCCGACCCATTCGTGTACGCGAACCACCCGCTCTCCTTGGGAATAACCGTCTCGTCGTCTGCGAAAAGGTACATGACGAAATTATCCAATCCCGCCAGATGTTTCGCGTACGTCGTATTCTTTAATTCCCTCTCGTTGTTTATATCCGCCAAAAACGCGCTGTTCTCAAGATACGCCTCGCTCGGCTCGCCCGTCGTGTCATTCGTCTCCTTGAAGTACTGCGCAGGCACGAGATGGCTCTGCACCCACGCGCCCCACGTATTCGCCTTCAGCAAGCCAATGTAGCCTTTGCACAGCCAGTCCCCATCCTTGCAGAGCTGGTATTTCGCAATGCCGTTGTGCTGGCTTCCAAACGTGACTAGATTCCTGATTGGCACGACGTCGCCGCAGCGCTGCACCAGGCCGCGCAGAAACTGCCCGCCCTGTGAGAATCCTAGCGCGTTGAAGCCGGGCGCGTGGGACAGGACGTCGTGTGTGGCGATGTCGGAGCACACTTGTTCGATTTGCGCGCTGACGTTGCCGAGGAAGGTGGCTGTGCGGTCGGAGTCGGCTTCCTCGTCGAGCCGGATGTAGTACACGTATGTGCCGGGGTTTGTTTGGTTTGCGAGGTCGCCGACTGAGTGCAGGCCGTCGGCGGCGTAGTTGTCGCCTAGGCCGTGCCAGATGAGGAGAGGGAGGGGTTTGGAGGAGGATTGGGAGACGGGGGAGGCGAAGGTTTGGGAGAGGAGGAGGAGAGGGAGTAGGCGCAGCATTTTGGCGGGAGTGGGAGGTGGTTGTTGGAGAGATGGATGCTGGGGCGCAGGTTGCGATGCGACGCGATGCATGGCGTCACGGTGGTTGGGAGGGGAGGTTTAGCCGGGATGCGGTCGGTTGGAGTTGCTGAAATGAGAAGTTGCTGGTTGGAAGAAAATCATCACGTCTCTCATATGTACCTTACAAGATTGATATGCATCCTGTGGAAATACAGCCAGGATGAGTCTCTGGCGATGAGAAATCAAGCGCGTGGGAACACAGGCGAAGATGTAAATCTCCGCGCGAAGTGACCATTCTTCCAAGCTGAAGACGACGAGAATACATATTTCACCGTGAAGCGGATGGTAGTAACATGGACAAGAGATCTTTGAATTGCCGCGGCAGCCTTCTGGTATCTGACCAAGCATATAAATCTTTTGAGCGCCAAACGCCATCATACGCCGTCAATGCATGCATCTACACCAAAGAAGTCGTTCAGCTGGCAATCAAAGGCGTCTGTACACCAGATAGTGCAGCCTCCTTCATCGCCTTGCGCTTCTCCTTGCTGATGCTCTTAGATTCCTTTGACCTCTCCTTCTTTGCCTTCTTCGCCTCCCGCTGTGCCTTCTTCGCCGCAAGCTCATCATCATCCAGCATCTCCTCTTCCCACTCCTCCCACTTCCTCTTGCGTTCGGCCGTCTTGCCTTCAGTGACGCCCTTGCCCTTCCATGGCTGGTCGAGCACTTGCGTCTCGTCAGCCCACAGCTCATCGGCGAGCCAGATGGGCAGCGCCTTCGTCGTAGGGCCCTTGAGGTGTAGGGAACGGATGTTGCGCCAGCCTTGCTCGATGTACCTGGGTATTATAGCAGCAACAACGGCGGATGTGTTCTCGGTGAGCTGCTTGGCGCTCATGGAAAGTGCGCCAATCTTGATAGACGTGTTTGCTGAAGGGCTCATGCTGAGGTATGTGGACTTGAGCGCGGCTTCAATCTCCTTTGCTACGCCCTGGGGCGTGCCAACTACATTCTGCGACTCCTTGCTGTCCTTCTTCGCGCTCTTGTCGATGTATGCACCAGCGGTGAGCCTGATGGGGATTGGGCGCTTGGCTTTGCCTGCGTAGAATGTCTTTCCGAGAAACTCTGCTACAATCTTGATGATTCTGTCGTCGACCATGAAAACGTCAAACTCTGCGAGAAGCGCGCGCTTCTGCTCGTAGGACTTGTATCGCTTCTTCAGCTTGTCCACACCAAGAACACGGACAACCTTCTCGCGGAGAGTAGCTGGAAAAGCATCGGATGCGACAAGGTCTTTGTAGGCACGCTGTGGGTCCTTTGTGAAGACGCAAACTCGGACGTCGTTGGGGATGATGGGGTGCGGCAGGGGACTATCACGGAGTTAGTACAAGATTTGCGCAAAATTTACGACTCTACTGACATCTTGGCAGGCTTCAAGCTGGTGGTATTGTTGACGTGCTTCTTGGTGGATATGCTGAGGAAGATTGGCTGGTCGTTGTCTTTTGCCTCGTCCTCGTCGTCTGCCAGATTCTTCACGGCAGCCTTCTCATCCTTCTCCTCGACATGCTTCTTCATGTGCGACACAAGGGCTTTCGCGGCCCGCTCAACCTGCGACGGGTCCAGTTGGTATGGTGTGCCATTTGCAACCTTGGTGGTAACCGGGGCCTCGATGACCGTCTCCGTCTTCTTGGTAACTTGTTTTGAACGCGCCATTGTTGCTGTGTTGTATTGCTTGCGATGCGCTGCTGATCGCCTGTAAAAGTTCGGCGAGAACTAACTTTTCGACGGCGATACCTTCCGCCGGGCCCCGACGCGGCAGCCACTAAGCACTTAAGGTGCGGGGCTTGGATCTCTCCTAAAGAGGCAGTCATAGCTTTCAGATCCGCCTATCAGCGCGTCGCAACCGGAACAAGCACACGACACGCCTTCATCCTTGTCGCGACGCAGCAAACCGATGGGGCGGACGCAGCAATACTTCTAGCCCTTCGTTTGCATGCAGCAGTCCGTACGTAATGCAGCCTTTCGAATCACTTCGCAGTCTACCCGTAGGACAAGAATTCGTGCTAGACGTCGTACTTCCGAGAGTCTACTTGTTGAAACACTCAGGCTTCAATCAATCCATGGATATCCCTTGGACATCGCACCCTTTGATTCCTGATTCTTCGTGTTCGAGAACGGTTGTTGCAGTTGTCAGCTACAGCTTTCAATTTCGTTGGTCCTCGGATCGATAGTGCCATTCGATCGAGCTCCAGCCGAAAGCACCGACCAGATTTCTCAACGCGTCTATACCGCTACGTTCGCGTCAATGTCAGCCTCGGCGCTCCACTTTGGAGTAGATTCGCGCTCCGTGTTCCATTTGTGACAGTGGGCTGCTGCAGGAAACTTTTCTTTTCACTTGCGTGACGTCTGGGCTGCGCCTTGTTCCACCCTGCTTAGTAGGCTGGTCTCGGTGAGACCTGGGACACGAGCGAATTCCTCAAAAGCCAACGGTACTTGCAAATGGGTCCAGACGCGGGCAGAAGCGCACTTGACATCCGTTCGCTCGCGTGGCCGTTTGCGGGCGAACGATTCACGCGTTGCACGTGTACCTACCAAGACGCGTAAATGACTAGAGCAACATCATGATGCATTTGCCAGGCAATACTGTTAGTCGAATTTTAGTTGAATCTGCAAGTGGCAGCAAATTGCTCCACAGAAGATGTCTTACGTGCAGGCCATACACGGCATGCAATGTGGAAGATGACAGCCCAGCGCGTACACGGTGGCAATAGCGGTGGATTAATCTGCGATTACCCGCAGCGTAGAGGGGCTGGGACGGGTTGAAAAATCAAGTTACATGTAGAGCCGAGCGAGGAATGGACGTAATAGGTGTGATCTTTGTGCTCGTGCACGGAGTCTTGTGAACAATCTCATGGTCATCGAGAAGCAGAAGGAGAAGCACGAGAACTTTAGGCAGAGCAGATGCAGTAGCAGAGACAATTGCTGGAATCTATCTGGAAGAGAAAATGTATCAGAAACTCAATCGAGCCGTGAAACAGGTGTAATTGTGGGAAGGGAAGCCCATGCCCCGTGCTGCGTTGCGGGTCGCGCTATCCGCTTTCGCGTACCTACGCGATTCCACCTTCCACGTCGGAGACCACTCAGTTTCGCAATCCGACGACCTCATGGCCTCTTCTTCGTGACCACCTCCTGTCAACTCTTCCTGACATCTCTAGTACACGCTCTTTTAGCATCAGAGTCAATAGCCGGCGGCCCGGACGATACGCCCGCGCTTTGCTCTCATATCAGACCTTGACACGTCCAGTCTCGCGTTCTGACCGTATACGACACCATGGACAGCTCCCCAAGCCGCGAGGCGCATCAATCGCTCGTGGAGTCGACAGAGGTACAGGCAGAGCCTGCCTCGAAGCCATGTCTTCTCCCCGCTTTCGGCGACGAGACCGCTTTTAGCTCCTCGCCCTTCCCACGTCCATCTTCCAAACGGAAGTACGACGAGGACGACTCGCCCACGTTCCCCAAGCAGGTGCTCAAGTACTTTCCTACGCCAGTCCCCTCGGTCCCGACATCGTCCACCATTCTGCCCTCGTCGTCGCCCCGCAATGGCCGCCCGGCCATGCCGCGGACCGTCTCTGCCCTCTCTGAGCGGGCCCCGCTAGGCGCAGTCCCAGCCGTCGACCTGCCCTTTGACGGCGAGATAGTGCGCATGGGACGGTCGTCCAACACGTCGGATTACCAGCTGTCCACAAATCGCCTGATTTCACGCGTCCACGTCCAGGCCGCGTATCACGCGCCCTCGGCGAGGTATTGTTCAGGCTACATCGAGGTCGAGTGTCTAGGCTGGAATGGAGCAAAGATTCATTGCGGAGGCCGTGTATTCGAACTGAGCAAGGGCGATACATATGTGTCGGAGAACCCAGAGACGGCAATCATGTTGGATGTTCAGGATACCCGCGTCATGATTGCTTGGCCCGCCATCCCCACACCAAAGCTGTCGTGGGACTCTGAGGAGGACGACATGCCCACACCCACCCGTCGCAAGGCCAAAGAGACCTTCGACTCTAGCCCTCCTGTGGTTCCTCGCTCGCCTGTCTCGCAGAGCCCTATCCGTCAGCCCGTCTTTGCAGGTCTAGGACACGCCCAGTCTGGCCCTGTTCATGTCTTCGAAGATGCCGACGCTAGTGAAGAAAGCCCCAAGGTCGAGAGCCCGGAATCCGCTGAGCAGACCTTTATCCGCCCTGCCCACCCGCGTCTCAACTCTAGCCATGAGAATCGTGAAGTCAAGTCGAGCATGCTGTCCTCTTTCGCCGACGACGACTATTCTGACGGTGATGAGGAGAATGACCCTGTTGTCCACTCCTTCGGTCCTTATGGCCAGAACATCCTGAACGGGCTCGCTTCGTTCTCAACCGCTACGCCCACTCAGTCCAACACTCCCCGTCTTCGCGCTCCGTTGCTGTCCCCGTCGCCGCGACGTCCTTCTGCTGAGCCTCTTCGCTTCCAGGAGTCACCGATCAAGAACCATGTGATTAACCAGTTAGCCTTCTCGCGCATCCACTCCCAGCCTCTGTCTGCTATCCACAGCAACCTGCCTGCTGAAATGAAGGCCTGCGTCACGAAAACCACGGACAGCAAGGCCTCTAGTGAGGCGTCTACATCGATTCCTCAACTCTCCCACCAGGACCTCAAGAAAATTCTCGACGACACGCCGTGTGTTGGCGAGATTCTCTCGTGCTGGCAAGGACGCCGCTGGACAGCCGCTAGAGAACGAATTCTACTACGTCCCAGAGATGGACACCAACCAGCTGAGGCGCGAGTCCATCACCGCGGGCAGTCGTAGCACCGGCCTGCGTTCTGTCAGGAAGACACACAAGGTATGTCGTCTGCACGACCTATCTACAGTACATTATTAACCCTCTTTAGCAATACTACTGGAAGAAGCCCCGCGTCTGAGCAGCTCCAGCCACTTTGTCTCCTACCTCTTTCGACTGAACCGCACAATCTTACCGCCTTAGCACACCCCTTTCCTTCCATGTTTTGCATAGCGCGGCGTTCCGATACCATTTCTTTGAGCCCTCGTGCTCAAACACGTCGACCCTTCTTTTCGGATCTCTTTCCTTCGTGTACCATCATCTCCTCAGTTGCATGGCTGGCTGTGAGCAAGGTGCAACTTCTTTTCTTTCAGGCACTGACGAAGTGCTTACATGTACGGCTTCATGAGGCGTTGTTGGTATGTCCATGCTCCTACTGAAGCTTTAGGGCATCGTGCTAATGAACACAAGGATCACTTTCGATGCATCGCTACCTCGATCGTTTCCTTATCACGTCCCGTCATACTTCCACGCCGCTTTGTTCCGTACAGCGAACGCAGCGGCTTTTCTTACTTTACACTGGCGGATGGGCCTCACTGGCCGATTTCTTATTGTGGCGGTGGACGGATATGAGGAGCATGTGTGGGGCAGATACATGGTGGTTGCATATTGTCGGAGAATGTGCGAGGCGGAAAAGTGCTTTTGGATATGTACATGGGCATCTCTTACGAGACGTGCAGGTGGCATGATCAAGAATGCGAGGGTGGCAGCTAGCGGCAGACCAATGGCATACAAAACCTTGAAAATTCACATTGTATTGTTGATGCGGTGACCTGGATGCGACTTTGAAATGAGCGTATGCGGCATGTCGTCGAAAGAAGTTTGAATGTGCAATGTTTGTCACAGTTGGGGAAACGTGACAGATGACGTCATTACTGATACGACATTAGCGCGTCTTCACGTGACCCTGCAACCACTCAAAGCACACAACAGGCAATCAAACACATCGAAGCTGGAGATGTTTTTCATTTCGTTACAGGCTCTGCACGCACACTCCTCGGCCATGTCCTTGATATTTTGCACGAAAGGAAAAGGTTTGTTATCGATTCACTCTACATGCCCGGGTGCTGCCGTATGTAGGTAGAAAGTGCCAAAGAAGAGACCATGCCCTCATGTCCGTCGCATGCATTCGTTGCATAATCGTATCTCCACATGACCCCGAAACTCTCGCCAGACGCCGTAGGGAGCGAAGCATTTACTTGAGCTTCTTCTTGGGGCGGAGCTGGTTGGTGTGGCCGCACTTCTTCTTGCGCTGCGGGGGGTGTTAGTATTGACATGTTTCAAAATTGCGCCAGCCATCCATGAATTGGAGATGGTGGCTACGGAATGTGACGTACGCAGTTGACAGCCCTCGGTGGCAGACGAGCGTAGCACTTGCGGCAGATCATCTTGTCGCAGTTGTACTTGGAGGCGAGCGCCTTGAGCGAAGGCTCGATGATGCCGCCACGGAGACGGAGGACCAAGTGCAGAGTCGACTCCTTCTGGATGTTGTAGTCGGACAGGGTGCGGCCATCCTCGAGTTGCTTTCCGGCGAAGATCAGGCGCTGCTGGTCCGGGGGAATGCCCTCCTTGTCTGGGCTTGTTAGAAAGCTCTTGAATCCGCGCTTTCAACGGCACGTACCCTGGATCTTGCTCTTCACATTGTCGATTGTGTCCGATGACTCGACCTCCAGCCTTAAACGTCGTCAGTATATACCATGAGAGGGTCGTGAAGTTGTAGAGGAAGTCCTGAGGATCCAGAGGTGACATACGTGATGGTCTTGCCGGTGAGAGTCTTCACGAAGATCTGGTAAAGTCAGTATAATTGTCGTAGTAATTGATATACGCAGTATATCGGTATGCGCGGCAGCCTACCTGCATGACGGCGGTGTTTTGTCGTGATCTTGGGCAGTCGTTGAAAGATGAGGCGGCGGAGAAGGTGCATTTTGGCGATGGCTGATCGCCCCTCGTGCGCTTTACCGAGCGCACGGACCGGGTCACGTGCCTTGTCCTTGTACGAATATCAAAGTCGTCATTGGGAGTCTACAATGTCAAAATCGTTGGTTTCTTGTATTCTATTAGACGCATGTAGTCGTCGCTTCGACGTGGGTGATGGTAGGTTCAATCGCCTCGACCTCGCGTACCCTCTTTCTGTCTCCTCCGCCACTTCTCCACCCTTGCCTCTGTAAAGAACACCGCGTTGACCAGCATATCGAGTGAGAATCCGGTCAGCCTTGCTGCTTCCTCATAGAATACTGCAGCGCGGCCAGGCAGTTCATCTGCGGTCCTCCAGATCGGATACATCTGCCCCGGTCGTAGGACGTCCGAGTCGTCATCCACAACTGCAGCTATTTTCACACTGGCATGCACTGCCTGCACAGTCTGTAACGTCCTATCGTGAGACATCCCGTCTGATATCTGAACTGGAGGGCGTTCCTCTTTGCCTTCGATCGGGAACATCCCGTACAGCGCATTTCTAAAGTCATCGTTCTCCTTGGTGCGCTGTACCTCAGCCTCGTCGATGAAGGTGTTGCCATAGAAGTCTAGGTATTGATCAAGCTGGTCAGCTCCCATATCGAAAACGTCGCTCTCTTGTAGCTTGATCAGCTCTTCGGTCGTGAAGCCTGGATTGCCCTCCCTCTGTGCCTTCTTTGCAGCGACCATGTGCTTGCACCACTTCTTCCAATCCATGACGGTCGTGGTGGGTTCCAACGAAGACTCTGGTGAGCGCGTGATCTTATCGAACGGGTAGAACAACTTGACGCAGACGACAAGGCAACCAATGAGTTGAGCTTCTGGCAGGTGTCGAATGCCGAGTCGATGACGGCCGCTGTACCGGAACACAAAGTTATAGCCAAGTAGATCGGCCAGTCGCAACGTCGCGTCGTATACTTCCAAGGGTAGCGCCAGCTGTTTTAGGTAGCGAAACAAAAGTGGCTGCACGTTGAGAGCTGGCCACTGCATTTCGTGATCTTTCTCGAAACTGATCTCCAGGTTGGTGAGTGTCGTGTAGAAAATACGATAATTCAACATCGTCTGCGGGTCGAGCACGGCATGGTATGTTGACGGTAGCCGATCCCTCATGCCGAGTGGTATTAGCTTGATGGCTCTTCTGTACGCCAACTTGCCGTCTGTTACCCAAGCATGAACATCACCCGGGGTAATCAGCAGTCGCAGTGTGGACATGCCAAGATAGCATAGAGCCAGACAGTCGTACAGATTCGGCGTACCGTGAAGTTGCCTATCGCGACCTTTTGGGGTAGATATTGTGCCTCGCTCGTTGTCGGTCGTCTGCTCGCCTTCGCTCTCAAGAGTGTTGAAGACTTGAGACTGCTGGGACTCGGCCTCTGCATTGTTGCTCCCAATTCTGTTGCCGAGCTGAGCTACACGGAGTGCCCAAAGGTCGAAAACGACCATCTCAAGCTCACTCGGGAGGCCCTTCTCCTGGACCAAGAACCACACTTGATGCCTGAGGATGAGCTGCAAGCACTTCAAGTACAAATCGAAAGCTCGACGCCCACTGAACTCTAAGTGGTTATCAGCCAAGGTGCCAGTCGTTCTGCATGAGTTAAATCGTACGTTTTTCGGCCTTTGTCGCATTTTCGTCAACTTCCTTTCGCTTACGCGTCACTTTTCGACCTGCCAACATTTGTTGGTCCTCATCGGCGCCTCGCACAAGACCCTGCCGTCTATCAGTTGATGGTCTCAAGGCTGAGCATGCAGCAAACCTCTTGGCGATGGCCATTCTGGCAGTAGAAGTACCCGTCCTCTCCTTCTTCGTAACGTCTTGATCGACAGTTCTCAATGCCGCAGGCTGGGCCTTTTTTCCTCTGTGTCTCCATGATGCTACCTGCGCTAATCTTCTGTTGCGCGCTTTAAGGAGCCGAAAATCAACTAGGCCGTTAAACTGCACTGAGAGAAGGGAAGTGATCATGAAGATATTGGGTCGGCTCTTCAGCGTTGACTGTAATGTGAGCTGAGCTGCCACAGTGTCGTTGCCAGCATCTTCTTTTAGACAGCACGGGCGGTTTCGGAAGCAGAACAGTCAATGCATGCGGAACCTCTGAATAAGCTTGACGTATGATTAAACGCGAAGGGGTCTCAGTCTGCTTGGGTATTGCCTTCGCTTTGTTGTGTCACGCTTGAGGAAGTTGCGACGGGTACGCTAGTAGCAGTTCATGTTCACTAGCGCGAAAATTGCAAACGAGGAATCATCTGATTTCACCAATAAGGGATCATACATTTGCATAACATCATCACCTTTTGTTCATTGCCGTAGGGATATATCTAGGAAAGTACTCATATCGTAAAACGTTTCCCGTAGATGGCAATGCAAAAACCCAATTGATCCGAAGAACCCACTTGCATTGGTCGCTATCAAGGCAGGTGGAGCGCATGGAGGTGCTCGTGTTACCGAAAAGTAGCCGTCCCGTGTCGCATGCGAAAGAAGCCGAACTTGCTCAGCCAAACTTTTGACCGGAGTTCGACCCAACTCCGCGATTCCCGCTGACAACCTGCGTCTCCAACGAAGCGAATCTAGACCTTGGGAGCCTCCTTGGCGTCGATGGCAGCCTCCTCGCCCATGGCAGTGAGAACAATGACGTCTGATACATGTTAGCAGTGCCAAGCCTGGAATGCGTCGGGTTGACTCACTAATGTCCTTGCCCTCCTCGGTGAACATCTTTTGGATCTTGGTGCCAACTTCGCCCTCGGGGACCTTGACATCGTCCTTGGTGGAGCCGTCGTCGGACATGAGGGAGAGGAAACCGTCGTCAGTGACGTCGAGCTGGTCTCTTGGTTAGCCGAGCTTTGCCACCCCACATTCCAGGTCTACTCACGAGCTGGTACTCCTGGCGGCGGACATTGGGGACGTTCATGTTGTGGGTGGAGGGGCAGAGTTCTTCACGCTTGGTGGCAGTGAAGATGTCGATGGCAACCAAATGGACCTTTGCGTGACCGTGCTTTCCGGTCTTGGAGGTGGTCATCTCGACAATCTTGCAGGGACGGTTCTTGATGACGACGAAACCGTTCTTCCTCAGAGCAGAGCACTGCATGGGGAAGGTAAGGGAGGCACCGGCATCGGCGCTCTCGAAGGTGTGCTCATGCTGTGCGCGATACAGTCAGTACATGTTCGATGGCTCTGCGAAAAATGGCCGACTCGACACCTGGCTGGGCGCAACTGGCGACGGAAATCGACAAGGTGGGGTAATTACACATGCGGGGTCCTATGTGGGTGTACGTACCTGCGCGTCGTCCGCCATGGTGTTGAATGAGAGTAAGTACGACGGGGGTGAAGAAGCTGGTGATACTCGGTGGGCAGGAGAGAAGTAGCGGGGGTGAATGGGTGGCCGTTCAAGAGAAGACTTCGTGTTCTCGATTTTGAAAAAGGGCCCGCGCGAGAGGAAGAAAGGCGCTAGAGAATCCCTGCCTAGTACGGAACAAACAACCGCCGGCCGCCGTTGCCCATCGATCGGGCGAACGCGCTCGCGACCTGTCCTCGACAACGAGACCACCACAAATGACGTGTCCTTGAACCGGTCGCACCTTGATTAGACACCATGTGGGGACTGGACAGGCTGTCTGCCTACTCTACGCCTTCAGGAACGCCGCCTCCTCGCCGTGATTCGTACTCACCAGCCCCTCGAAGGGGATATCCAGCTCCAGGGCCCGGTGCCTTGCCGCCTCGCCCTGGTTTGCTACCACGCACAACCTCCTTGGGGCTTATATCTCCTTCTGCTTCAAGCACCAGCCTGCCAGCCACTGCACGGGTGCCCAATGGCGGATCACGTAGACGGCCGACAGGAAACGGTCCACATCACGGGCCGGACCCGGTTCAAGTGCTGGCGAACATAATGGGTGGAATGCCTCGGAAGCCGCTCGCCACCAGTGGAGAGAAGGACCCGGGCATTTCGAAAAAGCCAGAGGTGGTGGTAGAAGAGATCGACTTTGGCGGGCTCAGCTTGCAGGACTTCGCAGCAGAAGCACCCAAGCAGCACCAGCAACCCACATCTGTACATACATATAGCGCGCAGTCAATCGAAGAATGTACGTGTTCAGCTCTCAAGCGCAGAAGGTTTGCTCATCGTGATTGTAGACGACAACGAAAAGGACAAGTTTGAAGACCTGCACAAATCAATACTCGCCTGCGATGAAGTTTTAAAATCTGTCGAGACATATCTTACAAACTTCCAGGCCGATCTTGGTGCGGTTTCGGCTGAGATCGAGTCACTGCAGAATCGGTCGATTGCGCTCAACACCAAGCTTGAGAACAGAAAGGTGGTGGAGAAGCTACTCGGCCCTGCAGCCGAGGACATCAGCATCTCACCCGCAATCGTGCGAAAGATCGCAGAGGGACCGGTAGACGAGGGTTTCGTGCGCGCCCTGGCCGAGATAGAAAAGCGCTCAAAGACTATCAACGCAAAAGCAGCAGAACAACCTGACATGAAGTCTTTGGCAGACATCAAGCCGCTGCTAGATGATCTTACAAATCGCGCTGTCGAACGAATACGAGACTATATTGTCGCCCAAATCAAGGCGATTAGGTCTCCTTCCATCAACGCGCAAGTCATCCAGCAGCAAGCCCTGATCAAGTACAAGGAACTATATGCTTTCCTTGCCAAACACCAATCAGAACTTGCGCAGCAGATTGGCCAGGCATACATCTACACCATGCGCTGGTATTACTTGAACCACTTCACAAGATACCGGGTGGCTTTGGAGAAAATCAAAGTGCACGCCATGGACAAGTATGATGTCCTCGGTGAGGACCCCACTGCAAGAAGAGCGGGCAGTCTGCTCGGCCAAGCACGCAACACACCAGCTGCGTACGACGCATTTTCCCTGGGTCGACGGCGCGATGCTTTGAAAAGCTCATCAACGAATGCTCTGACTGCTTACCTTGCGGAAGAGGAGAAGTCAGCACACTACCTAGAAACACCGTTTCGCAGCTTCAATCTCGCCCTCATTGACAACGCATGTTTCGAATACACATTTATATCCTCCTTCTTCGCACCCTCGCAGAACTACCACGCCATATCCCGTACCTTTTCTACAATCTTCGAACCAACCATGGCAGCCGGTCAAGCCTTGACCAAAGCCCTCGTCGCAACCACAACCGACACACTCGGCATACTCATTTGCGTCCGACTCAACCAGCACTTCGCCTTCGAACTGCAGCGCCGCAAAGTGCCGACGGTAGAAAACTACATCAACGCCACGAACATGCTCCTCTGGCCACGCTACCAACAAGTCCTCGACATGCACTGCACATCCCTGCAGAAAGTCACATCCGCACTCCCTGGTCGCCCGACCACCGGCGCCGCCCTTCTCTCCTCTAGCTCCGCGTCCTTGACATCTACTGCGCCTACACCACTCACGCAGAAATTCGCAAACCTTCTCCAGGGCATTTTGGCGTTGTCTTCGGAGGCTGGAGACGACGAGCCGGTGTCGGTGAGTGTGGGCAGGCTGCGGAGCGAGTATGAAGCGTACTTGACGAAGATGAGTAAAGGGATTAGCGATACAAGGAAGAAGGAGAGGTTTTTGTGTAATAATTATAGTCTGGTGTGTACAATTTTGGCGGATGTTGAGGGGAGGTTGGGAGAGGAGGTTAGGGTGCATTTTGAGAAGATGAGGGATGTGTATGATAAGTGAGGGGAGTTCGGGGAGGCGTTGGGGCAGGATAGGACAAATATTTAAGTGGTTGAGATCGAGTTCTTGCACACCTCAGCCTTTTTCAGCCGCTCCAACAGGTAGCCACGTCTCCTTTCACATCCGAGCCCTTTTCAGCCAAAGTCTGAGTAGACGTCCCCTATTGACCCTGGTGCTCCAAACATGACATGCCTCAGGCAATCGGAACTGCCCGGAGACAGTGTCTAGCTGCTATGCTGCCTGCAATCACGAGAAACGGGGCGGTGCCAAGGATGCAGGACGTTTGTTTTCGACCTCTCATTGGGCAGCTTTGACCTAGTCGCTCTTGCGCTCAGCCTCCACAGCGATTCTGCTTCCTACATAAACGCAGCCCATGGGTCGTTGTCGTTCTCCAAATACTCACTTAAGTTTTTTTTTTTTTACATACAACAGTCGGAGCAATGGTGATCGAAACACTGTGTGAGCGATGTCGTGGCTTGCCCGTTAGACCACATGATCTTTCAGCGGCTACATCAGAATTGCCCACTATTTCTACAGGGTTAGATGATCCTTCTCTAAGAACGTGGCCAAGGCACATTGGCAATATTGAGCATTTGCAACCATATCACTGTGCGTTCTGCTTATTGCTGCACGAGTCGTAGGCCTCCCCAATTCAGTAGTGCTAAATAACAGAACTTGATGAGCGTTTCGAGCTGTGCTCATGATCTAAGTAGGCTCTCTAACGCCGGAAAAGACTATACGAAGTTTTCCCTGTCCACCTCTGTCGAATGCTTGATTCGAATTGACAGCACAATGATTCCGCTGCTCTTACTAGAATTTACCAGGGACGAAAATCGATCGGATGAATGGCTATCGCTTCTACAGACACACAGCACACAGAGCCCGGACCATGTCAATCTAAAGCAAGCTTCTCCAATCAATCCGGGCAAGGTAGATTGGGAAGCTGTGAAAGCTTGGCTACGCGATTGTGACGCGACGCATACAGGGTGCACAAGCCATGGTTCTGACGAGCAACAACTGCAAGGCTTTAAAGTCATCGATTGCGAGACTCAGGATATAATACCCTTGCCACCCCGCTGCAGATACGCCACACTCAGCTATGTTTGGGGTCTTCCAGGTCCCGCTCCGGACAATTCCCTTGTGCAACCGAAAGCTCAAGCTCCACAGACCATCAAGGACTCAATGATGTGTACTCTAGCATTGGGCATGCGATACCTCTGGATTGATCGTTATTGTATCGATCAGGATGACCCGGACACTAAACACCGTCTTATCCAGCGAATGGACCAAGTTTACCGCAATTCAGCTATAAATATTATCAATGCTGCAGGGGAAGGTCCCGACTGCGGCTTATCTGGCGTGTCCGACCGCACACGTGGTAAACAAGAGTTGGTTGACGTTCATTGTGTGAGATACTCTACGTTGCCTTGTCCTAAGCAGGAATTAGCCCAATCCTCATGGGCTAAGCGGGGTTGTATGTTTGCTTCTGCCAAAATAAAGAGAGATACGCTGACTGTGTCGAACTTAGGGACATACCAGGAGGGCTTGCTCTCCCGCCGCAGGATAGTGTTTACTCAGCGTCAAATCTACTTCCAGTGCTTGCAAACTTATGGGTGTGAGGCCATTCCTGGGATTTACAAGCTGCGAGTCATCAATGAAGATAGCTCCATGCAGGCTTTCCCGGTGCTCGTGAACGCACCAAGTGAAGGTTCCGAGCTGGATCTGAGCAGTCGGAAGACGTGGATTGGACTACGAATCAATGAGTATCTCAAGCGGGCGTTATCGTACGAATCTGATATAATGAATGCATTTATGGGCATGCTACGCCAGGCATGGTTCTCACCCGAGCCTGTGTATCACTTCTGGGGGTTGCCATTCTTCTCGCACACCACAGGCGATGAGCCAATCGATGCGGATCTTCTGCAGGCGTTAATATGGATAGCAGAGCTAGACCGACCAACCTCAGCAGAGCTGTATCAACCAAACCTAGTATCGAGGAGGTCCGGATTCCCTTCGTGGACGTGGGCTGGTTGGCGAGGACTAAGCGGATTCCGACAAAGCAGGGCCCTGCGCCTTGAGGGTGGCATTGCATTAGAGGATTTAGCCCACAACCGATTAACTCTCCAGGAATACATATGCAGAATGCGAATTTCGTGGAACCTGCTCATGTTCAAGCCTGTTCTCTACGTTACAGGCTGGTTTGCTACCATTCATATCGACTTGAAGAATTGGAGCACGGGAATCACCACTGGCACAGACGATGCAAACAACAAGTTCCAGTTTAATCGAGTGCATTTTATCGATAGAGCTGTCCCTTTGGAAGCTTCCACTCAGGAGGGATCTCAATCCCCAGCCACTGAATGCCCCATAACCATGATCATGTTCACAAACAAGAAGGGTCAAGCGGACAATCGTCATGAAGGGGACGCAAATACCTACGGCCTGTTTCTCACAGAGACCCTCGAAGGACATTACGAAAAGGTGGGAGTGTTCGATCTTGACGTGTATCACCTACATCTAGCTTTTGCACATGAGGTTAGACACACGTTGGGTGAAATCTTCGAGTTTAAGGTCCGAGCACAAATCAAACCATCAAAGATCCGACCGCGATGGGATGAACAGTTTACGGGTAGACTGAAAGCCGAGTGGCAAACGCTTAAGCTCGTGTAGGAAATGCTGTTCTATCTTTTGCGCTGGCTGGTTCTAAACAGCACAGCAGGTGTGTAATTACCCGCTACAACAGCGTTACAAGCTATTTGGCATTAACGCAGACGTCCATGTGTCTCATGACAATCGAAACGTCTGCTTTTAGATGATCCCATAGCTCATTTCACGCGCACAATTTCTTCTGTCATATGTAGCGAGCAAGGCAGAATGCCCTACTAGCAACGTGCAAAACGTGTACTTACATAGATAAGTTTTCGCATCGAAACTGGCTGAGATGTCACACCGATAGCTCCAGGCTGAAACATGCGCAGCCTTTTTCCACCTCCCGAGGTCTTTCTAAAATGCTCTACGCATCATCAAGTGGCGCACAATCCACTTCTGATTGGTGGGATGCAAGATGGCTAGACTTACCGTGGCCTTCCAACTGAACTATGCAGCGCTGACAATAATCGCCCATTCTCCAACAACTGCCATTACCAGTTGCGATGAAAGTATTTCTTGTATACAACTAATCCCTGAAGCTCGTCTTCCGTGGTGCCAGAAGTGGAGAGAAGATTGCGATAAGCGGTATGATGAAGGAATGCTGAGGAAGTGGCGCAAGGCATGCACCGGTTAACACATGCGCCTAGATCGTCATTGGACGTCTTACATGCAAGAGTCGATGTGCTGGCATAGCCTTATTTCAAGCACGCAACCTTCCGAGGCGCAGCATGGTGAAAGTCAAATGAGCACATCTGGTTCCCTACATAATCATGGACATATTTCGATCAAAATAGTGCCGCTGGGTGCTTGCTCTCTCGCACCTATGTTGGCGCACCCATCTCTCTCATCGTTGTTCAAAGCATTTTTACAATTAGTTTCGCAGGTCTTGTTCAGGTTCCCGAGACTATAGGCAACGGCCTTACACAGCCGAAATTCCCTGATTTTGAAAGCATCATGTCGCAATCACAGACGTCAATCTCTTTGAAGCGTTCAGCGACCACAGCCACCGGGAAAGAGACAAGACCGAACAAGAGGCCGAGGCCAATGATTTCCCCTACTCAAGAGCTGGATGGAGAATTAACAAATGACCCGCTGCTTAACAGTTTAGGTCCTGGCGGGCTGTGCAAGCCATGTGCGGCTCTTCAGCTCGATCAAGCTACAATCGAGGAACGCGGTGGGAAGTACATGAACTCAATCCATCTTTATACCTTCAAAAAGATTGATGAACGGTGTCGCTTCTGTCGCTTATTGGCCAAGACGTAAGTGCAACCAGATCAGCCCTATGAACAACAATGTGTTTGGAAGCAGTGATCAAATGCTGATTTGGTTCCGTCGACACAGTATTGAGGAGTACAATATACTACCAAGTCGCTTCTATTCCAATTACAAACTGGTTGCGAAACGTGCAGAAGGTGTTCGGGAGTTCTTGTACGAACTCAGTGGCAATGGATCTGGGTGGCTTCTGCCAATGCCTGAGCACTTGCCGGATATGCCTCCGGTACAAAGACCGTACCTAGAAAATGAGCAAACAAGGAATGTGGACTGGTGGATATTAAGGCAGTGGCTGAGTTGCTGCGAGAAGGAGCACACGACTACTTGTGAATCAGCTCTGTCTGTTTCACTTTCCGGGTTTGCCGTCATCGACTGTCTAACCAGGAAGGTAGTGACAGCTCCGCCCTATTGCAGATTTGCAGCGCTGAGTTATGTATGGGGAGCTGAGGCTGTGCCCGAGGTTTTGTCAAACATACCCACGCCCGCACCACCATTGATCGAGGATGCCATGACATGTACCAGAGCGCTTGGTCTACAGTATCTGTGGATTGATCGGTACTGTATCGATCAGAAGGCAAAAACTAAGAAGACTTTGATCCATAACATGGATCGTATATATACAGGAGCAGCTGTCACGATCATCAATGCGGTCGGGGAGGGCTCGAGTTGCGGTCTGCCAGGTGTGTCATACGTCCCTCGTCACCGCCACCCTTCGGTCAAAGTTGGAAAGCGAAGAGTCGCTATCCTTCCCAATACTATCATGGAGATAAAGCAAAGCAAATGGTCAAGACGAGCTTGGACCTTTCAAGAAGGCCTCCTCTCTCGCCGGCGACTAGTCTTTACATCGTCCCAGGTCTACTTCCAGTGTCAAGAGACGTACCACTGGGAGATGATAGAAACACGTGCTTTCTCTTGTCGTCGAATCAACCTATCGCAATGGGCTTCTGAGGGGTTAGAGGCTACATTGCAACCGAAGACCTGCCTTTTCCCGATCATGAACTTTCGATCTGACGCCAGTAGACTCAACGCACTGATAGAAGAGTATCTACGCAGAGATATTTCCTACGACTCAGATATTCTCAATGCAATACTTGGTATACTACGCTCGGTCTGCTCTCATATCTGGGGCCTTACATGGTCTGCAGAGACGAAAGACGCACTTTCAGAAAAACATGACCTCCTCGAGGCTCTACTATGGCAGCCGCGATACGACCCCAATTCAATCATCACTAAGAGGAAAGGTTTTCCATCCTGGAGCTGGGCCGCCTTCAAAGGCATTACAGGACTGGATCAAGGGTCTATCGATCAAAAAAATACTCTCCTGCCTCATGAACCTCCTGTAGATGTTAGCATCCAGGATCTCAACGGTCATAAATACAGTGTGTACGAATACAGGCAAGCAATGCAAAAGAACTACGACATCTATCAATTCAAACCCTCCCTTTTCCTTACCGGATGGATTCTGCCCGTGAAACTTCGTGCCTATGCAGTTCAATGGACGCCAAAGTTATCACCTGGCCAGCCCATGGACCTTCTCGTTCTCGACTCATCACTGTCTAGGTTGATCGGAATAGCAACCATCATGACAGCCGTGCTGGAGCATACAATCACAGACCTGAAAACCGTGTTCGATCAAGATTGGCTCATGCTGAGCTTTCAAGATCATGAGAATCGCAGCTTTGCACCTGGCCTACTTCTGAAGCCTATGAGCCCCACAAGCGGCGAAAGATTAGGCGTAGTGCGTCCGCCTACAAGGAAGATGCGGAGAATTTTTGAGTCATTGTCCGTATCTCCCGCACCATTGTGTTCAAAAGCATGTACAATTGAGCTAGTGTAGAATTTGACTCTGCGGGGCATAATAAAATCGAACTTTACTACTCGCCATGTCAAGACTCAAAGTTTTATCAGAGAGTAGCGGGAATACCAGCTGCGATCTCAATCAGATTCAAAGGCCTGTGAAGACGCAAAAAGACGGGAGATGGATTTTGAATCTTTGCAGCATGAGTTACCTCTATGCTAACAAGGCTTAGCTTCAGAAAGAGATGAAAACTGTTGCGCTGCTTGAGCGCAGTTGAAATACTGTCAACAAGATTTCAAAGCTTGGATATACAAATGCATCTGATGCATCTCACCTTCCAAATCCATCAGGTATGATTTCTGAAAGTAGACCTCAATGTTCGGATTACAGTAGTAGAGAAGATAAAGAGCGCGAAGAATACAGAGCTTTCATAGATGCAACAGCAGACAATCTATAAATGTACTTTAGGAATAGTCAGGGAAGATAGATGCAACTCATATGTAGACAGTACAGTGTAGCTGCATCCAGGAGCTCAGAGAGGAACTAGGCGAGCCGGAGACTGCGACAATCTTGGAGTGCATAGAAAATATCGGGAAGGAACCAGACTCTTGCGATGCCCAGCTCCGATATGTCGCAACCATAACGCATCGCGCAAAAGACCTGAAGATAACCAGGCTACATTGTTACTTCTCCTACATCACTCCAACACGCACCGAGACTAGCCAGACACTTTCATCTTCGAACAGCGAAATCTCAATCCATTTTATCTCTCCCAATATGAAAACGCCACTAATGCTACACCCCCTCCCTCTTTCATTTCAACCATCTACTTCCTCCTCTTGCCTCCACCTCCACCTCTCCCTCCTTGGTCTCCCTCACCCTGAAACCTCCTCTTCTTCCCTTCCCTCTCCCAATACTCCTGCTTCTCCCTCTTCTCCCTCTCGCCCCTCTTCTCCTCATTCTCCTTAACCTTACTCCGATACCCCTCCTTCCTCTCATCCTGTTTCTTGCGCCTCTTCTCCACTTTATCATTGCGAATCGCCACGACCTGGTCCATGAGTTTGCGCGCCTTCTTCTCCTCGCCACCCAGCACGACCGCGCGTTTTTGCAGATACGTGGGTTGGCGCTGGGGCTTCATGACGGGGGCTTGGGATTTGAAGGGCAGGTTGGCAGCGAGTTTGCGCGGGATGCGTAGGGGGTTGAAGACGCGGGTGGGGCGGTCGATGGGGCGGTATGCAGAGTTTTTGTCGGCGGGTGTGGGAAGGGAGAGTTCGTGGCGGACGACACCCGTGAGGCGCATGCCGTTCCAGCCTGTGCTTTCGCCGGCCTCCTTCTGCTCGGCGGACGGTGGGGTGAGCAGGTTTGTGACGGTATTGTAGAAGCGGCGGGGCTTGATGGGATACCAGGCACGCAGGAAGACGATGTCGCTCATGAGGATTTTGTCTTCGAAGGTGGCGCGGAAGTTTCCTTCGGGTTTGGAAAGGGCGCGCTTGATTTGGCCGCGGACACCGGAGACGGTGCGGATGGAGGCGCCTTCGAATTTTGCGATTTCGAGCGAGGATTTGAACATGTCTTTGATGAAGGCGGTGTTCTTGAAGATCTTGTACGGGTGGCCAGTGAGCTTGAGCTTCTTGACGATTTCGGTCGATTCGTCGACATTCAAGACAACGCCGGTGGCGCTGATCCGGAAGCCGGGTGTCTTGTTGCTGAGGCTTTGAAGGCAGACAAAACCAGTGTTTGGTGCGACGAGAGGGCCGTAGAAGGTACCAAAGCAATGCATGTGCTCAGGCGTGTACTTGAGCATGCGATTGCGCGTCCGCGAATCTGATATACTGTAGATGGGCGTAGTCTGGAACCGTCTCCATCCGAGCGAGAAGATGAGAGGATCATTTGTCTTGAGGATCTTCTTGTGCCATCTGTGACGCTTGATGCGTATTTGGACAAAGCCAAATCGCTCCTCTGTCGGTGTCAACCCACCGATCAGAATGGGAAATCGCGGGTTGAAGTGTGCGGAGAACTCGTATGGTACGTTCTCAAGAACGATCCGGACGTATGTGCCAGCCTTGTGACCTTCGACACGGACACGAGAAAGCTCATCCAGCTGGTCAAACTCAGCGCGGTTGATGTCCAATTGCTTCTGAATCATAGCCTTTTGTGCATCATACCAGTCATCCTCGCCGAATTCTTCTTCTTGCGCGGCGCCTTCTTTACGACCGTCGGCTTTGTCGTTCATGAAACCTTCGCGATCTTCTTCTTCGAACCGAAGCTTCAGCTCTTCTTTCCGCTTGGCGTTGCGTTCTCGCTCTTCCTCGATAGTCTTGGGCTGCTTCGTCCACTTCTGGTTTGGGTTCCTCGCCACCGAACTTCTCGCCTGTCTCTAAATCCTCAAACTCGCCATCACCCTCATCATCTTCATCGAAGCCTTCAAAATCATCTTCATTCTCCTCTTCACCATCACCACCCTTGCCATTCATGTGGCCTGTGGCAAATCGACTCCGGAGAGCGTCGATGTTGTCCTCGTCTTCCCATCGTTCTGCCAGCTCTTCGTAGTCGAACCTTGGAATGTATCGATCTTCGGCATTAGCAGAGTCTTCGGTTTTGGACTTTTTGAAGAAGCCATCATCTGCGTCTTCATCATCCTCGATCTCCTCCTCAACTTGTGCGCCAGTCCACTTTTTGATCACGTCGGTGGGCGCAAGGTCGAGGTTATACATCATCTTGGCAAGGTCTGTTATGCGGTATGCTCGTTTTTGTCCATGTAGCTTCGCGGCGTTTTCACGGAGGTTGTCTTTCCAGCGCAGCGCGCCTTCTTCGTCATCATCCTCTTCTGATTCGGATTCGCCCTCGTCCAGGTCGCTCAAATCTCGCTCGTCTCCGGATATCGAACCAAGATCAGAGTCACTGTCCGCGAATGCGACTTCTTCAGCTGCATCGCCGTTTTGATCCGACTCTTTCCGGGCAAACTTGGGCTTGCCGTTTGTTGCGCCATTCGTGTCGAGAAAGCCGGTATCATCCTCATCCTCCGAACCACTGCCATGTTGTTGTAACTCTTCCTCATCACTATCGATGCCATCAAGATCTCCGTCGTCGACCTCCTCAGCTTCCGCAGCTCTCGCCTTTCGGTGTGACCGGCGTCCAGTATCCTCGACATCATCCTCGATCTTATCAACAAGCTTGCCGCCACTGAATAGCCTGAAGCCCCGGTCGTCTTCACCAAGCATCTTTCGCCCACCCTGTAGGTTGACCATCATCTGCTCGCCCAGTCCGCGCTCCGCATAGTCGACATCCGGATCAAACGTTGAGGTCTTGACATCAATATACACTGCGTCTTTATCGACAAGCACACCACCGACATCCGACATGGGCGCATATAGAATCTTCTGTTTCTCACCCAACCTCGTGCGCTTCTTCTTGCCCGTCATCTTCTCGCCCTGCTTCTCTGCAAACGGCGTCGGACACGGATCCGGCAGCGCCTCTGTCGAAGTGACCGTCAAATCGCCCACACCAGGTATATGCACGCGCGATCCACCCGCCGGGAAATTTGTTCCGCGAAGGTATCCATACAGCGCGACCGTGCGATCGCACTTGGGGTTCTGCTCCATGTCCGTTGGGGGCGTGATGTCCAAGAAGCGATCCGCCAGACAATACGGATGGCTATTCCTCCACACCAGCGGTCTAGGATTCTTCATCACGCTCAAGAACCTGCTAAGATTCATGATCTCTCGGTCGGGGTATCGCCCATTGACTACTCCAGACAGGTAGAAGAGTTTTGCGCCCTGGTACAACTCGCTCCAAAATCTGTGCTTGAGGCGCTTCTTCTGCAATTTCAGCGCTTCTTGCTTGCGAAACAAGTCCAGATGCGTCAGGATACCGAACACATTTCCCGGCATACCGCTCGCGCTGAGGACGTTCAAGAACTCCATCGTCTCCATTTCGAAGCCGTAGTTGCCGTCAATCATCAGCAGCACGATGTCCACCACTTTCGCAATGTCGATCATGCTGGCGAGCGAATCCGCCGGGCATTCTATGAACGTAAGGCGTCGCCGCTTGGAAGTGACAACTGTGAGCGGCCCGCTCGGCGTCGAGAGGGTTTGCTTCGTGTATCGGCGAATGAGCGATTTGATCAGAGTAGTTTTGCCTACGCCGGGGGGGCCGACGACGCCGACGATGATGGGGGGAGCTTCTTCGGGGAGGCGGTCAACGAGGGGGACGTGGAGGCGTTTCTCTTTGACCTTTACATATCTATCAGTATCGCCAAAGTGCAAGAAGTACGAAGGTAACATACATCGTGTGAGCGCGCAGCTGTCTTCTGCAATCTTCCCGGCGCCGCATACGCAAAAGCCTTTGGATTCGGTCCGCCGGTATGCGCTTTCTTCTCCTTTGTCGTCCTGTGCGGACGATTCCCTTGGTCGGCCATGGTCCCCTCACTGCTTCAATTCGCGGAGCCGTGAAAAAGTGACTTCTCCAGCGGCGATGCGCCTGCGTCCCAAAATTTCGACGCTAGGCCGGCGCGCTAAAATTGCTGCAGGGATGGCGTTATCGATAAGGACGCGGTTGGCCGTGGTGGTGGGGCACCATGGCCTCGTGTGCTGGGACACGCACGTCATCAGCGTTTATCCAAGGCTTTAGGAGATTGTGCAGGGTGGTGGTGGGTAGTTGGAAGCCTGGAACGTAGTACGCCTATATAAACATCGATCTTGATCCTGCTTGTGTCTGTGCTCACTACACTTTCACCTGCAACTGACTCACTCATACACACATCTACACATTCAAGATGCCTCAGTACAACGTACATACCCCTCCTGCTTCATGTTTGGTGCTGCCTGTCTAACGTGAGTACCAGATTACCCTCGCCAAGGACGCGTCCAACGACGACCTCGAGAAGGCCAAGCAGCACGTCAAGGACCAGGGCGGCGAGATCGTCAGCGAGTTCTCTCTCATCAAGGGCTTCACGTATGCTTCCTCTCACCCCCCCTCGATAGCAAATGCTGACATTACACAGTGCCAAGGTCCCCGACGATGCCATCTCCACGCTCCAGTCCAACGACAAGATCACTGTCGAGCACGACGGCGAGGTCAAGACCCAATAGAGCGTCACACTTCGAACGAGAAATGATAACGGCATGATGGCATCGGGTGGAACTCTAGGCATATGATAATGAATGGCATATGAATGTGACACAGCCTGTCTACCTCTTCTTTTCTTTGTCGTCTCCGTCTACTCTGCCCACGCCCCGCAAGCTGAGATACACATCCGTGCCCCAGCCCCACAAGCTCTGCACTGCTATGCCTCCGCCAAAGTATTCCGCGTATGCTCTTCCGAGCGGCAATCCATACCCAAGCCCAGCAAGACTGTGTGCCCCGTCGCCGCCAGGGCCAGACATGGCATTCAGTGCATCCATGCCCGTATGCGAACTATGTGAGCCCGATAAGGTAGAAGATGCCTGGTCGTCGTTGAATGTCGTGAAGCTGTAGTCCCATATATGATGGAGATTATCGGGCGATATGCCGCCGCCACGGTCACGTATGCGGATGGTGACGCCCGGCGTAGAGTGCTTGAGGGGCAGAATGTTCGAATCGATCTTCGCAGCGGCGTTTCCGTGGAGGCCAGTAAAAGCGTGCGATGCTACATCTGCGTTGCCCTGATCAACATTCTCGACGCGCCTCTTGGCCAGATCCTCCGAGTCCTTCTCCCCAGTGTCTTCTGGCAGTAGCTCTGGCAGCGGGGCGATTGTGACTTCGATCGGCTCACGCTCCATACCGCTCTCGACTGTTGCGCGGAACGCATTCTTCAGCAGCTCCGTGATTATGTATTCGAGATGAACTGGGACGTGTGCGAAGGTGTAGTCTGGCTCGCCGTTGATGACAACCGTAGGTCGTACACCGTACTTGAGCTCGCAGATCTCGCCCACGGTGTTGGCGCAGTGCTCGACAATTGTAGCAGGCTTGAGCTTGGTGTCGATAACGCCAATGTAGCCTGCATTTTCTTCTGACTCGTGCATGACCTCTTTGTGCGGCTGACTCGAAAAGTGCAGCGAAAGATGCTGCTCTGCGATCAAGCGCGTGCCTATCCTGGCCCGCAGATGTTCGTCCAAGAAGCGCGTCACATCCTTAGGGCTGGATGTACTTTCGTGCTTTCGAGGGAAACCTCTTGCCAGTATGCTTATGGTATTCGCGTGTGTTTGCACCAGGTCAGCCATGACCTCTGTGAACTTCACCTCCTCCTCCAGCGTCTTTATCTCGTGCTCCGCCCATGGTAGCAACGTAGACAGACTGTGTATATAGTTCGAGTGTATCTTCGACACGTGTGGGTTCGAGACGACGATGAAGGGTAGGTTTCTGAGCGACTGTATACGGTGCGCAAGTCGTGCGGGTAGGATTGAGAGCGTAAAGTTTGCGGAGGTCAGCAGTTGCTGAGTTGTGAGTGGTGGTCTTCCATGTCTGTCACGCGACTTTATTAATCCTTCATCGAGGCAAGAGACTGCGCGAGGAGCTTACTTGACCAGGTCGGCAAGCGTCAGAGGATGCAACGGCAGACTCGCCAACCGAGAGATGTCGTTGTCTGTCACAGTCTCTGTGTGCAGTTTGCGATTCTGTACCCTCGCGAACGGACCGCTCCTTGTCCTTCTAACTGTGCGCGGGCAGCACAATCGTATGATGTGCGATTGGATAATCAGCGGTCGCTGAATGTATGCCATTGTTGTTTTATATCGATGATCTCATCTTCTCAAATTCCTTCCCATTCACTCAGCGGGACGCGATAGACACCACGATGCTAGGTCCGAAGCTTGCTGTGTACGTCGCGTCGCAGTCGAAATTACGTGCCGCGTAAAGTGGATCGATTGCTGCTGGTTATCGTGAATGTCGTAAAAAGGATTTCATATCCCTCTAAGAGTATTCAAGGCGTGCGGGCACAGGCGAAGCTTTCCCAAAGCTCATGCGGGCAGATACGAGCTGCTAGAGCGGTGAGGAAAGAGTCCGATCACATGAACGTCATCTGCCATCCATCCCACCTGCACAAATCCAGCTGGACATGTCGAAAGCAAAACCACCATCCGCACGCGAGGAACTTGTTCTTTGGAATATAGAAAGATGGCGCAAACTGGTAACAGTAGCAAGTGGTATAATAATTCGATTTTGAGCAAGATCCTTGGAGCGAAAACAGACAAAATGTCGCTCGAAACTGTGTAGCAGCTGCATCAAGCATCGGATTTTCGTATCTCAAAACATTTGTCACAACAAACTCAAGAGTGCACTTGCCGCGCGAGTGCGAAATAATGATGAAAGGATCGAGGTCGACCGCAGGCACAGGTCAGTGGATACCGAAGTGAGGACCATGTGTATTCATCGCTAAGCTGTAGATTCGATGGCATAGTCACATGAACATGGGAACTGCAGCGGCGATGCTCAGGAAGTCATGTCGCAAACAGGGCGCATTGACGCAAGCGTACTGTGTAGAATCCGGGGTAGACATATCGATAAGTTGTGGGGATGCTCGAGCGTAGTAGGACGTGCTGTGGACTAGCGAAGCCTCTGGCACGACATCCGCAACTGACGGAAAGCGAACAGGGTGCAACAGGTGGCAGCTCATCCTATAGCCTGAAGCTATACGCGGATACTTGCCGTCGCAACTGAATCCTCTCGATACCGTTTCTAGCTTCAGGTTGCTAAATCACCTTAGTTACTTTCCGTCGTAATTGGCAACCTGCAGTGAACGAAGCTGGGATTTTGAGTGCAATGGATAGGAGCCCCAGATCCCATGCGTGTCAAGATTTCGTGCAGAACTTTGTCTGGACAGAAGAGGGCTAAAGGCAGTGACCGCTTGACAGGTACAAAGGAATGGCTTTGCCCAACCAAGATTTCACGAACGAGTCTCGACCCTCATGCGTGCCCTGTTAATCCGAAACTATGGAACGCTGGGCAACAGCGCGTAAGAATGTGGCAAAACATACTTTGGAACGTCGGAACGAGCCAATTCAACGTCGCATAGACTTCGGCAGAATCGGGCAGGTACTCTAGGAGCCAGTCTGGAGCCTCCGCTCATGGCCGTAGCGTACAAATTCGGCAGGGCTGGGCGAACAGCTTCCGGTATGCTTCAGCCGCAGGACTGTACGAGGCAGTTGCCTACAATAAGCAGACATGAAGTCGAGGACACTTTTATCTGAGTGTGTATACCTCCAGGCGGGCGTTACTTATCCCGAGGGATCACAGCGAAGGCACATTGTCAGGGTCGTGGTCCCTGATCTTCGCACTGCATAATCCGCGTTTCTCGACTTCCTGTTGGGCAAATGCCGTTGGCTGGGGTCGTTTGCAAAGGCGGTCAGCGCGCATGTCGAAACTCGCCACAAATAGACGCCTTTTTGCAACGTGGGCTGCGACATGGCCGCCACCAAGAGTGGCTCCTCAGCAGCTGTTGTGGAAAAGTGCAGAAGCAAATGGAGGAGCAAATAATGGAGAAACTGGAGCAAAGCGGCAAGAGTGAAATTTCTGGTTGTCAACGAGGGGCGATTCGTGTCTGTGGTTTGCGAGTATCCCCGGTCTCAGAGTGCAGGGCCCAACTGGCGCTAACGCTAATCTTATCGGCTTGCTCAAAATTTTGCCCACATAAGAAGTGCGCGCCCGCAGTGAAGGCCCCTACATATCCTCCCCTCACTTCTCTGGGACATCCCACGACTTCTTTCTTTGTTGTGTGCTTTACGGTAGCATAGAGGAGCTGCGAGTCACATTTCTCGCTGCTGTGCACGCTTTGATACCCGAGAGATTTCATCTTTCACCGAAAAGTTTTTAGGCCCCGCACCAGTGCCTATTATATAAAGGCGCCCGCCTCCCTCGACCCTCTTTCCTCTACCCACACCCTCACCCTACCACCAACCGACAACATGGCTCCCGCTGCTCTTCACGACGCTGCGGCCATCAAGTCCGAGAACTCGAAGGCCCTCAAGGCCCTCGAGGAGCTCATGGGCAAGTTGACCGTCTCCAAGGAGCAGGACCAGATCAACGCTGCCGCTCAGTCTATCGCCACCTTCATCAACGGCGACATTGAGGAGGCTGACGCTCCCACCAAGTACGTCTCAACGCCTCTACCCCTCCACCCCGCCATGACACGTTTCTAACAATTTTCGCAGGGCCGTCGAACTGCTCACCAAGCAGCTCGCCAGCAAGAAGGATGCCGTTGCCCGTGAGCGCGCGCTTGACGCCATCCGTGCCATTGCGCAGCACTCCCACGTCTCCGCCTCGGTCGAGCCCTACCTTGTCGAGCTCCTCCCCGCCGTCCTCGCCGCTGTCGGCGACAAGATGAGCGCCGTCAAGGTTGCTGCTCAGACCACCGCTGAGTCGATTGTCGCTGCCGCCAACCCCAACGCCGTCAAGGCCATCATCCCACACATCATCAAGTCCCTCGAGACCGCACAAAAGTGGCCCGAGAAGATGGCCGACCTGAAGTGCATTGAGGTCCTCACCAAGAGCGCCCCTGCACAGATGGCCTTCCGTGTCCCAGACCTGATTCCCGTCATCTCTGGTGCCATGTGGGACACCAAGCCCGAGGTCAAGAAGGCTGCCTACGCCACCATGGAGACTCTCTGCTCCTTGATCTCCAACAAGGATATTGAGCGCTTCATTCCCGAGCTTATCAAGTGTATCGCCAAGCCTGAGAACGTCCCCGAGACCGTTCACTTGCTCGGTGCCACCACCTTCGTCACTGATGTCCACGAGCCCACCCTCGCCATCATGGTGCCCCTGCTCGAGCGTGGTCTCGTCGAGCGCGAGACTGCCATCAAGCGTAAGACTGCTGTCATTATCGACAACATGTGCAAGCTTGTCGAGGACCCCCAGATTGTCGCTGCTTTCTTGCCCAAGCTGATGCCTGCGCTCGAGAAGAACCACGACAACTTGGCTGACCCCGAGGCCCGTGAGAAGACTCGCCAGGGTCTCGACACCTTGATCCGTGTTGGTCACGTTGAGAACGGCAAGATCCCCGAGCTGTCCAAGGACGGTGACGTTGCCACCATTGCTGGCAAGCTCAAGGACGTCCTGCCCTCCAAGTACAAGCTCGACGACCGCTTCACCCCCGTCGTCAACTACATTGGTGCCATTGGTGGTCAGCTCATCGACGAGAAGGACTACGAGGGCCTCAACTGGCAGGCCAATGCCGGTCCCTTCGTCGCCGTCCTTGTTGGCGATGAGGAGGCCAAGGACATCACCGAGAACCTCCGCAAGCGCGCTCTGCCCGCTGCCCTGCAGGAGGAGGTCGCTGAGCCTGATGAGGAGGAGGGCGAGGATCTGTGCAACTGCACATTCAACTTGGCCTACGGTGCTAAGATCCTGCTCAACCAGACACATCTCCGCCTGAAGCGTGGTCAGCGTTACGGTCTCCTCGGACCCAACGGTTCCGGAAAGACCACCCTCATGCGCGCTATCAACAACGAGCAGGTTGAGGGTTTCCCCAAGCAGAACGAAGTCAAGACTGTCTACGTTGAGCACGATCTTGACTCAGCCGATACTGAGCAGACCGTCATTGCCTGGACCTTGAAGAAGCTTGCAGACGTCGGTATCACCAAGCCCGAAGAGGAGGTCAAGAGCACCCTCAACGAGTTCGGTTTCACCAACGACATGTACAACGGTCCCATCACCGCTCTGTCCGGTGGCTGGAAGATGAAGCTCGCTCTTGCGCGTGCTGTGTTCGAGGAGCCCGACATTCTGCTTCTTGACGAGCCCACCAACCATTTGGACGTCAAGAACGTCAAGTGGCTCGAGGACTACCTGACCAACTCCCCTTGCACATCCATTGTCATCTCCCACGACAGCAAGTTCTTGAACAACATCATCCAGCACGTCATCCACTACGAGCGCTTCAAGCTCAAGCGTTACCGCGGTAACCTAGACGAGTTCGTCAAGCGTGTGCCTTCTGCCAAGTCATACCACGAGCTCAGCGCCTCCGACATGGAGTTCAAGTTCCCCGAGCCCGGTTTCCTTGAGGGTGTCAAGACCAAGGCTAAGGCCATTCTCCGTGCTACCAACATGAGCTTCCAGTACGAGGGTACCTCTAAGCCCCAGATTGCCGACATTACCTTCCAGTGCTCGCTCGGCTCTCGTATCGCTGTCATTGGACCCAACGGTGCTGGCAAGTCCACCCTTGTCAACGTCCTGACTGGTGAGCTTGTCCCCACCTCTGGTGAGATTTACCACCACGAGAACATCCGTATTGCGTACATCAAACAGCACGCTTTCGCCCATATCGATCACCACCTCGACTCTACTCCTTCCGAGTACATCCAGTGGCGTTTCCAGACTGGTGAGGACCGTGAGACCATGGACCGTGCCAACAAGATCGTCACCGAGGAGGACGAGAAGGCCATGGACAAGATCTACAAGATCGAGGGTACCCAGCGTCGTGTCATTGGTATCAACTCCCGAAGGAAGTTCAAGAACTCCTACGAGTACGAGTGTTCATTCGCTCTCGGAGACAACGTCGGCATGAAGAACGAGAAGTGGACTCCCATGATGACTGCAGACAACGCCTGGATTCCTCGTTCCGAGATCATGGCATCCCACGCCAAGATGGTCGCCGAGGTTGACCAGAAGGAGGCTCTCGCCTCTGGTCAGTTCCGTCCTTTGGTCCGTAAGGAGATTGAGGCCCACTGCGCGCAGTTCGGTCTCGATGCCGAGCTTGTCTCCCACTCACGTATGCGCGGTCTGTCCGGTGGACAGCGTGTCAAGGTCGTTCTCGCCGCCTGCTCATGGCAGCGTCCTCACTTGATCGTTCTTGACGAGCCTACCAACTACCTCGACCGTGACTCTCTCGGTGCCCTTTCCAAGGCCATCAAGTCCTTCGAGGGTGGTGTCATCATCATCACTCACTCGGCTGAGTTCACCAAGGACTTGACTGAGGAAGTCTGGGCCGTCATGGACGGTCGCATGACACCTTCCGGCCACAACTGGGTGCAGGGTCAGGGTTCTGGCCCTCGTTTCAGCGCCAAGGAGGGTGAGGAGGAGGAGAAGTTCGACGCCATGGGGTACGTATTCCTTCTTGTTCCGAAATTTCGGATTGTTCCGAAAATCCCGAAAATCCCCCCAACACCTTCCCATTACCCCCCCTTCACATCCACCCTTCGCCTGCACTTCCAAATCCTTTCAATGAACCGCGCTAACCCAATGCAGTAATAAAATCGCCAGCCAAGAGAAGAAGAAGAAGCTCACGTCGAGCGAGATGCGCAAGAAGAAGAAGGACCGCATGGCCCGCCGCAAGCGTGGCGAGGAGGTCTTCTCCGACGAGGACGACTAAGCGTATCGCCCCCGACAAAAGTAGTCTTTCTTTCCTGGTTGCGATGTTCACGGATGCGATAGAGGGTTGCATTTCACGGCTTGAGACGCTTAGCCTACGACAGTAATGTGTGATGCGTTGCGAGTGGTCATGGGTCGGCGTCTGGATATCCACAAAATTATGCATGGTTTTGTTACGACAGCTACAGCTTGCAGGTTCGTTATCTGTCAAGAAGATAGAAATAGATCTTGATAAACAGTTCAAACTTGTGTGCTCTGCTCTTTGATTGGCATCATGTTTGTCCACTCTCGCGATGTTGCGCGTTTAGTACTGCGTATGCTTGCCACGCACAGTTGGGAACGTCTAGGAAGAACGGGTGATGGGCTACTCCAAGCCTCAGGGATAATACGGCATGCGTGAGGTACACTGCAATGTGTCGCATTACGTCTAGAGAAGTAGAGCATTATCGTATACAGTCAAAGTCACGGCGCATCGTCCTACCAGACTCCTCTCCTATTTTCCACAATCGACTGTCGAAAGGCAAGGTGGCGACATCCCTCAAGCCTTCAAGCTTGTGATATGAATGCCAAAGGCGCCTAATAATCTCGTGCGTATCAGTATTTCAAGACTGTCATTCAAGGTACTGGAAATTAATACAGGCTTTCACAACTCAGCCTCTGTGGGAACCAAAAACAGACTATGCTTGCTGCGGCTGATGAACAATGAAAAGAGGGCTTGAAGATGGGGGTGAGCTGGAGGTATACGCTGACAATTTAAATGTGCGATGCGTTCAGCTTTGCAACAAGTGTGTCCGTACATTGCGAGATGTGAAAAGCCGATTGCTCAATGAAGCTGGTGTTTGGGTGTGGTGGTGCCTGGAGGTATACGCGGTAGTAAGAGTAAGACATTTGGGTGGGCAGGATTGTTGAGATCTGGGCAAAGCACTGATTTGTAGGGAGGGGCCTCGAAGAAGCAAGACTTGCGTTCAATCTGAGAGTATATGGTACTGTGATGGTTTGGGCTGAAAGTTTTTGCGCTCGTGTCGGAACGTATAACGAAGATATTCAGGAATAGCCACATAAAGCGTCGCTAGACCACGTACCAGAGCTGGGTATTTTATCGGTAGCCTCGCATATGTCCGATAGTGAGCTACTTTCACTTTACGGAAAATGTGGAAGTGTAGCAACGCATGCATAGAAACGAGGAAATGTAACTAAGACCCTTGAAATATCAGCAGTCCAATAGATGAGCCTGTTTCACTTCATCACATTCCATCCTATCTCTCGGCTTGATCCTAAGTGTTTGAAGACTACCAAGCTACTACATGAATGACCAAAGAACAGTGACTGTGATAAGAAAAGAGGAGAGAGTAAATGCAGAAAAGCTTGGAATTAGAGAAGTTTTGTGTTGATCACCTCTATGCCCTTACACGCTCACGGTACCAGAGAATTAGATCAGATCCACAAGCCTTTTTGTCATTGCTCTGGCCAATGTAACCCAAGCCGCATGTCGTGGTAACGTAAGCCCGAACAAAGCGTTCGTATTCGGGAATGTTTCCAGGTGTGATTTGAAGTCTCGCTGCACATCGTCGTAGATGATCACAAGCTCGCGAACTGTTTCTGAGACTAAGGTTAGCTACATGAGGCAAAAATAGCTCCGGGAAATGTGCCATTGTTGGAACTCACGATCGTGCCGCTCGTGAGAAGCGGGCCTGCCAGATACTTCTTTTTCTACAAAAGTGACTGCTTTTTGAAGCTTTTCCATGTCAAAGAACAAGTAGCGGGATAAACAACCGTCCAGGACTGGTGGTTTAGCATGGGTGCTCTTTTCATTGTTTATCGCTTGGAAAAGGGTCATGCGATATTCCTGTGCGTGTCTGTTGACAAGATTCCGCACTGGACTTAAGGTGTCATCAGATGAAGAGTGGCTGGACTTGATCGAGGTGTGGTTGCGTCGACGCTATTCTGTCCACTCGATCCGCTAGCGACTTCACTGCCGCATTGCAAGCCTCGATCCTCGTCGCATCCATGTACCGTCTAGCGTGAAGGAACTCTTGTGAATTCCTCTCGAATGTCTGCTTCAAGTCGTCGTGCAGGACTACAAGCGTATGATACAGCTCTACTAGATGTATTAGCAATCGTCTGATCACCTAACTCTACATTACTTGTGCTTTTCCTACTTACTGCGTTGCGGCTTGTTGCTCTTGGGCATAGCGCTCATTGTACGCCAAAGAGACCCTCTTAGCTCCGTTACATCGTCTAAGTAGTAGCTTGACATGTACATATTGCGGCGGGCAAGATGTAAGTGCTTCGTGTGTTTGTCGACAAGGTCGCACATGCTAGCTAAAATCACGTCTATTTCATCATCGGGTTCTGATGAGTGTGCGGAAGAGCGGTTAGAATGTAACGATAAAGAGCGACGGGTGAAAACGTCCCATCTGCTGTTGCCGTATGCAGGAACGCTATATGCTTTGCGCCGCGAAGGACGGTCTGTGGAGTTGTTTTGAAAGAGACCAGTAGCGGTTGTGGATGGGTCCGTTTTGGGGTGTCGGTTTCTTGGTAGTAGAACGAATGTCTTTTGCCTCGGTTTGGCCGCAGGAGATTCATCTTTGGTCGGCCCTTGAACTAAACCGAGGCCTACTGCGTTGCTAACATTCCTTTTGTTGTCTTTGAAAAGCCTTGTTGACAGGCGAGTGAGGAATCTGGCGGCGAGATGCTTCTTTTGGGGTAGAGACGTAGCATTTCCAACTCTGTTGCCCGATCGCTCGTCTTGCATTCCATCATTGCTAGTCGCGGTCATAATGGTACATATGTAGACTCCTCCGTAATGAAAGTTCCGTGAAGGGATTGAGAGGGTAAGGACATCTATTTCGTCGTGTGCAAAGTACCATAACATTCTAGGCTGTGTAGATGCGGTAGGGGCTGAGGCAACCTTGGAAGGCTGAGGGCTGAAGGCTGAGGGCTGACGCGCCACGCCTTCATGCATGGTGGCTTGCACGGTTCGCTACAAAGTTTCCTGAACTCCATAACCTTCAACCGACCGATAGTGCAACAGGCAGTTCGATCATGGCTTCTCCAATGGACAGTGTGACAGGTCCTGCAGCAAGCGCGCATCCACCTTCAGATTCATCTTCACTTCTGCATGCTGAAACCAACCCAGCCGCATGTGACTCAGGCAATGAGGCTCTACTAGAGTACGTGCAAAGGTCCATAGATGAAGACGAAGACTTCGCCTTCATGCGATTCGAGGCACTGCAAAGGACAAACATCGTCGCATTGCAAACCAAGCTCGTCCGCCTCAAAGATACCCTACGCAAAGCAAAAGCGATCTCAAATGAAGACCTGGAGAGCATCAGACTGATCTTAGAACAATACTGTCAGTATACTACACTTCAGCCTCAGCTCAACAAGCACTTTCTCAGCAAATAACACAATACAGCGACCGCCATCCAGAACTACCACTTCCTCCATCGCAGAAAAGGATTGACTAAACAAGAAAGCACGCAGCGCAGATTCGTCCTGCAACGCTACTTCCAACCCCAAGTGCATGACATTTCCGTCTTCAACTCGCACTACTCCTACTTCGACGACGCCGAGCCCCGAACAGACGCTCTCCGCTCCACCCTAATGCACGCCCTCCCCGCCTGGCTAACCTACTCCTCCAACGAACGCTCCGCCCGACGCCGCGAATTCTCCGAAGGCAAGCCTCCCAAAGAAGTCTCGCCCTTCATCGACCGACTCTGTCGCTTCACCATCGCCGCTGTAGGCGGCTCGTTTCTCGTCGGCCCAATGCTGATCATGGCGATTGATTCGTCGACTACAAAGAGTCTGGTGACGGTATCTGTGTCGGTGCTGATTTTCATTGCGGTGCTGACGTTTGGGGTGCGTGTGGGGAATGTGGAGGCGTTGGTATCGACGGCGACGTATGCGGCTGTTTTGGTGGTGTTTGTTGGGTCGAGTACGGGTGGTGGGGGTGGGACGGGGCAGTGAAGATGTGTGAACGAGGATGGTAATGAAGAATTAGCTTGCAGCTGCGAAAAGTACCATTTTTGATCTCCATGCAGCAAACAAGGTGTAGTGTACGGAATTTAACTTGTATTGATATATTCATTGAAATTGATGCTTACATCCAGTGTTCACGAAGACGTGTCCACCCGCCTGCATCGACATAGGCATGAATGCCAGAATTCTCCTCATGGGGAACTTTTGGCCCCCAGCTGCTCACTATGCCCGAAATGCTGAGAATATGAATAAGCATGACGTAAACGCCAATGACCCGCTATGCAACACCAGAAAAGCCCACGAAAAGCATATTGACCTAGAAGATATCTCCAGAGTTCTCCCTCAAGGCCTCTTCTTCCCCTCACTCCTACCTCCCACCACCGCCACCCCTTTGCTACTATCCTCGAACGCAAGACCCAAAGTGTCGAAGTGAATGGCCACAAGCCACGCACACAGAATATTCGCCAGGTGATGCAGGACATACGCATACGTGACGCCATAAACCGCCGCATACGCCCCAATAGCGAAGAGAAAAACATTCGTGAACAGTGATATGCCCGGTCGAACTCGAGGAACCATGCGCCCCGTGCTAAGTGTCTCCACAAGCAATATAAACGGCGTGATTGATAACACATTGTGGTGCGAGGAGAACGGCGTCAACCACTGGATGGCAAGGTTGCGAATCCAGACGACTAGGACTGGGAGATTGATTGGCAGGATCCACAGCATCAGGATGAATATTGAATGCGCGTAGTTGTAGAAGTTGTAGTTGGTGTCGAGTTGTGCTTCCTTGGCGAGGCGGAAGCCGCGGATGCATGTTGCAAGCTGGACGATGCAGAGTACGACGTATGCGAAATGGTATGGTATTGCCGTTGAGATGAGAGATAACAGGATGAGTGTGTTGATGATGCGGCGGCGGGTGGATGTGACGGCGAAAGCATCGGGCGTTCGTTGGCCTGATGCATCTAGGAGTCGGTTTGATCTGACGAGAGCGTAGAGTGTTGCGAAGAGATAGGTCAGGATCAGTACAACGTAATTTACCATGACGCAAATGGCGGTGCACATGATGCCGAAGAGCGGGACCAAGAACCAGAAGAAAGGATCTTCTGACCCGAGTAGCAACTCGTTGTCGTTATCGAAGAATGCGCCGATGATTGATGCCGGCCCACCCAACGCTTGCAGCTTCTTAGACTGCATCTGAGCAGTAGCCAAGGTGATGGACAAAAAGGTCAAAGCCGTGATTGCAAGTGGCAACGATGAATACATACACTCGTTGAGACTTTGCGCAAAGCTTATGAAAACTCCAGTTGCATCGTATGTGCGGAATTGCTGGCATAAGACCAAGGCAACGACGAGGAGCGGGAAAGCTGCGAAGACGATTCGGTAGCGCATCCAGAGCTTTCCCAAGCTGCCAAGGAAGTCCACTTTAAGGGTAACATCAATGCTGCTATCGCACGTTGGGTCGGCCCATATCTGCAATGAAAGACCGTTCGAAGGGCTCTTTGAGGAGAGCGCGGCTCGGCAAGTAGGGCGACCACGCCCATGCACGTTGATCATTGCATCTTCGACGTTGACGAAAAATTTGCTTTCGTACAGGTCGGAGATGTATTGTCGTAGCAGCGGAGCGAAGAGCTCGCCTTGACTGCATTTTTGTCTGCTGATGTGTACGTCGTACGCCAGTAGACTCGAGTGTAACGCGGGAATGCTGATCTCTGTTGTCAGAGGGCGACGAGGCGGTAATTGCAAGGAGATTCCAGTGTAAAGTAGACGTTGTAAACTCGGGTTGACCTTAACCGTGGCCTCGGAACTGGCACTGAAGGCTGCAACGACCCACCCTGCACTGTGATGGGCAACCTTATCGAGCACGGCGACGAATTGGTGCTGTGCCAGGTCGCGCACGTCATACTGCAAATACGAGAATGGCGCTTGATCCGGTCTGAAAGGAAAATTCGAATGACTGGTAGACTCGGGAAGGATGATGACATCGGATGCAGCATTCTTGCAAGCCAATTTCGTCGCGGTTGGACTTTCACCAGCAAAGTCCAGGTGTGTCAGATAGGACTGTGTAGATTGTGCTGAGGACATGCTGCAGAAGAGAACTTCTAGTCTGCCATGCTCACCTGGTCCGTCCAGCCGCTCATTAGTCAGTAATGTGAAGATCTTCTCGCCACGGTCCCGTGGCGGTACTGGAAGCAAGAAGGCTTTTATATTCGGAGAAGACCGCCCCAAGCTCCTCAGAACGAGTTGTTCTTCCTGCGGTAATATCGCGGTATCAACATCCACAGTCAACAAGGTGGCCTCTGTGGTCATTGGTAGTGTCTTCTCTGCAATGTCCTCAAGTCCGGTGAGGAACCACTTCTTGAAGAATCGCATACGGTTTGTAACGGGGAGCGTCTGCATTGCTTGTGATACGTCTACTACATCGTATAGTGCCCGTACGATGCTCTTGCGGACTTGGTCACACCAAGTGATTGCAAGATGATCTGCACCAGTCCAGCAGTTGGGGATGGAGGACGAAAATACGGTGAAGCCGTGTGTCTCTGGAACTATAGATGCGATGCTTGCATAGTCCGATGAGACTATGTTATCCAGTCCGCCACCTGCAATTGACACAAGAGTGACGTGCTGTAGCGGATTATCCTTGGCTGAGTCTTGTGCATATGCACTCCGCCAGTAGCTGTTGACTGCATTCTGAGTGCGAACAATATCGCCATCAAAGGAAACAGGGGGCCTAGCGTGCGGCGCCGCAATCGTGACAATTGTGTTGATAGAGTTCGCTTGATAGTTCGGCATCGTGAACAGAGTCCGAGCGACAACGCCGCCCATCGAATGACCTACGATGATGACAGATGTTGGGTCTGGTAGGTGTGGATCGCGTCGGGAGCGACCTGGGGTGTGATATAGAGATAAGATGAATGTAATGGCATCGTTGAGATATTCAGCTTGGTCTAACACTGTTTGGCCATGAAAAGCAGTAAAGTCCTCGTTGAAGTCGACCGCAAAGAAGTCCAGCGGCCTTCTTTCTCCTTTCCCAGCATTCGACTCATGCTGGACGGAGTTGTGGTAGTGGTATGCGGACTCAGCGGCGAGCGATCGTACTTGCTTGTAGCTGCCGGCGTTCCCTGGTATGAACAGGACAGGAGCTCCTTTGACCGTGAACTCCTCATCAATCCCCCACTCCCGATATAGGTATAACGAGTATTTGCTGGCGAATCGTGTGTGCTCGGTATCGAAGTCGTCGAATTTGGAGTACATCGGGCGCATATAGACCATTTCACAGCCTTTGGTGTCCAGTTGCTTGGTCAGAAATGACTGCAGCATGAGGAAAAACGCAGCAAAGCCAAGTGCTGTGGTGACCAGGGTGTATGCTGAGCAAGCCCACGGGTTGCGCAGCCTGAGCCTCCATCGCCTGTCCTGCGCCTTCACCACTTCGTCCTCCAGCATGTCCATTGTAGTTGAGCCCATCGTGACTTGTGCCTTCTCGCGCACCATGTAGGCGTGGTTGTGACAAGTTGTTCTCGATAGATATTCCGAGGACGGCTGCTCAGGAAGTCACCGGTAGACTGGCGGTTCTTCTGTCTTAACTTTGAGCGCTTCCCCTCGGGTCCTCGCTGTCGCTGTTATGACTTTACAGGGCACGTGAGTCGCGCAGCCATAATTCGGAGTTCCAATGGGTGGGAAAGAGGTAGTTCTGTCTGGGCTCTCCTGAGGTGAGCGGAAAGGTGCTCTTTCTTCGCAGTCGCGACTGTTGCGCTAAGTAATATGTTAATCGCGATCAATGTCTCCTGCTCAAATTGAAAATCTCGACTCAGAAGACCACGAATGCTGTAGAATCCTCAACGCGTCGGTTGCGACTGCGCTGTCACAGCAATGCAGTCACGGTCACTATGTCGCGACGCGTGTGGTCGTCAGGTTGACAACAGGGATCAGCTTCTTCCGAAATCCGGGGTCACGCTAATGAACATCATCTCTCAGCTTTGGACCCTCCTACTGCCTTCCTCTCCTACCTTCACCACACACTACACGCCATGCGTACATCCCGCAAAGGATATAAGAGAGGTAATGTCGCTGTATTTGAACTTCGATTCTCATCACGTCATATGCCAAATTCCTGAACACTTCCGGATTGGCATGGTGACTTCATGTCATCGTGGACGAGGTTATTGTTCTTTAGCCATGATTATTCCGCACAGGCCATATCCAACACGTCGCACTGGATCTTGAGCACCAAAAATCCTGAAGGTGAAGCTTTGATGGTGGATGTTCGCAAGAATGAGGATTAGCGATGTGTCTTCACACCATGTTCTGCGACCTCCTCCTGATCACCTACCCTTATCTGCATATGTCCGAGGATCATCCGACCATATATACTCTCGCCGCGATGAACCTTCTTCAAAGTCACTTAGGCTATCAACTATCCATGGGTGAAGAGTCCGTCCACATCCAACTGCCCCCACATCTTCCACACCCGAAAGGCCCCACAAACAGTCCAACCGTAACCCCAGATTAACAGTAACTTCGCGGAGCGTTATGATTTCGTACGCCCATCAATTGTATTGCTCGCATGCACTCTATCGGCTTGGAAGAGTTGCACGATTGGGCAGGCGGTATTCTTCCAGGTTCACGTGTACCTTGTATCGCCCAATGCGTCTCGGCATAAGCCCGGTTCGCATCTTCGATATTGCTGTATAAGAGCTCGTGTCTACTTTTCTCGCGTTGAGATATTATATTCCCGAACGATACGGAAATGTGGCACCCATTTATAGTCGGCCCATGCCCGCTGGATTCGCCCTTTGTCCGACATCAGACGTTTGACATACAGCAAGGAAGATGAAGTGGATAGCAGTTGGTTTAGCATCATCTTTAGGGATCTCAGTGACTGTTGCGTCGAGTCTATCTCTAGAAGCCCCTATCTCCCATGATCCGTTCGCAGATACCATACTACAGGATGCAGCTCCACAGTCCGTCACGACACGAAACGCGACATCACCAAGGCTATTATTACGACTCCTCCATCAGTTAGACGCGCGCCAGGAAGCTGGCCGCTGCGGACCAAGCGCAGGTGGTGCAAGCTGCACTGGTAGTCAATGCTGCTCTACCTTCGATTATTGCGGGACAGATCCTGAGTAAGCGTCACTTACCTTCAAGTCTGAAGGCAAATACTGAATTCCGCAGACATTGCGGGATAATTGTAGGATGTCAGCCACAGTATGGCCGGTGTGGTGATGCGCCTCCAGATACACCCAGTCCCACTCCAACACCAACACCGACACCTTCACCATCATCGAGCTCGACTGTAGTTTCAGCCTCAAGCTCGACCGTAGTGCCGTCGAGCTCATCAATCCTGCCATCGAGCTCATCTGTTTTACCTCCACTCCCATCCGGCACATTGATCGTCTCTCCTAACGGCCAATGCGGAAATATCACCACCTGTGCTGGTTCAGGCTTTGGAAGTTGTTGTTCTGAATGGTACTTCTGTGGTAGCGGACTTCAATACTGTGGCACTGGATGTCGTAGTTCCTTTGGCACGTGTAGTGGTGTCGCACCACCTCCATCTTCCTCGGTTCCGGCGCCGATTTCAAGCTCTTCATCGAGCTCAACTTCATCAGCGATTGGAACTACAACAACGCCAACGCCAACGCCGACACCAACATCGACTGCCACGCCGACACCTACAACTACGTCATCTGCGCCACCAGTGCCGACCAACGTGAGCACCAATGGACGTTGTGGCGCAGAGGGAAGTGGAATGACTTGTTCGGGATCGACTTACGGTCGATGCTGTAGTGATTATGGCTGGTGTGGGACTGGAGATGATTTCTGTCTCCCTAGCTGGGGATGCCGCCCACAATTCGGTTCTTGCGGATCGACATAGTGGGTGATCATGCTCATTCAACATGCGTTCAGATTTGCATATATCTTAAGAAGCTTTGCGCTGTACATACACTCTATAGACCTCATAGTCTGGATACTATTCGCCGCTTAAAAGTGAAACCTCAAGACTTTTGTTTCTCCGCCTCGACAAAATCCCTAATCGTCTGCTCCAGCCCCACATCCTCTTCAAAACCGAGTTCCTTCGCCCGAGTCGTATCATACCCAGCCGGCCAACTCAACACAATCCTCTGTATCGTCTCATCCCTCTTCTCCTTCACCAACGCCCTCGTCTCCTTCCCACAAACCTTCTCCAACGCCTCCAAAATCTCCCCACTCGTCGCCGTATATCCCGGCAACAACACCTGTCTATAATGCCCAAACTTCTCCTTGGGCGCCTTAATCGCATGCACAAGATTCGCCGCCAGCGCCCGCGGACTCGTCAACCAAATCCCAATACTCGGATCCACGGGCAATTCACTTCCCTGCCCATGCACCGGCTCCCGCACAATCCCCGACACAAACGAACTCGCCGCCGCTGTCGGCGCGCCCGCCCTAACAAAAACAGTTGGAAGACGCACGATCCGCCCATCAATAAGTCCACGTCGCGAATAATCATTGACCAAAAACTCCACCATGAGTTTCTGCGTGCCGTAGCTCGATTCAGGCATGGGTACGATATCCGTCTCCGTCGCCGTGTTGCCCACTGCTTTCCGGCCAAACACCGCGCACGACGACGTAAACACGACTTTAATCCCCGGCCGCTTGACGCGAATAATGTCGAGCAGTTGCCGCACGGAGTCGAAGTTTACTTTCAGCCCGAGCTCGAGATTCGCTTCGGAGCCGCTGGACATTATGCCGTGTAGAATGTAGACTGCATCTGGTTCCTGTGCAATCAAAGCTTCCGCGGCTTTTGGGTCTGTTAGGTCCGCGCCGAGACATTGCACAGCGGTGGAAGAGGTTGGGTTTGGAGGCTCCTTGAACGTCTGCGAGGATGAGGGATGTGGCAGTGGATGTGGAGATGAGTTTTTGGGCGACGATCTGGCCGACGAAGCCGCCTGCGCCCGGTGATGAGGACTTTCATGTTGATCTGTGGTAAAATCTTGGTTTGGATGTGAGCTTGGAATGTGGAAAAGATTGATGTTTGGGATGCTGGTGAAGCATCCCACTTGGTCGGGGCAATGATCCGGCGAGAAGACCGAAGGCGGGGGATGTGGTCATGCGCACGGACTGTGTCGTGGGACCTTTACAACACACCTCCATCGCTCTCGTCACTTTACATGTACTAACTCACTCAGGGGGGATACTGCTTTCAGTATCAAGCGAATGTCGTTCTGAAGCAGACGCTTATCTACGCGTTTGCCCCTTGCCTTGCGCGCTTGTCGAGCCCTCATTACGAAATTCCCGTCATTATTGATTTGAACATTTTCTGGTATAAACTATCAACAATGGGAACACCAAAGCAGAATCGTCCTATGACTTTGTCAAGGATACCGCTCCGGAGGTTGCGCATTTCTTCCAGATAACCTTTGGAACGCCATGTCAGAGATGAAAAGTTCACTACATGCAAGATCGAACCTGCATGGGCCGGGTCATACAAGGAAAGAACTTAACATACGCTTCAAATCTACAGCAACGATAGGAAAATGCAAAATTCCTAGAAGAAGCCCCCCGATTATGGCTTGCTGACCACAACGTTAGATCCCTCCAACTCTTGAGGCGCGCGATATGGTTCAGGCTCAAGCTCCATCGCGATCGTCTGCTTGAACGTGTCTGTGTTCCAAACTGACGGCAATGCATCCGTATCATGAGGTGATGTGTAGCCAACCCGTTGATCATCCGACCATCGCGATTGCAGTGTATCAACTTTTCGCTTGTTGCGCCAGACCATGAAACCAAGAGCAAGGAGCGCGATGGAACCTGCGATTGCTCCGATCGTTATAACTACCTTCGTGCCCATGGGTAGCCCCTCCTTGCTTTCGCTCGGCGCTTCACTATCGGTCTGCGAGGCTGTTGGCTGGCTTGTACCGTCGATCGTCCTGGAGATCGATGGCGTTTTCGTGGCACTCGGTTGCCCGTTCACACTGTTCGGTCTAGTAGTTGACGCGGCAGTAGATCGAGATGCATCGCTAGGTGACAGTGCAGTCGTGGACTGCAACGCGTACGTTGTTGTTTGTTGGCTCGCGATCGACGTGATGTTAAATATTGGGCCATTGACAGCTGATATATCGATGCTAGGCGAGAAAGATGTGTTTCCGCTGGTTGCGACGCGAATGTTCGCCCCTGTCATAATTGTCAGTGATGATTAGGTAGAAAGGGTCAGGACGCGACCTACATCTGTCGTTACCGCAAAACAACCACAGATAGGCTTCCTGAAAACTGGAAGTCCATTCTACCACGATCGTGTCGACGAAGTTTATTGTGAGAAGTGGCAGTTGTAGTGCGCGGGTATGCGAATGAAGCTGATGATGACTGAGCTAGAGCAGTAGTGCCAAAGAACCAGTACAAGGTGGCAATGTGGGTCGCGATCATGACAGATCGCATCATGATATGAGTATCGAGGTAAGATCTCGGATCTGGATTTGTTTCGGGGATTCCACGGATGTAAGCGGCAAGGTATATGCAATAAAGGCTTCGGTGATTGCGCGCGAGACGTTGAGACGGTGTTGATACGATCAAGGTATAAATTGTGGTAGAGACTGAGAGTGCGTCGTTGTTCAGAATGGCGGAACATCATCATTGCTTTGCCATTGTTATTGATCTTTCGCCCCTTTGATGTGCTGCGCCGCACGTGAGATGAGGTTGCCCGGCTCGGTTATGTCACTGCACCATGCCTTTGAGCTCCCGGTCGTTACGTCAATTGATCACAACTGCAGCCATATCGCATTCAAGCTCTCGCTTGATCGAGAGCACTTAATTCAGATTGTGCCTAGACGGTATGGCAAGCCCTCAATGCAAGGGTACCTCGCATGTGGCATGATCGCAATTCACAGATGAGAACTTGGTTAAATATGTACATAATCAAGCATCCCAACTTACAGTCAACACAGTCCCGGCTACTGAATTAGATCCAAGCTGAGAAGCATCGGCATTCAAATGAAGACCAGTCGGAAAACTTCCTTGTTGTAGACAGTTTCTTTGTCACAATGCCCTTTCAAGTTTGTCTCTGCTTCGTCACCTTTCTTTAAGCATCACTTTAAATCAATGGTCAGGTGCATGATGAATAATCCCATTGCTTCCACAGAATTACAACAGAATTAGCTAACCATAGTGCTGGAAAGTCAAGTACCTCGAGCTTTCCAAGGTTTCTTTTCGCGGGTCTTCTGGCTTCAGCAGCACTTTCAGTCTACACAGTTTCGCATATGTGCTTCTTCTTGTATCAAAATATATTTGCACGAGATCCCACATGGCAAAGGAGCCAAAGATTAAAGATTCAGTCTGAGACAAGACTTGCAGACGTAACGGAAGGAAGTCGACGAGGGATGTGATCATTGAAACGCTCTCATGTGTCAGATACGGTACCGACATCGTGGTAAATAAGAAGAAGCCAGAAGTAGACTTCAAGTTCTGTATGATGTCAGCTAGAATCTTCCGAAATGTTGACCATATAATCATTACCGATCCCTTTCGCAGGCTTGCATTTATTGCGAGACTCGCGCAGGGAAGTTTCAAGTACGCTTCGACATGGCGCCTTTCAAAATATCTTTAAAATCTTTCCTATGCGCTTGGTATCCTCTATCCTCCGTCTTTACACAAAGAACAGACCCACGTGTGCTGCCAGACCTTTTTCAATTCAAGCCTACGATGATAGCATTCGCAATTTTCCGACCCGCAAGGAATAGTGGAAATCTTGTTCAGCAGAGGTCTCCGACAATTTGCACAGAGCGGCACCTTTTTTTGGCAGCGCCTCGATTGGGCAGGCTTGGTTGATGATCGTATCATGTTGCGAGCTCAGGTGGTTGAATGGTTGTTGATCGAATAGAGGAGCTCGATCTAATTTAAGCCTGTTGGATGTAATAGATGATGTGGATAATTTGATGTATGCACGATAGGAGTTTATAAGATGTGGGGGAGCGTTATTACGACGGCCTTTACATATGATGGCTCAGTGTATGGTGGTGAGTGACTGGAATTGAAGACTGGAGCTTCAAGGGTGCAGTCACTTACCTATCACGTTTTAAACTCTAGCATTGAAAGCCCATCGCATGCTTGTGATTTCCTTCGAGGAAGAATCACATCTACTTATGGAATTATGGGCGCCGCAGAGGACGATTCCAGTAGGAGAAATATGCGCTAAAGACTGTCTAAATCATTATCAAAATCACGCACAGCTGCTAAAGAAAGAATCAATCTTGCAAGGGTGCTACGCAGCATTCTCCCAAAACATTGCCTGCATCAGGCTACGACCTTCCAAGTACTCAGAATCTTGCAATCTCGAACTTTAGTTCACAAAATTCCGCGAGGGTAATGAGCAAGCGCTTCTCTTCACAGAAGAAGAATACAAACATGAAAAATGACGATGGATTTGGTCTCTAGCCTCACTCAGTGCGACATGATCAGAATTTTGGTAGCGTATGGAAATTTGAAGGGGATATAGTTTTCATGCACATCATCATTTGTCTCGACTGTCAAGTAGCCCAATTAAATCTTTACCCATTCAAAGCAAAACCATATTCCCACGAAAACAAGTGATATTCAATGAATACCAACATCAAACAAAAAAGTCATAGGCCCACATACATGAGTCAGGAAGAGAAATAAAACACGTACTCTTGAAATGTCAAAAAGGGAAATACTCGGTCAACACTCAGCCACAAGATGCTACCACTGAATCTACGAATCAAGGCTGCGAGGTCTTCTTCTTGGGAAGTATGGACAGACCATTTGACTTTTGCGCTGGTGATACCCCCGTCTTTTTGGCGCTCTCCGAGCTCTGCATTTTCCTAGACTTCTCCCCAAACCTGGCAGTTTGCCCTGAGAATAATGGCTTTCGGGTGATTTTGGCAGGTGATCCAGAGATTTTCGGTCGCTTCGTCCCCCTCAAAAAGCAAGATTTAGGATCAGACTTCTGTTGTGGAATCTGGCGGGGCCGCAAAGCCATGTTACGGGGGATGGTAGTTGGCTTTGGCGAGGATCGAACGGGAGGCTTTTGGGTAGCTTTGGGAGGCGACATGAAGCGTTTCGGTGGTTTCGTCTCTTTCGCAATGGTAGCTCTGGGCGCGGACTTTGTTTCTGGGATCTGGTGGGGCTTCAAAGCCATATTTCGGTGAATGTTAATTGGCTTGGGCGAGGAGTGGCTAGGAGGCTTTGTTTCTTTCTGCTTCGTGCGGAAATCCGAAGTTAGACCGTTCTTGTTCTTTTCACCTGACAAAAATTTAGTCTGCATTTGACCCCCATGCTGAGTGGCGCCTTGGCTACCTCCCCCGGGCTGCCCCCTCTCACCTCGTTCTCGGAAGTAGTCTGCGATTTGATCCTTGTTAAGTCTGCTTTTTTCGATCTTGTTTTCTCTCCGTTTTGCATTGTTCCTTGCCCATCTGCCGAGATCGTGCTTTCTGCGTCTATCCTTCTTCTCATCATCTTCTTTTTTATTTCCCTCCTTCTCTTTATCATCTTCCGCTTTGCAAGCGTCACAGACTTGGTCATCGTGCCACAGGAGCTGTTGCCAATGCTCACCCGTTACGCCAACAGGATAATGATCATGCTGTCTCTTGTAGTTTTCGCACTGTGGACAACGAACAGGACAAAGCTCCAAGTCTTCGTTACAGAATGGAACGATGCTCGTCGAATGGATATGGACAGACTTTGGGATTCCGTTTGCTACAGACATGTCGCATATAAGCACAATGATAGACCTGGTAACCTTGTGCATTTTCGAGAGTCTGGTTCCATATCGGCCAGGGAGGTCTTCCACGGTGGATTGGATGTATTGGGCGCCCTGACATTTATATACGCACTGTGGAGGAAATGTGCTGGCGAAAAAAGGGGGATAGATCGAATTGACAATCCGTTGCACCAGGCAATGGAGATTGGAATGTAGGAAAGGATTGAGTTGAGGGTTTTGCGACAGGTAAGATAGACTGTGTTTTGAAATAATCGACCTGAGGTGGTGAAAACTGAAGGTGTTTGGCTTGTGGTCGTATTGCTGGGCTTTCTGAGAAAGAAGGAAGCATGGCGCTGCGTATGCAATATGTATTCTCGAGCAAGCCAATCACCAGGATGCACTGTAGTGCTAGGACTGTGTATCTGTTACATCATTGAGCAAGCAGAAAAGTAAACGTGAATATGTTGTAGACGAACACCATTGCTATTGTTTGCAATGTGACGGCAATGTCCATTGAAGACGCGTTACAGTGACGCTTCAATTCAATTCAGGCAACAATGAGGAAATGGATCGATGCTTGCCGCGGTGGATTAAGATCGAGCTTCCCATGAAAGATTGCTTCATCCGGATGAGTAACCCATGATACAAGCGACTTCGAAATATGACACCACAGAGTCGCAAAATGAACTCACCGGCTACCTCTATGGGTTGCCAGAACAGCCCATTTCACAATTTCAGTATCGATTCAATATATGAATTCATCAGAGAATGTTGTAGGACTCGACAGAGATACCGGAATAAATAAGCAAGAAGCAATTTACATTTAGGCAACCCGACATCGAATAGAATGTAGTTACTGCATAATAGATTCCATGCTTACTCCTCATGCAACCTATAGCATTCCTGTAAATCAGATAGCCCATGCGAGCGCATTGTAAACACCTGAAAATTCCGTGAGTAAAAGTCATGACTCTATCAATCCCCCCTCGATATCAATTCGAAAGTTTGGTCGGGCGCCTTGCCGCTGCAGCGTAAGTGCTCATTCTTAACCACCGGACTGCTCTCCTTCGCATCAAATTCGCACCATCTCTAGAATTGGCGAATAATTTTGCTCTTTCTCTGTCCTTTTTGTTGCCTTCTCTCCGCCTCCTGAAACTTTCTGCGTCTCTCCTTGCGTCCTCTTTCCTTCCGGCCTCTTTTCGAATACACTCTCCACACCAGGTGGTACCGTCATTCTAGGTTTGGATGATGTGGTGAGAAGGTCCTAGGTAGGGAAGTTGTCCGTTCTTACCAAAGATGCTGAGGCACGGGCTACAATTGGTAGTTCCAGACCCGGAGTCCCTGAAAGGAGGATATTTCTTGGTCCTACATTGTGCAAAAATTCTAATCTGAGTATTGCACCTAGTGGGATCTGGCGAGGCAGCCCCTCGATGAGCTTTTGCATTAGATCCCTTGTTGAGCGCGCTGTCGGTAAAACAGTAGCGCGGGACCATGATTGCTACTTTGCTGCAGGCAAGACGCTGAGTACGATGATGGTGACCGTAGCCCTTCTTATATCGGTCGGAAATTGTCTCACTAGCGGCGTACGTGCTTTGATATGCGTTTTTCGAAAATTATTGAATGGACGATTCAAAAACGAGTCTCAAATGCTCCAGGCAGAAGAAGTTATTTCAATGATACAAGTAGTGAAGTGGCGAGGGATTTTTTCTTGTGCTCGTATTGATGGTCTGAGAAAACATGCAGCATGGAGGTGTTCGTGCGATATGTACCCTCAAACAAGCCGTTTCACTAGGCTACATTGAAGTGCAAAAACTATGGGTAAGCTACAACTTCACATCTTCGCGCATCTATCACATTATTCAGGAAGCAGCAAAAGAAAAGTGAAGATGTTGTACATGAATAAGACTGCGGTTCATATTCCAGAAGAGTATGAAGGCAAGGCCGTTCACATCGTCCACCAGGGGAACGTGTTGTGACAGCAAAGCTGCTTCACATACCGCATCTAGACACGTGCACAGGGGCAGTGTAAATGCCACAGTTTGCTGTTTTGCAGGTCACATCACAATCTGCATTAACTACTTCTGAGTACAGCTGCGACGACTAGAAATACGGAGAAGAAGAAGGCACGAGTAGGAACCGCATGCAGACTCTACGACTTAACATAGTACCCCTGCAATAACATCTAACAATTTTGGCATCGCTCCTAAGCCATGATTTTCCTCGAAAGCCGTGGCGCCTCCTTCTTTTCGTGGTGAACGAGTGTGGTCTGTTCAGTGCGCGTGAAGCGTGTTGATCAAACCCGCAAAACACTAGCCCGAGGCCAGGTATTGAACCACAAGTCAAACAGCAATCTCTTCACAAGTTTCTAGACTGATCGTAATAGTGCAATGTGCAGACTTGAGCAATCAGCTCAAACGCTCAGCGAAGTTTGTCACACACACGGAGAGGTATAAAGCGCGCCCTTACCCAGCACATTGAGTATACAGAAACCAGAGCAAATCATTACCATACCTTACTATGATTCCCAAGTTATCGAGCGCCCTCAAATATCACACGATCAAATCTCATCGACTTACCAGCACACCTGCATCTTTCAGCAAGCAACAACTACATCTTTTATCTCGATCCGATTGCACACTATGTGTTTTTAGAAAGCTAGCATGTGTATCCAACCCCCTGTTAGTTGCGGCAGAACCCATGCGCGCTCTTTCTTCATTTGGCATCACGCGTGTAACACTCCTCGGAAGAACAGCAAGACCAAAGGACACCTGCGGGGTTTTCCAGGGAATTATTCTGCGTGCAAATTGTCAGGCTGCAGCGAATAAGAGACACAGAGAGCTGGAGGAGCGGCTAAAGACTTCAGAGGCGCGCAGATGAGGGATATTACAAGACAGTGTAAGATAAGGAGATTATCCTATAGCTAACGACTAAATATTAAACTAAAAGTATTTAATAGCAATCTCTCAAGTAAATTTTTCTTGATTATGGCGTAGTAAATATAGAATTCTTGTGCTAAGATCGTTCTACTAGTCAACATATATGCATTCCTTCCCGTCTCCCATGTCCATAAGCAGTCCCCAAATAGCCAATAACGACAGCATCGACGCACTGCACCAGCAATTTTGAAGATTTTTTTCACAATTGAAGCGAATTTTCACAGGCAAGGAATGCGGAGTAAGCTGCTAAGCCGTGATCACGCCTTATCCAAAAGTTACGGGAAGCAATGAGTAGCTCTTCTTGCTGAACAGGTGTGCATATTTCTTGTGATGCTCTTTTACAATTGAAGCAAGTGCTCGGATAAATGATTTTATTCTATCTACGCAGAAGATGCGCGCCGTCGCCAGAAACCAGGCGCCTCGTTGAAATCGCTCACAAAACGCATGAGCGGCGGCCGTACATACAACTCCGACCAGAAATCATCCTCCAGTAACTGATTCTGAACATGAATGTAGTCACACGCGTCGACGTACATCCAACTCAACATCTTCAAACTCGCCATTTGTTTCTCTACTCTCCTCAATCAAGCTTTTCTCTTCTTCGTCTTCTCAGCTTCGTCCTGTTCCGCTTTCCGGGCGCTCAGTCTCCTGCTGACCAGCTGACCACGGGGGAGGGCCATCTTTTCGAGTGATTCGAGGCAGATGTCGTCAACCAGGAAACAGAAATTGTAGCGCGGACCAGCGTAGGACAGATGGTAATTCGCGCTGCCAGCTGAGGTGCCAGTTATAATTTCGTCCTTTGGTCGCGGGCTCGCGGTCGGCGCGCCATTCATGTTGTAGCTCGTCTACAGCCCAACTGTTAAAATGCTCGCGGATCTTCTCAGGACCTGCTCCTTGGAATTTGGACGCGTCATCCATCACGACCAATGAATGTCTTGAACAAAGGTCTGGTTGAGCCTGTCGTTGCATTGCTAGTGACGACTCAATGTTTTGTCGGAGCACAGACAGCATGCGATCCCAAGCCGCATCGTCGTTGTACGAGACACGGTACACGGCCAGACCCCAAGGCGCGTCAGATTTGAGAAACGTAGAGTTGGACAACTCCTTCAAGGGTTCGACCATCTCTGCCTCCTGCTCCGCGCTATAAGCCTGCCACAGATCCTTGCTAATGGGATGCGCCTTGGCAACCGCGTCGCGAGCAGCAGTGACCTTATCGGGATCGAACTCTGTAATAGCGGCCATAGCATTTTGTAACTCGTCCATATAAGCCCAAACGTGGGCTCTGTCCGCGTTTGTAAGTGGTCGCGACATGGCAGGTGCTGTCTGAGTGGACCGGGCACGGTGGTGGTGAAGTGGGAAGCTGAAGAACCAGCGACTGGAAGAATGAAAGAGACACTTGCTCCCTGTGATTGCGAGGTTTGGATATACAGAGCCCTCAACCGGACGGATATAGTGACTTGGAGGAGAGGGGGGAAAAGATGGGTTCGAGGAGTGGGGAGGTGGGTCATTAAATAGTAGCAGCGTTCCACCAGTGAGCTAGCCTAGCCCCATGACTAGTCTACCGCTACTAACTCCACCGATATGGTCGCGATTCAAGAAGCAATTGAAGATATCGAATCGCGTGAGCCAGGCTCATTTTTCTTATATATTCAAATCGCGAAAACGCATGGTGTACTACGCTCAACATTGCCGCGAAGGCACCAAGACGAATCCCAACCACACGCGCTCGCCCATCTCTGCTTTCACTCACAACGCGAATCCGAGCTCATACGATACATCAAATTAGTCACCGAAAGGTGTTTCCCACCTAAGAGAGCTATGATACTTACTTTCACGTCCTCTTTGTGGCATTTCTGGAGCCCCTAGGAGTCTTTTTGCTCAGGGTGATTACTCGTATCCGCCAACTGCTCAGAGTCTTTTACAAACGCGTAAAAATGAATATAAATCGATGCAACCACAGAACTTCAATGCGTAGGTTTGAGCAATCGAATTAACCCTTGACTTGTATTGTCATGTATACAGTACTGTCACGTACACAGTACTGTCACGTACACAGTAATGTCACATATTCAGTAGAGTATAAAGCGCCAGGCTTTGCACTACATTCGAAACCCATCAGCCTACACTACAATTACTACACCACGATCTACAGATTACCAAAGCACACCTGCAAAGAGTACCCCACGATCAAATCTCATCCACTCGCCAGCAAGATTTTACCGCAAGCACCTACCTTTACACACCAATCTTCCAACACAGCATCCAAGCCCAATCATGTGCAAATGGTACCTATTAGACTGTCCCCGTGTTCTGGGCGGTTGCGGCTTAGCCAATCCAGCCGCGGCACCAATGAATGGACAACAGTGTACGGAATATCGCCCGATGCAGGGATATGACAAGGGAGACTTGTCTTGTTGTCCCCTTTTCTCGTACGGTGGATTGATAGTGGGACATCAACTCTGTGCAGCTTGCCAAGCGAAACAAGCGGGCAACGCATGAGGCGGAGAAGAAGCGGGAAAGAGCTGACGGAGCAAGACGTGGGGTCCAAGAAGGCGGTTGAAGGATGATGAGACACGGAGATTATACCATGGAGATAAGAGTTAAAATGGAAAAATGTTTGGGGAAACTTGTTTGTCTGATTCCATTGCGCTTCGTGATTTCTGACGCAGTGCTGTCGTGACTATTCGAGCAATGTGGTTTGCTGCCATCAACCTTACCGCGAGAACCTGAACATTACAGGCGACTTCGACCATGCGGGTGGTCGGTGTGTCAGTCAAGCGTCTCAACTTTTCTGTTTCGTGGCAGTGCTGATGCTGTGAATGAAGAGAGAACATGAACAGGAAACATTTGCTGAACTAGTCTCTTTGCACACACCGAGTCTTGATGGGAATATGACAGCAAAGGGTGTTGACGCAAAGCTCTCAGTCATAGCGAGCACTTCTGACGATCACGCGCGGACTCGTTTAGCTCCACTTCCCCCCTCCCAATACGCGACACGACCCCATTAGACGCTTCAATACTTAAGAAAATGATCATAAGTGTGGGAGAGAAAGCTTGAAAGACAGACTACAGAAAATAAACTCAAAGCAGCAAAATTTCTAAGCCTGAAAGTCTCTCGTTTGGTGTTCATGAAACAATCACCGGATAGCTGGCCTTGTTGTACTCTGTCTGGCCTTTGCATCGTCCACGAACCGGGGATGAAGTGAAGGGAGTGTAGTGGACTGAGCGCATACCAAGGATATTGCGACGCATCTTGATGTATTTACGGCATGTCAGGGTCTCATGTAATTCATATGGAAGCTTTCGTTGATTCGCGTAGTCTTCGGTTTGCACGGCGTACATGAAGAGCAGAGATGATCGTGGATATTGAGTCCATGGACTTGAGGCCATGATCGCGGTTCACGGCAAAGATTGCCAGAGCATCTTCGAGTATGATAACAGCCTTCCATTCTTCCATACCCTCGTAATCCATTTGATTACCCCTTGTTCCAGCGTGTTCACTCCACCTCTCTCTCTCCCTCTCTCCTCAGAACCCCCTCTCAAACAATCGGTCCATCCCAGAACATCTCCTTCCCACACTCCTCAGCCGCCCCCTTAGCCAAAGGCGGCGCCTCACCCTGCTTCCTCCCCGCACACAACTTCCCATCATCCACCAGCTGCCTCACCCCTCCCCTCCCCCCAAATCCTCCCCTCATACCAGCACCCCCTCCACCCCTGCCACCATCCCCTCCCAACGCCGCCCTATTCTGCCGATGCAACTGCCCCTCATGCAATTCCCCCTTGAGCTCCTCGCGATCATCCCGCTCCTCAGTCGTGTACTTGAACGTGTTCCAGGCGAAGACCTGGTTCTCGAGACCGGCGGGCGCGCGGCCCTGGCGCACGGTCACGGGGCCCTGCGTGAAGAGCGCGGCGTCGCGGTCTGTGGCTTGCGCGATGTCGTGGTCGTAGCGCGCTTGGCCGAGGTCGTGGAGTTCGGCGGCGGCGGCAGCGGCGGAGGTGGACATGGTGGTTGGAGTGCGAGTGTGGTATGTTTGAAGTTTCGTTGTGGTTTGGGTGCAGGTCAGGTTTTGCGGGCTTGGGCGGTGAGTGAGCGAGTTTGAGGGCGATGGTGAAGTGCTAGAGATGTTTGGCGTGGGATTGTGGTGTGTGACGTTGTTGTCTTGTAGTGTACGGGGAGCAGAGAATTGTGTAGACTGTTGTTGGTGTTTGAAGCTGGAAGGAGGATTGGTTTAACGGTTGAGAGAGTGGGTTGCTCTTGCCCTTTGCGTTAGCTCGAATCTCACGTGGCAAGTGCTGCGGGTTGCGGCGAAGTAAAGGCAAAAGTCCTGATCCAACGTTCCAGACAAAAGCCAGCGTGCATCGCGTGCGAGGATCGGTAAGTGATGTGAGAGAGTCTTCTGCAAGACTATGATAACATGAGGAAGAGAATATGGTCCAGCTGTTCACTAGAGCCATGCTGACTTTGTCCAAGTACATTTGCGGGAAATGAGGTTCACTCCCTGTGCCCCCAATCACAAGGAAACTTGGCCCAGTATGAATGAGATTGACGAATGAAGTTATACCCATCTGAAGTTCGTCATGACAACGCCCGCGTGCCAGCAGTCCTCACTCTTCAACTACCCTCCTTTTTAAATTTCCCATGCACCATTCCGCAAAAGCTCTCCCAAAGCACCCTATCCCGCCCCCTCAACCACAGCACCTCAATCTCCCTCGCCAGCCCAATGACCCGAATCCTGAACGCCAACTCAACTCCGCGCTCACCGTCCGGCATATCAACAACACCGTCTTTCATGCTCCGCTCATACTTGCGACGATAAGCGCGACTCCAGACATTCTGGCTCGCTTCGCCGACGCCGCTGGACTTGTCTTCGTCCCAGGTCCATTTCAGGTCCAGCGAGGAGAGGTGCATGTTGATCGTGTCTTTGGCGGTGGCGGGGGATGTGAGGGGTGGGATGGGGATTGTGTAGGAAGTGGGGAAGGGAAGGAATTCGTTTGCTATTGTGTCGAGGCGGGCGATTGACTTTCTGCATTAGCGCATACCTTCCATCAACATCTTTGCATGACATACATTCTTCGGCCTCAAATCCCCAAAGCTCCACGCCACGATCCAGCGCTTCGTGCTCGACCCCGTATCAATGACACCGACTGCCCAATTCGTGACGTCGTTTTTCTTGAGCAGGGTGATGATGGCTTTCGCGCTTGTCAGTTTGCCGAGCATGCTGGTGTACCAACGCACTTTTTCTCGCAGGACTAAGCTCTCGTTGACGATCTTGGTGACGAAGCCGAGATCGCCGTCTGGACAGACCATTTCGACTTCGGCGCCGGTGCATACTGCGTTGGGTTTCCAGCTCTTGCCTTCGCCTTTGAGACTGGCGGACATGTCGTCGAGGTTAGTGAAGAAGGGGGGGTTGCACATGGTGAAGTCGAGGGTTTGGACGCCGAGGCCAGCTAAAGGGATCAGAGGATTCAGCTCGGTGGTTTGCAGGAGGGTAGTGCGGGTCATGAGATTGTTCAGGGCGAGGTTGCGCGCTGCGGATTCGAAGCTCTTTTTGTCGATGTCTGTGGCGCACATTCGCCAGTCTGGGCGTGATTTTAGAGAGAGCATGGCGTAGATGGCAGATGCTCCAGTGCCGATGTCTAGACCTGTGATCTTGCGTTCTGGGTCATATCCGTAGGAAAAGTCAGGCGACGTCGAATCAATGAGGCCATGGATCCAGGTCACATAATTCCAGCGGTTAGGTATGGGAGGGCACAATCGATCGTCTGGCACTTCGAGTTGCAGGCCAAAGTCTGCTTTGAGTATGGCTTTGGAGAGTGCTTTGACGGTGGCTGGATCCTGGAAGTCTAGTTTTCCTAAGCATTTCTGCCATACTAGCTTGAAGTCGGCATCTTTCTTTGTAAGTGCCTTGAAGTCGATCGTATCGTATGGTGGTCGTTGTGCGAGGTCCATAGTCGTAGATTGATAGTGCGAAGAATCCAAGGGAGAATAATCGAAATTTGTGTTGATGAAGACGATGATGGGGCATACCAGCAATCGATGAGAGCTGGAGCTAAGCTCGGGCCATCACAGCTAATTGGCCGAAACATGACGGGTTGGAAAGCGCGATGCATGATAATTGTGTACAATTGATATACAGTTGGACGAACTGAAATGCCTACCCAACGCCGGTCTAATGTGTTCACCAACGCCGCGAAAGTGACGGACCTTCTAGATCAGGAACGGCCCGTCAAATGCTCCGTCAGGTTCTTGCAGCCGTAGCTGCTCGAGCGTGGGAACGGTATTTGGCTTATAGAAACCAAGCAGCATCTCCATGTCCTCTTGCGTCATTGAGCAAAGGTCGTCAAGCGTGTACTGTTCGCAGACTTTGGACATCCTGTATTGGTCAGCAGGGCTCATAGCCTTCCACCCAGTCTACGCACCATTGCATCCTCTTCGGCCCCTCCTCGATGTTGGGCGCGACCTTGCGCAGTTTCTTCCGCAGCATGCCTACTTGCTGCACGGCGTTGCCGATGTTCTTTGGCAGCCCCGCCGCGATCTGCCGCCGCACAATGTTGGCCAGCTTAGGACCGTTGCCATTGGTGCTGACCATGATCTGCAGCGGCCCGTCGCGATGCACGCTGCCAAAGTAGAAGTCGCACTCGGGCGGCACGTCTGCAATGTTGGCGGCGATCTTCTTCTCCTTGCACAGCTTGAATATTTGTGACGAGGCTTCAGGGTCGTCGACGGCGGTCAAGACCATGTCAACGCCATCGAGGTCGGATGGTTCGAACTTGCGGTCGACGTAATCGACCTGCTTCTGCTCGATGCGGTATGCGACTTCATCGTTGAGACCGTCACGTGGCGAGACGACGGTGATTTTGGCGTCGGCGTTGAGGATGTTCACGATGCGACCAGCCGCGACCTACTCTTTGGTCAACCGTCAATACTTGCTAGGCGCGTCATACAGTCGACTTACTTCTCCTCCACCGACAATCAGTACGCGCTTGTTCCGTATCTGCCAGGCGAGCAAGAGGGAGCCTCCGCCTTGGATCTCGGGGTATGGGCCTTTCATCGCGAATGTGGTGTAGGAGAGAAAGTGGCCCGCATACTGCGCGGAGATATCAGAGTCAATGATTCCTATTATCGGCGTTTCCCAGGATGTTGCGCCACACCATGGCGCCAGAGCTCTTATCGATAGCCACGGCCAGCCGCATAATCACGGGAACAGGACCGTTCACCGCAATCCTGGATGGCATAAGAGCAGCGACTATCATTGGCGTCTTTTTGTGCAACCGGGCTACTGGAGCGTCGTTCGTCTCGTGCGATGCCGGCAGCCCTGCGGATCAATGATGCATCCCTGCTCCGCCGCCGCAGCCACGTTGATTAGCGTCTCATAACGGCGCCCGCATCCACGCGCCTAGGCTGCATGCCCCAGTCCATGACCTCGCCCGCACTCCCTCGACATCCTTGATATGGCCTCTCGCCGGTCCTTGGGCGGCGGTCGCGTGCTGGGCAGTGGGCGCAATCTCTCCCCTGCCGTAGCACCCACGCCGCCAGCTCAGCACCGCCGCAATGCGAGCTTCCTATCGCCATCGGAGAGCTCGGTGTCGTTGAGCTCGCAGACCTCAAATAGTCCCGCAAGCACGGCAGAGCCCAAGGAAGATATCAGCAGTCAAGTGCTGCTGGCACCGAGCGAGAATGCGGCTGCAAGTGCATCAAGCAGGCTGGTGTGCCCCATATGCAACGAGGAAATGGTAGGTCATGACGCCTGCCTACAATGTTCAGTGTACTGATATGGCAGGTCACCCTGCTGCAACTGAACAGGTACGGCCAATGCGAAATGTAGTGGCACCACAAGTCTAACGTGTCCAGACATCTTGACGACAACCACCAGAACCTCGTCGAAGAGGAGCAGGATGAGGTCAAGAACTGGTTCGAGTCGCAAATGGAAAAGGCCAAGAAGTTCCAGCCGCTGGCAGTCCTGAACCAGAAGCTGAAAGGCCTCGACGTATTCGAATCGAACGACGCTCCCACGCCGCCGCAGTCGACTTCACATTCCGCCAACAACTCCACGACACACGTAGTCTACGAGCCCGTGCCACGACGAGATCCAGAAGAGGAAGTCACACGGGCGCATTGGCAGAGACCAGGATACCGGGACACATGCTCAGATCCTACATGCAGACGGCCGCTGTCGTCACAAATAGCACTAGGCGGGAGCGGATCACCAGTAAACTGCAGGCAGTGTGGTAGGATCTTCTGCGAGGAACACACCATGTACCAGATGAAGCTATCCCGGCAGGCGAAACACGACCCAACGCGAGGCATCTGGTGTCGGGTGTGCGAAACCTGCTACAAGTCAAGAGACGGGTACCTTGACCACCACGGATACGAACGCGACCATTTCGAAGAGTTCGCCAAGATCAGACGGAAGCGCGTGGACCGAGAGCATATGGAAGTTAGCCGTCTGGAAAAGCGAATGACCAAGTTGACCTCGTTACTCGCCGATCCACCACCACTCGAGGATACACCAGGCTCAGGAGGCTGGTTTGGGCTTTCAGGCGCAAAGAACCAGCGCAAAGTCCTGGAGCAGTCTATCATCACCTGGGAGGAGGATGCGAAGGTCACGAATTGTCCTTTCTGCCAGCAGGAGTTTTCGACGTATACATTCAGACGGCACCACTGCCGCATGTGCGGGCGTGTGGTGTGCAGCGACCCAAAGACAGAATGTTCGACCGAGGTGGGCTTGAATGTATCAGCAGGTTAGTCTATTTGATCTACTACCCAACCCCTTCTAACGCGAACTAGGTACCAAGGCTGAGAAGGCGCCCGCTCAGATGAACGTCGACATTCGCATGTGCAAAGACTGCAAGCACACACTATTCGCTAGAGGCGACTTTGCGCGTGAGCTTGCAAACAAGCCAAAAGACCAGCGCGCGTATGAGAACTTGGCGCAGTTCGAAAGAGGAATTCGACTACTACTGCCGCGATTCCAGAAACTTCTACAAGCTCTACAAGATCCGGACAAGCCACCAACACCACAACAGCTCACCGACGCGACCAAAGTACGGAAAAGACTAATGGACGCCTTCTCACAATTCGACACCGCAGCAAAACGAATACGCGACCTCCCCACCGACTCCCCGACACAACAAAAACTCCAGAAAGCCGTCTACCAACAAGCGTACAGCTTTCTTTCCCTACACATGCTCCCCCTCCGCTCCCTCCCCAAAATCCTCAAACACGCCGCCCCCTCCGGCCGCTCCGGCACTGGCGCTCTCGCCTCGATCAAATACAACGATCGCTCCACCGGCAGCGTGGTATCCAGCGAAGTATCCGCCATGGAAACTGAAGAGAAGGAACTCCGCGAGCGCCTAATTATCCTCGAAGAGCAGAAGTTCATGGTCAGCGAGATGGTTGCGAATGCGACCAAGGCGCGCCGGTTCGATGAAGTTAAGAGTCTCGCGCAGAATCTGGAGGATTTGAATGTTGAGATTGGCACGGTAAATGGCCAGCTTGGGCAGTTAGATTTTGCGGGCGCGTATTCGAGGGAGGGGGGGTGAAGGGTCGAGAGGTTCGGACTAGTTCGTTGAAGAAAAGTTAGTGAGGCAGATTCTGCCTGAGATATAGACGCAGGTCTGCACGACACGCTGTAATCTACTACTAGCCAGGGTCTGGCGGTAGCAAGGAAGGGGTGGGTGTGGAGTTGCCATGCCCGAACGACATAGTGTGTCGAAGCTGTGGACCGCAAAGGTTTGCTACAAGCGCGGAGCCAAGGTGAGAGACTCATGCAGATGTGCTGTTGTACGATATGGGAAAGCAGGTTCGAGGCGCGCTGACATGGCTGTCTCAGCTAAGATAATCGATCCAGTTTGCACAACTCAGAACACGATTTGAATATGGTAGAACGTGAACATTTCAGATAGTCTTTTCTCTACCCATGCACCAAGCCATCACCATCTACAATACTGATATGATACATCCCCCCCCCCCACAATCCTTCCCTCCCACTAGCTACAACACCTATTTCCCCTTATCCTCCCTCAGGCTCACGATCTGATTCAGCACAATCTTGTCTTCCGCAGACTCGATATCCACGCAGAAATACGCCGTGCGCAGCGCCTGGAAGCGCACAAGCGCGTCTGAACTCCCACTCGGATTCAACTCGTTCTGCTTAATCAGATCCCGCAGTCCCTTCTCAATCACCGCCTTGCCGTACACGATTTCAGAATTGGGGTTCAGGTCGTCCGCCCAGCCGCCCGTCTTCCAATCCAGCGTGTTCGGCGACGCGCTGTTGAACAGCGAGTTGTACAGCCGTGCGGTCACGGGGATGCTGCTGGCTACATCCACCCACTGGATGTATGCTTTTGGCTTCTCGGTGGCGGGGACTTTGACGGCGGAGATTTCCGTCACGTTGCCGTTGTCGTCTTTCTTGAACGACGTGGCGCGGATGGCGAAGGGCACGTTGTACAGCCCGACGGCCTTGTTGGGTGCGAGGCGGAAGTAGTCCGGGTCGTCTTCTTCGCGGAAATCGCTGCGGTCAATGTATACCGCACCACCCAACTTGACTGTGCGCTCGCCTGGGATGGTTCCCTTGGGATCATACGGCACGACCATATCCTGCTCATCTTCGGCGGAGAAATCTTCAATAACGACTTTTATAGGGTCGAGCACGAGCATCTGCCGCGGCACCGTGCGCTCGAGATGCTTGCGAATCGACGCCTCGAAGCGCGGCGGCTCAATCTCACTCAGCGCGTCGGTAACGCCCAGCTCCGCGACGAAGTTGAGCATGGCCTGAGCGGGGATGCCGCGGCGGCGCAGGGCGACCATGGTGAAGAGGCGCGGGTCGTCCCAGCCGCGGACCGCAGGGGGGGATTTTCTTGTCGCCGACGGTCACGCCCTCGACGAGCTGGAGGATGCGGCGTTTCGACAGGATTGTGCCGCCAACACTCAGACGGCCGAATTCGCGCTGCATAGGGCCCTTTTCGTCGGACTTGGGGAGCTTCATGTCGAGTTTCTCCAGTAGCCAGTCGTATGAGACGCGAGATTGGCGAAATTCAACGGTACATAGTGAATGCGTGACGCCCTCTAGAGCATCGACAATGCAGTGCGTGAAGTCGTAGGTAGGGTAGATTCTCCACTTGTCGCCGGTTCGGTGGTGGTGGTTCTCCTTGACGACGCGGTAGGCGGGCAGATCCCACATCTGCGGGTTGCCCTCGGTGGGGTCTGTGAGTTTCTGCTTCATGCGCAGAAACGCCTCTCCAGCCTGGTATTTGCCGTCGCGCATGGCGCGGAACTCGGTAAGTGACTCTTCAATGGGCCGTGAACGGTGGTCGCAGCCGTAGCGCTCGCCGCGGTTGTCGGGCCCGCCGCGCTGCATGTTGATTTCTTCTCCTAAACTTTTTGTCAGCGATGCTGAATATCCTTCAATACATCGAACACATACTTGAGCAGTGACACACGTATGCGCCATCTTTGTTGATGAGCTCTTCCGCCAGCTCATACAGCTTATCGAAGCAGTCGCTGCTATACGTGACTTTCGCAGGCTCAAAGCCGAGCCACTTCACGATATCCAAAATGCTTGTGAAGTACTTCTCCTCCTCCTTCTCAGGGTTCGTGTCGTCATATCGGAGGTTACAGGCGCCATTGTGATGCTTTGCAAAGCCAAAGTCGACAGCTATCGCCTTGGCATGGCCGATGTGAAGGTAGCCGTTGGGCTCGGGAGGGAATCGAGTGCGAACTTCTGTGGCGGGCTTCTCTTCGTACACACGCTTCAGCCAGCCTTCTGAAAAGATACTGGTGGGCTCTTTGCTGGCTGCGGGTTTAGCCTGCTCTTTTGGTCGCAGAGCATGTGCTGCCTTTTTTGCTTTGGCCTCTGCCTTCTTCCTCTCTTTCTCAAGGGCGCGCTTGGAGGGCCCTTTCTCCTCTGTGGGTGCTGGTGCGTCGGCCATGTCTGGGTGGTGTGAGTGAAGCTTTCAATGTGATACAATGTAATTAGATTCGTGGAAATCAGAGGATGCGTATTTAATTATAGAGATATATGTGCTTACCTTTGGTGAAATTGGAATATAGAGACTCAAGCTCAAACAGCTCAAGGGCTCCAATGTTTGGAATGGAGGGGCATGAGTCAAAACGCGCTAAGAATCACTCACCAGCCACATGCGCCACAACATCAAACTGCGGGGTCGCAGCTTGCACACGCGACTCTTCACCACCCTCCATCCCGTCAATGTGTATCAGCTAATGTACTCAGACAAGTCCTACATCAATTCCTATCAATGTACTATGCTGCAAAAGGACCCGTCATAGAGCTCCCTGTACCGTGTAACAATCGACTATTCACAAGCAGAAAATGGCCTCATCCATTTATGCCTTGCCTGGATGTTGAGCTGTCTTCATACACGCGCCGACCGGCCATTCGCGAAATCATGCAGCCGTGAACTGCTTCACTAATCACGTTAAAAAGACGCTTAAGACTTGACGAAGGAATATCAAGCATCACCAGATCACTGTATTGAAGTGGAATTACCTTCTTATATCATGTCGACGACCATTCCTGATCCTCTTCCTTTATCTCCATTGCAAGCTTTCAAATCTCCTAAGCTTCATCCTATACCACTCTTGATCTCGAACATGGTTACTACGAGAAACAGGAGCTACACTCATCCGGCAGAGGGCCACGAAGTATCACCTCACGTAGAAACACTGGCCGAGCGCCGTATGCGATGGTCAAATCTTCTTCAGCGACAACACTATCAGCCTCTCATTTCCGAGGTTCTCGATGAAGAGCTACCGAAATACGAAAACAGCACTGTCCTGGATGCAAAAGACCGAACTACACTCATGCGAGAATGTGCGCTGATACTTGCTTCCGCACCCTTGGTATTTTCCGCAGCTGTAGATGGTAATCTATTACAGCGCATGTATGGGGACGCTGAGCTGCGAAAGGAGTATGAAGTTGTCCAAGAGCGCGCACACAGTCAATCCTCCATTTACATACACTTACTTGCTGATGACCATGGCGTAGCACCGACACCAAGGCAATACATAATCATCAGCAAACTAGTCCAGGACTATCTGTCAGAGGGACAAACATCTCTACATGCCTGGTACCTTGACAACGTCGTACCACCTTTTGTAGGCGAAGCAACATCCGCTCAAGGCCACCGTAAGTATCTCCAAACCAAACACCGCTCAGCGACACGCATCGAAACACTGCGCCGTTTTTGCGAAGGCGTCCAGCGTCGATACAACGAGACGCCTGAACTATTTCGCGATGTACCCTTCCAATTCCCACCAGGTGAGTGCGGCTACTCGAAAAACTCACATGTCCGTCTCGCACAACACCGCGCGCATCAATCGTCAAACTACATCATGAACCTGGTCGAAGATATCTGCACATATCTGCACCGAACCAAGCAGCTTGAGCAACACTTTCGCATGCATCAGTTTATTATTTACCTGATCTTTAGGCCCACGCAAGCCGCTATCGCCGAGATCTTTTGCTCCGGACTACTGCAGGTTTGGGTGGAGAATGGAGGTGGATTCAATGCGTACCCCGCTGGTCGTAGTGTTGCAACTGCTAGGCGACTCAGTGCGGGCGATTGGAGTACGCATGAGGACTGGGTACGTCAGATGTCGCCTGTCGACGAGAATATGAGGGTACAGAGGGAGCGAGCTCGGGAGTGGCAGAATGCGCTTGCGTGGGAGCCGGTGGGGGTTAAAGATGCAGAGATGGCAGAGGCGCATAGTACAGGTAGCGTCGACGAAGACAGGTAAGAATGCGCAGAAAATACGAGGATTTATACATCTGGTGCGTCCAATCTCTTTGACTTGCATTAGTCTTTGTGGTTGATCGATAGTCCTTTAAGTGAACCATGGAACGTCAAAGGGTCCACCGCCAAACATGAAGTCCACACGACAATTTCAATGAAGAAATCTACTTTGTTACAACAACCACATACTCATTATGCCACACACAAACTCCTCGTATCAGCACGCAAAACAAACAGCAGCTCATTCATCATGTACACCCTCATCCGCCAATGCACACACCAAAATCCACCTCTCTATCAGCATGCGCAACGCCCAAGATACCGCCTCCACACGTGGCAAAAACTTACCACACGCCCTTTACATTCTCAAATCACACAACTCGACCACACATCCAATCAATGACGCGGACATCCTCGCGCCCCGGCCATTTACATGGAACGACCTCACCAGCACGCAAATCCGCTCGCATCTATCCTCCCACTCGACACTATCGCACACATCCCCGTTCCTGTCAACGCACCCCGATCCCTCGCGACCTCTGGCTTGTTTGCCTTTGGATATGTATAGAAAAGAGTGGAAGACCGGGGTGGATGTTGTTAGGATTGATTCGAGGACGTTGCGACCGGCTTGGGCGTGTATGGAGGGCGGGGATAAGGTTCCGATCTGGGTTGAGCAAGCCACTACACATCAGGACATGTTGTCAAGTTTAGCAAGTTCTGTTGATGCACCTGAGCCGAGTGTCTGGATCTGCGTCGACGAAGTAAGTGATATATTCGACCTCAAAGATGGCAATGGGGAGTGGCTAGCATGCGGTATAGTACCTGCCAGAATGATCTGCACGACAGAGGTTGTGACAGAGACGGACTTGGATTTGTGGATGGAAATTGCGAAGAGGCCGAGTGTGATTGCGAATAGGAAGGCGCACACGATTGCGCAGGATGCAGTGCCGGAGAGGAAGAGTTCTTTGGTGATAGGGCGTGCGGTGGCGAAAGGGAAGAAGAATAAGAGAGAGGAAGTTGTGAGTGTACTGCCGAAAGAAGAGATCAAACAGAGAAAGCAACCGCAGACGCATCTTCCTGTACCAACACGTCCTGCACCGCCGATACTACGACGCAAACAAGATCGGCATCGGCATCTTTCTGTGATCCTGGAAGACGTACAGGCTGGCGAAAATTGCGAGTCAGAAGATGCTCAAGACCTACCACCCACTGTTACGGCACAAATACCCAGGATAACCATTACGCCGCCATCGTTGCCGTACACCCCAGTCTCCAAGACATATCTTCAATTACCCGCGAGCGCAGCGATATTAGCCAGGCTCGAGGATATGCAATCAACAGGCGCAGCGCTGAAGGTATTGATTGAAGAAAGTCGGGTGAAACATGAAGCATCAATCGCAACTTCCCGCCACCAGAGAGACAAACCAGATCTGAGAAAAGATGTTTGGGCAAGGAATATGACGATTGGGGAGATGCTGGTTTGAGAGGTCGTGAAGTATGACGTGTAGTTCTAGACTCCTGCTCGCTAGCGACGCGAGTTAAGAATTCGATAGTGCAGTTGTCCATTTATTCATGGCAACCCTGTCTATAATCGCGATGCGACGGCGGAACTATGTAAGTAGGCATTTGCATGTTCGCATGTCTGGTTGTATCAGCATTAAACCTCCGTGAAGGAATCACTTCCGCATGTCGGGTTGAGAGCATGAACTGCGCCTTGCACAAAACACAACATTCAATCCACAACCCCATCAAATGACGTCCCCACCGCTAAGCCCTATGACCCGCTCCCCCACGCCACATCCGCCGCCCATGACCGCATCCATCATCACCGCATCCCAAAGCAGCCGAACCCACGGACCTCAATATTCCTAATCGGGCCTGCATCGCCCAAGAAATGCGCAGAAGTTGGCATTTGTGCGGCAGACCAAGTTTTTTGCAGTCATCGATGGAGAATGCAGAAATTACTGGATTGGGGAGGAGTGACGATGCTGGGGAGGGGAGTGACGGAGTGGCGATGATGTTGGTGACGGTGACGGTGTTTTTGATGGTGGCGGGAAGGCGGAAGCGATGCAAGCGAGCGTTAGGGGACGCTACGATTGATGGGATAGCTTGAGTTTAACGTCAGTTTGCACAACATTAGATGCATAATGTCCTGCGAAAGATACGTAAAGCTTTATTTTCAGCGAGCTTAATCACACAGATACTTTAGTTCTCCAAGCCAACGTGCTTTCCACGAGACGCGGATTGCGAGATACATCAGGTCTCAGAGATGACAGGAAATCTGTGAGATTTCTTTCCTAGGAGCATGCTTTCGCTGATCCGTATTCGTGTAATGTGGAGAGCACAAGAGCGTGAGAAATTGACTACTGCGGGGGCTAGGGTGCGATCGCGAGAATCAGGATAGCCCACGCAATTCCACAGTAACTCTTCGAGCTCGCGAAGGATTCTTACCACGAAGTAGGAGAACCCCATTATTGAGAAGTGATGCAGGGGGCTTTACTGGGCTGGAGTTGTATCTAGGCAGATACATCGTCGCGCACTTAGTCACATCCCCCTTCTTCTTTTACATCATAATTCAAATGTTTAACCATGTCTCCTACATAAAACCATAGGATGTTGCATAAAAGGTCTCTCGTCCTTTCAACTACCAGATAAAGTCTTAATGATACAATTTCATCGTGCAGCGCCTTCCGTTTCCGGACTTGCGTTTTCTGTTACCAGATTTTTGAGTGGCTACCCGACTAACCCTGATTAGTTCACAAGCGCTTCTAGCACCTGAACACAGATCCCGGGCATCTGCAACGTCCAAGATATCTCGCTTCTCTAGGAGCTGTGTTGCATGGGTATGGCCGCCTTCTGCTGTGGGTGTTGCCCGTTGCAGCTCCAGATCAACGCCTGCTACTTGCATCATCTTCTGCTGCCGCCTATCCATCGATTATCCGCACCTGCATGAATCCTCAAGCAATAGCACGCAAGCATCATTACAACCCAGCGAGGACTGGCACTTGCGCATGTTCATGACAATCTTAGTAAGCGAGCTGATGCCGCTGCGCCGCTCGACCAATAACTCAGGAAAGGGTTAGTTAAAGACTTTAGGACTTACTTATCCCATCAAGCTTCAGATCGTACGAGCTTGTGAGTGAATACTTTGCGATAGTTTGCTGTTCTTCGAAATGGCTTACCCTGTACTGTCGCATTTTGCATCCGACAATTATAAGAAGGTTGCGAGTCATCAAAGTGAGCTTAGCAAAGATATGAACAGTTGCAAACTCAGCTTGTGGCGATAAAATTTTGGTTTGAACGCCCACGAGCAGAGATCGGTAGGCGCTGATATTGCCAGTCACACGTAAACCGCGTGATTGTGCAATGATGGAAGTATTTTGGTGGTTTTCTTGAGCACTGACTGCTGCCTCGGCAAGCGCTCGACACCGGGTAATGAGGTATTCTGGGCTCACTTAGTGCAGAACCAGCACAGCCCTGCACGTAAGCCGCACTATACCCGAATCGCCCTGTCTCAAGATGGGGCCGCTTAGTATACGATTGATGTTCGAATCAGAGCTTAGTTTACGACTGATGTTCGATTTAGAGCTTAGTTCCTTGGCTAAAGAATGCTTTTAGATTTTCTGCTAGAAACCATTACGCATCTGCGGTAATGAGTGGATTGAAGTTCTATCGTACACAGAGGCCAGCGTCATGGAGGCGGCTGATACAAGGGGATATGGCGTTCAGCCAGGTGCTATTCAAGCCTGCATCGTTTTGGATATTTCGAGATCGCATGTTTCATCACTTTGGGACAAGAGAATCTAATCGAAATGCAGAACATGAAGGAGATGAAGAAGTATAAGACTGCAGTCAACTACTGCTACAGAAAGCCAAATCAGCCTTCACTTCCTTCATCTTCCTTACTCTTAAGCAACCTATTCTTTCATCCTCTTCTTCGTTCGTTCTTACTCTTCTTCATTCTTCTTTTCGGAACCTGTTTTACATAACACCATGTCTTTCTTCAAAAGTATGTCCGCTACTACCATCCTTCTGCTCGCCGCTGCAGACGCAGCCGTTCTTCCTCAACGCCGTGCCGGCGGACTCGGTTGCACCCCTCCGGAATTCGCAAAGAACGAATTTCAAAACTGGCAGTCCTCTGCGCCCTTCACAAAGGATCCCGTCATGGGCAGCCCAGTCTTCTGCATTTCCAACGCTGAAGATAACTGCGAATTGTCCCAAGGCATCGCACACACGGAGGGAGTCGAAGACAGCGTGGAAGTGTCGGTCAGTGCTGGCTTTACTTTCGCCGAGGTATTCGAATTGGGTGCAAGCGTCGCCTACGCACACGCTTGGAGTTCCTCAGACGAAACATCTTTCGGGGACACCCAGCTCTGCCCTGCGGGTGGAATAGAATGCGGCGTTGTTGCTTACCCAAAGATTGTCACTGTCAGTGGGCAGGTCAGGAAGGTGACTGATCGTGGCTGCGGCGATGCATTAGCCTGGACAGATTTCTCGTTCACTGCCCCATCCATCGAGAACGTGAGCGGTTCTAACGGGAAAGGCGTAAGACTCCTGGAGCATTCCTTGTGAGAGAGACATCCACTAATAATACGTCTAGAGCACTACCTTCAGGACTTGTCTGCAGTCTTGTGGAACCCCAGATTTCCCTGACTCTTGCGCGCCTGCCAAAACGCTCCCAATCTGCCCCAGTGCTGATCCGGGAGTGAAGGTTGGTCTTGGAAACATCGGAGGAACTGTTGGATTCATTCCTACTGAGCAGTTCGGCCAGCCTATCGACCCCGTCGAGGGAAGCGAGTAGTGATGCTCCAGTAGCAGCCATGGGATTTGCGGGGCCATTCTCGTTTGATTACGTACTTGTTGACACAAAGTTTGGAAATAGTTCAGTTCATAGATTTGCTTTAGTTCGAGCGGCATTGTTTGATTTCTCCTCCTTCCTCTTCTCTTCTCTTCTCCATAGATCTATTGAATAGCAATTTGTTTAGGATCACAAAGCTTTCCAATGTTCGAAAAGTCTTACAGTAGCTGTGTGTCGAGTGCTATAATAGCAACCGTTCCAAGAGAATGCTCCGGGATATGCGAGTATCAGACAAAATCATCATACAAATTGACAGATTTGGAAAATTCTAAAGTCTATTCGAGAGTCCAACAGCTCTGCTGCAACAGCTACAGTTCCAGCTTCTTCCCCGCATGTCCTGTCAAGAAGGACCTCAACAAGTAGTACTGTAAGGCATGCTGCTATACGGCACGGAGATTAAAGGTACTAGGCTGGTATCCGTCCTGGGTACAGCCCCGTACTGTAGTACTGTACTGTAATAACAGAAGTACGAGTAGCAATTGCTGAGTGACGATGATCCGGCGTCGAAGATGAGGGTCATGGCTTACAGTCAGAGAACAATTCAAGAGCGACGCTGCCATGACTACGCTGCAAGCATAGGCGAAAGCGGAAGATCGCTGCATCAGAGGTGGTTTGAAGAGTATTAAAGGATGCCAAAAGCATTGGGACTACAAGTGGCACGGGTGTGGTAGCGGAGCCCTAGGAATCAGTATTGAAGCTCATCATAATTAATCACTATACTCTAGGCTGTTGCACTATAAAGCGGTTAGCTACAGCTTCGACCAATGCCGTTGGTTTTGGCAGCTTAGAGCATTTATGTGCTGCTCTGCCGAGCCTTGTGTTGCAAATTCTCGATCGCATGCACCGCAATAGTATAGTGAGGCGAGTGCTGTAGAGCAGCTCGTCAATTGCCAAAATCGCGAGCGCATGTTCCGTACTCACTTTCATTGCACATCTTGAGCTCGTCCTTGAAGCTTGATGTGACATAATCATTGACCCGTGCAGTTACATGCCATCGAGTTCTCACGGCAGGTCTAATCGACTATCGTTCCACACAAATCAAGCTATAGATTCTATATATCCTATCTGTGCTACGATCTTTATATAGGCACAAAACAAAAATCTTCAATTTGATGCTCAAGCATCCCAGTACTCATTCAAGTCTTTCCAGCAGACCTGTGTCCACCCTGATTCGTAAAGAATTGGGCCGCAAAATCTTGACAGGGACTGTAAGTCACAAGCCTTTGTCATGTAGATATCTCAACGGAGAAATAGCCTGCCGACGTGTAGTTCATGTGTGTTTATGTCTTGAAGAGGTCCCAGTAGTGGTGGCAATAAGCTGCTGGTCGCCTAGATGTCCAGGGACGGCTGTGAAGATTCGATGTCGTCAAGTATGGCTGCAAGCCTGGCCCGCAACACCGAGATACGTGGTTCCACTCGCTCGGGAGTTTTGCTGTTTCCAGAGTGCCAGCTAAGGCCTGACTCGACTCTGTTGTGATCGGAGTATTCTACAGGCTCGGGGGCAACATCTACGCCTTCAGCCTTGCTACAGCGTTGTTCTCTTGTCATCTCCCAAAAAGCTATCATGTCCTTTAGCTCTTCTCTTTTGCGCAATTTCTTCTGTTTCTTGGATTCCTTCTTGTCAGTCATCTTTGATTGAGGCGGGATGGTGTTTCTCAATGGCTCGAACTTGGCGGCGAGGTGGCTTCCCACTGATTTTCCGCCATCTTTCGCTGCAGAGCGTGTCATTCGTACCCGGCCAGCTCGAATAGGGGAGTCTAGGGCCAAGTGAGTCGACGAACAGGTTTTATCATGAGATACAGATCCAGCTAGATCAGCGTCTTTGGAATGCTTTGTGGTATCGGCGAAACTCTTCGTGAGTTCTCTTCGAAATTCCACGAGATCGTTGGGACACTCTGATGGCGGGCAGCTGATGGTACAGAAATCCTCGTTAGACACAAGGTCTTCCTGGAAAGTTTCGTTTCCGCAACAAGTGGGTTCGCCGGCAAATGGCGTGACGAAATCTTGCTGAGTAAGAATTCCCTGCTCGAATACGTCTTTCTTTTCAGACAATACCCGAAGAGTTTCATGGCAATCGTCGAGGCTCGCCGACATCCTGTTCTCCCGTCTGAGCAAGTCTGAAACCATGTTGTCGTAAAGTTCCGTCACACACTTCATCATGAATCTGTTCACACCTGGATATTCCAGGTTTTCCAAGAAAGCCTCGCTCTTGAAGACGGTATGGTCTTCTGCGAATGCAGCTTTGGCCTTCTGGTGCAAGCACTCGAGCACCCAGTTTCCAGGATCAAGTCTATCGATGTCGTCCTTGAGCACTCGAAGAAACTGAATGAAATTCATCTCAACAGCCTTCTCTTTCATCTCGCACATTGTTAGACGTTGCAGGCCAGGAAGGCCATAATCCGTACTCACGAAGTACACGGAAAGAGCTTGCTTCATCTTTGCAAACGTTGAAGAGTCAACTTGAGTGTCAATTGTTTCGTAGACTCCAGTGTGTAGATAGTGGGCGAGGGTGTGACCCGTCTCCACGTTCAGATCGGAAAGATACCACTGTTTCTCAGAACCAGAGCCGCTGCATCCTAGGGGCAGAAGGCATTCTGGGACATAATGTACTATATGATTAGGTCCAATGAGGAGTTCGATGGGAGATTTGGTGTAAGGTCTGTATGTAATGGTCAGCTCACAAGATCTCGGCGAGTTGAGGGAACGCCTTACGAAACTTGAAATTGTTCTCGCGTTGAATCGCAGCTCGTGAATGGTCTTTCTTCAGGCTTCTCGATCAACATTTCGTCCTCGGGCGCAATATGTGTTCCCTCCACAATAACTTGTTTCGTAGGCTTTAGGATTGGCGTCTCCTGCACGGCGATCTCGTACGTAGGCTTCTGGATCAGCGCCTCATCCATTGCGATGTCGGATGTTCGTTCCGCTACAAACGTTCTCACTGTAACAATCTCTGGCTCAACTGTACGCTTCTCCATGTTCGTCTTTCTCATAGCCATCGTCAATTTCTTAGTCTTGGTTCGAGTCATTTGAAGAGTAGCTCAACGCGTAAGTCATCAGTATGTTGCAGCGATACGACGCATGAGCAGCTATTGATATAAGGATGATCCTACGTACATTTTGATATCGACATTCCGTGCTACGTACCCCGCTCACGAGAGCCGCTTAGCCGTCACGTTCGCGGATGATCACCCGCATACAGCCCCCCTCCGTTCTCTGGCGCGTTTATCACTTGTGTCTGGCAGCTCGCCCATATTCCGCATGACATTGCGGCGATGCAGGGGTGTTGACTTGGCGGTGGGGCCACCAAGTCAATTAGAGCGCCCAGGGTCTCTACGTTGCGCTTTTTGGGGGCATTTTAGTAGAATTGAAGCTCAGTACTCATGCAAAAAAAAATACTGAGAAAGCGCTTCTGGCACCGTTGACACTGTAGCCTCGCTATTGCTCACCATGCGATATTGCTAATCTCTTTTGGGTTGCTTCGCAAATATTTGCTACCCAGACCGATCTTCCGACTCTATTACGGCATTCAAGTAACCGATCATGATATTCCCCTCACAATAATGGTAAGTGCAGGACTCTCCCACCGAACTCTCTGTTTCTCTATAGACCAAATCGACAAGATAGTGTCGATATCAGGATTTGAATCTTTGGCAATACACCTGTCAAGCCCTGCAAACCACTCGCGGTCAGCGTTCCTCGTGCGCAGCGCAAGCTTTATTGCCTGAATATTGTGAATATACGCTTGATAGGTGCAAACCTAGAGGCCACAATTAGTATAACCCTCGTCAATAGATCAAGTGTAGCAAACCGGATTGGCCCGTCTGATACCGCAGCGACCAAAGAGGATCTTTCCAGCCATCCGTGCATCGAAGAAACATTTTATAGTCGCACTATTCTCAAGGGGCTCTTTCAAAGCAGATGCATATCTTTCCCCCCTGATACAGAGCCCGACTGATTACCTTCACTGTAAACATCCAAGCGATGTATAAAAGCAGACTGTGAGAATCTGTAGAGAGGCAGAGAGATTCAGAGTCATGCTTAAGGCCATTGAAGTTTTGTATAAGCGCGTTGAGTACCGTTGGGGTCGTGATACCACAGTCGGGATCGATCGGTTGATTGGAGCTCAGAAGCCGTAAGTTGATTAGATTGATTGCTCTTTTAGGCCCAGCGACTGCCTATATTGGATTGAATCCTACCCCGACAGTTTAATGACCTGTTCAGAAGTGAAGGCTTGGATTGATTGTTCTTATCTGTGCGTGATTCGCTTCTTCTAGATCTCCCGAGGAGACACGGAAGCAATGCTAAACCACTTTTGCGTAAAACATGTCTGAGATAGAAGGACGAAAGGCACATTCTTGTAGAACTGTATCCTGTACAATCGTGGTTGTGGACATTCAAGCCTGCCCCCATACTCTGTTCTCCGTGTTCACGTCGGACAGCGGGCCTCAACGCTTTTCGTGACACAATGAGCTGTTGCGTTGTGCCTCATCGAAAAGAGGGGTCGCCCATGCCTCACATATCAAGCATTCCCTTAGAATTGAAGAATGTACTGGCATCAAGAAGAAGTAGAATTCCCCATCATCGAACAAACACGCAGTCTGGACTGACCGAATGACCTAGTCATACGCTGGTCCTTGACAGAGCTGTCGCATGCGTGCTAGCGGTACAACTGTTTACTTAGGGGCTATGTTGCTGACGGTAAGCCGTCATTATTGCCGCTCGGTTCTCGTAAGCGCTCTTTTGAAGGGTGTGTGCGGTGACACCGGCCGGAATAGCTTACACTTGCATATCAGAATGTAGAACGCATCTAGCATTCCTGGAGTCTTTTTTGTGTCAAACTTAAGGAAAATTACAGCGTTATAAATCGCTTTAGCTCAGCGACGGTTGTTTGCGAGATTTGGTTGCAGATAACGATCTGCCAGCGGCCTACAGGCAGATTATTCATATCAGACACAGTGGACTTTTCAACCGCTCGGCTACTGGGTGACCATACCACCGTGTGCTCTGGATCTGTAGAATGAACAGGCGAAAGGGGACAATGGCAGCTGATACTCTTGTTTTATCCCAGCTGTCCTTCTCTGTTCAGACTAAGCGTCGAGTCTCAGTAGGTGCGGGGTACTGGTGTGTGTCACGTCCTAAGACGAGTCCCGAGCTGTCGTATCAGGTACAATGACGTGTCGCGCGAAAGACCTGGGCGATATAGAACAATCTCTTCGCTCTTTGAGTTTTCTTTGCTATATCGTTCATTCGATCCATCTATTAGCATGAGTGAAGACAGCGCCTTACCAGTCAATGGAACTGTGTACCAGGTCAGAACTTTTCGAACGCGTATCGCCCTACAAAACTAACATACTCACGTGGCAGCAATCTCATACAGCAACGGACACCATTCAACATAGCTTGATTACAATCGGAGGCACGAACTACGATATCGATGTTTCTCAGATACCATATTTATCGTCCTTCGTCAACTTCCAAGACAAAGCTTCGCCACAAGGAACGGAACTAGTTCACGGACATATCCCTCTGATAGACGGAGCTCTCGTTGGAATTCGATCGGGATATCGCCAATGCTTCAGAGCCCTTCCTCCCGATATTCATCAACACCAAATGCTATGCGAGACGTACGACTTTCTAGGAGTTGACGTCCTCGCAGGGCAATACATAGATGAGATATTCGCCGACCTCAAAGCCTGCAAGATCGACTACGAACTCGAGTACAAACGGTACTTAGCCATCAAGGGTAACAAGTCGAAAGCACGGGATGCTGCTTTCAAACTGCTGTACTTGATATTGGTAGGAGAGTTCAGAGATGAGAATATGGACTGCATGAAAGTGTTCAACGCAGTCCTGTTCGTTGTCTCTCATTCTGCGACTTTCAAATGGAAGACGAGAACAGTGATTCGGGCTGCATACCAGGAGCGTTTTGTTGTCACCTTGAAGCAGATAGCAAGGCTAGATGAATGGCTGAAAGGAGATACTGAGGACGAAGTTGAAGCAGATGTCACTACTACAGATGAGTCCTCGGACGAGTACTATAATTCTGATTACTCGTAGGAAAAAGTAAGACTTCAAGATATTTATTATGACATATTCCGTTTGCGTTTGTCTTGAGTGAACTCATCTAGAAGAGCCGCAGGCGTACCAGTTTCTGCTCAGCGAGGCATGCCAGTCTATCGCCAAAGCTGCTGTGGTTGGATCGTATAATGACCTTTTTTGGAGACCCCAAGTCGGGGTAATGGTACCAGAAGCGCTTTGGCGCCGTCCTACAGAACCTTGGTGAGTCTTTCGCGAACAGCATGTTGACGAGTACGAAATCACTGATTGGACAGAGAGCACATGTAATACAAGGACGACAGTCATCAGTAGCAGCGAGTATATGGATCATATAGAGCATCTGCGTCAGACCCGTGGTCGAGAACTACATGGCATTTATAACCCAATGACTATCGATGACTTGATTTTAAGCAATCTCAGCTTTGGCCGAGCAGTACTCCGACGATGTTTCACAAGCTATCAAAATTTGCTTACATCCTCCGGTTGCGCAAATCGCTAATCACATAATTTGCGAGCGTCTTTCTACAGGTAGGAGTTCCAGCCATGCATTCCTGGTTGATGTTGAGATCTGCTCGAACGAGTCATACGTACATTCTTGTACGACGCAAGGAATGAATATCTTGAAGCAGCCGTCCTGTCAGTGACTGCAATCCACAACAATCTTATCTCGCTGAACTTCCTTTATCTTCTTGTGCTGCAATTACATAACCACTAGCGAACCTTCTGCTGTTATGGCATCACCTGGACCAGCCAACGCAGTAAGCGATTGGTTCTCTGCATTTGCCAATTTCCTGTACGATCCTAGCCGCGGCCTCAAGAGCAACTTCAATCGTCTTGCAGCGCAACGTGGATGGCGTCGAAAGTCAAAGAAGATACGGTGGACGGAGTGCCAAACTATTTGCTTCGCTGCACTCTATGGTGGCGATGCCGATAAGAACAAGCTGGAGAAATGGCAGGATTTGTGTCGCGAAGTTCGTATCGCGGAACCTCCAAAGTCTATCAGTGGCTGCAAACAGGTAGAACGACCTTGAGAGGTATATGTGATACGTTATTGATGTATTTTACAGGCGCTCGGATGCAGACAGGTCCTAGTCAATCTCGTGAATCTGATCGACCACCGCTCTATCGGCGTACCAGTCATTCGCTTCAAGAATTATCCCGCGTTCCAAGCCTACACGACCAATGGCTGTATTTATCCCCGAGAAGAGGCAAAGAAAGAAGGCTTTATCAAGGCTCTACTGCGTAAGCTTTGAATCGCTCTCTTGCCGGCAAATCTGCATTACAAGCATGCTCACTGTCCTATGAAGCATCCGATCGGATAATCTACTATGTCTCCCAGGTTTCCAATCTATGCAGGAGGACGACAAGCTTCCCGTCCTTCTTGTTGCGCTGAAGGGCCAGCAACAGTTCGGTCGTCGGTAGGAGCCAAGCTTCGCATCTTTCGCCATACTCAGATCTGGGGTAGTTTCGAAGGACTTAGCCATCGCAGAAATCCAGGTCGAATGTATCGCCACAAAGCGGGTGGTCCTGGATAAAATGGGAGATAGGAGGACTAATTCTATACACCCTAGCATTGCGATTCTGCCCCAAAACAGAAGCCGTGGAGCCGTCAGGTGCAATACAGAAGCTAGTATCTTGGAAAAGCTGCCAAGAGTGGAAGCTGATCACAACACCAAATGACTTGATTAAGTTCGTCGCCAATTTGACACATGATGCTGAAGAAGATACGTTAGTCGGACTCATCGGCATTTCGTCAAATGACTGTCTCCTTAGGGATTCTCTCATCCCAATTTATGTGGTTAGCAGAGCGAGATACTTTGCTGGTTAGAACAGCTCACTCTATTTCTGAAGCTCGTAAGCTCCCGGACCATGCCGGCGTGCTGGAGGCAGTAATCTTTGACAGATTCATTTGGAGATAGGACCTGCGTGCCACTTGGTGATACTCTTCGACCCAGAAGATATGTTTCCAGCTCTCGTACTAGGATGCTCGACATAGGGGCGTCGGTTTGGTGAGCTGAAGGAGTCTATAAGCCCTCTTATCCCGTGAAACAAGCACTATCGTGCAATCTCTATGTGCTACAATGCTGGATTGCATCAGGTGTTTCACTAGGAAGGTATCGCTATGTGACCATGAAACGTTGGTTTTACATAATCACGCCTGTGGTTGCTATTGTGCACCATTAGTGGTTGCAGCAATGTTACTAGCAAGCTTGTTTGTTGATACATGAAGTAGGGTGATGTGGTAACTACCTATCATCGTCTCTTCTATTGTAGCACGTGGATTGTTGAGCTGCATTATGTAGTCAGATAACATAGATGTGCCATCCATGAACAGCTGACTTAGATTATATTTGCATAATCATACTAGTCTATAAGGCATTTACATGTTTCTTTGTCGTAACGGCTATGTCTGGAATAGTGCGGGGCTTTCTACTTAGGTTTTGCGCAAAGGGTTCTAACAAGGTACATCGGAAATTTTGTAGGCAGCGCGTTGGTTAATGCCTGGCTCTACTACTTGCGTTTCCTGATTTCTGCTATTATCAATCTCCTATGCAATACAGGGCTATGTTCTTACTAATAGACGCTTAAGCGATCGAAAGAGTCCTTAGCTATGAATTTCGCTCGGAACACAAATTCCTGCTTAAAGCGCTAGACTAATTCAATTCTCATTCAACTACCTAGCTTATAGAGTAAGAGTAATAGGAAACAAGGCTCTATTGCTTTTCCAGGCCCTGGATCTTCTGCAAACAGCATGCCATGTCGCGCATACTGTTATTGAGAAAAGGAACATTTTGTTCGGAGCAAATATTTATGTGCTCAGAGCCTCTGAGCAAGAGGAGTCGAGCAAGCCTTGTCCGGTGAAGGAGCTAGACGGGAGGACCATCTACTTGACCCATGAGCTTGGTACAACTTAGAAACATGATGCGCCGGTACTATGCAATATCGGCTCGGCTGGACGGCTGGACGATGGGATGGAGCACCGCGAAAATATTCATTCCAATATCTACCGAGCACCAGAAATCATCTTTGATGTTGCGTGGACTTAAAGCGTCGAAATCTGGAACGTGGGATACCTAGTGAGTACCAAGCACTCAAATGGGTGGCCCATAACTAATTGTATCCTTTTCTTATAGATCTGGGACGCATTCGAGGGCGAGCACTTGTTCACCAGCCAAGATCCCGAGCTCGAGACATATCGAGGCAGAGTCCACCTTCCTGAAATGATAGCCCTCCTTGGTCCTCCGCCACCGAGCCTTCTCGCCCGGGCAAATATAAGGACCAGGCTTGTTTCTATTGATGGTGAGTTTTGTGGTACCTGAGGGTCCATGTTCAAAGTTGACAACGCATTGGAAGGTGAATTCTGCGCGGGAATCCCTATCCTAGAACTGACACCTCTTGAACACAGGGGAACATCCCTCAAGGGAGAAGAGAGAGTGTATTTCTTACGCTTCTTGCGGGAGATGCTGCAGTTGGCAGGGGAAAAGCGTAGCTGTGCTAGAGAATTAGCAGAGAATCAGTGAATACTTATGCAAACCAAGTGAACACGAATTCATCGTCTGTTAAGAGAATGATATGGCACAGCTCTTATACTATGAGAAGGAGGGCATAGAATATGAATACTCAGCTCCGTATGGCTAACACCAAGTTGTACATCATCCTGATGTTCTTGAAACATGCCCTCACGTCTTCGTATCCCAGTAGCAAGAGTTATGTAGTGAGCTACTATCTGCAGGAGGGTGAATTGATGTGCTTGATGCATATATCCTCCTATATCCAAGCTCCCGGCATCCTGCTACGAACTCGTTTCTGGCCCATTCGTGCGCGCTCTTTGCGAACCTTGGTAGCTGCGCGTCGCTCGTAGCGCGCGACTTGTTTAGGCCTCTTGAATCTTCCATTGTCTCTTAATAGATCCCAGCTCACATAATCACTACTGCTGTCGGCCACGAATGGCCGATTCGTCGACGTGTAGAAAATCGTATCGTTTGCTAGAGCAGAAAACTCGTTTACAACGAGATAACCTATCGACAAGGTGTCGCAGTCCCACTTCCATCTCAGGATACTAGTGTCATCCTCATGTCTCTCGAATATCAAGCTACGGGGACTGGGCCCAAGAGGGAAGAGTGTATCCCGAGGTAAATTATCGATTTCCTGTTTAACGCAAGTCTCGACATCCATTCCTAATTTGGCGAGTAATTGGAGAAAACTACGTCCTATGTATTCGCTGTCGAAAGGGCAACGTGAGCAGATAAACAAACCAGGTAGAAGCGCGTAGCCTCCTCCCCTGTATAGTTCTATCATCTCGACATCCATTAGTTCTACTAATAGTTCTGAGACTCTACCATGCAGTTCAAAATCTAGAAAAGAGTAATAGGACACGAGTGTCTGTGCCAGAAATATTCGAAGAGCGGTAAGTTCCGGGCCGTACAAATGAAATACCGCATTGACGCAAAGCCATGCTGCGGCGTCTAGACTGCGATAGGACAAGTGGAACAAGAATGGAAAACCTGGCTTTCTGCCGGTCGGATCGAAATTTGGAAGAAGTAACCGAAGCATATCGATTTCACGTGAGTTACCGTTCGAGTCGCCTAACCACGAAAAGCAATCTTCTAATTCGGACAGTGTGTGACAACCGAAGGCAGGCTTCACGCCATATTCTTGAAGCAAGCGATATACATCAGGTCTAGTAGCTCCTACAGCTCTCTGGAGATCAAATCAGCACTATATCTGAGTATTGCAGTCAAAGCAGTCTACGACGTACGTCAAGTAATGTGTAGCCATATTTGTTCGTTGTGAAGGGATGAAGAGTTCCAGTCGCGAAAGCTCGCTGTATTTCCTCAATAGTGCCAGACCCAATGAGAGCTGTCTTTTGTAGAAATTATCTACCACTGGATGCACTCGGAGCGATGGCAATATGTTCCCATAAGGATATTGTCGAGACCAGTGAAAGGCGAAGCCGAGCAAGTTCCAAGATATGAATGTTTCGTAGCACTCGGAAATGATGGTTTCTGCCTCTTCCTTGGAGTAGATGGTTTGGCTTGAATCCATACGTATGAACTTAGTGATTCGTCTCTGGCGAATACCGAATCGATTGAGCGGCGATTCAATCCATTTGTGGCGGGTCTTGAAGTTGTGATGGGGTTTCGTTGACGAGAGAGAAATTGTTCGTGTGGTGTTGATGTTGTTTGCTGAAAGTCTCATGTGGTTCTGTGTATGCGATATGGACGACGACGATATCATGGTGTTCTGATTAAGAAGTATGATAGGAAGTACGGTGGTTCTGCCAGCGCTAGTAAGTAACGGCCATATAGTAATCAATAGCTGACTTACAGTATTTTCGTCGTGTTCGTTCCGAGAGATGTATGTAGATCATTAATATCGCGTTGAATGCGTGCCTCAAAAGCCACAATGTCTTTCGCCCTGAACGCGAGCTTCACATCATCTTTCCATCTCTTCATTGCTGACGGATTACTGCCTTGCACCTTTCTATGTTTCGTAACCTCATCTTCAAGCAAGCCCAGGCTCTTCTCGCAGCTCTTCAAGCAAACGAAAATAGTATTCGACGGCAGTGGAAAGTCTCGTAACGAAGTCTGTCGCTCCATGACATCGCGAACATCCTGCAGAAGCGCGCCGAGAAGTTCTAGCAGTGTAATGAGTCGTTCTAGCTCCTTTGAAGCGCCTTTAACGTCGCGAACGAAGGTCTTGACGGTGTTGACGGTTTGCACGAGTTGCAGGGTGAGCGAGACGACGGCGATGATGCTGGCAGCCCCGTCCATATGCGCTGCCGAAAGATCGAGCCCCGTGTCCTATGATTGGGCGCGGAGGAAGCGATGATAGTTGGAGAGGCAAAATGAGCGTACTGAGTGCGTTCGATGGCGCCGCAGCACGCGGTTCTGATGCGTTCGCGCCCACAATTACTGGGGTCCGGTACAGTGAAGAAGGAAAGATACGAGAAGGCCGAAAAGTAGAGCCTGGGAGATAGCGGGGGATATGTAGAGAAATTCGTTCAGCCTCGTGGGTGCCTTCCACACCGGTTTGGGCGTGCTCGCTTCCTGATTCGCTACCCCAATATGCATCTCACTGCGCCCCATTACCATCTGCAGGAAGGACCGGTGACAAGATCCTGTGCGCCTGAATTCTGGAATGTGTCGTCCGAAATGGACGTAAAGCGGAAGAGGTGTTATATTCACTCCCAGACCTATCGATGCTAGGTACGTCGATACAGCTGTAACATTAGCATTCGCATGCAATGTTCAACAGTCTCCCAACGCACCGCGCCGTGAGCAATGTACACAGTCAAGAATATCGATGAAGCAGATACGGTTCAATATACCCAAGCTCCCGGCATTCTACTTCGACAGCGTTGTTGACCCGTGCGACCCCGCTCTTTCCGCGCTCTAGCTTTTGCGCGACGAGTCCAACGATACATCCGCTTTTCGTTATTCTTGCCATCTTCATCGAGAACTCCAATCTCCGTGAATGGCCAACTTTGCTCGAAGGCCGAATCCGTTGCCAATGTAACAAACGCAGTGCTGACGCAGTACCCCGGTGCCCGAGAGTTCAGCACCCATTCCCACCTTACGCCACCCCAAGGCTGTTCGAAAATCACCACTCTTTGCAGACACGCATGGTCCGGAAATTCGAGTACCCCGCCATCCATTCGGCGCAGCTCCGTCTGAATGCAAGCATCTGCGTCGAGGCCCAATTCCTCCAACGTCTCGATAAAAGCCCGCCCGAGTACCGCGCTCTCCACAGAGTTCCGTCCGTCGTAGAACACCGCGGGTAGCAGCGCGTACCTCCCTCTTTCGTACTGCTCCAACATCTCCCCATCCATCAGCCTCACCAGCCTTGCCGCAATTTCCCCGTTCCACGCATCGTCATCGACCCGGAACGACCGCATGGCGTTCTGCACGATGCGCACGCGGAACTGCATGTATTCCGCGCCGTGGAAGGCCGCAGCCGCACTGCGCCAAAGCCACTCTATCGCGTCGAGGTTGTATTTGATCGGCTGGTAGGGCGTGATGTTTTGGCGCACGTCGTCGATTTGGTCTGAGTCGAAGAGCAGCAGGCGCAGTGTGTCGACGATGCTAGCGGTTTCGTACGTGTCTGCCATGTTGCTGACACAGGTCACTAATGGCGACTGGCCGCCTGAGGTGAGTTGGGGTTTCAGCCCGTAGCCTAGGAGTAAGCGGCAGAGATCGGATCTGTTCAGTTGGGCTGCCAGCTGGAGCGTGTGTCAGAGGTAGTTGTATTGTTACACAAACCTGCAGCTTACATGAAGTAGCGTTGATTCTCGGGAATCTACGGTAAAGGGGTGTAGAGATCCGTCCTGGAAGGTTTGTTGTATGTCGTGCATGCGGCCAGTTTTGAAGAGCTTTTCATATTGTGAGATGTCCTGGACCAACGAATATACCCTGAGGGACGGGACTATATTTCCATAAGGATAGCGTTGACTCAATTGGAAACGGCGGCCCAGACAGTTCCATGACATGAGGAGCTCTGTTCGCTCAATCTTAATGTGGCTCACGTTCTCATCCCAAGTTTGAGATTGAGAACATGTTGTACTCATGTACCTGATTGATCGTCGCCGACGGATGCCAAACAAGCTCAGCGGTGTTTGTATCCATTCTTGGCGGGTCTTTGTAAGACAGGTTTGGGGGAGAGAGACGGGAAGGTCTTGAGACCGAGCTCCACTCCTTTGGTCCAGCGATTTGGACCGTCGGTTGTTTTCCTGTAATGCTGACGATGCTTTGAGGCTATCCTTTTTGGCAAGCAGAATAGGAAGTACAGTAGTCCTGGCAATGTCCGTCAGCCAGATTCACAGGACCCATGATTTAGTTCACCCACAATATATTGGTTGTATTTATCCCCAGGGCAGCGTGTAAGTTGTTGACATCTCGTTGGATTCGTGCTTCAATCATAGCGATATCCTGTGTTCTTAGAGCGAGCCTGAAGTCACCTTTGACTCTTTCCAGCGCAGATGCCTCTTCGTTCCATCTCTTGTTGTATCGCGTCGTAATGTCTTCAAGCTTTTCAAGGCTTGTTTCGCAGCTTTTTAGGCATGCAAAAAGCGTATCTGAGGGCAATGGAAAGTGCGGTAGCGACTTTTGATGCCCTATGATAATATCTACATCCTGCAGCAATGCACACAACCGCTCTAGCAATTCATCTAATCTTTCCAACTCTTTCGAAGCGCCCTTGAAATCTCGAACTAGCGTCTTCACCGTGCCGACAGACTGAAGCAGGCGGACAAGTAGAGATGCAAATGCTACCCCGCTTGCGGCAGTGGAAAATGGGTCCATAGTGCGCGACCCATTTCTGGGTTCTTCCGTGTAGAATTATCAAAGAGCGCTTGCACTTGTAGCGGTGCAATCGCACAGGCATACATATATTCCACTAGACTGGGACACGTGATAATGAACCTTGCACACGACGTCAGCGCTATAGGCCCAGACATGTTAGCCCCGGGGCCGTTTGTACTCCTTTCAACAGCACCTATTGACTGCTGCAGTGTTCCTTCTAACTAACGGATGCCAAAACTCGGTATCCAGGTTGTACAGAGAGACACATCTCGCTGTGTCCGACCTGCATCCAAGTCATGCGCCACTCAAACCGCAGCACCAACCAAGAGCCTAGCTGCCATGCAAAACACAGGGCCCTTTTCGCACCGCTCACCACCAGTAGCGCGCAGGGTCAATCCATGAGTCCAACTCAGATCTCTCGACCTCGCTCAACCCATTGCATTGTGCGCGACACACCCACGACCCCAACCAGGCAAAACGATCAAGCCCAGGGTTTCACCTAGTACCGGCCGCCGTGTTGGCAGTGAGCCAACCGTACGCATGCATTCTTCCGTCGGCACGCACGCGCGCATGCAAGGCCCGACCCGAGCATAGTTCGAGAAATTGTGGGAAATCAGGCTGAAAACACGATGACAAGCAGGATTCAGGCCAATCTTCGCGGTTCCACAGTGGGTCGAGACTGGGCTGTGGGGGCCGAAGCTCGACCCTTGAATGCGCCCCCCCCTTAAAATGTGTTGAAAAGGCTGGCGAGAGATTTCCTTCTCGCTAGGTGTTCACGCTTCAACATTGCAGACTTGGCTGATATCCGCGTCACATGATTACAGACTTACAACAATGAGCAGAGAACGTATCAATGAATCTATACACCCCGCTCTTCCAACGAGCGAGTATCATCAACCAACAAGTCTATACAAACACAACCCTAGCATCTACACCTTAATCCCCAACGCCTTAGCCTTCTCCTCAAACTCCTTGTTCTTCTTCTCCTGCGCGATCCTCTCCTCTTCCTTCTTCCTCGCCTCCTCGCGGGCATTCTGATCCGGCCTGCGCAGGGCAATATCCTTTGGCTTGTTATCTCTGAAGCCCCACTTGAGGCCCTTCTCGATAATCCAGCACGCGCCAAAATCCAAAATCATGACACCCGTGATCATCCACTTGAAGTCAGATGTAAAAGGCACGAGCTTGAGCTTGTTGTTGAGTTCGGGGATGAATTCCGTGGCGCAAGAGAATGCAACGCCGGAGACGAGCACGAGACCCCAGTACATGCCCTTGTTCTCTCGGATGGATTCGCGGAAGGGGCGGCCTTGGTAGTTGATGGCGAAGGTGGAGATTTGCTGGATGAGTTGGAGAAGGTAAATGGCGGAGTTGAGGAGGGAGGGCTCGAATTCTTTCTCGAGGTCCGGGTTGGGGTCCTTGGGCTCGACGCGTTGGACGTATTGCGAGACGTAGATGAGGGTGGCGATGTGGACTGCGAATTGGCCGAGGACGGAGCCGATGATGTAGACGTTGAAGATGTTGTGCTGGGGACGTTCTTTGGACAGAGTCTCAACGGTCTGGTAAAGGATTAGTTTTGGCCAATGTGGAAGAGTGAAGGAGACATACCTTGGCGCGGGAGATGGACAAGAAGCAGACGCTCATCATCATACCCGAGATCGTGACTTGACCATCACCAAACTTGATGCCGTCAAGGTACAAGACTGACAAACTGTACGCAGAGATCAAACAATTGAGTGCCAAGATCTTGTACATCTGAATCGTAGCAACGAGCGTGCATCGACCTTGTCGAATGATGTTAGGGATAGCGACGACGTTGGCAAGCTTGGAAGTGAATGGCGCAGCAACAGAGGCATCACCAAGCTTGATTGTAGGTGGCTCGTTGGCGAGATCGTCCATCTCGCCCATCATCATCTTCTCTTGCATCTGTGCCATCATGTTCTGGGCTTGCTGCTGATTCTTGTTCTTCTCGGGTTCTTGAGTTGCGACAGCTGTGGAGCCATTGGAAGCGCCGTTCTCGATTGTGGGAGCGACAAAGCCCTTCCTCTTGGACTCGCGTTCGATGGCCTTCTCGTAGTGAGGGTTGGTAGGACCAGGTGGGAAGAGGTGAGCGATCATGACAGGAACAGGGGGTTGAGGTTGGTTGAAGCGCTTCATCAGGTCGCACTGCTTCTGGTAAACCTCCTTCATCTTGGTGTTGCGGTAGTGCTCGCCAATCTTGTCCAGATCCTCGCGGGTACCGTTGAGAAGAGCGACACCAATGTGAGCTTGCTTCAGCGCGCCAACATCGTTGGTACCGTCACCACACATGAGCGTAGTGTAACCCATATCCTTGAGGCCGAGAAGAATCTCCTCCTTCTGCTTTGGTGAGACACGAGCATATACCCAGGCGTATCGTAGGATCTGTTTCCAGCCAACCTGGCCAGAGAACTTGGAGAGAGCGTAGCCAGTGACACAAATGTCCTTGTCTTCAATGATCTTAGGGTCAAGAGGGCTGGCAGGGTCGACGGGGATATTGACCTTGTCGTCCACTGAGCGCCAGACCAGCTTCTCCCCAGAATCGTCATTCTCGGGAGCGTCGAGGATGTAGCAGTCGCGGTCGACAATCTCAACCTGTTTGGCAACGTGTACAGCGGTCAACGGGTTGTCACCAGTGATCATGACAACACGGTGGCTAGATTCGTTCAGAGCGCGCACGGCGTCCCTTGCGTCATCCTTGAGCGGGCATTGAAGAACCAGGAAGCCAGCAAAGTGCAAGTCGCACTCAACCTGCTCACGCTTGAGATCATTGATGCGGTTCTGGCCCCACTCGCCGTCTTCAGATAGGAACTTGTAAGCGAGGGCAAGGACACGGCCACCGTTTCGGGTGAAGTGCTTGAAGGTCTCTTCGTAATTGGGCGGTGTGTTGACAAGCATTTTGCGGATAGTCTCGGGCGCACCCTTCACACCAACAAAAGTGCTTCGGACCTTCTTTCCAGTCTTGCTGTTGACAATGGCGGTAGCAACGGAACTTTGGCGCTTGAGAGCAGATGAGAATTGGAAACGGCGGCGGATTTGGACGAGTTCGGCGTGCGACTTTGCGGTGGTGGTAGCGGCTGTGAGCATGTCCTTGACACCAACCTTCCAGCCAAGAGATTGAAGAGTGGCCTTCTCCATGGGCTCACCAACGATGTCGCCCTCATCAAGCTTGACGAGAGCGTGGGCAGTAGCGAGAACCAGGGTGGTCTCGGTGGCTACATCAGTGAGCTTGGTGAGATCGGTGTGTGCACCATCTGTGCTAGCCTTGGCGCCACTTTGACCGAGCGAGAGACCAGCGATACCATCGACGACCAAATCTTCACCAGTCAGAGTACCAGTCTTGTCGAAGCAGGCTACGTCAACCTGTCCGGCGAAGGGAATGCGGAATGGCTCGGTACAGAAGATGGCGTACTTGCTGAGAGCAGCTAGACTGGTGTTCACAGCGAGGGAGAGTTCCATGGGCAGCTCGGGTGGGACAACGCTCGTGACAATCAAGACGCAGTCGAGGAGGAGCTTGTTGCGCTGGCGGTCGAGTTTGACACCCTCCTTCCAGACGTACCAGGAAGCGGCCACGGCGAAGACGGTAAGGAAGAGAATGAAGAGAAGCGCCTCGACGTTGTTGGCGGAGACGCGCTCGGTGGCGTAGATCATGGTCCTGACAAGGCTGCCCTGGTTGGTCTCGAATCCGGTCTTGACCACGACAGCGATGGCGCCCTTGTCCGGTGGCGGAGGGACGCCAGATGAAAGCCTCCTGATGGTGCCCATGTCGTCTTCCGCGTCGTTGCCATGCGAAACCTGCAGGACCTTGGTGCCACCCCAGAGGAAGGCGTTCTTGTCCAGACCCTCGGGCTCGATGGGCGCGTCACCAGGACGCAGTTGCACCGACTCCTTGAGCACGGGGGTACTCTCGCCCGAAAGCATAGCCTCGTTAACAATCGCAGAGCCCTCGAGCAGCAGCATGTCGCATGCGACGCCCGAGTCCTCCTTGGTCCTGCCTGCGCTGACCACGTCGCCGGGCAGCAGCTTGTCGCTCAGAATCTCCTGCCACTTCTTCTGCCTGTATACGAGCAGCTCGTAGGGCTTGATGCTCATGCCGCGGAACTCGGTCAGGGTCCTCTGCCGCTGCCACACGACGGTGCTCTCGAACATGACCAGCATAAAGAGGGTGAAGAGCGAGTAGTACCAGTACTCGTCCAGCATCCACAGCCCAACACAGAATATCTGGAAGACGAAGAAGGGGGCGACGGCATGTTCCTGGAACAGCTCGGTGAAGGACGGGACGGGAATGTCGAACGAGTTGTCGCCATAGTGCTGCTGCAGGCGTTCGATCTCGGCTTGCGTGGTGAGGCCCTGCGTCTGCTGGAACGTCTTGAGGAGCGGCTTCTCGTCCGTGTCGAGGGCGTAGGCGAGCGGGGCGAAGGAGCCCTTCTCGGCGTCGTAGAGGAAACGTCGCTTCTGGAAGAGGAAGGAGAGGGTCTGCTTGCCGCCGACCGTGTCGCGCACCAGCGGGACGATTTCAGCAGCGCCCGCGTTGGCGATGGGCTGCACCTTGATGAGCTTGGCGCTGCGCACGTCGCTGGCGGGAGTCGTGGTGAAGGCGCTCTTGAGGTTGACGTTCCACTTGGTCATGAGCCAGAACAGCGATTGGAAGGTGAGGATGCCGGCCACCCACACAAACGTCCATTCCGACGACTGGATGTACGTCTCGTAGCGCGTGGGCGACAGGTAGATGGCGGACCAGGCGGGCCATATTATCAAGAAGGGCCAGATGTACGTGTGCAGCTGCAGCGGCAGCGGATTGTGCAGGCTCGCGTGCTTGATCTGCGGGTTGTCGACAAGCGGCGCCATGGTGATGTCGCGTCGTGTCTGGGGGGGATCACTGATGGTCGAATCTGAAGAAATCCCGAGATGCCACTTTCGTCGCCATCGCATTGTCGGCTGTTGTTCCCCCGGTCGCCGCTAGCTGCTATTAGCGCGTGAGCCTGTGCTTGGAACATTCACGAAGACCTTTACTACAACACATGTGTCCTCTACAGTGCGGCGTTCCTATCATCAATCTCTCCTGAGCTATGGCGGCCGGAACCTCGAAAAGCTGCAGTCTTCGGGGTCACGTGATGCATTTGGACGGGAAGGGCTATTGATATGCATGCTAGCTGGAGATGAAAGGAGGTCATGTATGAACTCATCTGAAAGCAAGAGAGGAAATAGATTCAACTGTTCCAAGAAGAAGTTGCGGCGTGTTCGTGGGAACTCATTCATCTTGTGTGAGATACCATATTCACATGCCAAGAGCTCGAGGACAGACTCTTGGAGGACACAATGTACATGTATCGCGCAAGCATACCCAAAGCTAATTCTTCCTCGATGTATAAAATCTAGGCCATCTCAAAAGTCCATGTGTGCAGCCGTATGTGCAGTCTTGAAATTGTGTGGGGAGAGCCGTGGTTTTAGCCAACCTTCCTAATCAGGCAGTTTCAGAGCAAGTGTCGATTCTCTTTCAGCGTAGACGCTTTTTGCGCCGAAAATGGACTTGGCGCCGGGTATTTGAGTGCTCCGGTGCAGCAACATTCACTTTCAGTACGTGGCCACCAGCTTCACCTCTGTAGATTTGCATCATGGAAAAAAAAACCTCTATTTCAAGCAGCCTCATCATGCCTTCACCGCCGCCTTCAGCTTCTCCAACAGTTCCTCCATACTCCCCGCATATAAATCAAACTCCCCAAAAACCTCCGTCACCGGATCATGTTCCTCAAAGTCCAGATACGCCGTCTTGAACCCCGCCTTCCTCGCCGCAATCAAATCCCACGCATGCGCCGCCACAAACCACCTCTCCCCATCTCCCAGCCCCCTCGCCGTCAAATGCTTATTCGCAGTCTCATAAACCCTAACATCCGGCTTCGCAATTTTAATCGCGTCGCAAGATAATAAGTGCTCGGAATCGAGGTCGATATTCGCGTTGTGATAGTAAGCAAGCGAAGTTTCGCTCCCCCCATTCGTCACACCATAAACATCCCACCCAGCTTCCCTCAATCCATCAAAACACCCCTTCAAGCCCTCTCGCGGCCCCATGCCTTTAAACGCCTTCATCACCGCATCAACATCTTCGTCAGTGACGGCGTCGGCGGGCAGGTCGACGATGCGGCATGCGCGCCGGAATGTCGATTTTAAAATAGTCGCGATGGGCACGTAGGAGCCGGCCATGGAGACGTAGGTGAAGTCGCGCTGCGCCGCGTAGAACCATGCGAAGAAGAGCGTTTTGGGGTCCACGGCGGCGGTGGTGAGTTTGGGGCCTAGACGGGAGTGGATTGTGTGAATGGGGGCGGTGAAGGAGAAGCAGGTGCCGATTACGTCGAAGGATGCTGAGGGGGGCATTTTGGGTGGTATAGGCGAATGAGAGTGATGGTTGGGTGTTGTGATGTGTGACAGGGATCGTTGTGCTTTGAGAACGAGATACAAATCGATTTGAGCAGCCGAAAGTCCTAGATATGAGAGAGTGTGGGTTATCTCAAATGATTGGTGTTGTCAATGGTGTCGGATGGTCGATAGCTGCTGATGTATACACCTCAATGTCCCCGCATGTCCGGAAAGTCCAGACTAGGAAGGTCTATGACGTAACACCATCACATCTTCAATAACACGCGAGACATTTATCGTACACATCTACATTGCTGATCAACGCAGTGTAAAATGTCAAGCCAAGATGTCTTCTCTGCACTAGACCCCACGTGCGCAATATACTTGCCTCGGGAGGCCTGATACAAAAAATACACACTATACCCCATCAGGCGGCATCTTGGCCAGCACCCCAGTCCTTTCCCAACGTCAAGGCTCACATCAGATCCCGTCTCTCTTCATCTCACCACCATTCCCAGCCCTCGCACGATCCCATCCAAAATGCCGAGCGCAGGCACGCAAATATACTACGCGCTCGTCGTGGCGTGGGGCGCGACATTCTACCAATTCTTCCTGCGCGAACTCTTCAGCACAACGCTGGGCCTTGGTCGCGTGATCCAGGACATTGAGGACTTTCCGTTCGAGTGCAAGCGCATCGTGCATCCGAATTTGGAGGCGTGCGAGGATTTGTGGCTGGATGATGAGGCGCGGGTGTTGTATGCGGCGTGTTCGACCACGGAGGGCATTTTGGCTTGGAGGCAGGCGTAAGTTTGGCGAACATAAGGTTTCATGTGGGAGTTGCTGATGATGGTAGGATTGGCAAGTTGAATGTTACTGGTCGTAAGGGTTCGGAGTTGATTGCTCTTGATATTGACGAGCCGGGTGTTGATGGATTGTACAATCTCCGCCCTATCAAGCCCATTGGCTACTCCGGAGCACGAGGTGAAGGCGACGATTCTCTGGATCTTCTAGGTTTCGATGCGGAGATCCTGGATGGCGATACTATCCAATTCTACTTGGTCAATGAACGCCCGCCGGTTGGGCCGTTCAACAACTACATCGATGCAACTGTGGTTGGCGCCAACTCTACCATCGATGTCTTCGAGATGAAGCGCGGAGCAGATGTCATGCGCCATGTTAGGACGATCTGGTCGCCTGAAGTATTCACGCCTAACCGAATCGCTGTTTTGGGTGAGGGAGACTTCCTCGTGACGAACGACCACTCCACCAAGATCGGATGGCGAAGGGAACTCGACCCTATCATCGGCGGCGGCACCGTCGCATTCTGCAACCTCAACAGCGAATGCCACACCGCCGTCACCGGTGCCGAGCCCGCCATCGAGCTCCCTCTCGCGGCCAAAAACCCAGAGCCCCTGTACAAAGAATACCTAACAAAAGCTCTCTCCGTCTTCCCGAAGCCCGGCTTGAAATTTCCCAACGGCCTGACCCGCGGCTTCGACAACCTGATCTACGTGCCCAGCACCATCGACGGCCAAATCCGCGTCTACGCACTAACTCCCTCCAACACGCTGCAGCTCATCGACACTATCCGCACTGGCATGCCGCTTGACAACATCTCGCCCGACGCAAATGGCGACTTGTACGTCGCCGGCTTCCCGGACTTTCGTGCTGCGCTCAAGGGCTTGCATGATCCGCTGAATGTCGATGCGCCGAGCAGTGTGCTGCGCATTCGCAAGACGGTGGATGTGGAGAGGCAAAAGGTTGATTATCGGGTTGAGAAGGTTGTGGAGGATAAGACTGGCAAGGTTATTAGTGGGGCGACGAGCGTGAGGCATGATGTTAAGACTGGGAGGCTGTTTATTGGTGGTGAGTGCGAAACGGGCGGTTTGAGTGATGACACGCTAACTGAAATTCTAGCTGCGATTCATCCGTTCTTGGTGGCGTGCGATCCGAAATAAGGAATTGGTAGTGCGATACAAGGAGAAGGGTATCAGAAGCGCAAGGCTTGACATGATGGTTCATGGTGATTGTAGATGAGTATATTCAGCTGTGCTGAATATGGATATCAATTTGGCCCATCAGTATTTATGGAGACAAGCGAGGACTTCAGTCACACTTGAGAAAATGCCATCTGATAGCAGGACTAATGCGCGAGAATTAACGAACTCGTACAAAGCATACTACGCAGAGCCTGCACGTAATACGCATGTTCTTCACGTACCTGACGAGGAGTCAGTGGAATAGCTTAGGTCTAATCTACGCCTGGAAGACGCATCGAAATGTACCAGAACAAACAAGCGTTGTGGAAGCTTCTTTACAGTCGGTCAAGCTTTTAGCAGCCAGCATTTACGCGAGCGATAAAGATGGAATCAACTGCATTCAACCAACCAAAGCCTACTCGAGACGCAAAATGATGCAACTACGCCCGCACTAGCGCTGACCGTCTGCATGGGTACAGCCCGGATTTACAAACAAAGCACACGATCAATGGTAACGCAGTATTCGAGCACGCTTATGCTAGATTTTCTACACAGCCACTCCTATTATACTAATCGTCCACGTCGACGTACAAATAAACCCACGAATTTCCGCACCCAGACTTGAAGCTATCCGCTCATACATCCCTCCCCTCATCATCCAGCCCCCAAAAATGTTCAAATCCACCGACGGTTCCACACACTTCTCCTTCACCCGCTTCGCCCGCAACGCCATCCCCAACGCGGCCCCTGCCCCCATCGACACAGACCTCTCACCCGCCGAACTCGACGCCGTCTTCACCCACCAACTCACCCAGCCAAACTTCCTGCACCTCGGCCCCGAAGCCTTTATTCATGCTGGCATAACCACGTCGCCCAAAACCGCTTCGGCTATCCACAAAGCGCTGGTCAAGAATGGTGTACTTGCACCGGAGGTTAATACAGCGGCGATTGGGAAGAATTTCGCGCATGATTTGGCGGTGGTGACGAGTCATGTGCAGAAGAAGGTTGTGAATTTGTTGTTTACTTGGGAGGCGGAGGGGGAGAGGTGGGTTAGGTTGGGGAGGGAAAAGGAGGAGGCGGAAAGGGTGGCTGGGGATGTGGAGAGTTGTGAGAAGAGGGTTGGGGAGATTGATGTGGAGATGAGCTTGAAGCCTAGTTTGAGGAAGGAGGACGGAGGGCAGAGGTAGACTTGTAGCGCGAGTTTTGGTAGATGTCTGCGTGTGTCGAATGGTAGGAGGCGTTATCTTGAGCGTGTTGCTAAAGTGACTTGATTTCGTAAACGCTGTATGTTCCTTGGGAAAGTACATTGATGCCCGCTGGGATCACGCTGATGAGCGCGGAGGTGTGGAAGAGAAAAGACCAGTATCTTTCGTTGCAGATGAGCAAAAAACTCACGCCAGAAGGGTGGAGACGACTAGGTATGAACCATTCTTTTGGAGGAGACTGTAACATAATGTCAGAGTAGTATTTTCGGCATGCGTCGTGTGTTCGCGTTAATTAAAAGTGATTCAACATCATGTTTTCCAACAATACGGCAAAACATGTCCATGTCTCAGTCCACCAAACACTGCAATCACTCTTCGCTACAAAGTACGAAGGTATGCAATGCTAGCATATCTATACAAGATTGCACTAGACTCGTATTAGTTCGCAAAGTTAGGGTTTAAAGATTTCACCATCGGTTCTGGTTTGAACGGTCGCGGTTGTTGCGTCGCAATATAATATCAGGCCAAACAACGCTCATGAATTTAGTTTGGCAGAATGGTTTATCTTCCACGTACGACTATCTACCGCATCTCTAACTGCTGCTGCTGCTTCATGTTCGTTATGAAAAGCAAGTAGTGCTCGCTCTTGGCCAGAGAAGGTTGACCTATCAACACTCCTAGTTCAAACATATACCTGAGCATGTAGTTCTCCTACTACCGAAGCATTCGCCTTGTTCCAGGCTGTAGCGTGCTCTTTCAGGAACTCTCGTACGGCCTTTTTGTCAAGACACGCGTCAACTAGCGCCAGTTCCGCGTTCTCGCTGTACGAGCTCTCGTCTTCTTCTTCGAGCGCAGCCTCAATTGGCCATTCCGGGATCCATACAGGTACTTTGCTGTCCGCGCTTTGCTTCCACCCCCAGACCCCATCTTTCCGATCGTACGCCAATGCTTTTAGAGGCTCGGAGTTGTACTGAAGCTCCTTATCTGCGTGGCCCGTGGACTTGTCTTGTCGCCATTTCACCGACGGGTGCATCCATTCTCTAGTCTCTCCAAGTTTAGACAGGGGCGTGTGATCTTCCGTGGACTGGTCGTTGCAGTTGCCGGGTGTGCGGGTTTCCGGGTGTGAGATTACCTTGTACATCAGGCTATAGCTATCCTGGTTGCGAAACAGGGTCCAGTGGTCAGGCTTGACAGGTGGGACGACGCTCGCGCTGAAGCAGTAGGTTCGAACCATTTTCTCTTTGGGCGTTGCTTTGTCGTTGGACGAAAAGAACGAACCAAGCCACTTCTTTGTCGCATTCAAGTCTTCAGTAATGGCAGCAACAGTCGAGCCGACCATGCCCGTAGGGGCCGCTTCCTTCGCGCGTAAAGATTGTTCAGCATCAACTGCGATCATGCGTTGTAGGTAATTGGCGAGTGTGGCGTTCGTAAAGTCATTGAAGGCGAGGTATGGTCGGCATTGCTCGACCATCCATGCAAAAGTGATGTTTGCCAATCCTGTTGGGTAAAGTGTCAGACTTGTGCCGGCTCAACAGGGAAGGGTTGATTTGAGAGATTGAGACAAGGCGAAGATGTCCGTTACTTGGAGACGCGATGCGGCTTACCTTCAAAATCGGTCTTTGCATCGTCTGTTCCTCCACCGACATTGATATGGACGCCTGTATAATAGGTCAGTTGT